ATGCGGCCTCGATACCGACTAAAAAATCGGACTGGAGTGTATGTCACTGTTTGGTTCCCACCGGAGAAGCCGCTGGCAACTCCGATGATGCAATTTTTTTTTCGTCCCCGCCATTATTGAATTTCTTCTGCCACGAAGCGACCGCGCATGATTCATGATTATTGTTGACTAGTGATCTTGTACCACGTTTTCCTCGCGAGACTAGTTTGTCCACGAAACGTTAACCGGTGACTCCACAGCGGCACCTTTCGTTCTTACGGTGAACTTTGTTAAAAGTTTAGAATTCGTTACATCCACGGCAGAAGGGGCCACAACGGGAGGGAAGGGCTTTCAGTCCACGTGGCAGATGATCTGCGCCCAAAAATTAGGATGTGACAAATTACGGAGCACAAAGTGTAAATACTGAAGTAACACCGAAGTTCTCCGAAGTAGATAAATATCTTGCTCGGACGGGCGGATTGACGGTGCGAAATTCCGCTATCAGGCGTTGTTCGGGTACTAAGTGTATTATGCATATTTAAAATTGGAGGTGCACCGAAGGAGCTGACTATCCCTGTAGCTACTAGCTAGTGATGCTCATCGAAGAAAGTAGTAATAAACCAAGTGACTATAGTATGACTTGCAGCCATGGCAGTGGATCTGTCGGCTATCTATGTGGCATGAGAGGGATACTAATCCTTCTAGCACGTTAGTGCTCCTCGGTTCGAGCGTTTTTTTTTTGTTGACTACATCGTCATGGTGCGTATGCATCGGACCACTACTGACGACCTTAGATCACTACATGCCCGCTTAGTATTGCTTTACATATTTTCTCTTGTCCTCCTTTGAATCGAGTGATTGGGCAATCGCTCTCGACTCGGCGTTTCGTAGCTGCAGCGTCTGCGGGCTGACGGTCACAACCAGTGGGCAGGCTCAAAATTCTAGTATCGGTTTGGACCATGGCCGCGATCGGAGGGAGAGTAGTATGGTCTGTCTCGCTCGATAGCGTTCAAGGTGAGGGGCTGCTGCTGTGTCGTCTAGTGTACAACGTAGAAAGATACCATAGCTGCAGATATCATACGGTCAATGGAATAGGGCCTCAAAATTGTCTATCCATTCATTGTCATGAGACAAGACACTCCCCGTTTCCGGCCGAACAAAGTCGTCTATTTATCCATTCTGGTTATGATCTTTGAACCAAGATACTTCAGCTTAGCCTGCAGTTTCCAATCAAGGAGGGATGACTTGCCTGGCGTCCTTTCGAGAACGCTATGATAAGAAAAATGAGATTCTCTTCATCAACTCCCTTGTCAAGCTCTTTGTCAACAAAGCACGTGCATACGCATGAACGTATGCTATATTTCGCTAAAGCTGCCACGCTTCTGACCTCATCCTGACCGACTCGCTAATTCCTGCACAACAGCGGAGATAGCGGGAGTACAACGGGTTCATGGTGATCGTCACAGCACGCTGACTCGGTCACCGAGGCACCGGTCCGAGCTAAACCAGCTAGTCCATCTAAATGTAGCAAATAGCGTACACTTGAGGACATGAATTTAGCTACATAGCAAGGCTCCTTCACTCGAAAAGCGGTGATGCAAAGGCTGGTCATTCGGACATAGGATAATTCTCCGAGTCTGACATGGCCCCTCCACCACTACAACCCGTAGACCCCGTAGACCGGTCTTCGTACCGTCTCATTGTGGAGGATGTGTGCTCATCCCGTCCGTGCTAACGGGGGCTGCCTAACCGGGGAGAAGAGACGAGACGATCACTACAAATCGAACCAACCATTAGCTACCAACGACTTCCGTAGATACCAGGTATCCTGAAAAGGTTCCCTGCAGTGACCAGAAGGGCTTCTTCCCGGTCACAAAAACGAGAACGAAACACTAAACGTGCTCATCTGCAACGGCAGAAGCGGGGTGACAGACTAATTAGCTAGTGCCGCCAGAGCCGGCGGCGATCGAAACCGGTGACCCGCTGTCCTACTATTGCTATCATTATGATAATTTTTGGTCATGATTGGGGGCATGAGTATGCAAATGGAAGTTATTGTACCCAGCACCTCAATGCAGAGTAAACAATTATCCTAGTCAACACATGTTCCGCTTACCTGACCATGAAAAGCGCCGTGTTCCATCCGCTTCTCCCCGGGCCTGGGAACACTGCAGAATAAGGCCTTGGCACGTTAGGTTCTGAAGATACACTTTACACTACTTGCTCTCTAGCTTACTAGCTAATGCAAGTTACCACGAGACAAGCACAGCAAGATAGCTCTCCGGATTTTCCGTAGTCTGTGAGATCCCGTTTAGCCGTCTACGTACTCTATACGCATAGCCCCTCGGAAGCAGGCGGCATTGAACATCGTGTCCCATTTGCCGTCGAATCTAAAGAAAGGTGGTTGATTGGTGTGTCCAAAACTTGGGGTATTGGTGCCAAATTGATCTGAGTTTCTCATGCATGTATCGGCCTACGTTGTTTATTTCTTTTATTTCCAGTTCAATTCTTGATATGCAGGGTCAATCCCATGCCCCCTGGCGCCCAAAGAAACGAGTTGAAACTGCAATCTCAACCATGCGTCCCCGGGTCTCCTTGGTTGCGGAGTTTACGGCGACGGTCCGTCCAGTCCTGTTCTTAAGGGCTAGAACATGGTCTTATAGCATGAGTAGGAGTAAAGGTTAAGATGACTTCGCAGCTGTTCTACGCTATACACCGGATTGATCACTCTTTTCAGGTATCTCGACTCTGAAATTACCAATTACCGACCCCTTGACTATCCAAAGCCACCTCGTCACCCCGCCACCAGGATGCTAGTTAGTAGAAGCCAAAGTATGGATCTGCAGGCAGCATGTCCATCGGTTGGATGGATCCACAACATCCGCACTGGACATCACAAATTCGAAAGGTCCGCATACATTGAGAAATCGCCACCCGAGGTTGGTTGCTTCACAGCAGGAGCCAGGTATCTACGCCAAGCACAGGTGTGCAGAAGTGTGGAGTTGCCGCGTTATCTGCAGGTAGACAAGAGAATTCGAGTAGGATCAGCGGATATGATCTGCTGTACAGAGTAGTAGGATGCTATTAATCTGTATGATCCTTGACTACATAGCCACCCTCCGCGCCGAAGCTACTCTATTCAGTATAGTGGATAGCGTAATGCGACTGTCCGGGCTCCATTTTCCTTCACGAAAGTAAACTAAACATTCTCTCCACCACCAAATAATGACCTCAGGGGAACAACACCCGCCCCACGGGCCGACCATGCGTAGCCCTAGATGTTAGATGCATGCGACTTTGAACACTAATTATCACACTGACTTGTGGCAAGTCGGGAAAAGGGGAAAATCAAAGTATCTTATGACTACAACATCAGACAATCCCAACGACTAAGCGGAAACAGATTGAAGTTTAGACACTTGCGGGTACAGAATGGTTCCCTCTCTAGCCTCGAAAGGACTCCGCACCTCCCCACCACTTAAACCAATTCCACATGAGCGATACTGCATATTTTGCATGGTACCCCAGCCCTCGGGGTCCTGCATGCAGCGTAATATGCTCATTCTCATGCTCATACTGTACTGCTGTATCTGCTGCCGCTTCCTGCCCATCGACCCACGCGAGCACCCAAGGATAATGTTTATTATTTCAAAGACAGAGTAGTCCTATGCATGTCGGCTCCCTCGTAGGTAGTAGAGGGCCACCCCCCTGTGCATCAGCTCAGCCTCCCACTTCCCATTTCCGGGTAATAATTGGAGAGAAAGCTGCGACATGTCACTTTTAACACATGGCCTGGGCAGCACGCATGCATGTCGCGTGCACCTGGGCCAATCAACAGCTTGGGTTATGCTGTGGCGAAGGGGTGAGGGCATGGTGTGTACTGTAAGGGTTCTGGGCAGATGTCGGCAGCTGGGCTTTTAGTTTTCATTTTCTTCTTTGCTTTTGTTGAGAACGCTGCATGGAAGACCCTGGCGGTTTTGGAAATAGGACTGCTGGCTTGGCCGTATATAACTTCCGGTGAGAAGGGGCAAGTATGGGGATGCTGGGGATGCTGGGGCTGGTTGGGTGCATATGATTTTCATCTAGTTTATTTACTTAGTTATTCTTTATTTTGAATATATCAAATTGTCTTGTTTTAGACTCGACTGTACACAACTTCTAGAAATCTTCTCATGTTTGCTTGTCGTGTTTGTGTGTGGTTGTGCCACAGGATCGCCGTGGCCCTTGCTCCGGCAACTATGATACAGATGTCAAAGCGAAGTTACGGATGACTATCGATCTACACTAGCTAGCTGAATTAAGATGTCGAAATTGAATACGAGCACCATAGATTACAATATTTGCAAGAACGTTTTTATATTCACCTTTGCTCCTAGACCCCGGTACATACCTGTGCACACCAACGGCAAGATGCATAAAAGGCAAGGCATCACTCGATCGGCTCAATGATCTTGTCATCAAGGTCGATCCTTGAGCATCAAGTCTTGACTAACATATCATTTTCCAGGAAAAGATCGTCCACTATCTCTGATACAGAGTCCATGCTTTAGGCATAGCGTTCTGTGTACATAGTGGATAGAGGCGGGGGAATATGGCGATCGGGAGTATGAGTGGCTGCCATGCTTTTGTGACATATCATAATGGGATCAGATCGGGATGAATAATAAGCTAAAACTTGATGGGATCCATCTGAGGCTTGCGTTCAGTCCTCCTAGGCGTTGAAGTACCTTATTTGTATGGCCACGGCAGCGTCGAGTAGCCTATCCAAAGCCATTGGCGGGATCTAGTACCGTTTTGAGAACCCTGATTTTGAGGAAAAGATGATCTAGGACATGGCTTATTGTCGATGACTATGTTCGATATCAGGAGGATGAGGCGAGGCCCGCTGCTTGCAGGTAGAATGATTATCTGATCATATCTCTCATAGCATGCAATATAGTGCAGATAAAACAATCAGTAGAACCAACAATGCATCCTGTAAAATGCAGCCATAACCAATGCAAAAGCAAAACAAACTTTCCTCACTCCCTCCACCACTGTCCCAAAGAGCTCCCCGTACCAGCCATCTCAACAACCTCCTCGAAGCTGATCTCCACACGGAACATCTGTCCATCTGCAGTACCATTGCCACTACCCACAGGCGTAACGAGGCCCCAAGTAACCAGCTTCTCCCAAGATTCCCGCGCCACGTCTCGGCCCCAGACACGACCAGGCGTGGCCGCCGCACCGGAGATCGAGGCAGACGTCTTTGCAGAGGTGAGTAGGCGTACGTACTCTGCATACGCGGCGGGGAAGGAGAGGGCCAATGGAGCGATGCTCTGAGCTTGGACGCTGTCGTTGCTTGGGTCAAAGAGAGCAGAAAGGCGGGTGGCCGCTAGTAGGAGGGCGAGGGGAAGAGATGAAGGGCTGAAGGATGCGGTCATGGAAGTTGAGAACGGAAGAGGTGCTGGATCAGGGCAGATGAGGGATTGAGAGGCGAAGCTCTTAGGTGTTGGGATCTGGAAGATGGGTTTGTCGGCAGCTTGGGTGCTGAGGTTGAGCTCGCTGATAGGGAGGAGCGCGCTCGTGAGGAATTCCTTTACGGATTTAGTCTGGTGGTAGATCTTCTTTAGGTGGAATTGGAAGTTCTTGTCGTTGCAAAGATTCTGAAAGAGATTTGAGTCAATAAGCTGGCGTTTGGGTGATACATTCATCGATTGTGCTTACCTGCAAGTATTCCTTCCATCCCCCGAGAAGCGTATTCCAACCAGGGGTCTTTGTGACAGGCTGCTCAGACCCAAGATCCTCAACCTCATTCTCGTCGAGATCCAAACTCGCCATACAAATCTCTGAGAAGGTCTCGTATGTCCTCGGAAGCGGAATGTAGACATATCGATGACTGAAACGACTCTTGACACGCTTCTCTAACATCTCAGTCACGTCGACCTTGGTGGTGAGTCCGATGACCGCGATAGGTGCCTTTCGGGCTTGGGCAATATCAAACAAATTATACAACAGAGTCTGTCGAGGGTGGGTCACGAAGAGATCGAACTCATCCAGAAGAATTACAACGGACTTGGCTGCTGTCACGTTGTCTCCATTTCCGGCGCCAAAAAGCTCTTCCGGGTGAGATAACAAGGCCAGCAAGGTAGCCATCGTGTCGGCATATGAGCTGACCTTGGCTGCGTCGTCTTCAGTATGGGTCTCACGCCCAAGCTGACGCCACATCTCTCGGAGAGCAAGACGGTCATCCGTGTGAAGGAAACCGTTCAGTCGAACGACGTGGAAGTCGTTGCCATGTTCCTTTGCGAGAGACGAGATGATCGTTTCCACGACTGCCGTCTTTCCAGAACCGCGCGACCCGAGGAGAAGCATCGAGTTACCCTCGCCAACCGTGACGGTCTGCTCGATCAAGTGGTTGACCTTTGTATACTCGCTCTCCAGCCCTTTGAGTGGGATTTGTCGTTTGCCGGATAGCTTCTCTAGCAGTGCGGTCGTCAATACACGGACTTCGTCTTGCAACCCAGATTGGCAGAGTGTCTGGAGCTTCTCTGCATAGTCCGGGAGAGGCTCGACTGTCTCCACGGCCTCTTGGGGTTCCTCATTGTTGTGAAGGTCTTGTTGCAGCTGCATTGCAACTAGGTCGTCAAGACCATCGTTATACCCCTCGAAAGAAGGAGAGAGCTCTCTATCGGCCTCTCCAGCGGTGTTCCCGTTGGCACCATGTGACCTAGGTTTGGCCGTACTCCTTCGGGACCTTGTCCTAGCGATTGTTCCAGTCGGCTTCGGCGACTCTTCATCTAGATCCATCTCAAAATCCTCCACAGACTCTTGTCTCGGCTTCCGCGCGCTCCTCGTCCCTCGAGCACTTCGAGGTGTAGCAGCTACTTTCCGCGTCGAGGACGGCGTCAAGGCGTCTTCGAGTCTCTGCGGCACTTTGCGCTGCCGTCCGCTTGTCCGTGCACTCCTCGGTGTCTCCACGGCATCCTCTTCCAAGCCATTGGGCACATTGGTCTTTCGACCGCGAGTGGACTGACGTCGCGAGGCTTGTCTCCTGGGGCCGCGGTAGTCCTGATCTTCGTCTGAGTCCGCATCGGGCTCGGGGGATGACGGGACCGAATAGGCATCGCCGTCACTCTCCATAGCGATATCTCCGTCGTCGTCATGTGCAGGCTCTTCGGAGACTCTCCTCCGCTTCGAGGCTCTAGGGTCTTTCATGGCTGGGTGTTGGTCGGTGGTTGCAAGGAATTATCGGAGGATAAAGGGACAGAATGGGATTCGAGGACAGTGTGATCGAATCAAGCGATAGTTTGTGCTTGCGACCGTTGCTCGGCTCAGTATCGATTGGCGAACTCTTTAATTAGTAGCGTGTACCGACAAGCATGTTGCGCCAGGGAGAGCTGGCGTATGAAGCACCTTGCGCTACCCTGGGAGCGAAGGAATTCGTTTTTGACAGTCAGAGTATACAGATCAGCACAGAAGGTTCTTTTGCCCGTGAGCCAAATAGTTGCGACGCCAAGTGGCCGGTTCAATCGCAGAATTGGCAAGACTGTTGATGGTTCGGCAACAAATCGAGCATCTCCGGGTTTCGCGCCTCAGGCCACCACGCGTGACGCGAAGTCAGGTGCGCAAGGGAGCACCATCAACCACCCTTGTTGTACATTCGATAGCAAGGTATTTGCAGTGTAGTTGATCGTCCTAATCATAAGCTTGGAATTCAACTAAATTTGGGAGATTCTGTCGTAAAAATGTGTGATGTACTCGGCTCTGAAATGGCCGCCGAAGCATTCCAGCAGACAATCAAGATCAAAAGAACTCTAAAGGGTCCATATCAGGGACGATCCCTCTCTTTAGACCGGCATATAAAATCGGGCTGCATTGACTTAGTTAAACCGACTGCTCAACCAGCAAGAAGGCAAGCCACGTCGGATCCCGTCTCTATCGGCTCTCATCAGCCGAGGTTCAAATTGTTCCGAGCTGATGTGATGTGCCTGTGGGGAAGAGCTGCAAGCAACTTTCTGGAAAGTCACGACTTCCCCGTGTAGAGACCCTGAGACATATTCTTTTCCCTGGCCCGTTCTTACTTTCACAATCTCCTTCTCTATATATACAATGTCGGACGAAGGAATCAGGCCACCAGCTCGGAAGCTGGACGAGTTCGAGGAGCTCGTCTACGAGTATACCAGCCGCATGGGCTTGGGCAGTGAAGAGGTCCGTCGGCAACACCGTATAACCCAAAGAGATGGCGCATTTCCTTCAAGTTTCTCTTTGACGTCTTAATATATCAAGCAAGAACCCGTGAACTAACATCATCCAGCACTGGGACGTCAACGCCCGCGACTGCAACCTCCGCTTCGAGTCCGCAACCCGCGGGCCCCCAGCCAAGGTCTCCTTCCTATTGAACATCACACCAGCTCTCAGCAACTATATGGGCAATCTGCACGGCGGATGTGCGGCGACTCTTATCGATGTCCTATCAACCACAATCCTGCTGGGCGTCTCCGAGCCCGGCAAGTTCTCACTCGGCGGCGTAAGTCGCAACCTCAAGGTGACGTATCTCCGTCCCGTACCGACGGGAATCGAGGCGCGCGTTGTCTGTGAAGTGATCCACGTCGGTAAGCGGCTTGCGCTGCTAAGGGCGGAGATTCAAAAGGCGGATACAGGGGATGTGTGTGTGGTTGGAGAACACGAGAAGGCCAATACGGATCCTGAAGTGAACCAGAGGATCTAGAGGCATGGAGAATGTGGGTAGAGGATAGATGCTGGCACCAAGAGGGCATTGATCGTGGGTTGTACACTGCGCTTATGAATTACACTTGTATATAGAGATCACGGTCTATGTGCTACTTTTCTAGGGTGGTCCCAGTTTTACTTCCATGTACAATGTATTTTGCAGTACGAACTGAATGATAGAGACAGGTATATTGCGCTTGCTACAGCCTCTCGGTGCGATCGGAAAGATAAGAACAACAGAGAGCATCAAACATGTCCAAGAGAAATATAGTCAATCCAGCATCTAAGAAATGATATATAGATCATCCCATAGCATCTACCCCCATTTTCCTCTACTCCTGAGCAAGCTGCTGACCCTCCCGCAGACCCTCAACCTTCAACTCCTCACCAGCGGCACGCTGGTACAGATCCCGGATATCGACTTGAAAAAAGGTTCTGTTAGCATATGGAGAGTATTCTGAATAAAAATATCAGATCACTTACGGGTGGTGGTCTCAAAGTGCGATGTCGAGTCGTAGCTCTTAGAGATGAAGACGTTGTCCTTCTCGCCGCTCTCCAGAGGCTCGTAGATGGGGATAGGAGGACCCATGAACTTCTCTTCGATCGCACCCAGGCGCTCAAAGCCAGGCTCGAGCTCCAGGTGGTGGTTAGCATCGTTCTCAGCAATGGTTGAGACGATGGCGATGTAGTAGCCCTTGGGGCAAACGTTGTGTGCGGACGAGACCATCGCAATGTAGATATCTGGCGAAACTATCAGCGGTCCGTTCGATGATCGGATTGGCATTATAGCGTCACTTACCGTGCTTCCGTCCGATCTGAGACTGGGGAATGATAAGTTGCAGCGAGTCACTGCCGTCGGTCTTGTCGATAGGGTGCTTCAGGATACAGATGGCCTTGAGCAGATAGCCAGAGACCTTGACCTTGTTGGGGAAGTAGGAAGGATCGGCAATGATCTTCTTCGTCTTGGTCTCGAACTTCATGGCCGCAGCCTGGTCGTCACGATCCTTCATGGTGGCCTTGATACCAGAGACCTTGCCACTCTCGTCATAGAGCACCTCATCAACATCGGTGTTCAACATGTAGGTACCGCCGTAGATGGCAGACAGACGAGCAAAACCCTGGGGGAGCTCGCCCAGACCGTACAGAGGATAGATGTAAGGCGACTTGCCGTAGCGGGCCATGGAGTTGACGTAAAGGCGGATACGGTCGATAGTCTCGATGGCAGCGCCGGGCTTGTTGACGTACTCGTCCGAGGGGTAGAGGGCCATGGAGTGACCGACGAAATCACGGGTGTTGTCCTCGAGGCCGAACTTGTCATACACCTCCTTCATGGTGCAGGCAGCGACGTTGAGACCTATTACAAGTTAGTCATTATTTTCCCCCTCCTCAGCTCGCAGCTAGGTATTATCGCACCCTGGTGAGTCGAAGGATCCTCCTTGTTGAAATCACCAACCCACTCCAAGAACTTCTTCGCACGGCGCTTCTCAAACAGGCCCATCAGAGATGAGCGAAGAGCCTCGCCGGCGTCGGAAGGCACCTTGGCCACGGTCGCCTTGGAAGCCTTGCCTTGCTGGACATAGCTGCCCGCGATCTGCTTGAACTCGAGGTATCTCGTCACGTCGGTGGAGACCAGAATGTTTGTCAACTCGCCATTTGCCATCAACAGCTTGGGGACCAAGTCGATGTTCCAGTCGTTGACTCTTCCATACTTCTTCCAGGGTTCCTCGCCAGCGGGGACGTTGCCGTACTTCTTGAAGAGCTGCAGGAGAGGTCAGCAGATGATATTATCAATAAATTAAGTTAGCATACAGTCTCAATGTTGACAGAGGCCGCCTCTCTAAGGTCATTGTTAGCTGATTCGGGATGTGGCGTTATTGGGGAGCTCCATTTGTCAACTCACCCTCCGTAGTGGTCATTGCGATCGATGTGCAGGACCTTGTTGCCCTTGACACTGAGGACACTGTAATGAGGAAGAAGAATTAGCATTCAGTCACAAGTATCATCTGGCCTTGGGTCTACGGAGCAATACTTACCCAGACAACACGCACTCGGTCAAGCCTAGGAGGGACAAGGTCAATCATGGGCGCGGAAGAATGGCGGGGTAGGCAAGGACTCACCAGTGCCGAGCACCACGACATCGTACTCGGGCGCGATCTCATCCATGGTGGATACGAAAGAATGAAGAAGTGATACAGATGATAGTAAGGCAAGAGGAAGGGATATGCCGAAGGCGAAAGTGAAAGTGAGAAAGAAGGTTCTCCTGGTATCTTGTCCCCGCGGATCCACGAAGCGGTAAGAAGGGGACTATTTGACGGGCCCGCCACTAGTGAGTTACCTCAGTGACCACCGCCCACCTGGTCGGGATTTTTCCAGCAGCTTTAATCTAGAGCTACCTATAAGAGGATGATGCTTGCCCCTATTCTTTCAAGGCAGATTGGCGCACTGATTCATACCTCTATCAACCCCTGAGAAAGCGCTCGGGTTGACCACTTTATCACGGTTGCTCATTGCTCATTCTACTCCGCAAAATAGGGGGGCATCAGGGTGGATAATTCCAGACAAATAATAATTGATAATTTACACGCAATAGAGCTGAAAATAGAAAACGAAACTCAAAAGAATCTAATGCTACAATATGTGCTGATGACCTACTTTTAACCCGATTAATCTTAGGTTACCGCGGTCACAGCTTGGTCTCCTTCACAGCATCCTCCTTGAAGGGGTCCTCAGCAGGAGCCACATCTTCCGTAGCAGCCTCTTCCATGGTGTCCTGGTCCTGTGGGCGGTATCCCTTGGAGTATAGGCGGCTGGCTTCTTCCCAGGCGTAATAGCGCTCACGGAGAACGTGCTTGATAGTCTTCTGGGTGACAACGATCTGAACGAGTTATAATTGTTAGCCAATGGTTCGACGGGGGAGAATTGACCAAGGAATAGGTAGCACACTTGTGGGGTGTTTGCTACTAGTCAAAGAACTGGCCGTTGCTCGGATTCATGATCCCTAGAAAGGGTATAATGGATATTGGGCTTACCGCATCATCGCGCTGGTTGGACTCGTGGTCACCAAATCCAGCCTTCAATCGTGACCGCTCCATGTTTGAGGTAGCGATGCGGTTGCGCTCCTTCACACACACCCACCACAGCTTGTGAAGATCATCCCAGCTCTTGTTGCGGAGCTCTTGCACTGACCACGGCCGTCCTGTTGAAAGATGATGAGCGCCGTTCAGCCTCATATAGAAGGGAGCAGAGGAATGCCATGTGTCCATGACTTACCAAAGGCAGCATCGTATTCAGTAGTGCTCAATGCCTCGTGTGAGGGCGGGAAGAAGCCCCAGAGGCCGTGGTTGGGGGTCGCAGGCCGCGCCTTCATCTGGTCGGGCGACACAGGCTTGGGCAATGGGTATTTTGAGGCGCTCAGGTTGAATCGTGTACCCGTCCGGTGAATTGCCGACACGCCGCGAGTTCTGTTCATGTCGCGTCCACGGCCAGCGGCGACGGCGGAAGTCGTAGAGAAGCTCGAGGTCTGAACGGGGGATCGGGTCATCGAGAAATGGAGGGAGGGCGCCAAATAGGGAGGAGGCAATTCAGCCATGGCCATGGCCCCATGTTGGGCCAAACGAGCGACTGCCGGCCGATGCATTGTGAATGTGTCGGTATTGGAAGTCGTCCAGTCGTCGGGAACACTCTGTTTGGCCTTCTTTTTTTCGGGGCTGGCAAACGGGTGGTCACGTGAGCGTCTGGCGGCAAGTCGAAGTTGCCCGCTCTCGAAAGTCTGGCGGCCCTTTCAACCAGAATCTCGTTCCATACTCTTCTGGACTCGGAGACTTCCATTTACGTTATCTCTCAGAGCTTTATCTGATCAATCTCGTAGGATCTAAAGTGGTCTCGCGACACTTCAAGACTGGTCTGTGCTTCCCTCAAGCATCCGCGCGCCTAATCGCCCAATCGATTTCACTCCACCTCCAGGCGGAGAAGTGCCGCATCAAGTGCGTTCAAGAGGGCCTTTGCGGATTGCTAACCTCTCCACGCTTTCCCTTGTGGTGTGATATTCGACTGATTCTTGGCTCTTTACTGGTCTCAGAGACTCTCTGAATTATCCCACCTAACTCGTTCCCCCGAACTCCAATTATGAATAGGCCAGGTGGGTTATTTCTTCTTTGTCCCTCCGAAGCCCACATCCCACTTGCCCTCGCCCCCAAGGGAATTTCTGTCACTCTACCCCGTGTCCTCTCCTTGGCCAGAACAACTTCTGAGGGCGAGGGTGCGTCCGTCAGAACCAGAAGATGGGAGCATATCATGCTGCAATGGCACCCGGGGTGCAGATGATTCCTCCATTTTCGCCCATTTGCGACCGAGACATTTGGGAGGGTTACCCGACACATTCCTGACTTGGGCCGAAGCATGGGTGCTTTAATTTGAGACTGCGGAGATCATGCTGACTCCTTGTGTTTTCTGAGTTAGGACCAGGGCCTCAGCCGTTACGAGGCATGTCCGGATTCCCCGCGCCACAGCAAGCACAAGCTCGAAATGCGACATTGGCTACAGCACGATTGCCTAACGGAAAAACCGGTACGATCTACTCTCCCTTGAGCCCCTCCGAGGGGAAATGTGATACCAAGATTGCGGGCGGCTGCTGATAACTGTGGGTGGGCTATTATCTAGGTGGCGCAGCTAATTGGAACTTCAATCTTCCCGGAACATCAACTCTTCAAAGCACCCAGCAACGCACCATGGGTACGATGGGCAGCTTTGCACAAAGTCTGGGTGGTTCCCAACCAGCGACAGCACTAGATCTTTCGTAAGTCGTTGCCCTCCAAGGCTTGGACCCGTTACTGCATGCGCTTTGCCGTCGACCGAGTTCATTCAAGGTTCACAAAAGGTCGCGAGGACTAACGATCGTGACACTTTCTAGCGAGTTCCCCTCTCTTTCTGGCGCATCGCAGCAATCACAATCCCAGAACCCCGTGTGGGCCAATGCGAGTCAACGAGCGGCGCAACATACCCCCGTCCAGAGGCAACAGCATCCTCCGACGTCGCAACCCCCTTCACGAGCTTCTCAGACCCAACAGCTTCCCGTACAGCAACCGTCCCAGCCTCCCCACGATGATATGTTCCCTTCCGGTGCCCAATTTGCGAATCGATTGGACGATTTTAGGAACGGAGGACAAGGAATCAGCAGCCAGATTGGGGCTGGAAGTCAGCCTCAAACGGGCAACATCGACGAATTCCCACCTTTAGGGCGCAATGTGGGCAATGTTGGCAACGTTGCCGCTGAGCTGGCACAGGAACGTCGGACTTCCTTGATGCAAGGTGCGGGCTTTGGCGCTTACAATTCTGGTACGTTCTCGTGGCACAGTCGACAAATGTGCAGTAAGGATTGAAGAGCGACATGAGTGGGCTAACAACGATTGTTCAGGTATTGGGACATCACGGTCGCCCGTCAACCAAGGGCCTAATGGGGCGTTGGGGCAGGAGAAAGACGTAAGTAGTTTGGCGATCGGCCTTCAGGCCCCGCACTCACCGACACTAACAACACAGGACCTAAACAACACCCTCATGTCGGGTCAACGCAACTTCAGCGACCCGCAACAGCAATTGCAACAGCGGCAACAGCAGGCAAATGAGGGTCAAGAAGCTTCCGCCGCTGCTCAAAGTGCGGAGCAACCTCCTCTGGCCCAGATGAGCGAGCTGGACCGGTTCGGGCTCAGCGGGCTCCTGCGTATGATCCATAGCGAAAGCCCCGACGTGGCCAGTCTCGCTGTCGGACAGGACTTGATGACTCTTGGTTTGGACTTGAATCAGCCCGAGTATGCGCCTTCCTTTGTATATTTGTAAAGTGAGAGTTTTGCTAATCATCCCATGTGTTCTAGGCCTCTCCACACTTCGTTCGCGTCGCCCTTCGTGTCCTCTATGTCCGCCGTTCCATTAGAACAGGACTTCTCTCTGCCTTCATGCTACAATGTCGCCAACATCCAACCTCTCTCGTCAAGAATCCCCGGGTTCAGCGATGAGACCCTTTTCTACATCTTCTACAGCATGCCACGGGACATCATGCAAGAGTTGGTCGCGGAAGAGTTGATGGGACGCAAATGGCGGTATCACAAGCTTGAGCGATGCTGGTTGACCCGTGACGAGACGTATCCTGGCCCTGTTGACGTGGAACGTGGCGTGAGCGAGCGTGGAGTGTATCTTCTTTGGGACCATGCTAGCTGGAAGAAGATTCGGGTAAGTTTTCAGACTACGAGGCTTTCTCTGGCCCTTTCGGCTCGTTCAATTTGCTAATCTGTGTACGAATCCTTCTAGCGCGAGTTTATCCTTCGATACGAAGATTTGGACAACCGGCTGGACGCCAACCGCAATATGAGCCGCGCTGCAGTCGGCCAGACGCATGCTTCATGAATTGAGGATGGCGAAAGTCGGTTACGGTATACGGGGACACTAATTTAGTTGATCAGCAACGGCGTTTGGAAATTTTGGTTTTCTGTAACGTTGCTCAAATGGGAGGCCGATAGTACAGTGTCGTTCGGGAAGTGGGCGCGTTGAATTTATCGGGGAATCTACATGGGCTGTATGGGGGACCAAGATACGGTTTTGCAAATCAAGTGCTCTGCATGGCCTTGCCAGTATTATTGCATCCATCTCGTTTGTCGTCGGCGTAGGCTGTTATCGGTCCAAACTTAATTCTTCAAAGTCATCTAACCAGTCATGGGTGGAATTCTGAAACAGGAGATAATGCCTGAGCTATCAAGGAAAGCGATTTGATATGCATTGGAGAAGATCTTTCAAACGCACAATTAGCTAGAAGCTATACACCCATTCCGGGCCTGGCGGATGGTGATATTCTAATTTGGCTTGCGAGCCGTCGAGACAATAGCCGTCCACTCCATAGGAACATCTCCTTCCTTTCCATAAGTGGTCTCCAGGTACCTCTCCAGCGCCGGGCGAACCTTGTCCGTGTCTTCCTCGCGCTGTTTCTCTGTCCAAAACACCTTGGACACCATCGCAAACATGATCATGGACATTTCCAAAAGGTTGGGAACCTTGATCGACATGGACTTGGTGACGGGGCGAACGTTGATATCTTCGAAGCCGCGCTCCTTCAATTGCAATTCGATCCAAGATACGGAGTTCCATTGACCAGAACCCAAGGACTCGACGAATTCCTGTGGGGTGGGGAAAGGCAAGTTCCCTGGAATCGTCTCGATGGCCTTTTGCATGACAGAGGCCCAGCCCGCTATTATCATGTTAATATATACTCTAATCATAACTAGGATTGGGATTACTCACGCTCTATCCAAGTTGCGAGACCAATAGTACCTCCCGGTTGCAGAATGCGAGTGGAATCTATTGATATGTTTGTGGTTAGTAGATGTGCTTGTATATATCTCATAGGATTTTAGGCATAGCCATGCGTTCCACTAACCGTCAAGGGCATCCAGGGACTTGGGGAGTGCCATGAATACTAGTCATGCAAGATCTCAAGTCAGCCGTGGAACAAAAGAGGATATTGTCTCGGCGACAGGAAAAGTATTGCTCACCAAAAGAAGCGATGACATGCGTAAAGTATGAACTGGGAAGCCCCGAGTCCTGCGCATCAACCGTTTTGACTTCAACATTCTGCCAGTTCTCCTTGTCAATCCGATGGTTGACATAGTCCAGCATGCCCTGCGAGATATCCCCGCAAGTCAATTTCAAGTTACTCTTAGCCTGATCCCCCAACTCGTGCTGCAGGATACTGGAGACAATACCAGTGCCACAGGCATTATCAAGCACCACGAGAGGCGAGTCAGGGTTGGCCTTGGAGTTCGCGACCAAGCCACTTTGGTCGATGAGGAGTTTGGCAAATTGGCCGGTAATCTGCTCGCCAGTCTTGTACTGATTGGTGAACTTGTCTTCCTTGAAGAACTTCTCCCAGTCTCTCGCGTGTGATGCCATGGTGGATTGTGAGGCCATGGGGATGGTAGATTTAATGGAATGATAGGGCAAGTGCGCGGGGTCGGGGAAGCGAGATATATCCTTAGAAGCTTAGATGAAGGGCTTGTTCAGCTCATGGAGAGATTAAACTGTTTGAAAGAATCGGGATGAAATGCCTGACTTGGAGTCGATATTTATATCTTTCCATGTATCATGGATAGATTAATACTCAGAGGACTGATTACTACCTAACCTAGTAGGTACCGCTCGTATACGGTAGAGCGAGGCTGGGGAACAGGCTGAAGAAAGTGGTTGATAAATGTCTCCGAGACAAGGGGCTAGAAGAGATCCTATTGCTTGAATATTGCCGGATAATCCATTTTAACTTTTAGTATCGAAGAATGTCTTTACCACTCCAAGAAGCCTGCGGTCATTGGTTGACCGAGTCAGATTCTATTCTTTATTGGTGAGTTTCGCCACGAAGTACCTTCCGGGAGAGTCTGCGGGGATGGCCTGGCTGTACATCATTAGCAGTTAGTGGGTGGCCTGAGCCAATGCAAAATACATAGACGTCAGCATTTCAGGTAACTTAGGTTGACTAGTTCCATGAACGGAGACTTTCGTTTTGAAAGTGGCCGAGAAGTATAGACTACACACGTGACCTGTGATGATTATATCATCCAGATAGCGCTAGTCTCGAACGGGCAATCCATAAACACATGATTTGCGGCAAAACAACTCGCGCCCCTCTTCTGCCCTCCCCGACTTTCAATGTACTCCGCCAGCGAGCCGACTCGCAGTCACCACTATGCGGATCACCGAAATTGTGATAGACGTGAGTTGCCAGTTGGAATTGATGCGATCGACCAGCTATGCTAACTAAAGTTCGCCAGGGGTTTAAATCGTACGCCGTGCGAACGGTGATCTCGGGATGGTGCGCCGGCCTACTCTCTCTGCCCGTAGCATCGTCGCAAAGGGCCTGACGATTGGGCAATGCTGACTGATTACTCTAGGGACGAAGCGTTCAACTCGATCACCGGCCTCAACGGTTCCGGTAAATCCAACATTCTCGATGCCATTTGCTTTGTTCTCGGTATCACGAACATGAGCACCGTCCGCGCGCAGAACCTCCAGGACCTCATCTATAAGCGCGGTCAAGCTGGTGTCACCAAGGCCAGCGTGACCATTGTATTCGACAACCGCGATACGGCGAAGTCGCCCATCGGATTCGAAGAGTATGCCAACATCTCCGTTACGCGTCAGATCGTGCTGGGCGGTACCAGCAAGTACCTGATCAATGGCCACCGCGCACAGCAGCAGACGGTGCAGAACCTCTTCCAGAGTGTCCAGCTCAATATCAACAACCCCAACTTCCTCATTATGCAGGGTCGCATCACCAAGGTTCTGAACATGAAGGCTGTCGAGATTCTGTCGATGATCGAGGAAGCTGCAGGAACACGAATGTTCGAGGATCGGAGGGAGAAGGCGATCAAGACAATGGGAAAGAAGGAATTGAAGCTCCGCGAGATTGAGGAGCTTCTAAAGGAAGAGATTGAGCCCAAGCTCGAGAAGCTCCGATCTGAGAAGCGTGCTTTCCTGGACTTCCAGCAGACGCAGAACGATCTGGAGCGCTTGACTCGTCTTGTGGTGGCTCACGACTATGTACGGGGCGGAGAGCGCTTGCGGGTGGCGGGCGAGGAGTGCGATAAGAAGAGGAGCAAGGTTCAGGCATTGGAAGAGAATGCCGACCGACTGAAGAGCGAAATTGCGCACTTGGAAGAGGATGTCAAGCGAGTCCGAGCAGCGCGCGACAAGGAGCTCCGAAAGGGCGGCAAGTTCCAAGCGCTCGAGGATGAAGTTAAGAACCATTCTCACGAGTTGGTTCGCTTGACAACTGTCTTTGATTTGAAGAATGCTAGCATGGCAGAGGAGAAGGAGAAGAAGAAGACCGTGCAGAAGTCGGTTAGCGATCTCGAGAAGGCCTTGAAAGAGAAGAAGAAGGTCTACGATAAGCTACAGGCCCAGTACGATGCAGCCAAAGCAGAGCTTGATGCGCAAAATTTGGAGGTGGAGCAGAAGGAAGAACTGCTCCAGACACTACAGACCGGTGTTGCGTCAAAGGAAGGTCAAGAGAGCGGCTACCAAGGCCAATTACAAGACGCCCGGAACCGAGCCAGCAACGCCGCCACGGTACAAGAACAAGCGAAACTCAAGATTAGCAACTTCGAGAAGCGGATCAAGGAGGAGGAACCACGTGCGAAGAAAGCAAAGGAGCAGAACCACGGCCTTCTCAAGGATCTGGAGGGGTTGAAATCACAAGCCAAGAAGCTAGAGTCTGAACTCACTCGGCTCGGCTTTGAGCCCGGCAAGGAGGAGCAGATCTACCAGGAGCAGTCCGGCCTCCAGAGAGACATTCGCGAGCTCCGCCAGCGAGCGGATGGATTGAGGAGGAAGGTCGCAAACATTGATTTCAACTATCAGGACCCCCATCCTAGGTTTGATCGGTCCAAGGTCAAGGGTTTGGTCGCGCAGTTGTTTACTTTGAACAAGGATCAAGTCGCGGCTGCTACTGCTCTCGAAATCTGCGCTGGTGGTCGCCTCTATAACGTGGTTGTTGACACCGCCGAAACCGGTACTCAGCTGCTCCAGAACGGCAAACTGCGCAAGCGCGTTACCATCATTCCTCTGAACAAGATCTCAGCCTTCAAGGCGTCCGCAGAGAAAATTGGAGCTGCCCAGAATCTTGCACCTGGGAAGGTGGACCTCGCTTTGTCTCTGATCGGATACGACGAGGAAGTGATCTCCGCTATGAACTATGTCTTTGGCAATACACTGATCTGCCACGATGCCGACACTGCCAAGAAGGTGACTTTTGATCCTTCAGTTCGGATGAAGAGCGTCACCCTGGATGGTGATGTCTACGATCCCTCGGGAACTCTCTCCGGTGGTAGCTCTCCCAACTCCAGCGGAGTACTGGTCACCCTGCAGAAGCTTAATGAGATCACTAAGGAGATGCGGAGCAAGGAGCGCCAGCTAGCCGCCCTTGAGGATAATATGAACAAGGAAAAGAAGAAGCTGGATGCTGTTCGGTCCATCAAGCAGGAGCTGGATCTCAAGACCCATGAGATCAAGCTCACCGAGGAGCAAATTAACAGCAACTCCTCTTCATCGGTACGTATCTAACGATTGATCTTCACTACGCGTTTTTACTAACCTGGTAACCTACCTAGATCATCCAAGCCGTGGAGGAGATGAAGGCGAACATTGAGCAGCTGAAGAAAGATATTACCGATGCCAAGGCTCGCCATGCCGAAGCAAACAAGGATATCAAGCGGATTGAGAAGGATATGAGCGAATTCAACAACAATAAGGATAACAAGTTGGCTGAGCTTCAAGATTCTCTGAATTCCCTCAAGAAGAGTCTCACGAAGAACTCTGCATCTGTCAAGGAGCTTCAGAAGGAACTGCAATCATCACGTCTCGACTCTGAGCAGGTTGGCAGTGACCTCTCTGCAGCTGAGGAGCAGCTTGCCGAGTCGGAAAACACCCTTCAAGCTCAAGTGGAGGAAATTGAGTCCCTGAAGCGTGAGCAAGCACGACTCAAGGTAATTTCACTATCAACCTCTGTTTTGTGAGCACTAGACTGACTGCCATAGGATGCCCACGACATCGCGCAAGCCCAGCTTGAAGACGAGCGAGCGAAGCTGACTGGTTTCGACGAGGAATTGCGAGAGCTGGACGAGGCAATTCAATCCAAGTCATCGCAGATCACCGAAGAGGGCTTGGAGATGCAGAAGCTCGGTCATCAGCTCGAGAAACTTCAGAAGGACCAGCACACGGCTTCCCAGGCCGTATCTCATATGGAGCAGGAGCACGAGTGGATTGCAGACGAGAAAGAGCAATTCGGTCGCCCGAACACGCCATACCACTTCCAGAACCAGAACATCGCCGAGTGCAAGTCGACTCTGCGCAACTTGACCGAACGGTCCCAAGGCATGAAGAAGAAGATCAACCCGAAGGTTATGAACATGATCGATAGTGTCGAGAAGAAAGAAGCCGCCCTTAAGAACATGATGAGAACGGTCATCCGCGATAAGAGCAAGATCGAGGAGACCATCCTCAACCTCAATGAGTACAAGAAGGAGGCTCTCCATAAGACCTGGGTGAAGGTCAATGGAGACTTTGGTCAGATCTTCAATGAGCTTCTGCCCGGCAGTTTCGCCAAGCTCGATCCCCCGGAAGGCAAGGATATCACAGATGGTCTGGAGGTGAAGGTGTCTCTGGGCAAGGTTTGGAAGCAGAGTTTGACAGAGCTGAGTGGTGGACAACGGTATGCTTTAGCCTCATCTCATTACCGTCTGGTAATTACTAACACTTTTATGTATTACAGGTCTCTTATCGCTTTGTCCCTTATCATGGCCCTTCTGCAGTTCAAGCCCGCTCCGATGTACATTCTGGACGAGGTCGATGCGGCTCTGGATTTGTCCCACACCCAGAATATTGGACGACTGATCAAGACCCGGTTCAAGGGATCCCAGTTCATCGTCGTCTCGCTCAAGGATGGCATGTTCCAAAATGCCAACCGGATTTTCCGTACTCGGTTCAGCGAGGGTACCAGTATCGTCCAGGCTCTGACACCCGCCGACATGAAATGAGTTCAATGATCTTTGCTTGCTTACAACGTGTGTCATGGTCTCTGTTGCGTTTTTGATTCATGGAGATAATTCGGTGTGAAGCATTGCTCTTCTGCAGCCCATTGGTGTGTGGCAGCTGGTGTTTGGCTTCTGATTCATACTTTGGTTTGGTCTTTGGATGGGAATGGATCTGCGTTGTTTTGTTTATGATGTATGCATGTGATGGCTATTGATTCTGCGAGGCCTTAGGGATCCTTCTTTAGAGAGTACTCTTGTGTATTCATGTAAATTCTATTTCTCTGCTTCCCTTTGGATATTATCTCTTTTTTCCTCTCTTTATTTATCCTATGGCTTAGGTATCTAATGGTCCTTTGTATGCCTGGCCGTAGTAGTTGGCTGGCCACACCGCTAGGTCAGGATAGAAGGGTCAGAATTACCATCCGATGATCAGAGAGTAGCATTGTTACAGAAAGTGTTCATAAACTAGAAACAGTCCTGATCTTGTCTCTTTCATCTCTATACTCTTTGCCCTCACATTGTCCTGTATTTTGCCTTCGGCCAGTATCTCAGCTATCGGCACGTGCCCACGGTCCTCCACCCGAAACTCCGTCACTCCGTCCCTCGCCGCCGCCACCGACTACCTTGCGCCCGTCACCGCCAACCCTCATAAGCCTCACGACGCGCTTGAATAACCCACCACGCCATAGTTGGTAATCGCATCTCAACACTTTACGCACACGCTGTTCTGCTCATCCCACACGACCACCTACCCGTCTCGGAATCCCTCCGCTTTTACGGCGGCTTCGGCTACCCACTTGACTCACGTCCCGATTCCCCAGACCGATAACCCGCGTCTCGCGGCCCCCAAGGCATAATGCAGGAAGATGAGCCGTCTTTGAATATCCCGTCCCTCCTCACGCTAGCGGTTGTCTCGTTCTTCGTGCTGCGATGGTTCTTTAACCGTGATGAGGGTTCTTCGGCTGGCGGCAGGCCCCGCGCGCGAGGAAATGTTGTTGACCCGGCGCAGGTCGAGCAGATCTCCCAGATGTTCCCACAGCTGAGCACCCGGGATATCATGTGGGATTTGCAGCGCAATGGGGGTAGTGTTGCGGCGACGACGGAGAGGATTTTGACCGGCCGTGGACTGGAAACGGTACGTTGTTTTGCTGTTACTATCCTATGGTCAACTCTCTCGGAGGGTTATCGCGGCAGGTTTCGGCTTGGATATACCACCGGGAATATATGTTGATTTGACTCTTGTACATGTATACTGATTTGTATCCTCTAGCCACCCCCATCCTTCCAACCCCCGATCGCGATTCCCTCAGTGAACGCCCAACCCACACAGGCCACGCGAGCCGCGTCGGCGTCAAAGGGAAATGGGCAGGACTTGATCTCTAGATATAATTTGAGCGGAAAGATTGCGGCCGATAGCTCCGCAGAGTCAGCTCCCGCCCCAGCGTCTACGAGCGCATGGTCTCAGAATAAAGAGGAGCGGCAGCGGTTGCTGCAGAAGCGTCGGGACGAGATGATTCTCGCGGCGCGAAGGAAGATGATGCAGAAGGATCAGGGAAACACCCAATGATCAAGCCGATCTATTTTCTTTAAATAATGGCGATGTTTTATCTCACCGCGATGTGCTGCGGCTCATCCCAGGACCAGTGGTCACTCAATATGTCCTCTATCAATTCTTGTTCCTGCTCACCTCTCGTCGCTGCGGTCCTATATTACACACCCTCTTTTTTGTCTTAGAGCGCCTTATCTTTGCATGCTACATGGTGTTAGGTAAATCGGAGCAGCCTTGGTTTACATTACCACTGGTCCTTCTCAGATCAGGTCAAAATCGGGTATATGGGTTCTATATACATAAATGTCGTTTCTCGAGGGGCATTGACCCGCGTCGCAATATGCACCTGAACTCCAATCCAAATAGCCAAACACAAAATCCCATGCATTTTAAAACTCCATGTAATCTTCTTCCTCTTCGTCTTGGGTTCCATCATAGCCGCCATTGGCTCTTTGTTCAGCCAATTGTTCGCGACGAGCTTGTTCTTTGGATGCGCCAATTTTGCTACACAAGTCAGTAAGATATCGCCAGAGGATACGATTGAGAATCACATACCGAAGGCCATCTACTACACCGGCCAAGAACCCTCGCTCTTCACCCAATTCCATTGAACCGACACCTGTCAGCGCAACCCCGCCCCCACCGATCGCGGCATCGTCCAAGACGTCTATACCAGACCTCATCTTGGCCATGCGTACTTCACGGAGATCTTTCAATAACCGTCGGATCTGATCCGGGTCCACTAGATCGTCACTCGCCACGTCAAGCAACATATTCCCAACCTCAACCCAATGGTATGGTAATGCGGGAGGATCTCGAGAGGAGACCACTGTCTGCGCGGTATTTTGTGGGAGAAAAGGCGGCGCCGCGTAATATCTATTGCCGTCTAATGTGTACTGCGGCCGCGCAGTTGGCTCGAGACCTTGATCTCGAATACTGGGCTGCCCTGGCAGTGGTGGAGGTGGTGAGAAGGCACTCTTGTAATCTTGGTGCTGCGACTCGACTTCAAGGATTAGACTGAGGGAATCCGGGTGTAACCATGGAGGGGGCATGATATTGGCGCGGCGCTGGCGTTTAAGTAAAAGGGCCAGCCAGAGAGGGAGCGCGGCGCGTCGCGGTGGGATAAGAGGTTCAACTGGGCCCTGGATGAAAGATTAAAGGTCAATTCGGGTGTGAGATATGCGTCGGAGGGAAAGTCCAATTACCCCGAGCAATTCTAGGCCTTCTAGGCGCTGGCGAGGTACAATCGTCACCGTCTCCATCTCCGCCAGAAAAGCGATCTCCGAGGCTGTGATGCCCCGCGGGAGAGGAAAGGCCATGATTGGAGGTACGCAACAGCAAGATTCAGTCCAAATCAATCAAAGAGAGAAGAACAAAGCCAAATTGAGATTCACCCTCATAGCCCCACGTTTTCTCTGCTGCGCTCTGGTGGCGGCGGAGTCGCGAAATGCGCGAAATCGCGCCTCCACGATTGCCAAATGCGGTGTTTGGATTGTTTGCACCCGAAGCTTAGCTTCCAACCCACCTTGTCCTCTTTCCTTTTAGGAGTGCTTTCTTTCCCGCAGATCTGTACTATATTTAGTCCGGTCCTCAAGGCCATGAAAAGATGAGTTCAGCTCCTGAGTCAAATCTCAGCCGTGCGGCACGCTACGCCGTGCCATTCGCCCTACTTCTCATCCCCGTTTGGAGGACCAAGGTCAATGCCGAAGTCCCCGAGCCATACCTCGATGAAGTATTCCACATCCCCCAGGCCCAGGCCTACTGGGCGCACCAATGGACGCATTGGGATCCGAAATTGACCACTCCCCCGGGCTTATACCTGTGGTCATATGCCCTCTGCGCTATCCTGCTTGCGCTCCGCGGCTCGCCGACGAAACTCGATACCGAAGCTCTGCGCACGACCAATGTTGCAACGACGGGTATCTTCCTCCCTTGGAGACTGCAGACTCTCTCGGATGCGGTTCATAAAGTCCGGAATACTCGGCCATTGGGTGCGTGGCTCAGCCACACGGTCTTGAACATTTGCCTGTTCCCTCCGCTGTTCTTCTTCTCTGGTTTGTACTATACCGACATCCTGGCATTGTTGGCAGTCGTCGAGGCATACAATTGGGATCTGAAGCGGGCCTCTGGAGATGGGTATACCTTTTTTTCTACTTTGGGATTCCTGGTGTTTGGCTTGGCGGCGTTGGTGTGCCGGCAAACGAACATCTTTTGGGTCTCTGTTTTCTTGGGAGGGCTGCAGGTTGTTCGAAAGATACGGAAATCTGCGAAGGCATGTAAATCGTCCGATCTCTCTGCCATTCTGAAGTCTGGGCTTCAGAATGAGATTTATGACCCTCTCGTCTCCGAGGCTTCCTTGCAAGGTATGTGCAGATTCTCGGATGTTGGCTACAGTGGGCTAAATTAATGTGTGTAACCCAGATTATTTTAAGACGGCTATCTCACTTGCAATTACGAGTTTGACGCATCCCTTCTCAATTGTGGCATCCGTCATCCCTCACATCATTATCCTCGGTGCATTCGGTGCGTTTGTATTGTGGAATGATGGTGTAGTTCTTGGTAAGTATCCCAGGGTGTTGTCTCGAGATGTTGAAATCGACAAGCTAATAATTCATGACATAGGCCACAAGGAATTCCATACCGCTGGCATTCACCTAGCACAGATGCTTTACATCTGGCCTTACTTTGCATTCTTCTCCTGGCCGCTCCTGGTCATTCCCGTGCTGAATGTTCTTCTCCCTAAGAATTTCCTGCCCAAGTACCTGAACTATGGCTTCCCCGACACACAACGGAGACTGCCCAGCATTGTTGCAGCTTTGATCGTTGTACCAGTCATGCTTGCTATTGTCCATTTCAACACCATTGTGCATCCTTTCACTCTGGCTGACAACCGACACTATGTCTTCTATATTTTCCGTCTTCTCCTTGGTGTTCATCCTGCTATCAAGTACGCTGCAGTTGCGGCATACTTCCTCTGTGGCTGGGCAGTGATCTCGGCATTTGGGTTCTCAGTCATTCCGGCCCCGCCCCGTCTCCTTCAAATCTCCCCCACTGCCAAGTCAGCAGCTCCTGCGCCTAAGGTCCCTGCAAAGGAACAGCCCAAGGAAACTAGAAAGTCGGCTAGGGCGCGCAAGACTCCAGCCAAGAAGGAGAGCACGCAACCCAAGCAACCCGATCCCATCACTCCGGAAGTGCTCGCCCGGATTCAACAGTCTCTAATCCAGCGGCAGAAGCAACAACCCGACTTGCCGCGGGTCAGCTTCGTCCTTGTATGGCTTGCTGCTACAGCCTTGTCTCTCGTGACAGCACCTCTGGTTGAGCCGCGGTACTTTATCATTCCGTGGGTGATGTGGCGTCTTCACCTACCGCCATCGTCAACTCTTGCGGCGTTCCGACGACAGAAACCCCAGACTGAAGAAGAGAGGGCTCGTGCTGATTTTGTGACAAACTTCCCCAAGTTCTTGGAGACTGTGTGGTTCATCGTCATTAATGCGGTGACTGGGTATGTCTTCTTATATAAGGGCTTTGAATGGCCCCAGGAACCTGGCAAGGTTCAGCGCTTTATGTGGTGATTCACATCGAGAATCAATCTCGCTTGCTTTATAAAGGCACATGTATATTAACTTCACAAAGATCGTTTCCTTTCTTGCTAAGCGTCAGTTTAGCTGCCAGGTTGTGGCACGTGTACAGTAACTGTTAATCAAACTCTTTCTTGCCGAATGCTGTTTTGCTATGACAATATTGGAGCCTTAGGTTTCCTTCAGCTAAAAGCTGTGTTTAGAATTGTATAGGGAATCTCCTGTAGGCATTATTTCTACAAATTTATATGGTTACGAACCTCTTAAGAGGGAAGAGATTTCTCCGAATTATCACGCTACGACAAGATCAATATCAGAGGGTAAGATAATTGTCAAGTGGATTAGTTTCTTCGAATAATTATACACAGTACAACGCGAAAAGACCTTGAAGATCAGTAGGAATAACTATACTACCGAAAATGTCGAGAGCTACAGCTAGCATATGACTCTGCAAGAGTCCTTCAGCACAGTGACCTAGAGGGGTATTCTTATATCGCCTGTACTATATCAGAGGCAGAAAATTCGCCGAGAGACTGTCAAGCCAATATTCAAGCCGAACGCGAGCAATCAAGATGAAGTGGTAACTTCAGTCTGTAATTCCGCCCAGTAGTTCGGCGCCACCAGGAAGAGGCCGGCTTCCAGGTTGGGCGGAAAAAGCAGTGTTTCTAGAGAGCTTTCAAAATATCTTTTAATTGGTATGTTTCCAGAGACCCCTAGTGATATCTCTCGATTGATTTTTGCAAGGATAAGATGATTTAGCAGTTTAGTCGCCTTAAAACTTAGCAACTCCACTGTATATACCTATATACACGCACTGCTCGCAGATTCCCTTAGTGTCATTGTACCATTTTGTACTTGTAAGATGAATTTCCAACCAGGCTTATTGTCGTAGTGTCACGTAAATTTCTTGTAGTGCCATGATTATGATCGTATAGAAAAGAAAGCGCTAAACCCAAACAGGCAGGATATCTCAAAATGGGCGGTCTCACACGGCAGAATAACAGCTCATAAGCATGACAACAGCTAAGGTTGTTATTACTTCGTTTCTTAAGAATTTACTGGCTGGTGTTGAGGGATACAGAGCATTATTGCTCTTGAAATGCTTCAATCATAACATTACATTGTTTGATTTTTTGTCCTATTTGATCACATTAGATGGGCGGCTATACCTGCCTCAGACTAGGCCTCCTCCGCCATCGCCAAAAAGCCTCCTTCAAATCACATATCAAGATTCACCATCACACACAACTGGATGCCCTTAGCATTCAATAAGCTGTGGTCTCAGAGATTATCTGTGTTATGTCACGTGCCCCACCACTCGTGGCAAGTCAAGTTCGAGCTTCTGCATCCTCCGATTTCTTTCAGTTCCTTGCAACGCCCTCGTACTCAAATTGGGATCCCAGGCCTGTCTCCAATGGAGCGCCCAACCAAAAGAGCCCGCCTGTCCCCGGACTTGGCTGTAGAAGAGAATGCAGTACCAGATCGAGTCTCTACGCCTCTGGCTTCGCTGCATCGGTCTATCACACCACCGCCAAGGGCTCGCTCACAATCACGAGCAGTCTCCAATGCCCTGTGTTCTGATTTGAAGAGCGACCAACTCGAGGGTCTCAAATCCAAGCCCACGGAACATACGAGTACAAAAATATCTCATCGTCTCATCTCATCTCCAATACAGCTCACACATATTCGTGACTTTCCAGAGCAGAGAGGATACAACGTTGACACAGTCAAGCTTCGTGACATACTCGGTGACCCGATGATTCGAGAATGTTGGCAGTTCAATTATCTTTTCGATGTGGACTTTCTCATGTCCAATTTTGACGAGGATGTCCGGAGCTTGGTCAAGGTCAAAGTGGTGCATGGATCTTGGGAGCGGGAATCTGCGAACCGAGTTCGAGTCGAGGTAAATATCAGACCTCTCTCTCCAAATAGGCGTCAATGTCCTAGATGAACACAATATCAAAAGTGAAACTTGCTAAAGAAAGCTGACTTGGGTACTAGGAGGCATGCTCACGATATCCAAACGTGGAGCCTATCATCGCCTACATGCCTGAGCGATTCGGGACACACCATTCGAAGATGATGATCCTTCTGCGACATGATGACCTCGCCCAGTTGGTTTCTCTTACACCCCTGCAAATTTGAAATAAGGTTCTAACGTGTGATAGAGTCGTGATCCATACCGCAAACATGATCCATGGAGACTGGGCCAACATGACTCAAGCAGTATGGCGATCTCCATTGCTCCCATTACAAAAGCCCGGTACCCCGGCAACAGCTTCTATGAAGCCAAGTTTTGCTACTGGCGCGCGGTTCAAGAGGGATCTGCTATCTTATCTCAAAGCCTACGGTCTAAAGAAAACAGGATCGCTGGTTCAGGAACTCAATCGATTTGATTTCGACTCGGTTCGTGCTGCCCTTGTCGCTAGTACACCTTCCAAGCAGGTGTTTAGCAACCTAGATTCCGACAAAGCTACGCTATGGGGGTGGCCAGCACTGAGAGATCTCATGAGCCGGATTCTAATACAAGCCAAGGCCACAAAGGGCAGCCAGCGGCCCACCGTGCAACCGCATATTGCAATACAGGTGCGAGAATCTCTGCCTACATTAGAATACACTATCTAACACCGACCAGATATCCTCGATAGCATCTCTCGGCCAGACAGACAAGTGGCTCACAGAGGTATTTTTCAAATCCCTCGCTCCAATACCATCAACCCCCCAACCAAAATACTCCATCCTATTCCCGACCCCCGACGAGATCCGCCGCTCGCTAGAGGGCTATGGCTCTGGCGGCTCGATACACATGAAAACACAGACCGCACCGCAGCAGAAACAATTGCAATACATGCGACCACACCTCTGTCACTGGGCCGGAGATGGTCTATCTAAATCCAACTGCATCGATCTATCAGAAGAAACTCCTCTCAAGCGAGAGGCTGGTCGGGCTCGTGCAGCACCTCACATCAAGACGTATCTCCGGTATACGGACGCGGAGACTATGGACAGCATTGACTGGGCGATGGTCACGTCTGCAAACTTATCCACGCAAGCCTGGGGAGCGGGAGTGAATCAGAACGGCGAGGTGAGGATTTCGAGCTGGGAAATTGGTGTTGTGGTTTGGCCGGAGCTATTTCTGGATGAGAAGACCGCCGACTCGACGGACGCAGGTTCGGTAACTGCACTGATGGTGCCCTGCTTCAAACGCGATCTGCCTGCATCCTCTCAACCGGATAATATGGCCGAGGACGAGGCTCGGACCATGGTTGGGTTCCGAATGCCATATGACCTCCCGCTGACGCCGTACAGCGACTCGGATGAGCCGTGGTGTGCATCAGCATCGCACCCCACGCCGGACTGGCGCGGACAAAGCTGGATCAACTGATGCGATGATGGGAAATCATCGCTTACCAGTCACCAAATATTGCTATCCTACATGGTCTACATCTACATCTCTACATTCACATTTTACCGAAACCAAGTCAAAAAAACAAACAAGCGGTTACCCTCGGCATTATTATATACAAGACAACAGCGCTCAGGGTAGCCGTCGATGAGATGCGTCGCTTCATTTCTAGCCAATATCAGCTCTCATAGGATATCCAATAGTCCTCCACTCGGTCTTCGACTCCATGTGTATTATAGTTGAGCCAGCCGGTTCTCCCGTAGGAAAAACTGCTTCCCCCACTGACCCTCATTCCCCAACGTTCATCTTGTAGGAGAGAATTTACTCGTCGCGAGTGCCGTACTTGCCGATGAACTCGTTAACGTGCTGGATGTAGAGGGCCTGGGCCTTCTGGGGGGAGTAGTGCTTAACGGCCTCCCAGGCACCGTAGAGCTGCTTCTTCTATAGATGCAGAAAACACGCATTAGCAAAAAGCACCCTCGTAGCGTTAAATAAGTATAATTAATCTCCAAGTATCCCAGGGAACCATCAACGTACCACCATATCGAACATGCCAGGCTTCTCGAGGATCTCGCCCTTGGCAACCTTGAAGTTGACGTAGAGATCCTTCTTCTCGAAGGGACCGGGAGCAGTCTTCAGCATCATGACGACCTTGGTAGCGAACTCAAAGCCCTGCTTGAGAGCAGTCTTCTGGGCCTCATCGGCGATAGTCTCGGTCTCGCCCATGGCGATGGCAGCCTCGAAGGCAGCCTTGAGGGCGGCAATGTCAATACCGGCGGCGGCTTCCTGGACCTCGGCGGTGAACTTCTCCTTCTTCTGGGCGGCCTCGAGGGCGGCGATGAAACCAGAAATATCAGCCATTGTGAATGTGAAGTCGTAAGGGGTTGAGAGGTTCGTTGAGAGAAAGAAGGGGTGGTTTGAAGGAGATTTGGAGGTTTGAGGGGTGAGGGGACGATAGAAAGCTGGGTTTGTTGAGGAGGGGGGTTTGGTGGGGTTTTTGCTGACAGTTCACCCGCCAGTTGATGAGCCAACGGTTTTGCATATATAGTTCGGAGTTTTAAAAGCTTCAAGCTTTGTATCGAAATGGAGAAGATTGTTTTGAACGTGTGGGATGTACAGTAATTTGACACTGTTCAAAACAAATCAAGATCCCAAACCACCATAGTCTACTCGACGCCCGACAATGCAATAACAAGAAACGCAGATGCAGATGCCAACGCTAAACGCTCACGAATAGCTCGCTATGCACCTGGAATAGACACAAAAACAGGGCCAAGAGAAAAGAAAGCATTTTCCAGCACGGAGTCTCCGACAAGGACATCACCAATCCACGGCCCAGCCATTCTTAGTCAAGAATTCTTCGCATGCCGCCTTGAGTGCATAGTTCGGCCGCAGGTCCTTGATGGTCATCGGTTCGCGAGTGATCGGATCTATGCCCGCCTTTGCTACGTACTTCTCAATACCGCCGCGGTTGAAGCTGGTGCCAGAAGGAGTCATGACAGGATCATGCATGACCTCGAAAGTGATGCCATCGATCAGATAGTCGGGCACAACCTGGTTCCAATATTAGTCAAGTCCTCGTCACATATGCGCTTGAGAACAACGCGGGCGTTGAAAGTGGAATACTCACGCGCTCTTGAATATCTCCCTTGGACGAGATCTTGAAAGCTTCTCGAATATGAGAAATCTTCGTACGCGCATCATCCTGCAGCGCACTCAAGTCCTCCCGATATCCCACCTCGCCAATCTCCATCTTCTCCAGCTGACTCTTCAGCTCCGCCTCCGAACGCGCCATATCCGCATTAATCAGCTCCTCCAAGCTCTTCAACGTCTCGTCCATCTCATGCAGACGCGCCGTCTCCCGTGCTTCCCACAACGCCTTCTTAGCGCGTAGAAGCATCCCGGACAGCTTCTCGGTCTGAACGTGCTTCGCCTCAAGACTGAACTGGTATGCGGTGAGGGTAAGGTCGTATGCTTCTTGAGGCCGGTTCAAGGCAAGCAGCGCCTCGGCGAGATAGACGCTGCTCTTGAGCGAGGCGGGATCTTTCTTGCCGTAGATGTTAATTGCGGCGCGCGCATCGTGCTCGACATCTTCCCATTTCTCGAGCTTAATGCGGGTCACGGCGCGGTTCGTGAAGAAGGTCGCATCGTGTGGGTCCTTGGCGATTCTGGTGGGAGGATGGAATTAGCTTTTGAGGTTTGCTATGTGCGAGTCATGTTCGCCTGTAAGGTTATCTGCGCATGGAGGGCGATACGCGGAGGGGGGGTTTATCGGGAAATTGGCAGGCAAGCGGGAGGCTCGGTTTCTTACGCTTGGGAGTAGTAGTCCTCGGCGCTGATATAGTCACCCTCCTTGAAGAATTCGTTTCCCTTTTTCTTCAGTGCTTGCGCCATTTTGTCGTAGAGAATGAATGACTCGCCACAAGCAGGAGAGGGAGGGGAAAAAGTAGGCGTCGCTGATCAATCAGTTCCCCGGGTGGGGCGCGACCCACTGTGCAGAAGACCGAGGGGCGGTTGTTTAAAGGTGCATGAAGGAGGTTTAAGTGGGTTGAAAAAAAACCAGAATGCTAGATCTCAACGAGAAGGCGCATTTCAACCACAATGTGATGCTCCATTGAGTCCAACGGAAAGAAGAATAGACTGACAGAGACCGATATTCTCGAAATGGAAAGTCATCGATCCCCGCAGAATGGCCGATGAGTCAGCACATTGATGGGCCTCGGTTTGAAGAAGTATACAAAACATTGTTCTCCTAGTGATTTAGGGATGAGAAAACTAAGATAAGAATTGCTTTGCAAGTCTGCAGGGTTATGTATTGTACTATGTACAGGGACCAGTATATAGAATGCCTCTATCATCTAATTCCCAACCTCAAAACAACAGGACTCGAGAGTCGGTTCGTGGTATCATGATGCGCTTGGTATAAAGAGACAAGAAGTGGAGGGGGTCGCATACTTTGCCAGTCAAAAATTTCATGACAGGCATGTACTCCCGAGAAGAGGAAAGCAGCTGTCAAACCTGAGTAAAGTTTAGGAGCACAGAACAGAGAGCCAGTCTAGTTCGATGGCAACCCGAATGCTTTGCCCAGCCTCGACAGTTGCGAACAAGTATCAACCAGCTCCCACTTAAACAGTGCCGGAGAACTGCTTCTCGTAGTCGGAGATGGCCTGGACCTTGGCGGCAGAGGCGCTCTTAGGGTCGAAGCGGTAGTTGAGCCAGTCAACGGCAAGCTTCTTAGCCAGCTCAACGCCGATCACACGCTGGCCCATGCAGAGGACCTGGGCGTCGTTGCTGAGGATGGAGCGCTCGACGGAGAAAGGGTCGTGGGCAGTGACGGCGCGGATGCCGGGCACCTTGTTGGCAGCGATGGCAACACCGAGACCAGTGCCGCAGATAAACAGACCACGGTCAGCCTTGCCCTCCTTGATCAGCTTGGCACCCTCGACGGCGGGGTGAGGGTAGGCAGTCTTGTCGGAAGTGGAGTTGACACCGACGTCGGTGATGGACTCGACCAGAGGGTTCTTCTCGAGGACGGCCTTGATAGCATCCTTGTAGGGGACACCGGCCTCGTCGCAGGCCATAACGAGACGGAGGGGCTTGAGATCGGCAGACATTGTGAATAGTTTTGAGGAAAGAAGATCCAAAAAAAAGTTATGTATATGGAAGTATGTATAAAGATAAAGATTGATTTATTGGGATGGAGGAATTGATGGACTGATGGGAAAATACGAATTTCTGCCAACAGTCGCCTTCTTCAGGGGCCTCTTTATACCCTTTTTTTTTCCAGCGAGGGGGACCTTTTCTCAATCTCCTTCGTGCAACCCATCAGGTCCAAAAACCCAGAACTCATCTTCCGCCATCCGTTATCCACCATCCACATCTTCCCCAGGGTGGAGCACGGGTGGAGAGAGCCAGTCGCGTCGAGGTGCATTCTTGGGCGAGCCCATGCTCCACTCTTCCCAATCGCAAGGGCAGTGTCAGTGTCCGGTTCAACCTTGATGTGATTCGTTACGAGGGATTATTCCCGGGGGTCTTTTGCTCGGACTGTTAGGTATGACTGGACAGCCCCGCCATAGCGTCATGGCTTTTCGATTCGCGTGCCGTGAGTGGACTCTGGGGTCGGATGCTTTCAGGAGGCTGTACGTCCGGGTACGATCATCGTACCTCGTATTACCAGCTATCGTTACCAGACTTGTGTTGACTTCAATCACCCGAGAAGAAAGTAGTGAGATTCCAATTGACAACAGCATAGGTATGCACATGTCTTTCTACGTATATCCTGCATCTACAACAGCCATCGATGTCATTCTGCTGCACAGGCCAGCAGTGCTTGGCCACTGGCCCAATGCGCCACGGCTGATCTGTGCAACAATTGAGTTATCGGAAGACTTCCCTAGACAATCCATATGTCGACCCCTCGGGAAATACAGACAGGGACCAGGATGTTCGTCAACAGGACCGTGCGGAAACCAAGAGACGACTCCTGGCCCCTGGAACGTGCCGCCGAGCAACGGCTAGACAAGGACGGGACAGGAAGGCGTCACAGACACAATTACAGCCAACCAGTGCAAGGGGAGAAAGGGACGGCTTCGGGAATGGCGTCGCCAATGCCCCTTGAAGCCGTCCAGCTTATTTCACGCCGTGGCAGGCTGGCAGCAGCCCGAGAGCCGCATTATCGGTCCGTAGACCACATAGTAGTACAGTATACACACTACGGGATTAAATATGGTATACTCCATGAACAAGAAAGAATATGAACCCCATAAAAACTACAATTCCACTTATTTCTGACTCGGAAACCAGCCTATTCGCACAGAAGTCAGACAGACAGGCCTTTTTGACAGCGCAAGTGCTGGCTATCGCTGTACCTGCCCCCACTTCAATCCACCCGCACATCCACCCGACACTCCACCCCCTCGACTGCATTGCAATCTTGTTGGCCGCTGACTGCTGGAGAACATGCCCTACTGTACTGGAGAGACTACCCCGTGTCCACCGAAACGAACCTACTCCGGATTTGCAGGCTGTCGTGTGTCTGGATTTCAAGAGTGAAAGTAAATAAGATTCGGATTGACCATGAGATTAGGCTTCATAGTAGGATATGCGATGGAGGGGTAAACGGAGAGGATAGGGAAGGTTACGCGGTTTACCCCTCGCAATCGACATCATCAAACCATGCCAATGATACGATTAAATGGGCTAATTACAGGGTGGTACCCTGTTCTGGCTACCAAGAAACCTGCCTAGCGATTGCCCAGAATATCGGGAATAGTTTCATTGGCCTGTTCCACCTAACCGGTTTTCGTCAATTTCGTGTTTGCCTGCCGCGTTCCTTGTTAATCCGAAATAATCTTCCGGGTGTACCTGATAGCCATTCTTGAGACCGCCGACCTGCGACAATTCTTCTGCCTATCGGAATCATGGACCAAAGGTTCCCTCGAACACTCAAACCAGCGGTACAATTGAATGTTCTGTCCTTATATCTACCTGTCTTAGTAGTATAGGCTATGTACACCTTTCAAACAAGCCATTGGTACAGTGTTGACAGTTATAATGTTATTATTGCTTTCATATTAAAAACATCGAGGTACTTTAATCCTAAACACGGTAACCCCGATATGGTTACTCGGTATTCAAAGATGTGTTTTGTGTTTGAATGGTATCAATGCTAAACACAGAAAACATGAGTAAGCTGTATGGCTGTGTATTTTACAGGGCCAAAAATAACCACCATCTACTTGACAAACATCAACGACATCCACAAACATGCAAACATGCAAACAGCCTCTCGTCAGCACAGAGCATCGATCCCAAGTAGCGTACTAGGATTGATTTGAAAGTTATTGACTTGGATAGCGCTTATCTGTCCGTGCAACCACGCCATTCATGCACCCGAGTAACCCAATCACGAACAAGAGCTTCAAAAAGACCAGTCTCATCGACAGGAAGCCCATGCACACCACGATCTAGAACAGCATAGGTAGATCGAGGATACAGCTCCAACAAGCGAAGACTATCTCGATAGCCTACGACCTCATCTTGCCGACCACACACAATGAGTGCGGGGGCAAAGAACTTGGCACTGCCATCGATCAATTCATCCGATAACCGATATCGATCTGGATCCGCTCGAATCGGATCCAACATTTGATTATCTGCGTTTTCCATTGCTGGTCGAAGAACCGCATCGTATTTTGCCTTTAAGGCTTCAACGTAAGCGGGTGCTTGGACGAGGATGTTTCCAAGAAGTGTCTTGTCCTCGGTTGACAGGTTTGACATGAGTTGCTCGTTTGTAACCAATGGGTTGAAAGGGTCGAGGTCACGCATGCTGTTCTTTGGCTCGATGAGCGGTACTCGTAGCAGTAGACCATCTATTTGGTTGGCATATTTTTGAGATATCGCTCGTGCAAGGTAGGCACCGCATGATGAGCCGATAAGGAGGAACCTTGACCCCGCAAGTCGAGAGTCGATGAATTGCACCAGGTGGTGGTAGATATCGTCCAGATTGTTGATGTTATTCGCAGGTGTTGTGCCCATTCCTGGAAGGTCGACGTAAATCCGGCGAAGGCCAGGTATTTTGTTGAAGATGGGCTCGAAGTCTAGTTCCTCGACTTTTCCAGTCATTTCCCATCCATGAATGATCAGAATGGGAAGTCCTTCCCCAATTTCATGTGCAGATAGAATGGATGCCATTTTGTCGCTGTACTGGGTTGTGATTTTGTGATTTTTGAGAATATACAAGAAGCAAAACCAAGAGCGGGTGAGTACAGTGTTTAAATAGTTGGATTCTAAGTACGCCATCTTATACTACTAACAAAGAGCTACACCTAATTCAGTTAATATGAAGCTATAGATGGAGTCATATCCAACAGACCCCTGGTTTGCTTGGTTTGGTTAGTTTGCAAGAATTTGTTTGATTTGCAAGGAAACCATTTTTGTATCTTTCATACCGCAGTTTTAGCAGACCGGGTATTATTACCAGGTCCTTACAAAACTGGAAACGTACACTAAACCAGATTAGACTTAGCGCACCAGCCAAATGAGGTTTCAAGAGTATCTCCATGTTTCCCGACTCTCACAAAGCCCATCCCACAGCTAATGCGCTGTGACATCACGCTCAATCATCAAAAGTCCGTGCCCGCGATTCTGACGGACGACCAAGAAAGTAACTCGGAACCAATCCCCTTGATTTGGCATGGCCCTGTCGGCCGCTAATGCGTGCGCGGGATGGCGCTGACGCCTTCGACCAGGAAGAAAACACTCAAATCATTCCGTTTATTTCCTTAGAATATTTCTTGGGCTTGCATTGATCTTGAGGACACTTGTCACCTCATTGAGGAGCATTGTGAGGATCTTTCAATTAGGACAAGCCCAAGGCCCTCTCGCAGCACGGACGCCGACACTGCCCGACCTAGTGTAACTAACTAGATTGCCCGGGGAAGATCAACACCCTTCCCTCTACTCACCAATCTTATACCTTTTACCATCCAACACACCTCCTGGTGAATACAACTCTCAATCTCGCCAGCTATGGCTTCCATAACATATCCCGTGCTTCCAGAGAAGCTCCTCCTTATCTCACTGAAGATGTACTTCACCCCAGAGCGCACTACCAGCTACATGCGCGCACTCCTCGATCCCGCCAACGAGATCGTCCACCCCCAAAACCGAGATAAGCTCCTCCTCGCCCTAATCCCCGACTTCCTCACTATCTGGCCCTGCGCCGAGATCCTAAAGGAGTACGAGAACAAACTCGTCGCCTCCGGGACGTCCATCTCCCCACCACCCTTCTTCCTCGGTGCCCAGGATTGCATGTGGGAAGAGTACGGCGCATATACGGGCGAAGTCTCCCCAGCCGCGATCAAGTCTCTCGGCTGCTCAATTGTTGAGCTGGGCCATGCCGAACGTCGTGCTATCTTTGGCGAAACGGATGACCAGACAGCCCGTAAGGCTGCCGCGACTTGTGCGCAGGGCATGGTACCCCTCGTCTGTGTCGGTGAGATTACTGCCCCCGGCGCTGTTGCCTCCGAAGCCGTCGGTCAAGCCGTCGCTGAGTGCGCGGTTCTCGTACGCGCCGTGCTAGCTGCTATCCCCGCGGACGCTCCGGTCATCTTTGCATATGAGCCCGTGTGGGCTATTGGCAAGCCCAAGCCAGCGGGTGTCGACCACGTCGCCGCCGTTGTCGAAGGTATCCGCGGGGTAATTGGCTCCCGCCCCGGTGCAGCGCGTGTGCTGTACGGTGGCAGCGCCGGACCTGGGCTTTGGGGTGCGGGCGGGCTGGGCAAGGCCGTCGATGGTATGTTCCTCGGACGCTTTGCGCACGAAATCGAGGGTGTGCGCAAGGTCGTCCGCGAGGTGGAGGAGTCACTAGGCGTGGCCTGAACGAAGTATGCGCAATAATCACTCCAATGCGACCGTGGTCTATACCCAATGCCCATCTACGAGATACATCTTCTGCTGGTATCAGTGTCTACCAGCCGAACCTGGTAACAGTATTGTGGTTTCGCATCATACACTATACGGTCATGGTTATACGTCCCAGTACGCATAGAAAACAAACAGCTCGACCCAAAAAAAGAATGGAACCCCATGATCGAATCTGAACCAGTCACAATTTTCCTCTGCATTTCCCTATTCATGGGAAACATCTTACAAAAACCCACAATCAGCCACCAGACACCGAGTAAAGCAACCCATGCCCCGGCTTCTCGGGAAGCCTATCTGGGGGATCCCGTTCAAGGGAACTCCATCCGCAACTCCACCAAAGCTGAGAAAAACTATGGAGACTAGTCCCACGCCCATCCAGTCTTCTAGACTCGTTCCCTTCGGCTTTTATACTCCGCTACCCGCAGAGCTCTGAGCACAGCAGAGACAAACCCCCACGCAGTCACACAACCAAACCCCCCTGTCACGCGGACGATCAGAGATTTTAGCCTCAAATGACTCTAAAGCAATTTTGAGATCTGCATGTCGCTTTTGGAGCTATCCGGCTTCTGAGGGTTCTGGACTCTGACTGAAGGTTGTTCCCATGTGAGGGGGTCCGGGTCCACTCTGTCATGTGCCTGATGAGATCGTGCAGTTCTCTTCGAGATTCCCCTGTCGGTCCACTTTGGCGTTGTGGACTGGTTGTATTGAGTAATCCGGACTGGAAATGCTTCGGCTATCGTCAATTGAGGCGGCATTTCCTTGTTAGGGAAGACATGAGGTCTGGGTCGGCGTTGATGTGGAATGGACCTCGTCTCGAGGTTTCGACTCGGGCGAGAGAGAGAGAGAGCCCCGCTAATAGTTTGACAGCCACTTCTTGTTCTCCACGAATTTTATCGAAATTCAATTGAATAAAGAAATGAAACTCGTCAAGTATCCAACTCCAGAATCGAACTTGATGCTAAAATATCCCTATCATAATACTATGTACAAACGTCCTCCAAAAAAAATTGAAAAATGATCATGATCTATTCTAGACCGTACTTTTTCTGCTTGCCTCAGCACGCTACTTCCCATTTTCATTTCTTTTGCAGCTCCTCGCGCAGCTCCTTCTTGACTCGCGTCACAGTTCCGACACCACCGTAAACCACACCAGTATACATCATTGCGACCGAGGCACCAGCATCCAGCGCCTGTCGCGCCTCCTGACCGGTCGTGATACCGCCAGAAGCGAAGAGCACCTTGCGCGGGTGGCTCGTCACATCAACGGGCGCATTCTCACCTTCGGAGGAACCAGTCTGCTCGGCCGCCCGCGAGGGAGGACCCTGGTCTAGCATGGTACGGTAGCGACCGACGAGCGACACGAGGCGGCCAAACAGCTGGGGACCAGAATAGCCACCGGTCTCCTTAAGAGTCTGTGCCTCGTGAGCGGGGAGGACGAAGCCCTTGGGCAGGGGCTCGGGACGGCGGTTGGTCGTGTTACCGACAATGACACCGTCAACGCCCGAGTTCCAGACTGCCTCGCAGATGCCAGCGAGCTGCTCGTCCGAGTCCTCGTCGGGGCTGACCTTGACCATGACGTAGGGCTTCGTCTTGCGCTCGACGTTCTTGGCGGCACCGACGACGGCTGTCAGAATGGTAGTGAGCGGAGCCGCGGCCTGGAGGTCACGGAGACCGGGTGTGTTGGGGCTGGAGACGTTCACGACGACGATATCGGCATAACGGGCGACGCGGTCAACACAGTAGACGTAGTCCCGAGCGATCGCGTTGATGTCGCCATCGGGAGTGAGCTTGTTCTTGGCAACCTGCACAGCGAGCAGCTTGCCCGGAACCAGACTACCAGGTGGCACGTTGGCCTCGCCATCCAGTACACGCTGCTCAGCCAGGTCGTGGTCGCCCAGGCCAGCAGCGTAGGCAAAGTCGCGCACGCGCTGCTTCAGGACAGCGGCCATGTGGTCCGCACCCTTGGAGTTGAGGCCGTAGCGGTTGATCATGGCGTGCTGCGAGGGAAGACGGAACACGCGAGGCCTGGGGTTACCCTCCTGGGGCAAAGGAGTAGTTCCACCGACCTCGACGATGGCTGGGCCAAGATCGAGCAGGGCATCGGGAATATCGGCGTGCTTGTCAAGTCCAGCAGAGATACCGATGGGGTTGGAGAGGGTGTATCCGAAGACCTGAACAGGGATACATTAGCATTGGACCAATTCGTAATACACAAGACATTGAAGTCGCGGTATTGCCATACCTGGGTAGTCAAAGCACCATCACGATCCGGGTTGCCCCGTTCGCGGGGGTGAAGCCCATACTGATAGAGGAGCTTCAGAATGTCAACACCAACGTGATGGGCATCCTCCGCATCGGGGAGCAGCTGCCGGATCAGAGGGACAACGGCGTAACGGTGAATGCTAGCCCGAGTGTCTGTCCCATAGATGTAGCCCACCAACAAGACGACCGCCAGAGAAGTACCATACAAAGCTTTCCGGGAACCGCGACCAGCTTTCTTGGGGATCTCTTTTGAAGCCTCCTTCACCGTCTCGGCAGTCGCATTCTGTACCGGTGCGGACTCCGAGGCATATCGCACAGCGCCGGGATAGCGCTTCGACAGCAGCGCAGACGGCCGCTGGGACCAGTGCGAAGCGGCGGGCGCGCGGGCCCGAAGGCTAGCTCGCCAAGCGATGGAGGCAGCACTCGACGACATTAGGGCTGGGCAGGAGGTATGCGCTCAATTGGCCTTTCTCGGCGGGTATGCGCCGGATTGGACCTGGATAAAGGTCAGTCGATCTAGTTCTTTGGGATCTCGGTTGCGGGGAAGAATTGCGGGCGGCTCGCGGTTTTGGGCCATGACAGCTTTGACCATGAGGTCACTGCGGAGATTTTGTGCCCATCGTTCGAGGTGACTGGGGGCCAAACTTACTGCAATTGCTTAGTTTGAGGTTCTGCACCTTCCTTGCAGATCGGAGCATCGTAGGGCGGAATCGGGATCTTTTACAGATCTGGGCGGTGAGTGGGGCATCCGGCAGTTGGAGGCGGTGAAGCTCTATACTAAGAAACCCAACGCATACTTGACTGCGAAGCTCTAACGTCATTCAATGAATGCATAAGGAGAATTCTCATCAGGGGCTCAGTAAATATCTTCAGCTCTAGATTTGATTGATTTGCTTGCCCTCATTCACTATCGAAGCAGATTCGAGGTATGGGCCAGTGCAGGCCGTCACGCATTTTTCTCCACGCTTACCTTTCCATCTTATCTTTTGATTTCACTAAGTCAAAAGGAATAAAATATATCTATATAGCTACAGTTCATAAAGAGTGAGAAACAAACCCACGACGCGACCTGTCAGTTCCTATGGTGGTGTCGTTCCATACGCTTTTAACGTACGGCCCCTCACCCCGCCAAAATGCCTGTGCAAATTGATAACCTACCATATAACTAGATAATACACATATAGTAGGGCGTAGACCGCCTTTGCGATTCATTAATTTCTAAAATTATTAGACATGGTCTCTAACAGGTGTTCGAGATGCCTTATATCGATATTATCAATAGGCGATCCCTACCTAGTAACTCTTGGGTAACTCTTGGGTAACTAAGAAGTAGCTAAGACGTATTTAGTCATATATTATACTAGGATACCACCTACTCTTTGCCAGACAGGGCCACTTCCTATTTTCACTGAAAAGGCTAATCCGGTACTAATCATCCTGGTCGTGCATTAATCACACTTCTTGGACTCATATTCTTGAGACAAGTTATTTACATACGTTTTTTATCGGGCATCAACGCAGCTGGGAGAAGTTTCCAGTACCTTTCATACGCCTATCTTTTTCTCTGCTTTCGTTCGTAGTACGTATGAAGAAAACCTAGCTTAAATCGTCGGCGGCCTGACGTTCGAACTACGCTTGAACTTGTTGTGACTAGCTCTAATATGTACGCATAAATACCCCGTCGCTACCCTCATCAACCATTTTTATTTAGTTTAAAGTTTATTTACTTGATATCGTGGTGAATCCTCATCATTTGCTTGAGCATTTGAGATGGGCTCTACAACGTCGGATACACAATGGCTGCATTCAGAGGTCCTCGATCGAAGCCTTTGGGCCGATAATCCGGAATATCTCCTCACGATCCCACTGCCGATTAGTAAATATAACGATTTAGCTTCACGGATTTTTCCTGTAACACTTTAGACCTCACGGTTGGATTTGGTACTGAAGTACTTCTACTAAAGTTGTGTTTCCTTCAGGCCATCTCCTCGTGGATAGGGTTGTGGACGACTGTTCCGTTTAGCGGTCCTAGTAATTTTCATGCACTAAGTTACATGGGGTAGAATCAAATAATCGTACACACCACGGGTGAAATTATCTTCAAAGCAGTTATGAATGCCCAAGGGAAACATATCGTGGGTTGGAACCCAGATCAGTTACTATGGGTAGTCGTATGCTTGTTAAATGGTTTAATTGCCAGAGAAAGCATTACGATTCAACGAAGACAAATCTTGTATTACGTAGCAAACCACTGCCCAACAGTCATCAAAAATTCAGACACCCATTAGAGCTCCAATTGTCTCTCAATTCCAGACCGAGTCTGGTACTGTTACTGGGTCCGATGGAATCAGCGTCGATACTGATATATGCGGCCAGATCAACCCATCGAATACCAAATTAACCACTTGAGAGTACTGGATCTGTATCGAAGTGACAGTGATTGTCTTGGGGACAGTGATATCATGGGGTGGGTTCACGAGGTATACCGGCACGCGTTGGTGTGCTGGTGAAGCTGGGGAGATTTTCATCGGGGCTTGTCCGCGCTTGAAGATTGGAACTTGGAGCTTATGTTGCACCGTTTCGATCCAGAAGGTAGCATTCATTTGGATTGCATTAGCATTTGGATTCGTGATGGCAGGGTCGCCTTCTAAGAATGCAATGTTCGCTGTTCCACCCCCGAACACCGGAGGCGGAGGCGTCGTGGACACGGTAAAGGCGATGTTGTGGAGAATAGTCTGTCCTTTGATGGCGTTGCGCAAAACGGTGTTCGGGTCATCTAGTATCTCTTGGGTGATGGTGCCAGCAGCAATGAATTTCGAGAGATCCTGTGGGCGTCGAAGAGAAGAGACAACCGAGGCGTTTACGCTATCAATCGGCACTGCGCTACCACCACCCTGTGAGGGGAATACCGCCAAACTCGCTGGTGGGAGCTCGGGTGGACCTGAGGAATTCGATGTAGGCGCCAGGCATTGAGCATTGATAGTTGTGCCATGTGGAATGGACCCCATGCGCACGAGGGATTCACCAAGAACTGGAGTATTGTTCGTGGGCGGGACGTTCATCCACAATCCAGTCTCGAAGTGAATGCCAATGGGAGAATGATCAGCCTTCCCAGTTTCCTCGTTTGTCACAGCGTTAACAGCCTGTACATAAGATATACCATTGAGAAAGATGTTGCTCTGCGACATAAGCCCGCGGTTAGGCACGGCGCCAAAATCTTCGGAGAACGTTATGGAGTCATCTATCAGATTCAGCTCCAAGATGTTATCACGTGGAAATTTTGTATTGGGTCCACTATGCGGGCGGAAGATTGAGTTGAAGCCTGACCCAGTAAAGCTTCCATTGAAGTTCTCCAACACACCCAGCCGCGATCGTGGTTCAGGCGCAGGCACTTCCCCAAAGAATGGAACCGGCGCGATCTGGAAACCGGGGGGAAGAGATATAACTGCCATAGCTACTGTCGCAGTTTCCAAATGATGTCAATCAAGGCGATTTGTTCTCAGTCAAATTGGAACGGAGTGGATAATAAGATTCCAAAGAATAGAAACAGCTTGCTATGGCACGTAGGGTTTTAAATACGATTTAGGGAAGAGTCATCAGAAACGCGCTACCTTGTCCCATGTCGCTCAGACATTCCAGTGCTAGCCAGTTGGCTAATCAGATGCTGTGTTTTGGATCGTTGTCAGGTGTTGAGGTAGTTCCTTTTGTGAGCCAGAGTACTTTCCAAGGCCACAATACATTTTTTCAAGGTGCGTGAAATACTGTAGAATGTCAAAAGAGCAATTACAAAGCAATACTTTAGCACTGAAAGGGCGGAAGGAACACCGGGCAATGTAGGGAAGGCTTAGAATGTGTCAACACCGCGGGTAGGACATCCTAGCCGACGTGATTGATGCATGTAAGCTTGGGAGACAAACAGAAATGTAACACAGGTTGAAGATTGATCTACAGTAGGAAGTTTAGAACGAAAGGAAAGACGGTCAAGCAATTTTGCCCAAAAATTCAGCAAAATAGTCAAGACATAACGTATATCACAAGCGAGTGGCCACCTCTAAAACACATACTAAATGCGATATATTGTAGTCCTTTTGCAGTGTATACCGGGGTTAAGTCGGGTCAGCGGAGCGGGCCGCCGTTTCCGAATATGTTTCGAAGAGTAATCGGCGAATTGGTCCATTCTGACATTGTTACGCCTTCACCTATTAGATCTCGGTATTCAGTACGCGATGGTCGTTGAATAATATCCATACAGACGGTCTCGATCCAATATTCGTCGGTGAGTAGTAGTATGTTTCTAGAGCGAGGCAAGGAGTGATTGTTTCTTTCCGTTACGCTCCACATCCGAAGTGCATAGGGAATAGTGGAAGAGAAAAAAGAACACCTTGCCTAGGATGATTATCGACGTGTTGTAACAAAACACGAACTTTAGAGTTTTAGCTCAGATTCTCGAGGCAGCCCTTAAAAGTTGACGTGAACAGGGATTAGCTGTTCTAGGCCGTTTGAGCCCAGAAGATTCTATGAATACTCATGGATTTGCCCGAAGCAAGGTGAGGGCGTCCGGACCTGGGAAAGCTATGGGACTCCGCCGCTATTCCCGCCCCATGGTCTATCGAAGCGAGACAAAGCAGGATGGTTCTATGACACTGCAGTCCAATTTCAAGCAGCCTAATAGCCTGTCACCGCCACTCTAGGTAGAAGACGGCTTCTGTGACTACAAATAGCTACACCTACTCGCATGGTTAGAGAATGAGCATCACACTTGTACCTTAAATCTGGAATCCAACTTTTTCCTGCGTGGGGCCAAGGAACGACATCAACCAGCCAACCAACCAACGACTGTACATAGGCGTGTAAATAAAGATCTCATTCTTTTCAATTCGTCACCTTCGGAATTCGTCACCTTCATTGTATGCTGTAAGGTAAGAATGATAACAAAAGCATTCAAGCCACCGTGCCCGATATCACTCCATCATATGTATAGGGAACTTCGCAACGGGTCACAAAGTCAATAAATTCTAGGGCGTCTCCCTCGGCCTCCTCCAAACCGGAGAGCACTGCCCTTGCTCTTCCTTGCTATCCCATAGCCGGAGGGTCCTAGTGCTATCCGCGTGGTAAAAAGTAAAATCCCAGAATTCTTATAACAATCACTAGTAATTTCCTTAAGCTCCCCGGCAAGAATGTTGAGGTGGTACAAGAGGAGACGAGAAGATATATGCTTATAAAAGTCACGATAATAAATGGACCTTTCAAAATCGTCTAACGAATGGTAACTCGATTAAGGGCCTTGAGTATACTCGAATTCGAATTAGAAATTGACAGAATTCCATCTAAAATCGACCTCATACCAGCAAGCTTATTCGTTCATGTTTCGGGGTATGTATCTTGCTTCTGGCTCAGGAAGGGGTATCCTTAATAAGCGCCATCTTTGGTTGATATGTTCCTGCAGAGAATATGCCGCCTCCTGCTCAGCAAGGGTTAGGTGATTATTAGCCTCATGATATTAAAAAACCATATTGTCATTACGAAGGCATGAGTTCTTCAAGGCCTTCTAAATGCAAGAAGCTCTAGTCATACTATTGAAGTATTCCTCTGGGTCCGAACCTCCGAGGCACTTGAACTATGCGTAAGAGACGGGTGGACATTCCATAAATTTTGAATCACTTCCACACAATTAATAAGTACATCTTGATCTTGAGATTGTACTTATGTTAGTTTAGATCATAGGCACCTATATAGATAAACGCTCAATTATTTGCCCTGCTTACGACTCAACGAAAATATCATAGCTGTTTTCATCAACTCCATACATAAAATAATTGTCTGAACGTTGTTTGAAGTTTGACAAAGTTCGGGCACGTCAAGATATACATCTCTATGATTCTCGAGGACAAGGCAGAGAAATTGATGAACCTCATGACCATACTCAGAGGAGAGTGTTAGGATATTTAGTCTTAATATGAAATTCCGTAAAATATTTTCTACAGCATATAATCGATAGCTTAAATCTGTCAAGTAGTTTTAAGATACACATTATTAAGAGATTCGAGAAGCAGTTAAACGCTATACAGAGCGGATTCAGCGACTTGAGCGGTAAATTGGTATTGTTGAACGGTTAATAATTTTCCATCTAGAGCACGATCAGTAAGAGAAAGATAACTATGTTAGTATTGCACTCACTTCAGCCCAATCGAAGACGTTACCTTGTTCACCAGATCAGGTCAATTTTTGAACGGCATTAGCACAGGGAGCTTTATTCGGATTTATACCTCCCTTAAGCACAGGCAGCCTCGGTCAGACCTAAGCTCTTGGGAACCAAGAAGAATATCTCATCCAGAGAGACCTTTTAGTTCAACAATCTCGAACAAATAAAGGAATGCTCTGACCATCCCAGGAGCAATTGTTTGGACATATACGAATAGAAGGTCTTACCTTCACCCGTTTATATCGTCTCCATCTAGCGAGAACAACATAACGCCAAAACCACGAACGGTCTTTAGCTAAGTAGTAGGCGACTATAGAATTGGAAATATCTGGAGATTTCCATAGAGAGATTTCCATAGAGGGATCTGAAAGTGTATAAACAAATTGAAAGAATATACGAACTCCACTAGAAAGTACACATCTGCCTCCGTAGTCCCGCAAATCTGGCTAAGTATCGGGGAAAACGGAGATGCTCCTAGGAGCGTTAAATCTACGATAAGTTTAATTGCCCAATTGAACGATATTCACTAAATAAATCCGGTGTTATGATATACCCTGACATGAGGTTATTCCCAACTGTTGGTGCTTCAGGCTACCAGGACATGATAAGCCGGTGGGATTTCGGTGGAAGTTCATTGGGGCTTCACTACCAGTAAGTGTACGAACTCTTGCAGGGAAGATCCCTGGGCAAACGTTACACAAGCCTCGTATTTACCCCGCGCCTATTCCCATACCAAGGATACATCTCCGTCCTGTTTTGAGCGATGTGATTGTATATAAATTGATCCATGTTGAGGGGGTTTTACACTCCCCAAGAAACAGTCTTTGACTATTCGGTACACTTTGAACTTGGTCCATTTTCTCCTACCTGATTGGCAGGCCTCTATACTGACTTATAGAATATATCTTTACATCCTGCTTGTAATGCGAAAGATCGCCAAAGAAGTGGCAAATTTTTCGAAGCCCACGCGATAACTGAAAGGGGAAAGCTATACTCCGTACAGGGGCCGGGCTAGCGTCTCGCGTTTTATTGAGCCTGCTTACTCAGGCCGGTTCTCTTTGGGAGGAGATTAGTAAGCAATACTGGGATTGCTCAGGTTGATCAGGGGTGTGCTCAATTCTACTCAGTGAGCAAAAGCTGCGAGGGTGAGCACTAAAACGGAAGGGGGGCACCAAGAGTTGGCGGGTAAAATCCGGTATATATGTAGTTCCACAGCAATATTGGCGACAACGGTGGATGGATAACCATCAAGCGGAGCTTCCATTACTGCAAGAGTCACTGCCCCTCGCCGATGATATGGATTGGAGGCCGATTTGCATGTATTTTGATCGAACCCTGACAAACTCGCAAGCGTGGAGGTATCGAAGAGAAATCATGGAGCGGTTACAGAAGGCAAAATGCTCGTTTTTGGCCGCCTTGGCGGAAGAAGATTCTCCCCAATAGCACCTGACGGATTCGCAGGGATCGAAGTAACGGAACGATATCATGACGCGGTTGCAGGCGGCAAAAAAGGGATTATGGGCCATCAGGGCAAAATAAGAGTGAGCTTGTACCCTTGGGAGAATAGGCTTATTGCTGAGGGAAGTTTTGATATGGTTGATCGCTAGTCAAGATAATTCAGTTGCTCTTCATTGCCTGAGTCAACTTGTGTCCTGGACCGTCATTGATGTAGGAATTTGAACACCATTAATCGTGATGATATTGAAATAATGGCCAGTAATATTTGCGCCGCCATGGGGCTCTGCTGAAATCTATACCTACAAACAACGCCAATTTGCCTCGTTCCCATACGCCAAGCTCCATGAAACACCTCCGAAGTTGGAGGTCAAGAAAAAATGCCACGATTGAATCAAATCAGCCATGATCTCTCTCTCTTCACTAGTCGCTCATCCGTGTATCATCGCCTGCTTCCTCTTCTTCAAGGGCGTCTTCCTCGGCAGGCGGAGGTGGGAGGGTCTGCGCAAATTTCGGATCGATGTTCGCCCGGTGCAGCGAGCGCTTGTAGACCTCCGCCTCGTCGGGGTCGCGAACCGTAACGTGGAATTGATCGATCTTCTCTTCCGGCGCCTGTGAAGCGGTGGGGGCAAGACCAGCCTGTGCGATGGTACGAGCACGCTCCGGCTTCAGGCGCACCTTGCTGATGATCGGGTAGTAAAATGCGGCCTGCTGCTTGGTCTCCCCCTCAAGCGGTTTGTGGAGAGTCAGGGCAATGTCCTTCAATTTTTGATCGGTATTCAGACTCTGAGCGCTCGTAGCAAAGGTACGTTCACGATCGTAGCGGTGGTACTTTGCGCCATCAGGGCCCTCATTGGTGTAGAGGTCGTCGTCGTCCCGGTCTGGGTTGTTCAAGTCCATGCTGGCGTAGACTTTCTTGACGGACTCTTGCTTTTCAGGTAGATGCAGATCGTAATCGAAGGGGATAGGGCCCGGGTCGGGATAGAGGTCGGGATTGGCCTTGTGGAGAGCTTGCTTTGAGGCGTGCTCCTGGCAAATGCGCTCTTCCGGCGCAGAAGGGTGCAGCAGAGCCACGTCCATACGCTTGTCCCGCTTGCCGGCAAGCGCAGACACGGGCGCCTTATCGAACTTGAATTGGACAAAACCACCGGGGTCGGGGAAACCCGAGAGGTCCGGCAGCAAAGGGAAGAAACCGACAGGCTTCAGCTTCGGGTTGTCAGGGTGGACGGGACGCGCCCATGCGTCAGTCTCCGCTTTCGTAGCTGGGAGGCCCCTGACCTGACTCTCCGTGTCTTCGCCAGTATGCTTGCTCTGGGGATAGGCAATATCAAAACCTTTCTGAATAAACTTTTTGATGTGCTTAGGGTCTTCCACCGAGATCTTTCCCTTCTTGACTGCACGGTTCAGTCCCTTTGCGGGGGCGCTTCCAGGACCAGCGGAGCGATCAACTGAAATGTGCTGGGTGCGACGAAGGAAGCTGACGTTTGTGTTTCTCGGAGCAGGATTACGGAGCTGGTCGAGGGTCATCAAAAGCGGAAGGTCTGCGGGGTCCATAGGTTGAGGATGCTCAGGCGCCATGATAGCTATCGATTGATCAGTATTTGCGAGTATCCAATTCATGAAGCGCCTTCACATACCACTCTCGTCTCCCAGATGCAGGCCGGGGAGACCCACCAGGTCGATGGGCATACCACCCTCGGCGTCGACATCAATGTTAGGCTCCTCTCGCCGCGCAAGATTGGAGGCAAAGCCGGGGGTAAGGAAACGGCTCAGACCCTCATGAGGAATGTCGAGTAGCTTCGGGGGCATATGAGGCGGAGGAAGGTCATTGCGATAACGGAGGGACGCGATGTACTCCTGGTGGAAGCCGCTGGAGGACTTGTCCTCCCGAGATTTGGAAGACATCGAGGGTGGATAGTATTCCGAATGGGGATAGACCCTAGGTAGGTGTTGCGCGCGAATGAAAGGCAAGTCTGTGGATGCGAATCAGTATTCATTCGTGTGAAGCTTGGTGGGAGCGGACTTACAAAAGTTGTAGTCGCGGAAGAGTGTGAGGGGCGAAAGGCCGAAGGAGCTGCTCCAGAGATAGGTGAATTGCACACTCCGGAGTGACTTGAAGTTCAATGCCTGAGTGAGGAACAGAAGTGACCAAACGACTCCACGACAACACGAACCTGTCAGGCGTTCGGTAGCCAAATGGTAGACTAAGTGCTCATTCTGCCTACTAAAGCCGCCTTCCCTATTCAGAACTGCGCATGGCCACCAGATGGTCCATGCACATACATATCTACTCTATGTAGTCTCCGTATAGAAAAGTAGACACTGTCTTTGGACTTTGACAAATAATCTCCGTTGATAATAGAAAGAAAAGTAATTCTGGTTTCCCTATGACCTATCCTGAACACCATTTGATAGAGAGCCTTACAAAAAGCCAGTCGAAAAATAGAGAAAAAAAACAAAGCCTCAAACAGGGATTTAGTACGCCCACATGCACTTGTATGCCATCAAGCGATGTCCCAATCGATCGTATTCCAGCTGACCAATCCAGCTGTCATTAGTTGTGTTCAATTTTCCAAAGATACTGGCACCCTTCCAGACGACCACTTGGGCATCAAGGTCTCGTGGTGGGACGCCAATCATGATCTCCTTTAGGAAACCAGGACGAAGAGCCTTCAGTCGTGCCTCGAGGAATGCATGTAGTTCATTGGTGAGACTACCACCACCAACCACCATGATGCCACCAATGAAGTCCCGCATCTTTTTCTCGTCTGAACGAGCGGCGTGAGCGATCGAGGTCAAGATGGCGTTGTCTAGGGGGAAAACGGGCAAGATGTCGTCGCGGTACTCAACAGCCGGGCGAGCAGGCTGAGATGTCGCCGCATTGACAGCCGGTGTGCCAGATCCACCCGCTTGGGGGGTTCCCACAGTTTCAGGGGCAGGAGACCCGGCAACGGAGGACCGAGGGGTGGCGTCTTGTTCCTGTATCCGACCCAGCGGATTCGGCTGCTGGGGGCGAGCAGGGGTCGCATGAACGTCAGGCTCACCGTTGGCCTTGCCATTAGAAGGAAGTGGGGGAGCCAGAGCAGTCATGATTTCGGACTGAGCTGCCGAAGTAGGGTCATTGGGTTGGCCATCATAGATGTCAACGGACCTTTCAATGAGCTTCCGTCGCCCGTCCAGCTTCTGCGAGTTGTCGAAGATGGTTGGCTCAAAGAACCCCATGGGAGCAAGGTGACCCTCATCGAAAACCTTGAAATTGTGCTTTTCTGTATCCTGACCGGACACTCGAAGGTGGAGGTCGAATGCTTGCGGGGACACTTTAGCCTCGTCCATAGTGCAAATATTCTTCTTCAACTCCTCGGCCAGGAGATAATCATATCGACGCCAGAGGTTGATATCGGCATATGGGAAATGGTCATGCAACATCATCTTGGTGAAAGTCTCGGTCACATCGTTGCCGCCCATTTTTAGGTTCACTCGCGAATTTTCGATGCACATGCCTTCTTCGACGCAGCAAATTGACGTCTTCTGGGCTCCAATGTCGACAACACAGGCAGAGGTGAAACCGGCACCAAAAGTGGCCGCCAAACTTTCCTGGATAAAGCACACCCGGGCGAAGGAGAACTCCCGCATCAGCATCTCCAGCACCTGCGTCACATAAGACTTCTCGTATAGATCCGGAATCACAAACACACAAGAGTATTGAGGCCAGTCCTTTTTGCTGTGGAGGCCCAGTTGGGTCTTGATCGCCTCTTCGAGGATCAAGGAGATATCAAGGAATAGCATGCGCTTGCTCGTATAGTCCCGCTCATTGCACCATCCATTTTGAATAGGCCAGAAGAGCTTGTATCGAGGCTTTGAGGCATCGGGAACCCTCAAGGCCGGTTGCCCAATAATGTACTCTGGCGGAGGACTGTCAAGCTCTGTCCATTCAACTCGTTCCGGATCATTATGCTCTGAAATGACCTCCGGCATCTGCTTGCGGTTGAAGTTGATTACTCCCTCCTTGGGATTGGGCAACATTCGTCGCTTGTTCGCCTTCATTCGGATCTTGAGATCCGCAGACATTTTGGTGTATTGAGAGGACCACTGTTCACTAATGAGCGATGTTCGAGCTGCTTCCGCAGAGGCATATGGAGCTTACCTCTGGTCCAAATACTCTCTCTGGGTCTTCATCCGTCCCGTCATCCCGCTTGAGCCTCTTCGGTTTCGGTTCTTCTCGATCTTCGCTCTCGCTGGTTTTTGATTTTCTTGCGATTACCATTGGCATAGTCTTCGGCAACGCATCACTTGAGAGGCCAATTCGCAGATTTTGGCTGCCAACGTGAATGACAATGACTTTGGAGCCCGCGGCCTCGGTCGGAGTGTCCTCCTCGTCGTCCATATTGGCGTCGTCTGCGTCTGCCTCCGCCTCTGCGTCCGCATCTTCGGTGGACTTGTCCATTGCGCGAGCGCGATCACGGTCCTTGGCGCTCTTGGTCATCTTGATCCTGGCCTCTTCATTTGCTAGTCGGAATGCGAGGTACTGATCGTCTCTCTTCAGGTAATCACTAGAATGAAAAGAACACAGTTAGAACTGTGGCATACAGATGGCTTCTGAAGTCTTACGTATAGTAGTTCTTCTGGTTGATTGCGGCGACCTGCGGCCAGCTCGATAGGTCCATATTGTTATCCGTCCGCTCCAGGCCTATTGGCTTGTTGTTAGTTGCTCTTATACCCAGTGCAGGAGAAGAATGAAGCTACCTTCATCACGAAGGGCTTTGCCCGACTTCTTGCCCACCATGATGGGCAAATTGGGAGCGTTCCTTCTCCGGATGGATCGGGGTCAATTGAGGTGAGGGTGCAACGGAATCCAGGGAGTAGAGCGCGCAACCCGGTGCGGGTTGTCTCCGGACTATGCGCTTGATGGGTTAGGCTGTGGCTCCTCAATGGATATCGACTGTAGGATGTACAATTGCCGAAGATAAAATGTTGAAGGGGAAAGGGACACCGAGAGGAATGAGAACGAGATGCCTTTGTCGGGAAGTGCGAGGTCCATCGTGAATAGCGGCGCCATTCATTCGCATCTCCGATTGACCGCCCGCACGGACAGGCAGATCGCCAACGGACAAGGCGGTTGCCACCAAAAGGGTCCATCCTCGTACTTCTTGCTTTATTCTGATTCCCTTTCATTCCCTTCGCAGTCTTCCACCTCTCTTGTCCATAGAAACTCGACCTTATTTCTCTTTTGACGACTGCATCTCTCATCCCCGCCCGCAAGACGCCACTGCATCGACACTCGGCTTCATACTCGGCACCAAACACCACCGCTTTGCAACCAAACACCACCGTAACGGACCATACACAATCATGGGAGGGTCTTTGTCGCGTCTTTGGTCCCTTGTCTGGACTAAGAAGGAGATTCGAATTCTTATCCTCGGTCTCGTATGTCAACATTTGCTCAGCGCGAACATTTGCTCAGCGCGGGGGAAGCCAAACAACCGCAGATGACCATCTTCCTTTGCGACAGTGAGAGACTAATTGGGCCTTTTGGATGCAGGACAACGCTGGAAAGACGACTCTTCTCTACAGACTTAAGGTAAGATGCTGGTCGTGTTCATGAGCTTGCATCGCGAGCGACATCCAAGGTTAAGTGCTAATCTATCGCCCGCTCAGATCGGTGAAGTCGTCACAACCATCCCCACTATCGGATTTAACGTCGAGTCGGTCACATATCGGAATCTGAACCTTAATGTCTGGGTATGTTCCTCTATGATTTCCGCACGAGCGCGCGTGCGTAACTAACCCCCGTTATCCCAGGATCTCGGTGGTCAAACGTCGATTCGCCCTTATTGGCGGTGTTACTACGCCAACACTGCTGCCGTCATCTTCGTCATCGACTCTACAGATATCGAACGATTGGGTACCGCGGCGGATGAGCTTGCAGCAATGCTGAACGAGGATGAGCTGCGGGAAGCGGCTTTGCTGGTGTTCGCCAACAAGCAGGATCAGCCAGGGGCTAAGGGCGCTGGCGAGATTTCGGAGGCATTGAAATTGGGTGAGCTGCGAGACCGGAACTGGAGTATTGTGGCTTGCTCTGCTATCGATGGCAAGGGTATTAGTGAAGGCATGGACTGGTTGGTGGTATGTTTCTCCGTACCCCCGAGTTCTCAGATGTTCCTAGAGGTTTATCCTCCCAGGTTGGATTTCGATCAGATACTGACGCAGCTATCTCCCTCCAGCAAACCATTCAGGCCGAAAACGCATGAAGTCCCTCTTTGTTTCCCGGGCTATAGATTTTGTTTGATCTTTGATATACCTTGCCCTCCAAGTTGCTCGCGCGGCTTGGGGGCCGTTCTGCTGCATTCAGGGGTGCTATGCCATTTCTTCTCTTCGGCTCTGCTAAATCCAGCAGAGCTCTTGTCTTATATTGCTACATGATTTTGGGGTGTGAAACTTTATGGTGGTTTAGGATAATCGTTTAATACAACTGCTGTCGAGGCTTAACGGGAAAATTGTGTTTCCCGTTTAACGTTTCAGATCTATGTCCAAAATGGCTATCGTCTCGGAGACTATAGAGACCGAATATCAGCGCATTAATCGAATCCCTAGGCAGTGGCTGGGCAAGCGTTCGGCTATCTTTCTCTCATAGATAAGCGTCATGTAACCCCCGCATCTACATGCCAATCACCTCAAGCCTGTGAAGTCTTCTTTTCTTCCTACAAGTTATTCTCGACTGCCTCCCTGACAGAAAATAGCGCACCTCCCCATTCACTGTTATTAAATATTCAGCGCAGTTAAGATGGCAATTCCATCTACCCAAATCGCAGCTGCCATCCCGCCTCCAGGGCCTAACGGATCTTTAAGTATACAGATCAGCAGCACACATCCAGTTCCCAGCCCAGGTGATGGAGAGGTCCTTATCAAACTTGAGTTCTCCGGAGTCTGTCATAGCGATGTTCACAGCATTCGAGGCGACACTCCTATGCTGACCGATGTCGCGGGCCACGAGGGAGTGGGGAAAGTTGTTGCAGGTGAGGGGTCTGGAAGACTAGTCTCGAACTCGATATATCATTTCTTGACCTACAGCATGCTGATGTCTAACCTTTAAATTATCCAGTTGGATCTGGGTTGGATGAACAACAGTGGATTGGTCAAAGGGTGGGGATCAGGTGAGTATTAGCCCCCTTAGTGCTCGATCAACCTATATAGCATTGATGCTAAATATTGGGGTACCAGGTGGCTATACAGCTCTTGTTTGGAGTGTGAGATATGTGCCATCAACCATACTTCGTGTCCATACCAGAAGAATGCCGGCGCGGTACGTATCCATTCCTTTACCTGACCTCGAACATCATTTGCGAGACTTCTTCTAAACGCTTTGGTACATTCTAATATGATCACTCACTTGCCAGAACGTCCCAGGGACTTTCCAGCGTAAGTTTTGACTTCGTCATTCCATTTCAAAAATCAAAACCACTGATCTATTGAATTAGAATATCTTGTCAGCCCGGCCATCCATGCCACTAAGATTCCGCCAGGACTATCTCCAGATATAGCGGCCCCTTTACTATGCGGTATGCCCGATAGGTATCTATCTTCTTTTCGAGACTATTTCTAACACTTCGCAGCCGGCATCGCAATGTATTCTTCGATCAAAAAGACTAAAGCACGCCCAGGTGATTCGATCGTCATTCTGGGCGCAGGAGGAGGATTAGGACATATGTGAGGTCTATCTTCTGAGCATCGCTTCGTCCCGGCGACTTACATTGCCTTATTATAGGGGCGTCCAAATCGCTGCTAAGAAAGGACTCAAGGTTATTGCTGTTGACAAGTACGCTCTAAAATTCCTCTGGGTATTCAGAAGCTCCATGATACTGGGCCAAAAACTGACTGGAACCAGGGGTGAAAAGAAGAGAAAGCTTTGCCTAGACTTAGGAGCTTCGGAGTTCTTAGATTTCACTGAAGTTGATATTGTCGAAGCTGTCAAGGCTTCTACATCGGGGTTCGGCGCACATGCTGTCATTTGTACAGCCAATGGAGAAAAGGCATATGAGCAAAGTATGCAGATGTTGCGTCGCCTAGGGACGCTTGTCTGCGTTGGTATTCCGAATGTTCCTTTCAAGCTACCGGTGACCCCGCTAGATATGATTGTCAAAGGTATGTCACAAGATATGCCATGATCTCTGTATATCTTTTCACACTTTGTTCTCACCACCTCATCACAGGCCTCACCATTGTTGGAAACTCTGCTGGCAGTGCGACAGAGATGGAAGAGTTGATGGAAATGGCGGTTGCTGGGGAAATCAAGGCCTGCATCGAGGTCTTTGACCTCGCTGATATTCTGGACGTGCTGAAACGTCTTGAGAATGCGGAGATTGAGGGACGGGTGGTCTTGAAGATTCCCGAATAGGTTGTCATGTAACCCATCGAATGACTTTGACTTCCCCTGCCAGGATCTTGGAGTGTGATCGATTTGACCCACGCACTGGATGATCACTTGGGCAGATATCTGGCACCAGTACCATGGCCCGATTGAGTTCATTGAGTTCATTATACAGTCGTAAAGAATTCATCTCAGACAGTTTCACTTTCATGTACTCCCCAAGTTTCCCTAAGTTGACCCTGCAACGCGTGTGTTGGCCACCCATGCAGCCGCTCAGTGCGCAAGAGGACTTGAATCAACTTCTCCTGTTCTACCAGGTCTGTAAATCGATCGCCACCTGAAAATAATTCGTTGAGCCTAAGGTCAGGAAAATAGACGTTGGTTTCCTGATGATCACTCACATAGATGGAGAGCCATGCAACCGACAACCATTGCCGGGGGTACAGCGCTGTTTGATAATGCCACTCCGCACATTGTCCAGACACTCTTCCGAATTTGGGACTTTAGCTAAATCAGTAATGGCCCTCGTGATTCTCATATCATTTAGAATTACTTCAGCTTGCACTTACATCAGCTTCCTTCGCTAAACGTCTCCTCAGGGGTCCAACCGTTGGGAGGCCTGGGTCGTTCACAAACAGCAAAATTCTGGCCAGTTCGTGATATTGATAGCCGATGGCTGGTTGTATGAGCAGTCAGTTTCGATCTTGAATTGACTTTTTCGATCAGGAGCATCAAGATTTCCCAAGGGACCTTACCATGCCAGGGAGAACTAAACCGAATATCAGGGAAGGTGGCCCCAATCTCGCCCTCTTCGTTGGCTAAAAAGTACGGGTCAAACGACGGTGGCCGACTGTCACTCCAGTGCTGATTTTGTTCTTGCAAGTCAGCATGCACTGACGTAGACCGCGCTTGCGTGCCGAATGAAAATAACAAGACATCTGCACAGTGTGCGATAGCCTGGTTAGCCCATAAACAATCCCCATCGTCAGGACCTAGAGCTGTGAAAAGTGAATGAAGGGAGCTCAAGTCCACGTCTGGAGCTTGTTGTAGACTAAGAGCATTATAAATTTCCTGACGTAGCCCACTCCAGTAGACTGCTTGTCGTAAGCTTGGGGTTGTTGTCATAGAAGGTGGTGGACCCTGAATGAAAGCCCGAGTCCCGAAGGAATGGCCACGCATATCAGAGCCCGCCAAGGGTACTGCCATCGCCGTCAATAAAGAAACTGAGATTACTCGGCGTAGGTACTATTACTGACCGTCGAATTCTTCCAGCAAGCGAAGAATAACAGTAGCCGCCAACAGATCATCGTCCATAGTGACCTCCTGGTCGTTCAGTGCCGGTATCAAGGTCTCCAGGCATGCCTGGTAGTATTGAGCTGATACAAAGGCATCGTAGCTGGTCGTACAACTCAGCTGTCGTGCCGATAGAGCCATGATTGCATTGAACAATGTATCGCAGTATCGGGCACGATAGGGAATGTGGACCGCAAAATGACGCTGGTGATCCGTACAGTCAAACTGATGTATAACAGTCAGAACTCTTATCTCACCGTTACAAGAACAGTCTTTGGTATTGGCAGTCTGCTCACAAATGACGACGTTCGGTCCACGAAATGTTTCAGAAGGAAAGCCTCCTCGGGGTCTCGCAAAGGCCACGATCGCTGCCTTGGAGATGCTCCCTGGCCTTCCCGAATCAGTAGGTATTCTGGGCTCTGACTTTCCTCCGCAATATCACGGTTGATTAGGGCACCAAGGTTGTGTATAGTTGATGGGAATGTCGGCGTATCGGGGCTGGGAGTTGGTGGGTTATCGCCGAAGACCAGACCGTCGCCCAGATGGTGTCTCTCCACGGATAGATCAACTGTATCATCCAGCTCTCCATTACCAGACTCTAGTACAAAGTCAACTACGAGAGACGTTCAAATTAGGCACTGAGTTTGTAAATGGGGGACGGGGTAGTTCTAACCTCGAGGCGGTGGCTTGACCCAAACCTGATTACCAGGAAACCGGGTGCGAGGTCCTCGTCCCCTCGCCTGACGAAATCGAGTCTTTCGTTGACCTCGCACACAATTCCTTCCTGTACGCGTGCACCGGGCGCACTGTGGAATGTTGCCATCGCCTCCAGGAACGGTCAGAAAGGTGCTGTGCGCACGCAAACCATAGCGACGGAGGCCACTCACATTTGTGGTGTAGCAGACGACATGGTTCACTAAGATATATAGATCCATTAGCAGCGCTCACATATAGCTATTGTCTGAGGGTCTCTAACCAAGACTTGATTTCCTTTGCGGTGGCCATGGCTGGGATGAGAAACCGAGTCGGTGAAGTTGGAGTGCGAAAGTGCTGTGGAACCTGTAAGTTTGGGGCTGTGGGGAAGGCCCAAGTCATATCGGAGTCCCTCCGACGAGGGGAAATATAAAGTTGAGGTGGCCCTGAATAATAAGGTTGCCAACATTCTAACAAGTACATGTCTTCTCGTGCTTTTGGTACTGACTAGAACATGGAGGCTCGTACAGATGCCCTGGAGGTTGATTATGTCCCTGGGTATGTCGGAGCTCTATTGAATTTGATTAAAACTGGAAAAGCTAATCTTTTTCTAATTATCCAGAGAAACAACAATTCATTATCATTCTATCTGTGAATTCCGTATATCCTTCAACAGTTACTTCGGAGACTCGAGTTTCATGTGAGGTTTTTACCTCCTTCAGCCTGCGCCCGCACCCTCTCTCCCAACGAAACAAAGTCTATCACGGGCAAACCTTAGAGTGACACTCTTCTTCCTTCTGCAAATCTTCCGACGCCGAGCGTGGGAGGCGCTTAGCAACCCAGACCGAGTCCCAAATACTATTCGAGGAGACGAAAATCTGGTCTACCTCTTCGAGACTGCGACCGGCGGTTTCGGGAATCAGGAAATACACAAGAATCACCATGATGGCATTCAAGCCGGCAAAAATGATGAAAAGGCGCCATGATATAGCGTTGAATGCAATTGGCGTGATTTCAGCGATCAAGACATTCAAGGCCCAGAATGTCCCGACGCTAATACCGTTGATAGTGGCACGCATCTTCAAAGGCGCAATCTCTCCAACATACAAAAATGACACTCCTCCGAAACCGATGATGAAAGTGAAATGATACAAGAAGATGAAAACAACTGCAACGTGCATCGCAACCTTGTTTGTCGGCTGGGATCCCAGCCCAGCTACAAGAGCCAAGCAGATCGCGTTGCCTGCGGCACCGACTAGCATTAAGCCTCGTCGACCAAAGGCTTCCACGGTGAATATGCAAACTGTGCCTCCAACGAGACTGACGAGCTGATAAGAGGCGGCTAGAACTCTGCATGTTACAGAGTCTAGTCGAAGGTACTGTTCGAATATTGTATTTGCTAAACGAAAAGACGGGGATTAGAGCATAAAACTTCAAAAGGAAAATTGACAACATACTGAAAAACGTGATGACATTGATACCAGTTAGTTGCAAGAATAACATCACAGACGCGGCAAGCATCGCTCGATGGAAAGCTCGCTGGGGCCCCATTTGAAAGATTTGACCCAGAGACCCTTCACCAGAAAGCTTGAGCGATAACTGTATGGCCTGAATCTCAACGTCTATCTTGGAGTCATTGGGCTTGACATCTTCCAAAGCCGCAAGGATTTCGCGAGCCTCGATAGTCCGATTCTTTTGTATCAGCCAGCGAGGTGACTCTGGCATGAACGAGATGGCTCCAATTATAGCGATTGAAAACAGTACCTGGAAAGCGAAGGGGAAGCGCCAGCTCACACTCCCAGGAGCAAAAGACATCCCCAGGTCCAGAAAGAGGCTAAGCGATGTACCACCTCCAGCAAAAATTCCGGTCGTCGCCACATGTGCACCCCGTTTATGTGCCGATGATATCTCGGACTGCCAAATGGGTACAGTTGCGACCAACCCACCACAGCCAAGTCCAAGGATCAAACGAGCGATGATGAGGTGAACGAAGTCAAAAGCACTCGTCATCAGAATAGCTCCGACCATTTGCGTCAAAGCTGCCACTAGAATGACCCGCCGACGGCCTAGTAGGTCGCCCAGACCAATACACGAGAGAGCACCAAATAAGCCCCCGACAGCGTACAATGCAACGATTGTACCCTGAACAGTTGACTTTTGGGCCTTTTCATTAAGCGTTGCATCGTCCACATCAATCTCACGGAATTGCTGCTCGAAACTGTTCAAGGTTAAGACGCCGCCCAGTAATGACTGGTTATAGCCAAATGAGACAATGGAAGGCATCATCACCCCCAACAGAGCTGCCACATTGAGGCGATTGCCCCGAAGGCCCAGAAATGGGGGCATATGAGTGGAAGTATGGTTATGCCTTGAACGGAAAGGCAATTGACTTTAGTGACCGTGAATGGAAAGCTAATTTTGATGTCCAAAGGTTAAACTGAGAGTAGCTTCACTTTCAAAATTTCTATTTACTGAGACCTCCTGGCTAGGGGTATTTTGCGGGATCAGTCATGCCTTTTTGTCAATGTTGTTGTTTCCACATTCCATTCCAGCAATGTCTTGGACTGGCGTCAGAGATAGGGACACCCCACTGACGGCCAGAACGTGATAGCAACACCAAAAAGGAGTTCGACCAACAACTTCGTTGGTAAATAAAACTATGTAAATTTCAATACTATATTCATCTAAACACCATGTTTTATTTAAATATCGTATCTTTGCTTGAATACCGTACCACAAGCAGTATATAGCAGAGCTACTATCTCATTTACTGTATTCGGTCCATATACCATTTAAATACTGTACTAAGAAGTCATGGCCTGTCTTCGTGGAGCTTCAAATGACAGAATGTATTCGAGCGGGCTTGGAAGAAGGATTGGATAGATGGATATGTTTCGGTGGAAGAAGAAAGTAGCTTCTATATGATTACGATCTATACGATGAAAATAAACATGACGCGGAAGTAGAACCTACGTAGATGAGAGATGATAGCATAATCGTACTGTCAGTGCTCCCTCAGCAGGGTCTTTAAGACAGAACTAACACAAAGTAACATTGGAAAATCCTCAAACGCAGAGTAGAGGTAGAACCGTCGAAGTCGAACCTAGACATATTGAATATAGAGGCCCTTCTGAATAATATCTCAGCTAGATACGATGACTGTTATTGGCTACAACCTCACACACTGGAGTAGAGCTAGCAATCCGAAGATGTAGATTTAACTACCGAAACGTCCCCGCACCGGGCAAAACACGGACGAGGTTAATCAACTAGTCGCGCACAGAATTACCGTTTTCGGATGACTTCAGGGCAAGATCAGCCGCAGCCACCATTATTCAACCCCGCTCAAAACTAAACAGGCAATATCCACCCGCGACCGCGCCCACCTCACGCTTCATCAAGCCACCAACCATCGGAGAGTCACCGATGTGACCGAAACTAGAGATACTGCTTCCCCAGGAATCTCCGCGCCGCGTCGCTCGGCGAGAAATCTGGAGATCCCCGGAGAATAATCATCGCAGTGTGCGCGGTATATAAACCCCCACGGCAAGAATGTGTGCCTGGATCGAAATAGCCCCGTTCTTCTCAGAACGCCGAGATATCATGTTTTCACTTAAACAGACTAAACTTGTCCAGCCACCGGCTGGTGTTGACCCGGCGCAGAGGCGGGAGGGAAGTACGACTTACCTCTATGCGGTAACGGTGTTTGTGTCTCTCGGTGCATTCTTGTTTGGTTATGATCAAGGTGTTATGGGTGTCATCGTTGCGGATCAAAGATGGATTGATTTGATGCATCCTAAGAACTCTTGTGAGTACTAGTGGTTCAACCACAAGGAAAGATCTTGTTACTGACCAGGTTTAGGGGTGACTGGAACTGTGGTGTCTCTCTATGATGTCGGATGTTTTATCGGAGCTATGTCCCTTGGGTATCTTGCGGATCCAATTGGTCGTGAACGGACCCTGGCAATTGCCTGTGTTGTGTTTATTATCGGTGCCATTCTCCAAGTTACATCCTATTCAATCACACAAATAGTGAGTCTTCCCCAGCAACAGCTGTATATATTCTGCTAACAAAATTAGACTATTGGCCGCGTGATCCTAGGATATGGAGTTGGAGCCTGTGCAGGTGGTGTCCCTCTCTATGTCGCCGAACTCTCACCACCCGCAATCCGAGGCCGAATCGTCGCCATCGAACAAATGATCCTATGTCTCGGAGAATTAGTTGCCTTTTGGATCAACTATGGATTCAACTTCCTCGAGACTGACGATTGGTGGCGTATTCCACTGGCCATTCAGATTGTGCCCGCCATCATTCTGGGTATTGGCTGTTGGTTCTGGGTACCACCCAGTCCGCGTTGGCTGGCTAGCCAAGATCGTCACGACTGTGCACGAGAGGTTCTCATTCGACTCCACGGAACTGAGGCTGCAGAGCTCGAAATGCAGGAGATAATGAGTTCTATCGAGTTTGAGCATACGGTGAGCGAGGCCACTTGGGGTGATATGTTTACAATGCCCGTGTTGCGTGTGACTTTGCTGGGAATGGCCGTTCAATTCTTACAACAAATCACTGGCACCAACTCGATTTTGTATTACACTGTAAGTCTGTTTCATCATTCATTGCCTGCTCAATACTAACAATAATATCAGCCATCGCTATTCGAGCGCGGGGGAATCAAAGATCCCCGCACCGCAAACTTAGCCACCGGCGGCGTAGGCGTCGTCCTCTTCGTCTTCTCATGGGTCCCGATTTTCTACTTCGATCGACTCGGTCGAAAGACCTGGCTCCAAATCGGCACCGTCGGAATGATGGGTGCAATGATTGGCATCACCGTGTTACAGTGGCATGCTGAGCACCATCCAGGTGATAATGCTAACTATACAATCATAATGTTCCCGTACTTGTTCTACGTGTTCTTCAACATCAGTTGGGGCGTTGGATCGTGGACATATGCGGCTGAGATTTTCCCCGTCTCGATGCGAGCGAAGGGTAATGCGTTGACGACTGCTTCGCTTTGGGCAGCGTGCTATATCGTGGCACAGGCGAGTCCCCCTATTGCTGATGCTATTGGCTGGGGTCTGTATATTATCTATTCTGGCATCTGCGTGGTTGCATTTTTCTTCGTTCGTTATGCCATGGGTATGTGAAATTATTCACCTTGATCTCTCATGGAGCAGGAAGCTAACGGGAACAACAGTTGAGACTCGGGGTCGCACGCTGGAAGAAATGTCCCGGCTGTTTGGTATCGAGAGCCGTTTGGCTGAGCGTGTCGGTATCAAACCGGGCGAGGTGAACAAGACGTCTGTCGAGGAGCATGTGGAGGATGTAGGCCCTTCGAGTTCATGATGGCCTACGGGGTAGTATCTTAGAGATGGTCTCTTTGAAACTAAAAAAGGGCACTGAAAATGAAAGCATAATGAATGATACCGTTATTGCTTCCTCAGCAGGGTCTTTCGGACAGAACTAACGCACAATGTCATTGAAAATTGCCCAAACCGTCGACAACACACAGCAACATATTGCATATATACTGGATAATGTCTGGCAACGCTTGACGTCCTCCTTCCATTCTAGTGCTCACCTCCTCGCCGCTTTTTACACAATAACGAATGGCAGATCTGTCATTCTGAAACCAAATATTGAATTCGAGGCAAAGGTCAGAAATCTTGTCCAGAGAGTTGTCTTTGTCTGGTATTCAGATAGGAATACAATATCTGGGTTCTAGCCTTAAAATATCTGGTATCTAGCGGGATGCATTGTTGAGATAAGACAGTATTTAAATGAACATATTATTGAAATCCAAGTATAGAAGATGTATTTGTATAGTATTTTAGTAGTATGTAATAGGTATTTAGTAACTAGTAGGGATGGTAATCATGCTACGCAGTGCCTACCGTTCATTGTGAGTAAATGCTGATAGTAGTTACCTGAGTTGTAAGGAGGTATAACTTCAATATATGCTGAGACGGGCTCTATCAGCACAGAATTCGAATCCAAGAGTATGTCGCAGCCGTACCGTTGCTATGCTAAGCCTTACATGGGCTCGGGTCTTATTCATTATCTTCCAAGACGTCACACAGTGGGCATCAGGCACCAAGTGTTGTTAAGAGGTGCGCTTCCCTAGTTGTAGGTTGGGTTGCCTTGAAGGTGAACTATGAAACGTAAAGTATCGAAGGTAGTAACCAAGTGACAATGTGTAATTGATCGCGATGAACTAAATACACGATGTTAAAGGAGTACCCTCGTATAACCAGTCCTTTGTGGTGTGGTATACTAGACTGCCCATTCAAATAAAAAAAAATTGTTGAGTGAGTGACCTGGACCCGTCCCTGGGCAGAAATTTACATTTACGTGGCGGCATATAGAGCTTCCAGAAGTACGAGGAGTACTGTATATGGTCCTTTAGCCCGTGAGCATGTTTTTTCCCCGGAGACCGTCTTGATCTACACGCTACCTAAATCCTGTCTAAGGGGGTGTTCTCTTTGATTTTCGCCTTGTACGAACCCGAGTACGAAGTATTTCAGTTTAACGTAAGGAACGGGTAACTAGAGCTGAATTGACGAAAAGGGTTTCGGACTACTTGCTCATTTCGAACCGGAAGTTCTACCATTGACGGCTATATATTCACCACAGGTCATCATAGTAATGATTCTTTCTTGAATTTTACGAATGATAAATGTAAATGTTTTCTTTTTCGATCTTTCTTATACTTTTAACCCCCGTACAACGCCAGTCTGTCAAAGAGTGAACTTAATCCGAACTCAATATTGCGGGGCCGACTGTTGATGAGCATGATATTTGACACAAATCTCGTCAAATCTAGGTTTTTGGACCGGTGGCAGTCAGAAAGTCGAAATCAGCACCTTCATGAGACTGATTGACGGTTCGTTCGTAGAGCCCTCTATACCCGCGACGACTCTTTCGCTCCAACCAGACAGATGGTTGTTCTCCTTCATTTGCAGCCGTAAGCCTCTCCTTCCGCAGCGTGATGCGCTGGTGCAATTCCTCTTCACTGATCAACAGCTCGAGGCTTCGTTTAGTCAAATCAAGCTGTATCTCGTCTCCATTTTGCACGACTCCGAAGGGAGAGTCAGGGATACCCGATTCAGGGGAAACGTGCAGAAGAATTGTGCCTCCTGCAGTCCCCGACATGCGCCCATCGGACAAACGAAGCATATCTGTTACGCCCTGTGCGGCCAGCTTCCGCGGAATTGGAATCATACCAGCCTCAGGCATGCCTGGATTTCCGATCGGACCGATACCTTTGAGTACCAAGACTGAATCGGCGGTTACTTCCAGGCTAGGATCATCGAGACGGAGAGCAAGGTCTTTGGAGTTCTCAAATACCACAGCCTTACCCCTATGATGAAGAAGACGCTTCTCTTTAGAGGCAGAGGCCTTGATCACCGCACCGTTAGGGGCGATATTCCCACGTACCACTGCTAGAGAGGAGCAAGGATATAGGGGGTCAGAAAGGGTCCGAATAATGGACCGCGAGGATTCGAAGTCGCGAAAGTTAGAGCGGTCGAGTACTTCTCCTAGGGTCTCGCCGGTAATCGTTTGTGCGTTGAGGTAGAGTAACGGGCGTAGGCGGTTAAGTAGACATAACATTCCACCTGCATTATGGAAGTCGGTCATATAGTTGTCTCCACTGGGTTTCAAATCCACCAAAAGGGGCGTCGTTTGCCCAATGGAATCCAGATTGTCTAACTTGAAATTGCCATTGAGCTCTGGGTGACGGTTGACCATAGCCATTAGGTGGACCATAGCATTAGTGGATCCACCAATGGCTTGAAGAATGATGGCGGCATTATAGAAGGATTCGGCAGAAAGAATAAACTGAGGCGTCCTCTGGGCTTTAGCTGCCGCGACAGCATTTGCGCCCGTCTGCTCCGCAATTCTTAGTCGAGCTGCTGAAACGGCCGGGGCCGAGGCGCCCTGGAGAGGGATTAAACCGAGTGCTGCAGTAATGCATGCCATGGTGCTCGCCGTTCCCATCACACCACATGTTCCAATCTATTTGAGATATAACCGTGAGTATAGGCGGTCGCTGCCTGTGAAGAGTCATGAGGCATACCGTAGGAGCAAGTTCTTCATTGATACCCATAATCTCCTCCATGTCAATTTGGCCAGCCCGAAAAGAAGCCCAATTGTTCCGACAATCAGTGCAGGCGCCAATGCGCTTCCCTCGATTACTTCCTGGCATCATCGGCCCAGTTATAAGTGGGAGTATAGGTTTATTAGCGGAAATGCCCCCCATAATCTGCGCTGGGACCGTTTTATCGCATCCTACAAGGAAAAATCAGCATTTCAAGTCGAATTCCCGATATAAAACGCAGAACATACCCCCTATCATGATACACGCATCCACAGGCTGAGCCTTGATCATCTCCTCGGTATCCATACTCATGAGGTTTCGCAAAAACATGCTTGTGGGGTGGGAAAACCCCTCATGCAAACTAATTGTCGGAAAGTCAATGGCGATTCCACCATTGAGATGAACACCTCGCTTGGCTGCCTCGATAAGCTGGGGAGCGTTGCCATGGCAAGGGTTGAAGCCCGAATTCGTATTGATGATACCGATGATAGGGCGGGCCAAGGCATCTTCAGAATAACCAAGTGCTTTTATGAATACTTTGCGGAGGAAGAGGGAAAAATGGGCGTCTCCATAAGAGGTAAGACCTTGGCGAAGACCTGAGCTGGTATCCAGAGGTTGAGAAAGATTGTAGTCGTTTTTAGCCGCGTCAGGCTCGATGGGTTGCGCCATTTTGCTCGAAGTGGGTGCAAATCACAGCTTCGAATTTTTTTGAGATCATCAGACATATTAATAATTCCAAGTAAGTAGTTCATGTCTTTGATGTTCGCTCATTCCCTGGCTCGATAGAGAGGCCAAGGGGCGGCCCCATGCCGAACTCTTACGGAGCTGCTCCGCAGGACGGGGGTCATCCGAAACTGGAGCCATGGCAGAAGTACCTCGCCATAGACAGTATAAGTATATTGCCGACATGGTATCTTAGCAAGTTTATCGCCACCAATTTCTGCTACCTACGCTACAAACTGTATTTGAATTATGTTCCGACTGGACGGGAAAGTTGCCCTCATTACTGGCCTCGGCCAGACCAGTGAGGATGGTTGGGGGATTGGCGCTGCAATCGCGATGAATCTCGCACAGCAAGGAGCGTCTATTTTCGGGGGAAATCGTACATTGGCCGCCGCCGAGAGAACCAAAGCCCGAATTGAGGCCGAGGGGGGTATTTGCCATGTTCAACAAGCCGATGTCACCGATTGCGCATCCGTCGAGGCTCTGGTAAATGCCTGCCTCGAACGACACGGCCGTATTGACATCCTGATCAACAACGTTGGCAAGTCAGAGCCAGGTTGTCCAGCTACCATGGGAGAAGATATCTGGGACCAACAGATCGATCTGAATCTCAAGAGCGTCTATCTCACAACGCACTTTGTCCTCCCTATCATGGAGAAGCAAGAGACTGGTGGCGCAGTGGTCAATGTCTCGAGTATTGCAGGGCTACGCTACATTGGAAAGCCCCAAGTCGCCTACTCGGCCACCAAGGCAGCCATAATGCAGTTCACCAAGGCAACTGCGGTTATCTATGCCGATCGACGGGTGAGATTGAATACCATCGTTCCGGGTTTGATCTACACACCATATACTCGCGAACTCGCTAAGCGCTATGCCCCCGGAGGCGAGGAAGCTGGCTATATGAAGATGCGAGACGACCAGGTGCCGATGAAGAGGATGGGAGATGCATGGGATGTTGCCAATGCTGCGCTGTTTCTCGCAGCCGATGAGTCGCGATATATCACAGGTCAGGAGCTGGTAGTAGATGGTGGGATCACATCCTCGACGGGCCGAGTGTAATTTTAACATCGCGATTTTAGAGAGCCTAAACTTGCATCATTTGGCCTGTCTGAGCGTGATTTACTCAGGGTCTTTAATGGGAATACCTGAGCCCCAAAAACGAATTTCACCGAAGAGGAATATGTAATAATGCACCGGAAATTTGACTCTCAATGAATAACATCCATGTTCTTAATGGTAGAACAAAGATGTCTCAGACGCGCTCTAGCCTATTACTCTTATTGATCTTGGAAGCAAGTCACTTTGCGGAACGTCAACCTCAACTACGTTGCCAGCCTGCTAGGAACTACCCCTAGCCTCCGAATCCATAACGCTATATATTCCAAGCCATCAGTGAGACGGCATATTTGGATACTTTCATGCTCTGCAGGCCCTCCCTCGTGTTCATTACTAAAGGAAAGACCATAAAATGGTACAATTCGTCTTCTCTCTAGTTATTTTGCCAGAAAGAAGTGATGCGTGATTACTTTGATTGAAACGTTTCATTTGATTTATCATTTATCTCCACTCTATGATCTCCGGAATACACTTCGCATACCTGGTCATTTTTAAATTTCTAGATAAGCATTATATAATTTACGGGTATGATTCATGTCGCTTTCTCGTAATTCTGAATTGAGGAGACGGGCCAAAGAGGGGTGTCTGTTAGGATGTCATTGCCCCCGTAATACATAGTCTGAGCGTGCGTGGAGGAAATATCAATTTCATTGGCGACGTCAACGGCACATTTCATTTGTTTGATGTGGCGACTTTGACTCGAAACCGATCTTCGGAAATCATCCGTTCGTGGGGATTGTGTCGGATGGCTCCCGTCTCCCATCTAGCAACCAATATATTGCCGGCTGTGAGGGAAAAGGACACGGCCCGCGCCCTTGGAAACACAACGATATCCCATTTGATCTTCTATTGGCCCCTCTACTCTCACTACTTCTAATCTCTAACTCTATACCTGGAATTCGACGACTCTCGCGTGCCCAAGATGACTTTGGTCCATATTGGTGAGTTCTTTCTCCGAGACATTCAAGGAATGAGTATCATAATTCGGTAGTTCTCTTCAAGTTTCGGCCTGAAGTCACCGAGGAGCATAGGCGGAAATTTGTCACAGAGCTCAAAAAGCTGAAGAACTTGTCTTGTGTGAAGGGAGGACGGCTGCTGGTCGGAGGGCCTAGCGTCACCGACCCCATTGAGCGCAGCAAAGGCTTCCAGATCTCTCTGGTTAGCTTCCATGACAATCTAGAAGCTCTGTCGGAATACCAGGCCAGCCCAGAGCATCACCAGTACGTTAATGTGATTTGTGTGTCGGGAAGCACAGCGCTAACTCCAATGTTTGCAGTGTTACCTCCACCTACATGTTTCCTTACAAGGAAGACCTTATGCGGTTTGACTTTGAGGTGGATGACGAAGACGAGTATATGTGTGATTTTCCATTATTGAGATAACTCGCGTTATTTCCTAGTATGGCATAAAATCAATGTAGGCAGGATTTATGGAGATGGACCTGCATTACGCATGTTGGTTTAGCCCCTCTATTTGTACATAACTGAACTCTGATGGGATATGGTGGAGTTGGAATAGCCCAAATCCTTGATTTTTATGAATTTTGCAAGGTATTTCAGATCAATGCAGGCTTCATGAGAAGTACAAATGTTCTTCGTCGGGAATTGAGGGTCAAATTCAAATCTGCATGAAGAGTCTGAACCCGTATCTAGTATATTATCAACTACCACAGTTATTAAACAACGTCTCGGTTGATATATTGGTAGGAGGGCCATTTGCTTAAGGAATGCATGCCAGTAATTGATTTTGGCTTCTTATTTGAGGGGATCTTCCATATAGTGCATGCAATATTCGCCTACCACACGAGATCAAAGATTCATTACAATGAGGTAGAGAGGACGGGTGGAGGAATAATTTTGCCACAGTCCAAAAAATGTTGGTTCAAACTACACTTTACATATTATTCGAAAGCAAGGTCTTTTTAGTCTGTAGCGAGTTTACTTTGCATAATTTAACCACGGAATTATTCAATATGGGAACACGGAATGGATTCGTTTCCTGGTATGGGCACACATAACGGCCACGTTTTACGACGATGGGGCAATGTGCGGTGCATATCCGAAGGGACGGGAGGGCTCCGCTTATTTACAATTCAATTAACGAAAAAAAAAGAATATGCCACATTATTTAAAGAACTTTCCAGAAGCTAAATGGGCTGCTGCCCATATTCCTGAGCATACCACAAACTGTCCATGATCGATCTGCTTGACACTAGGTAAGCTTTTGATTCGGTCTTTCTTAGCTGTTAGCAATCAACTAATATGCATTCTAAGAAGTCCTCGATCTCATTTCTCCCCGATCACGTTTCTCATCAACCAAAATTCAACACCATTCTGCCACTCCAGATATGGAAAACACGATATCCCATGTTTGTGCCGTTTGGGACCGCCAGCGAAACAGCAGTCCTATTTATGCTTTACTTCTTGATGGCATTGACATTTACTATGCTGAGCACGGAGTCATACGTGCCACACTGCCTGTACAGTCGCTCCATGTCAACTCAAAAAATTCTCTTCATGGAACGCTGTCTGCATGTGTAGTAGATTGGGCGGCGGGGATGGCAATCGCATCTACGGGCCTTGATGTGACGGGCGTCAGCACCGATTTGTCTGTATCGTATCTCTCGAAAGCTCAATTGGGAGATATTCTGGAGATCGAGGGAAAGATTCTGAAAATTGGAAAGACGTTAGCGTTTACTACGATAACTATTGGAAAACAAATGGATGGAAGGACAGTGGATATAGTGCACGGTTCGCATACCAAATTCCTCAGATGACGACGCCGGGAAAGTCTTTAGGTCAGAGAGGGACAAGAAACAGACAATCTTGGATATCTCTCTCTATAATTAAGACAGTATGAATCCAGAGGAAATATTAAGTATAAAGATGACCAAAATGGTAGTCAAAGGCTGGATCGGATTCAGGCTCACCACTTCTAATCTACTGCTTGAACTTTTCTTGAACTTTACCCTGAAACATAAAAGCCTGTTGTAGATTTGATTTGATTTACTGGTAATACCATGAAACTCCTGCAGCCGTGAGGATATATCTCATGGTATATGCACATAAATGCCCAAGTCGGGTATCTCTACGAAGTACAAGTCTCAATTTCCCTCAGTCAATACAGTAAAATTCTCCCGTAGAAGCTCATGTGATTATTTACCTAGCTCCTACCTTGATAGTCCAATTAAGAAGGTGGACCTGGCAATATGGTATGGTCACCTGTCATCCATCGTTTTTGCTGCAAGGCTGTAACTCTATGTTGTAATAATCTTATCGTGTACCGCTACCTCCTTAACGAATAAACTTTCGACTGATGTAGCTTACTGAGTCTGGGGACTACTGTAAGCGGAGAACTACATCGTATTGATGTTAGACCATATATGCTAGTAGAGGACTAATACTCCTGTGATATCGCCAAACCACAAGACGTCGGTCGAGGAGCACTTGGAGGATGTAGGCCCTTCGAGTTCATTGGGCTACACGGGGGTATTATATTAGAGAGCCCTTCACGTTTACTAGAAACCATGGGTTCTATTACGGCCACATACCTGAAGATTGTGCCAATTCATGGACCAGTGATCTACTCTAGTTCAATGAAAAATAACACACCAACTGGGATATCTGTTTTGAGATTTGAATATGAACGATATCAGCTCCGTAAGCTTGAACATCTTATGAAAAGTGCATAGTAGTCAGACCATGGGCATCCAAGAAACCCGGCGGGAACCCAGACCGCTCCCCAAACCGACTCCTCTCCCTCTGACCAAACACCTCACTCGAATTAGCAGTGTTGTAATAGTTGACCGTCTTCAGAAGCTCCATCCTACAAAAGGTCTCTTCATACGAAGCAAATCCCTCAGGACCAGACCTGACAACGGCAACATCCCCACGAACCTCCCTAGCGTGGTGACGGCAGCGAGTAGCAATATCATTCACAGGCAGACCCGGCGCCGAAGACGCATACATGTAGTAATACCAGTGATTGTCCTTTGCCTGGTGTGAGTAGAATTTACCAGCCTCGTCGGCGTGCGGCCAGCCAAGTCGTTGCTGCAGCTCTTTCATTTCCACGATCCAGTTGCCGTAGGCGCTGAGGGGGAATGGTTCGATACGATCGGCGGGATTGGTGCTTCCGTTGGGGGCAGTGGTGCGGATGATAAAGCAGTTGTGCTTTTGGGCGCCGGCGCAGGTGCGCTTGTGGGTTGTCCAGTCTTGTTTTTGGCAGGCGGCGCTGCAGTAGCGGGTTTTGGGTTGGTCGCAGATACTACAGGTCAGAGTGCCGGGGTTGGTGCAGGCCGTTACTGAGCATGGTTCGGCTGGCATGTCGTCGGATGGGATGGTGTTGTTTTCGGCTGGGAGAGTGTTGTCTGTGGAAGTGCTCTCAGGTAGAGTGTTAGTGTTGTCTGTAGGAGCATTGCCTGGGGAAATGTTGTCAGAGGCAGCATCGTCTGTGAAAGGGTTATCTGAGGGAGTTTGCTAGTTGGAAGAGTCCCCGTTGGCAGAGTGATAGTCTTCAAGGTGTAGATGAGAGGTGGAAGAAGGATGCCGAGGACAAGGCTCAACTTCAGAGCGGGAGAGAAGGTGCGGGGCAGAAAGCGGGCAAAAAAACGAGTGAAATTGAAGAGAACCCATGAAGGGCTAAAATAGAAAGGAAAATGCCGAGATCGACGTTGTGGAAGATACCGAGATGGCTCTTGCAGAGGGTGATATGAACGCGCTGGCAGCAACCAAAAAAATATCGCCGATAAGGGCTCGCTATCGCGATATCTCAGATTTTGGCAACGCGTTGGTGGAGGCGTGGATCGATCCAATGAAAAGGTCTTTTTTGGGACGCGACTCTTGATCTCGTTGTAATCATTGCGGCATACTGTACTAGTTGAGGCTTGTGGAGGAGAAAACTCAAAAGGAATGTATTGAAACCTAGAAAAGCTCATTATGGTGAGTATGGATGAGTGCCAGTCACGCTATCGCTATCTATAGAGATAGCTAGAAGTCGATTCAGGAGAAATGATCCGAGAGAGAAGGCCTCAAGTTAGGCTATTTGACCTGTTTTACAACCTTAGTATAGCTTCAACATTCTGAACTGCCATATAATTAGCCAGTTGGCGAATCTTGGCGGCCATTTCCAGTGTCGAGACCAGGTTATCCGATAATGACAGACCAGTGATCACGAGGATAGGAAGATCTCAGCCTATTGTAGAATAAGATATGGCGGCAGGATTGAGTGTGCTATTCCAGACGCTACATAATAATGTTTACGAGCCATGAAGTACTACCTTCTTATGTACGATGCCGGGAGAGGCAATGATCCCACTATTACCCATTATCGTGCCATCGGTAGTCATCGGTTCAAACCCAAGGCCAGAAATGCGGTGACCAGCACAGCCATGCAATAGTGTACTCCGGTCCAGTTGTAGTGCAGGAAATGCAGGAACCAGGGCCGAGACAAGCCCGGAAACGCAGACCGCCAGTTTGGAGCCCCGCGAAGAGCCGATAAGTGAACGAATGATTAGTTCACTGCCCCTCCTGGAGATCCCGGGCACGGATCACAGGCTGGGTCGAGTCCGAGGGGTCGAAACGGTCAACCTCTTCACAGCTAGTAGACTTCATAGTCACTGCGAATACACAATTCCTAAACCATGGCCTGATGGCACAATATGAGCATCTCCTGATGAAAACGTAGGATCCAGAATAGGGGGGTAAACCAAATACTGGAACGATTACGCGAGTCCAGGTACCCGTCAAATCCGAAAGCGGAGCGTACCATGGCCGACCTAGATAGCGGCGTCGATTGGCCCCAACAAGATGGCCCGCTGGAGCATGATTGCGACTCTTGGAAGCCGTCCACTGGCCCCGGTACTCATGAATTTCCACTTTTTTTTTGTGAATGCTCCATAATGTATTTTGTTATTAGGCGAGGTCAAGATGGACGGCCTGTGTCGAGAAATAGTAGGCACCGGATGGCAGTCGCCCGGCTCAAAGGAGCTAGTGCCCAACAATCAACTGGTCCTGGAAATCTATCGAAGATCTTTGAAAGTCGGAACTTCCTAATTGGTCCAAATAGATTGTTGACCGAGAGGAAAAATCAAGGCAATAAACAAGGAGGCCAAAAAAAAGGGGGAGGGGCACAAAGTGTTAGGCTGGAGAACCCCGGAGACCAGCGGAGCTCACGTGTGGGCAGTGGACCTTCCCCCCGAGGAACAAAACTATTTAATCAGTCCGCAGCCCACTTTCTCTCCCGCAAACAACTAACTCGTTTCCTCCCGCTACCAACCTCTTTTTCGGTTCGTATAAGCCTTGTCAGTAGGTTCGATCACTTCTCCTCGAGACAGTGATCACATACAACCGTCAAAATTTTCGCCACGCAGCTTAACTCGTGAGTCTTTCCCCCCACCTCGCCGGCATCGAATTCCCCTCCTCGAGGGTTACCCCTCGAGATAGCCCTCGCGGCCATGGAAACCTCCCCTATTCCTCCAATTCAGTTGCTAACTTCTCTCTTCCAGGCGGCACCACCCGTTCAACGGCCGACGCACTTCCAACCGTGGAGGGGCATCGGATTACGCATTATACTTGCAGTAAATCCATTCGGAGCACACTATCAGTTCACTCTTCTTAACTCTTCCCACCCACTATCAACACCCTTGTGAACGCAATGGCTCCCCACGCAAGCTCGGATGTTGCCAATGGCACCGTGAACGGGTCGGCTCGCCAAGAGGCTTCCCCTCTTTTCACTGTTCAGTCGCCCAACGTTGTCTACACCGACAACGAGATCAAGTCTCAGTATGCCTATCAGACTACTGAGATCACCCGCACTGCCGACAACAAGATGGTGGCCACTCCCAAGGCCACCAACTACCACTTCAAGGTGGAGCGCAAGGTCGGCAAGGTCGGTATGATGCTGGTCGGTTGGGGTGGTAACAACGGTTCCACCGTCACCGCCGGTATCATTGCCAACCGTCGCGGTCTCTCCTGGGAGACCCGTGAGGGTCACCAGAATGCCAACTACTACGGCTCGATCGTCATGAGCTCCACCGTCAAGCTCGGTACTGATGCTAAGACTGGCGAGGAGATCAACATTCCCTTCCGTGACCTGCTCCCCATGGTCCACCCCAACGACCTTGTCATTGGCGGTTGGGATATCAGCAGCCTCGACCTCGCGGCCTCTATGGACCGTGCTCAGGTGCTGGAGCCCAGCCTTAAGGCTATGGTCCGCAAGGAGATGGCCGAGATGAAGCCCCTGCCTTCCATCTACTACCCGGACTTCATCGCCGCCAACCAGGAGGACCGTGCCGACAATGTCATTGAGGGCACCAAGGCCAGCTGGGCTCACGTTGAGCAGATCCAGAAGGACATTCGGTGAGTACTTGATAGAACTGTCATTGGGAATCATATTTTTGCTAACTATTTATCTACAGCGACTTCAAGGCCAAGAACGACCTTGACAAGGTCATTGTCATGTGGACTGCCAACACTGAGCGTTACGCTGACATCCTCCCCGGTGTCAACGACACTGCTGAGAACTTGATCAACTCTATCAAGAACGGTCACGAGGAGGTTGCCCCCTCCACCGTCTTCGCTATTGCTTCCATCCTGGAGAACGCTCCTTTCATCAACGGCTCCCCCCAGAACACCTTCGTTCCCGGTGCTCTGCAGTTCGCCGAGCAGCGTGGTGCCTTCATTGGTGGTGACGACTTCAAGTCTGGCCAGACCAAGATGAAGTCCGCTCTGGTCGACTTCCTGATCAACGCCGGTATCAAGCTCACCTCCATTGCCAGCTACAACCACCTGGGTAACAACGACGGCAAGAACTTGAGCTCGCAGAAGCAGTTCCGCTCCAAGGAGATCTCCAAGTCCAACGTCGTGGACGACATGGTTGCTGCCAACCACATTCTCTACGAGAAGGACGAGCACCCGGACCACACCGTTGTCATCAAGTACATGCCCGCCGTGGGTGACAACAAGCGTGCTCTGGATGAGTACTACGCCGAGATCTTCATGGGTGGTCACCAGACCATCAGCTTGTTCAACATTTGCGAGGACTCTCTCCTTGCTTCCCCCTGATCATCGATCTGGTTGTGCTTGCTGAGATGATGACCCGTGTCAGCTGGAAGGCTGATAGCGAGGGTGCCGAGTACAAGGGCTTCCACAGCGTGCTGAGCGTCCTCAGCTACATGCTCAAGGCTCCCCTGACTCCTCCCGGTACCCCGGTCGTCAACGCTCTGGGCAAGCAGCGTTCTGCTCTGATCAACATCTTCCGTGCTTGCGTTGGCCTCCAGCCCGAGTCGGAGATGACTCTGGAGCACAAGCTGCTGTAAGCAGGGAACAACACTTTGTTGATCCTGGTCTAACTTGACCGCTATACTAACTGTAGTCACTCGTTGATCATAATGCAAACTGAAATTGATTTCTCAACCCTTTCAAAGTAATCATTGCCTAATACTCAAAGTAGTCGTATTGCTATAGCAGTTTCACATAAACGACTTGCTGTATCTATCTCAACCACTCCATATATCTTCCCCTACTCCTTAACATGCCCAAGCTCCGAATACGCATTCAACGCCAACTGCCCACCCAAATGAGCATACAAGATGTTCCCACCTTCAATCTCCCCCTTCCGAATCATATCCACCATCCCCGCAAAACTCTTCCCCTCATAAACGGGATCCGTAATAAACGCCTCCATCTTGGCCGCATACTCAATAGCCTCCCAGGTCTGTCGATCAGGAACCCCATAAATCCCCGCATGATACCTCTCATCCAGAATAACATCCTCATCCGTAATATCCTCCTCCTTCAACCCAATCTTGGCCGCAGTATTGCGCGCAATACGAAGTACCTGCGCACGAGTTGCTTCGACCGTCGCCGAGGCATCAATCCCGATAACCTTGCGCTTGGGATCATCCGGGTACAATTTCTCGAGTAACTTGAAACCAGCAATCATCCCCGCGAACGTCGAGCCCGTCACAGCACAGACAAGAACAGTATTAAAGAAAACATCCATCTCCCGCTCCTGCTGACGAACTTCAAACGCCCACCGGGCAAATCCCAACCCACCGAGCGGATGATCCGAAGCCCCCGCCGGAATATAATAAGGCTTGCCCCCCTCCCTCGTACACTCCTCCACAACAGCCTGAACAGTATTCTTATGCTCAATCCCAAACCCACTCGGATCAAGCCTCACATCCGCGCCCATAAGCCGGGACAACTGAATATTGCCCACAGCCTCGTACCCCTTATCCGTCCAGTCGACCCAATGCTCCTGCACAAGTCTCGCCTGCAACCCGCTCCGCGCCGCGACGGCGGCAACCTGGCGGGTGTGGTTGCTCTGGACGCCGCCGATGGAGACGAGCGTGTCGCAGCCCTGGGCCTGCGCGTCTGCGAGCAGGTACTCCAGTTTCCGGGTCTTGTTGCCGCCGTAGGCGTAGGCGGAGTTTAGGTCGTCGCGTTTGGCGTAGATGGTTACGGGTGGGTGTGGATTGTTTTGGGCGAGATCGGCGGTTATGCGGGGGAGGGTGTGGATGGGGGAGGGGCCGAGGAGGAGGGGGGTTCGGGGGATGGTGGAGAAGGGGGGTGGGAGGGGGAGAGGGTCGGTTGTAGTTGGAGTTGGAGTGATGGTCATTGTAGATAGAATAGCAGGGTAAGGGCTATATAGGTTGATATAGTCTTTGCTTGTAGGAGGATGGAAAGAGGATATTGAGTATAGAAGGATAGAACTGGTGAAACACTCAATTGGAGTAAACGATGCAGAAATCAAGACACCTTTATACACCAAAACCCCCTCTCCTCCCCTCTCCTATCTATCAATCCGGCCATCCTCCGTGCAGAGAAAATCCACAAATCCACCACGCAAGACATACAGCACGCAACACCATGCAGTCCCCGCTCCTCCAGCCCTCCACTATGTACCTGTACACCGTAAAGATCACCCCATTAGTCCACCTACCCCAATTCCAATTCCACCTCCCATCCTATCATCCTACATCTCCAAGTCCAGTACAGTACAGCAGAGTAGCGTGCAGCCTCCATCTATCTGCCGAGCTTATCCCGAAATCGGGGCGTGCCTTATCGCATCACTGCGGAGAAAGGTGGGGAACTACGGACTTTGGCCGCTATCAATTGACTGGTTTACCTCTCTCTGCCCCTGGAGTTATCCGGTGATGATCGTTGTTTCTAGTTGGCTGTTGGGAAGGCGGGATCGAAGGCTGAGGCCTCGTGTCGATGGTTGTGCCGATTGTAAGCGCTGGGTAGTGTTGATCTTGATATGTGATGTTGGTTTAGTCTTTGGGGTATCGGAGTTGGATGTGGCCTCCGCGGATTATCAATTGATAGGGGTGTGCTCGTAGGTTGGAATCGGATTCGGTTAGGTTGATTGGCCCCCTCGGTGTTGTGGCATAGCATACGAGGGAGGTCATGTACGTCTACACACCTCGTCTATGTCATACCAACCCCCAAGGTGCCCGGGACGAGGACCTTGGGAAACGCCTGTTATCTACTAAAATCATTCACATCCCTTCGGGATCTGGTTCCCGCGAGATGAGTTTACAAGATTTATCAAGCTGAATCTACTTTGACACACATTTTCATCACAACAAAAGGGAATTCATATTTCACATCGAGCCTTTTTGGGATCGTCATCAACTATATCACATATCACAAGTCTATTTCATATCCACCACGCAGCGAACGCAGTCTCCAGCCTTCATCTGCTCAAAGGCAGTGTTGATGGCCGACAGGGGCTCACGGTGGGTGATAAACTCGTCCACCTTGAGTTTGCCGTTCAGGTAGTCATCCACGAGACCGGGCAGTTGGGTGCGACCCTTGATACCACCAAAGGCACAGCCCTTCCACACACGACCGGTAACCAATTGGAATGCTATTAGAGAAGAGAGGGTTAGTATCAAGACGGAATACAAGTGAATCCAGGAACGGGTCTACTTACGACGAGTGGAGATCTCCTGGCCAGCAGCAGCAACACCAATAACGATACTCTCACCCCAGCCCTTGTGGCAGGCCTCGAGGGCAGCACGCATAACACCGACGTTACCAGTGCAGTCAAAGGTGTAGTCGCAACCACCATCGGTCATCTCAATCAGGTGCTCCTGGATAGTCTTACCCTGGAGCTTGGTAGGGTTGACGAAGTGGGTAGCACCAAACTTGCGAGCCCAAGCCTCCTTGCCATCGTTAACGTCGACAGCAATGATCATGCCAGCCTTGTTCTTGACAGCACCCTGGACAACGGACAGACCGACACAGCCGACACCGAAGACGGCCACGTTGGAGCCCTCCTCGACCTTGGCGGTCTCGACGGCCGCACCGTAACCGGTGGTGATACCACAGCCCAACAGACAGGCGCGGTCAGTGGCGATCTTGGGGGTCACAGCGACGACGGAGATATCGGCGACGACGGTGTACTGGGAGAAGGTGGAGGTACCCATGAAGTGGAGGATGTCCTTGCCGCGGGCCTTGAAGCGGGAGGTGCCGTCAGGCATGACACCCCTACCCTGGGTAGCACGGATCTTGCCACAGAGGTTGGTCTTGCCGGACTTGCAGAACTTGCACTCACGGCACTCGGGGGTGCTATATCACGGTTAGTGGTGGGTTCAACAAGCTGTGCAGAAGGCAGAGCTTTTTCAGAAAGAATAGTGAAAACATACTAGAGAGCAATAACGTAGTCACCGGGCTTGACGGAGGTCACACCCTCGCCGACCGACTCGACGATACCGGCACCCTCGTGACCCAGGACGATAGGGAAAGCACCCTCCGGGTCCTTACCGGAGAGAGTGTAGGCATCTAATAGAACAGTTGTTAGTACACCATCTTCATCTTTGTACATTGCCATTGCACATTGTTTTGAGCATGGCGGGGTTCATCGCGGGGCTTACCGGTGTGGCAGACACCAGTGTGGTGAATCTGAATGCGGACCTCGTGGGCCTTGGGGGGAGCGACCTCGACATCCTCAACGGACAGAGGCTCACCGGCAGCCCAGGCAATGGCAGCCTATGGATAACAATTCAATTAGATTTTAGTTCATGGAAAGGGTTGCTTGTCGGCGCGATTGATGGCGGGGTATATTGCGGCGCGCGCATTTTTGGTGTGGCGCGGGGTTGGCCAACGTCATTACGCGCGGCGAGGATCGGAATGAAGAGAGAGCTTTACCTTGCAAGTGATGGTCTAGCAAAGATTGTTAGTTTGACGATCAGCTTCGTAAATCAAAAAGGATAGTGGATATATACCTTTCCTACGGTGCTAGCCATGGTTGTATGAAGGGAAAGTAGAGTGTATCTAGTCCCACACAATACTCTAAAAGGCGGTGGTCAGTGACGAAAGTCGGCGGGAGGGGCCAGAGAAAAAGACTCACCAAGGTTGAAGGTTAAAACGGGAAGAAAAGGAAAGCGGACGAGTGAAGGGTTTTGAAGGGGGCAGTTTGCGAGGGGAGTGGAGCAAAGCAGGCAATGAGGGGAGTGGGGGGGAAAGACTGCTGAGGAGGTGGGCAGCAAAGAATTAAGTATGGAACACTTCAGAACGAGGAGAAGGTGAGGAGAGAAAGGAAGAATGAGGGGCCCGTCTCCAACGGCTGGCTGGCCCGACTCGGCCGGTTTTCTTTTGGAAAATCTTGGGATCTCCGATGGGTATATTGTAATTTGGATTGGCCAATTCAATGCTTTGACTATCTCCTGTCTACTATCTTGGAATTGTCTAGAGCTTCAAGCTATCTACTGCAGCTATCGAGCTATCCAGCTATCTGCCGATGTCCTCGGGAAAGCATTGCGACACGGTCCGTATCCGTCCCCACCAGAGACAAGAAGAGAATTATGCAGAAGATAGTAGATAGTGAGGCTCTAGAAAAACGAATGCAAGCTACAACTATTTCAATGGATAATAATAGAACCTACATAGATACCATTATAACATAATAAGCTAGGAATAGGATCTAGAGAATTTTAGACCCCGCATAAGGGCGAGGGGAAAAAGCTGACCAGCCGGGAAACGGGACCGCACCCGGCCTTATCGCCAGTTCTCCATCGCGGGCTCCCAAAAAGGTAAAGGTTTCCGGCGTTTGAAAAGTCGCAATTCTACCAGGTTCGACCAATCACATTAGCCTGTCACGAACTGGCGCCAAGGCGTCTGTATCTCCAATAAGTTTTGATACTGGGTCTCATACGAAGCCATCTAGAATTGAATTGGAGTGACTACCGAAGACGCATCCTAGGTAGGCCCTAGCAATCCACTCAGCAAGTGTCCTCGTCAACATCAAAATGGGACGATGCCGCTTTTATATTTGAAAGATCGGGATAAATAGGGATGGCCATTCTCCCTATTTGATCCCGTCCAAATCACTATGGTACAAGTAGGGAGCCAGATCCCCCAGTGGTCCGTCTTCCTCATAGGCCTTGAACACGGCCCACGAGCATCGGCCACCGGGGGGCATTTTCAATCGGTTCCCAGAGAGGGGAGGTTCCCGGGCCGTTCAGGCACAGGCATTACTCGGCCCTGTCTTCGGCCCGAGAGGTACACAACTCTTCTTTCATCATCATCTCCTGCCTTGATCACTTTTTCCCCCATACCAAGGCACCCTCGGAATCTCGGGTATCAGAAACTAGACGCTTATTTGCCGCCCAGCTGACCGCTCTGCATCATAGCAGCGTTCTGCTCCTGGAACCGCTCGTTCAGGCGTTGGGAGCTCTTGAGGTGCTTGTCGACGCAGCGCATGATGCACTGCTCCTCACGGTTGATCAGGGACTTGGTGGTGAAATCGTTGACGCAGTCATCGAAGCAGCGCTGGACCATCTTGGAGTACATCTGTAGAGTGATATTAGATTTGGAAACGGGGTTTCGAATTATGAAGACTCGTAGAGGGGATAGGGTAGAACAGGGTTGGCGGAGGTTGGGTTCAAGGTTCAATTGGAAGGCCCGGGTATCAGGGCTTGCCTGATCGACCTGTCGGGTAGGATTGCCGTGCAGTAGAAATATGGATTTGAAGGTAGACATACAGTCATAAACTCCTTCAGCTGCTTCCGCTCCATGCGGGCGGCGAACTCGCGCTGCTCGTTTGCGTTGAGGCTGTTCCCAAGGCGTTCGTTAGTCTCGGAGTCCACCAGCAAAATTCAGGATAGGATATTTAGCAATGATGTAGATTGCAGGAAGACACACCCGTCCATTATGTGTTTTATATGTGATAGATATTGAAATGAAATTGGTTTGTTGATGGAGTGAACGTCTGGTGTAAAATAACAACCGGTTCGGCGAGACGTGGAGCTCCGAAGCTGCGTCTCGGCGCAACTACGTTTGTCCGTGGACCGGGATAATAATCACGTGATGGATAATCTCGAGTCAGGATTATGTCATATAGATCACATGACTTACGCAAGGTCGAGTCACCTGATCGGTCGTTTGCGGTGGAGCTCGAGTCCCGTGCGGAAGAATCCCCACAGTCCCAGTATACAATTCTTGGTTACGGATTTGGAGAAGAGTGACAGCTCAAATTCTGAAGCCAAAGACGTAATGATTATCCAATATATATATAGCCCGGGTGTATTGTTTCATAAATTAGCATTCCACATGTATTTTTAGTCATATATCGAGGTGGATTAGACATGGTTTTGGGCATATTCATCCAGAAGTTCTAGCAGGGTCTCCAAGTTACGGAACAGTGATTTTTTGCATACTCTAGGTGACTCAGAGGAAGATAGAATAGTTTAACTACTGTACCGAGTTATAACCGGTAAGTATGTGGATCTGTATACTTAATCACCATCAACTGCTGCTAGGCTAGCCGAGGTGCCTGAGGACCCCCACACCAGTGGTTCCTGGATCCGGTCATTCGAGACCCTCCGAACCCTTTTTTCCTCAAAAATGGCCCCGTCCAGCCCAACGGTCCCGTTTCGAGTGCTATTAATAAATTCAACCAGAACCCTACACCTTCATTCCCATCTATCTAACAGTGTTTTTTACCTAGAAACGACGATTGAGAAGCATCTCCCGCCATTCCGTGCTCCGTGCTCCATGCTCCATGCTTTCTATACTCCACAAGGGTCTCTGGGTATACTTCTAGAACAAGGCTGTACAGTATACTCCGTACCTCCATCGTTGATCCATACTGCATACCTTTACTCTTTCTTTCTCCATCATCTCCATAATTCATCCATTCCGTCCACATAATTTGCCTGCACATGGCAGTTCCGATAGACAGGCGCGCGCATAGGGCCTCGTTTCATGTAGAGTCGATCATCCTAGTTCTTGGGTTCTCGACACTACTACTCTTTTCCTCCTCCGTGCGGCTCTCTCCTTTCGCTCTAGCCCTTGCCAATCACTAGGGTCTACGTATCCTTTGCTGACCAGGCCTGCCTCCTTTTATTCCTCGATCCCTCTTCGTGCGATTCATGCTGAGCACACGGACTTTGTGGACATTTTAGGCCTGGTGGTTTCTGCACACGAACTACACTTAAACCATAGCTCTCAGCTGGGCTTATCCAACGCTCGATCCTCATCCTCTTTCTATACTCCTACTCCCCTTTATCCCCTCCATTACTGCTCATCCGTTGGCCCCCCCTTTCGACAATCCGCCGACCACCGAATCATTGGGCTTTGGTCCCGAAAAGACTGCAGTTGTGGCTCGTGCCCACTTCCAACCCAAATTGACCCAAAAACCGTTCCCCCTCCTCCTCCTCGACCCCCTCGACCACTTCGAACCCTTACCCACTCCCTTTTGAACCCTGTCGCATCCCTTCTTCATCCTTCTCATTTTCCCTACTTCTTCTTCCTTATCCCTACTCCCCTTAATCCATCTCCTCCCTACTTTTACGAAAACAACTTGAGCTCCCCCCATTCCTTTGCCACCACCATCCTGGGCCCAGCCCCAGGATTTCCACGGGATCCTCTTTACACGAGGGCGGTGACGCAGGCCCTTCGACGTTCCCGCGATCATTCCCCTCCCCATTCCCCTCCACACTCTGGATTTGAACCGCCGTAATCCTTTTCGCCGATTTTCTCGCTCTACATCCCTCGCACCTCCTCAGCCCGGTCCCGTCTCTCTCGATCCCGGTTCACCATGGTGACCGGCAAGTCGCAGCCAGGCGTTGAGCCAGTACAGCTCCATGCTACCTCCCCTGACCCGACCGGCTCCAACTCCCCACCTTCCAAGCGAGATTTGGCATCTTGGTGGAGGCAGTTCAAACGAAATACGAGGAAAGATGAAGTTAAAGGTACGTGGTGTTTGATAGTTCTCCGAGGAATGGGAGGGGCGCAAAATGGTGGCACTCAGTCTGCTAGCGTCTCTGCGTATCGACCTGACTTGTGTCTGCGCGCGCTGCAAATTGGCGATTTCCTAGAGCGGGCACCTTGGGGGAGAGGTGATAAGATATTGGGTCTCTCTTGTCGCGCGGAGTGGATTGTTATCTATCGCGCAGCCTTGTCTCGCCGGGCGGGGATTGTCTTTGCTGGAAACATAAGCTGACCCGTTTTCTCGCAATAGAACCACCTCGAGGCATCTTCGGTGTACCACTGAATGTCAGCATCAAGTATGCGAATGTGGCCATCTCTCTGACTGGAGAACATGGCAAGAGTCATATTTATGGATACGTCCCTATCGTTGTGGCCAAGTGTGGCGTGTTTTTGAAGGACCGAGGTACGTAAAAAGCAGAGCTAACTTTCGCCCGCCGACCGGTTGATACACTACTAACACTACCTTGTATAGCTACGGATGTAGAGGGCATCTTCCGCCTGAATGGCTCTGCCAAGCGCATCAAAGACTTGCAAGAAATTTTCGACTCCCCCGAACGTTACGGAAAAGGCCTCGATTGGTCCGGATACACCGTGCACGATGCCGCCAACGTCCTACGTCGATACCTAAACCAGTTGCCCGAGCCCATCGTTCCTCTAGAGTTCTACGAGCGGTTTCGAGAACCTTTGCGTGTGTACCAAAGACAAGCACCTGATCAAAAGGAGCCGGCCGCGGTTGAGAAGTTTGATCCCGCCAAGGCTGTCGAGACCTACCAGCGCCTCATTGTCGAGCTTCCCCCATTAAATAAGCAGTTGCTTCTCTATATTCTCGATCTTCTCGCCGTCTTTGCATCTAAGTCGGATCAAAACCGCATGACCTCGGGCAATCTTTCGGCCATTTTCCAACCCGGAATGTTATCTCACCCGCAGCATGACATGTCGCCAGAGGAGTACAAGCTGAGTCAGGATGTGTTGATTTTCCTCATCGAGAACCAAGACCACTTTTTGGTCGGAATGAGTGGCACCACCCCCGATGAGCAGCAAGTCAAAGAGGTTGAAGCTGGCCTTCAGCCTGCTCCATCTTCCAAGGACGTTGAAGGCGGCGTTGGACCTCGTCCCTCACCAACTGCAAACATTCGACGATCAGTCTCCAATGCGAGCGGTAGCAACGAAGGCCACCGCAAGATCGACAGCATCCGGAGGAATGTTTCTGTGTCGTCTCGTAACTCCCGCAACTCTCGTCATTCAGGTAATGCTCCCAGTCCTGGCACACCCACCTCAACCTCTGGTGGTGGTGTTCATCGAAGCAATACCCTTCCCTCCAAGATGGGCCCCGTTGTGGCGTCGGCCCGCTTTGCCCGCGTTGGGGAAAGTGGCTCCGCCAACCCTTCGGGTCTCTCTGTTTCGCATCACAGCTCTCGATCCGGGAGTCGAGCGCCCTCTGTGCGTGAAGAGGCTGAGCAGCGGAAGCCCAGCACTGCCCCGTCGGGCACTCCCACCAGAAGCACCTTTGTGCATACATCAACGCATGGTCCTATACCGGTCGCGACGGCCGAGGCGCTTAATATCGTCGATCGTACTGTGCCACAGGACAATCATCAAACGCAAAATCCTCCTCAAAGTCCTCCACCTGCTACCCTCCCACCACAGAGCATTCAACTCCAGGGTGTAGCTGCGGCTCCACCTCCTCAGGTTGTAACACCGACCCGCGAACGAAAGTTGTCCAACTTCTTTACCAAGTCTCCACCTCCAGAAGGAGAGGCTCGACTGCCGAATCGTCTCAGGAAGAAGCGTATTCCAGGCAGCGCAAGCATCAGTGCACAGAGTTCCACCAACTCCCTTGACCCACACTGGGACACATCCTTGGAACCAAATTCACAGCGCAAGTCTTTCGACGGTGCCGTGGGAGATACTACGCCGAAACCACCCAACACCGCGACGCTGAGCAGCCGTGATGCAACATCTGAATCAACTCCCACCTTAGGCGATAGCTCCTCGCATCCCAACACTGATAACTCCTTGAGGCCACATCAGTCGCGTACGCCATCAATGAACTCTCGGTCATCCTTTACCGATCATTCGGATTTAGAACAGCCCGAGGATGGCCCGCGTTCTGACCGTCGAGACAACCGACGCAGCTGGCGGTTCCATCGCTCGGCAAAACGCAGCAGTGAGCAGATCGGACTAGGTCTTGCCTCTCCTCCCCTGATTGCCTCAGATTCCGGTGCCGAGAAAAGTACCACCTCCTTTGGTAGCGGATCGTATCAGAGCAACGATCCTGCTAGTCAGCCTTTGAGTTTGGATGCAGGCATCCAGGGCAACTCAATTTCTAATGCTGAACCGGAGAAGAGAAGCTTATTCGGCAAGTTCAAGGCCAAGATGGCACAGGTAGTCAAGGACGACCGTGAGCGAGCAAAGAGCCCCAATCAGATCGATAACGACCCATCCGCTACAAGCTTACCACTCTCCCCTCCCGTCCCCAACCAGGCAAATGGCAAGCCTCCAGTCGATGTATCTGCCGAACAGCCAAAGGATGAACCCCTTCGCTCGCCGGCGTCCCCACTACCTGGTGCGGGCCTCCCTCCAGCCATCCCCGAGGAACCGAACAGCCCAGAGGCACCCTCAGCAGCTGCCGAGGAATTCAAGAAACAACTTGAGCCCGAGTCAACAACAGCTGCTGAAAGCACAACGGTGCCATCGGAGACAACCCCTGTCACCGAACCGTCGGAAGTAACACCTACCGACAAAGAAACATCCGCATGAGCTGATGTGAGATACGACGATTCCGAACGATTTCATTCTTGTTAGAGTACTGTACTCAAATCACCGTGTATTGCTTGAACTAGCCACTTTGTTTCTTCACAAATTCTTTCTTCCTCTTCCTTCAGTCATTTCCTCCTACAGCGTACACCCCCGGATTCGTGGAAATCTTAAACGGAGTCTCTAGTTTTCTTGGCGTTGGGTTTGGCGCTTAAGGCTTACCTTGGGTACTTGGGATTGGATGGCTTTAAGATATCCCCACGTTGGTATTTGATGGTGTTTGTTTGGTCAGTGTGATATCCGTGTCATCCCGAGGGGCTTTTCCATATCTCTTAGCACTATTGGTTTGTTCGTGCCCTTGTCTCTTTGCGTTTCTATTTTCTTGAATGCCTGGTTCTACAAGGCAGACTCGGGGTCGTTCCCTGGGTTGTGTTGCTATACGTTTCTGTCCTAGAGGATTTTTTTCAAGTCTCCTTATCTGGCTTTTGTCCACGTACGTCTGTTTTTGCCTTGTTGGCCCAGAACGGGGCCATGCTTCGTTTGTTCTAGTCCCGATATTCTTATATTAAGGTAATGAATGATACCCCTGGATATTGAAATATGATCGGTATAAGAGCCATTCATCTTGCTATAAATTATTCATCCAACTTAAAGAGCTGCAGTAGATAGCTTTCATTACTCCTTTTTTTAAAGACTACCTATTTCTGGTGCTCTTTGATGACAGCGTGTGGGTCTAAGGAACGGCTACATAATAAGTACACGACTGTACATGTCTCTCTAACCATCTGAATAGATTTACTCTCCATATGAACGTACTCTTTTCCAAAAATGGACCCTTTTAATCCATGTTTTCTTACATATACAACGATCTGTTAATATGTTTGTGCGTTGCGCGAATTTACTAGATTATCGCCTGAATCCTCAGGCGCCAACTACGATGCAAATATGTCAAAAGTACCCACATCCATGGAGGGCCCCTTCCCATCCTCATTCCGAGCCAACCGGAGCTCCAAAAGACACCGGGAGAAAAGTGATTCTCAAAGGGAAGCGCAAGTTTCAATGCGCCCACTATGGCCTCCCCAGCATCACCTTCATCCGTGAACACCACGGGCTCAACGAGCCAAGCCCCGGCCGAGAAACCTCCTACTCCCCCCGTCAACATCCTCCCCTCCCAGCTCGCGCAGACATATTCCTACGCGCACCCGGCAATCCTGCTCGGACTAGGGGCATGGCGGTTCGAGGCTTTGGTCGCTGACCCCATGCGGGAGCTTCTTGCGGATTTGCCCTGGCTTGCTGCGCTGCAGATCTCCTATGTCATGCTATGTCTCCCGCCAGCGGGGGCGGCATCTGTCGAAGCTGGTGCTGCAGCGGATGAGGAGAAGAAGAAGGCTCCCCGGTCACCTTCGGGCCCTTCAGTTACCCTTCGCCCCGGCAAGCCTGGATATCGCCGGAAGCAGACTTCAGGGAAGAGCTCTTGGACGTGTGTTTGGGCCAAGTTGATGGTATGGTTATGCTATCGCTATCTTCTGTTTGATCTGTTCTATGGCTAACATTTATTTCATAGCCGGCTTTCCTCTCTCTCGCTCTCACATCTCTCCTCGCCACACCTGTCATCGCCGTCCTCCTCGTTCTCTTCGGCGCCCCTCTCACCACTCACAATGCCGAGACGATCCTCTGTGCGGCCCACATGGCTCTGTTGTCTGCAACCGCGCTAGTCTACGTCCACGGCGTAGACGCGTCGGTTTGGAAGGAGGTCTGGGGAATTGCCCGTCCCGCAGACGCAGTCTGGGGCAGCGCTCTAGGTACTGGCCTGGGCGCTTGGTTCGGAGCTATTCCGATCCCGCTTGACTGGTAGGTTCTGCTAATGAAACACTTAGTATTGGGGACATCATCGACTAACATATTATTTAGGGACCGCCCATGGCAAGCATTCCCCATTACCATCCTTACAGGCGCCTACATCGGGTACGCGGTCGGATCGCTGGTCTCTCGGACTCCGTTCATTTATGGAAAGCGCATCCAGTTTGCGCCTGAGCAGACTGAGGAGGATGAGAAGAAGACTAATTAGAGATCAGCTTTATGAATCTCGAGGTTCTTGATTATGTATCTTTCCAGCGGAGGTGCTCCGTGTGTAAAACACTGCTGCTTTGCTCTCATCGGTCTACAGTATAGAGGATCTCACATCCGAAAATTAGTCATTTCATGTATACTAGCGTTTCCATATCACATCAAATTTTAATGCATTGTACTCCAATTTGTTCAATCTTGACCACTAATGATTTATTTCTGTCTGCAGTGTCTCGGACTTCGCTAGTAAGCCTTGCCCGCTAGCTCTATATTCACAAATCATATCGAGAGCACGTCCAAGGCCGACGATGGCCATGGGACTAGTCCTAGCTATCACGTGATGTATATACGGCCCCGGTATTCTGTACTTTCCCTTTTTGGACCTTCCAACCTCCATGTTTCCTTCCTTCTCATTTCCACCCTCCCTCATTTTTACAACCTCTACTGTTCATGCCCACTTATTTTCTCACTCTCACCATGTCGAAAACTCGTTTCCAACCTCAGCCAGAGAGTCCCCCAGACTCGGGTGTCGAGTTGATCTCCCCGACCGACTTGCAGTCTTCCAAGTCCTCGTTGCCCGAATCTTGGGAGTTAACCGCGGTGATTTCCGCAAAGAAATACAATCTCTCGTACGAGTCTCTCTTAAGATTTGTCCTTGGCGAGCTCAAGAAGTGGACCCTGAAGGAGTCTGACTTAAGTCGGTCTGACTTGACTCGTGAGGTGGCGGTATACTACTTCACAGAGATACCTTCTGAGTGGGGGGAGACCTAGTTCAAGTGATTGAGGAGAATTTTGGAGGACGGTAAGTATCCCCCTTTTGACCCAGGTTTAACCCTTCAGAGGCTGACTTTTCAAGGATAACTTGGGACTCGAAGTTCGCAATCCTTCGCGTTAAAATGCCGACCGAAGGCCATGACCTTGCACAAACGTGGATCCAACATTCGCTTTACCTTGAATGGATGGAAAGAACGAAAACGATTTCACCTCACGAGGCTTCACTTCTCCAAGTCCAAGTCGGAACAACATTAGAACTTCCGACTTCGCCATTCACTAAGAGCAAGAAACAGCCGGATTGCTTTCTTCGTCCTCTCGGCTCCTCATCCTTGCCTCCAATTGTCCTTGAAGTTGGCTGGTCTGAAAGCAGACCGCGGCTTATAGAGGATATGGAGCTTCTTTTACAAGGAGGTGGGGGCCAGATCCAGGTGGTTATTCTCATCAACTGGAGCCTACGACAAAACAAAACCAAGGTTGCTGGAACAGTGGAGCTTTGGAGACTCGGGCAGAATGGTCAACCATCCTTACAACAGTCTGAGGTATGTCGGAAGTTCAACAATAATTCCAGGCATCATGATCTAATATATTCAAGTCCATCTTCCCTAGTCCCAACACATTACAACCACAGCACCTCGAAGTAACCTTCGGCGAGGTTTTCCAGTCCCAACTACTTCCCAGTCGAAACTCCTCTGACAAGTTATACCTAGACATCGACTTACTAAGTGATATTGCAGTTCAAACATTCCAACCATTACGACTATCCCCTGCTCCCTAGCTTGGATTCTTGCTTTTTTTTTAATATTGCTCCCTCTAAGTTTATTATTATAGATTACTTACCCCTATACATTATTCCCCCTCCTCTGTCCATTTATGATGAGGCTAATAATAGCTTGAATTTCATCCTCTATTCAAAGGATCACTTAATAATTCCCCTCATTACGCTTTAAGCTAATTAGTTAAGGAGCGTAGTCTACTAAAACGTACTTAGGGGTTTCTTCTACAAGGAGGTAGAGGCTAGATATTCTCATCAACTGGAGCCTACGACAAAACAAAACCAAGGTTGCTGGAATAGTGGAGCTTTGGAGACTCGGGCAGATGGGGGAGGAATCAAGTTAAACGGTGATGATTGTCACAGTCGTAGGATACTGTGATCGAAGACATCCGAGGTAGTAACTATACGAAGTCATAAATCCCAGGCTGCAGTGGTACCCTGCATATGAAATCCAAACCGTGAGCTTAACAAGCGGGAGGAGACAAAGTTTCGGGGAAGATGAGGAGATGCCTCGGCTTTGGACCCCCACACTTGACATCTTTCAACCATCCGATCGCCGCCATGTCGAGCGCGTGCATCATCTGCCACAAGAGAAAGGTATGTTAGCTCCGAAGCTGCAGTGGGGAACCCATCTTCTCTCCACAGTGTCCCTCGAGTCTGCTCGTAAGTCGATACTGACAGCTCCCCAGGTGAAATGCGATTTGGCGACCCACAATCCTTGCACAAACTGCACCAAATCCGATGTAGAATGCAGGTAAGTAAATCTGCTTGATTGAATAGATTCACATGGTCGCTAATATCAGCAGGCCATATACACGGAAGCGCAAGAGGTTCACGAATAGCTTGTCGCCAGGGCGCGCACTCAACAGCGACTCAGTGAGTCAGCGCAGCTCCCAGCTTCCCGCCGACGCGCCCGTTGAAAACGGAGTTGCACCGCCGACGCTATCGTCCTTTAGAGACAGCGCGACTCCCGCTGTGAATAATGGCGAGCCCACTGCCCTCCCTGCAAGTAATGGCGAGCCATTCATCAAAGAGGAAAGCTACCGTGGTCGGAGCGAGTACTTGGGCGGTAGCGTGCCTTTTGATGAAAATATGGTGAAACCGGGCCACGAGACAACGTACACCAGTCAAAAGGCATCGGCTGCGGATCTTCAGATGTTGCGTGAGCAAGGTGCTTTTGAGTTACCTCCATTGTCGGTCCAAAGAGAGTTGATGAAGAGCTTTCATAAGTATTGCGCGCCGTGGACGCCGGTGGTTGACCCCAAGTGGCTGGACGAGAGTACGCCGCCGTCGATGCTGCTTCTTCAGTCGATTTTCCTAGCTGGAAGTAGGGTGTCCAAGGCGCACTTGGATTATGGGTCAAGTGAGGTCTTCTATCGGCGTGCTAAACTACTATTCTTCTTTGGTGGTCGCAGTAATTCGCTGATTTCAATCGTCGCTGCTTGTCTTCTGCACTGGTATAATCCAGTCGGACCGGAAGACGTCTCGACAGATACGAGTGGGTTCTGGATTCGAACGGCCGGAGCAATGGCCTTCCAAATTGGACTTCATAAGGAACCTCCGCCCAATGCGAAGGACCGTGGTCTACGCCGACGGTTGTGGTGGTCTCTTGTGGTACGTATTCAGTGATGGTGTCAACTCTTGGGCATCGTGTGCGGTTCTCTGACATCTTCGCAGGTCCGAGATAATGTTATATCAGTCGGAGTGGGCAGGCCACGTACGATCAACCTTCGAGATAGTGACGTCCTTCCCCCTTCTATGAATGACTTCCCGGTCAAGGACTTCCAGGCACGGCTCTTTTTGGCATACTGCACAATATCCTGTCACTTGGGAGATACCGTGGAATACTATCTACGGCGAGAGATTTCCCGGCAGCGTCGGGTTGATCTTGAAAATGCTATATATAGATGGGCTAAGCAGGTCATCCCGAAGCTCCGGTCATCTGCTACCCTGCAAGAAGACGCTATAACCTCGCATTTGGAGGTCCAACAACTCTCAGTCATGTACTTTGTTGTACTGACCATCCTGCATCGCTCTCCCACACCGAACAGCGTACCACCTGCAGCATCGCTAGTCGCATCATCATTTATCGCAGGAATCTACGAAGAGTTCCTTCTCCGGGACGAGCTTCGATATCTCGGCCCCGTTTTCGCATTCTACCCACTTTGCAGCGGATTATCACTACTCTCAAGTTGGCGCTACTCCCAGCTACAAAGCACAGCCGAGCATGAGCTCACAGTCATCAAGCTCTCTCTTCAAAAGCTATCCGAAAGGTGGCTTTCCGCGGTCGGACCTCTACGAGCCCTGAACAAATTGACCGAAAAAGTCCGAGAACAAGGCCCCCTTGATGGCCCACCTCCAAAGCTTGACTTTGACACGGCTTCTTTCTTTGACGGGTTCGACGTCAGGTTGTGCAAGCAGTGGCGCTTGATTGGGCAGTCTGCCGAGCCAGAAACTCCTGTCCCGGTGACTACAGCTACGTGCACACTGGCCGAGGTTCAGGATACGGATGAGGCGGTTCAACCCTTCAATAATACCCAGCCGGATGATGCGGCAGATGATTTCGGCTTCCCGGCTCTTGATACTAGCCTGGAGCCTTTTACCAGTAACTGGGAAGGGTCTGGCTTTGATTGGAGTGGCTCGTGGTTGCTTAACATATAAATGTGTATATTAGGAATAAAAGAAGTCTCCTCTCGAGTTTACATACGATCGGATAGACTAGCACTAAAATTGCAACGGCCCATCGATTCGTGAGAACAGGAAAGTTGAATTTCGCTATCAAAACAAAGTCCCGTGGCATTTCATGTGCATCATTATCATAAGCATGGTCGTGCTGGGTTTCCCGATTACTCGCGCATCTCCTTTTCGATCTGAGCCAGTTCTTCAATCTGTCCCATCCTGTCTGCCGCAGCCCATGCCACCGGTTGTAACTCCTTCGACACAAGATTACTGATCTCAGCCAGTCGTTGTTTCCAGAATTCCCATCTCTCAGCGCATAACCCGGCTTTGCCTTGATACAACTTGCCGCCTTTAGTCACGCGCTTTTGCTGTTCGCTCAACTCTTTCTCGCTGAGCTGCCTATAGATTGTCTGTCCGGCATGCGTAATCCATTCGTTCACCACGGAGATGTAACAGTCTCGAACGATTTGCTCCTGGGGAATATCATCTTCCAATGCATCTCTTAGCATCCAGATGATCAAAGTATCCCAGCTGAGCAGTTCTTTGCCCACGATTCTGGCCATGAAGGAGTTTTGGTTGATCCACTCTGAGATTCCATCGGGATCTGGCTCTCCGATATCTAATATCTATTAGTATATTGATACAACTGCATAGTTTCAAAGGTCATTATACTCACACTCCAGATGGTCCCTCAAGCAGGGGCGGAGAATAGGAAAGTCTGACCAAAGCTTCTGCTCGCTCTATTGCCCTTGTAAGCTTGTGTGAACGTCAACATTTAGGTTAAACTTCACTTACGCCCCATATGTCAAGCGTTCTCGCCGGAATCTTTCCCAGGGATTTCATAAAAGAAATCATGCGTATTTGACCCGGGTGTTGAGGAGGAACTAATCTCATGACCTGAATAATCAACCCCCACAAGGACCACAAGAAGGCATCAGGATCCGCTGTAGGACTGTTCTCCTCGACCGGAGCTTCAGTATCTTCCTCATTTGATGGAAAGAGGTCATTTATCTTTGCAGCTGCGTCGGCAGCTTCGATTACTGGGCCTGGTTGTAGCAAGTCCTGCAAAATGCTGAACAGCTTCTCTTCGAACGGTTTTAGCTCTTCTGCCGCTCTAACACGCTCGAGATCGAGTTTTTCATCCGCGATATGTGATGCCATGTTTTCTGTTGATCTATTCTGATGGTACGGATCTGAAATCAGGCTGAACTGTTAGAAGTAGACACATCGCAGGTGAAGTGTCACATAACCCCTCCTTCTAGAATGTCACGCTAGTGAGTGCTCAGCCACCCACGTGGGCCAGTTATGTCTCAGGGTCTTAATCAGATGGACGCGATCACATACAGTAATTTGGAGAAACGAGGGAAATTTTAGCGAGCGCTCATGCTATTTTTTATTCAATAAAGAAGAAATATCGGTGCCCGCCAGGAGGATAATCCGTTGAAGAGCCTACAATGCGCCACTAACCCCACTAGCCCTATAGCTTGCCTCTATTGTCCTTGATAGCCTCCCGATGATGGTACTGCTTGAAATGCTCCAAACATTCTGGATTTGCGACCGTGCTGCTGATGACTTTGGGCAAATCTCCAGAGCAAATCACAGATTTCACCAAAGTCTCGACCTTTTTCCCATTAACGGTCATAGGGATCTCGTCCACGCCAAGCACAAATCGTGGGACATGCTTGCTGCTGAGTCCCTTCCGAATCGCAGCCTTTAGTTCAAGCGCGAGTTGGCTAGTAAATTTTCGGCCTGGCTGCATAACCACAAACAAGAAGACTGATTCATCAGAATCATGCGGTCGGCGTCGGCCGATACAAAGTGTTGATGAGATGACCTTGTTGAATGGTGCCGACTCCGTGATGGAATATATATCCGAAGATCCAAAGCGAATACCCTGCGGATTGAGTACGCCATCACTGCCAGGGCAGGGACTGTTAGTAAATTAAGAAATTCTATTCATCCACCGTGAATATTAACTTACCTTCGTCCATGAATTTGCCAGCCCTTGGTTCGAGGGTTGTAGCTTGCCCAATCATGCTGAGCCCAACAATTTTCAAACTTGTCGAAATAGGTGCTTTTGTACTTTGATCCGTCGGTGTCACCCCAGAAAAATACTGGCATAGACGGGAAAGGCTGGCGGCAGACAAACTCGCCATGTTTTCCTGCCATCTTCACCGATTCACCCGTAACAGGGTCTGCCACATCTACATCTTGGCCTAACATGGGAAGTTGGATCTCTCCTGGGTAAAGAGGGCCAGCGGGGTCAGTTCCAATCCACGAGGTTACCAGATCAGTTCCACCAGTCACACTGGTAAGATGAACATCCGGTGGAAATGCGCGGTAAAACCAGTGGTATTGATCTGCGCCTAAATGGGAACCGCCCGTCTGTACCATCCTCAAAGAAGACAGGTCAAATTCGGCTTTCGGGATACAGCGGGTCATTTCAAGCTCCTGCAAGTATCGAGGCGAGCAGCCCCAATATGTCACGCGGTGATACTCGGCAATCTTCGCCATTGCTTTTGCGCTGGGCCACAACGGTGATCCATCATATAGAATCAAAGTTGGGCCCACTGATAAATGACCGATCATGATGTTCCAGAGCACCCATGAGGTGCTGCTATACTGGAACACAACATCTTCGGAGGTCAGAGAGTTGTGGAGAACAGAGGTCTTCTTATGCTGTAATATCACGCTGTGGCTGTGTACCAGGCACTTTGGCTGTCCGGTTGTCCCACTGGTGTACAGGATATAGAGGGGATGCGAGAATGGCAACCTTTTAAACCCCAATTGATCATTAGGTCGCGATGATGACAAGAACTGATCAAGAGTTGGAAAGCACGGGTCTTGGGTACCAAGAGGTATCAAGAATACCGTGGGCTTGACTTCCATGGCCCGAAGAATATTCTGAATCTTCGTCACGTTTGAGTGTAGTTTGCCCTTGTATGTGGAGTCACTGTCGGCAAAGAGCACTTTAGGTGTAACTTGTTGCAATCGCGACACACATCCCTAGGTCTAGTCAGATATCATTCATCAACAAATGGGAGAGGACCGGACTTACTTCTTCTCCCAGATCGGGCGCAATGCTGGTCCAAATCGCACCAATACTCGCGGTAGCTAGAAAGAGGCCAACCGACCACAAGCTGGTGGAAATGATAGCAGCAACTCGATCACCTTCCTGAATGCCCAATCGTAGTAACGCACTTCGCGCTTTTCTGATGTTCTCTCGTAGTAACCCCCATGACCAAACTTCGCCGCCCAAATCCTGGCCCTCGCGGACGCCAATAAGAGCAGTTTTGTTCAAGTCGCGGCCAGTGACAACATTCTCTGCGTAGTTGACTGTGGCTCCGTGAAAGAACTCAGGTACCTTCTCCATTGGCGTGTTGGGATCAAATGCAGTCATCAGACCCGCAGGCAATGGTGGAATGATGCCCGTGTACTGGTGGAGATCTATCCAAAAATCGTGCAGATTGTTCACAGACCACTGATGTAGCTCTTGTGACGAGCGTAAGTTTTGGTTGAATTTTCGATTGACATGTTCACGATAAATGTTCATGGGAATCTTGTTTTGCGGTTGAGTAGGTTTCCAGATAGGCGAAGGAGATGGCCCGAGGGTTCCATCCCTGGGCACAGGTTTGGCCATATTTCGCAGGTGCTGTAATTGTATCTGAGAGGAAACACTCGTTTGAGCTGTATGATGGTATTGGTGCCGGTGTTATATAGAGGACAAGTATGATTCGAGCGGAACAGGCAGTCTGCACCATTCACCTGAATACCCGCTCGGAGATCGGCTCTCGCCAGGATGCATTCCCCGCATTTCTTCGACATTTAGGTCCACTCAAACCGTCCCAGTTAGGCTAAACTGCCTCATACGGTTCTTTTCGGTGATTGTCGGTCATAATCGGTTCACATTGCTCGGCAAACTATCCGAAGTACATATCGGCAAGCATAAACATGAGGAGCCGACCCCGCATGTACAGCCTAGTATCAATGCTACAGGCTAAATCATCATATAAGATACGTTCATCATCATGATCAATCTCTTCTTGGTACTACTGTGAACCGATACTCAATACCATCCATTATTCCCACTATGCCCAGGCCTCTAACTCCCTCCACCGTTGATGGTGGATTCATCCTTACTACTCCGGCGCTGGAAAATCCAGCTACATCTGATCTAGTCTTCCAACGCATCTTGCAATGTAAGTCCGCTCTGGAATATATCAGCACTAACTGCGTCCCTACTTTGACATCAAAATCTCCATATTGCATGATTCTAATCGACTTTCAAATGTACAGGGCACCTTCCACAAGATGTGATTAGGAAAATTGCCCCAGAGCTGCGCTTGTTTGGATCTGATGCGATTTCAACGGATATAAATTCTCTCATTTCAAATGCGGAAAGCCAACAGCCTTACGTTAAAGCGCACAATGTGTGGGGAGCCCGATACGAATCCAGCGGGCTAGTGACCAGCACGGGGTGGAAGGAGCTGGGTAAATGGGGAATCAAGAATGGGTAAAGCTTTTGTCAAATTTCATCACTGGACCTCTTCCTAACAACTATCTTACCGAACAGCGTCGTCGGACTTGGATATGAAGAGGAATTTGGCTCGTACCGTCGGACTGTACAGCATGCATTGTAAGTTTCCCGAAAAGAATTGAGAATTTCGCATGGCTAAATATCAAAAGCAACTATTTGTTCTCAGCTTCATCAGCTGCTTTTTCCTGCCCGGTCTCCATGACGTCGGGAGCGGCACGTTTAGTGAGACATCAGATTTCCGATCTTCCTAAGGACCATCCATTCCACGTGCTTTATGCAAAGCTAATTGCTCGAGAAAACAATTGGATCTCAGCTCAATGGATGACGGAGCGTCCTGGCGGTAGCGATGTCAGAAATAGCGAGACCGTTGCTACATACTCCCCACTAGCATCGAAGACAGGTCGATTCGGTAACATGGAAGAGGGCGATTACCTTCTTTCTGGATTCAAGTTCTTCTGCAGTGCCACTGACTGCGATGTCGTCCTATTGTTGGCCAAAACTGAATCTGGAGAACTATCTCTATTCGTTGCTCCAACCACGAAAACGGTAACGGACGCCTCAGGAAAGACCAAGAAGGTGTCAAACGGCATTCGCATTCACCGTCTCAAGAATAAGATGGGCACGAAAGAACTGCCAACCGCAGAAGTGGAGCTTCGAGAGGTGCGGGCGCATCTCATCGGTCCCAAGGACCGTGGTATTGCAACAATTGCTCTTCTATTGAACACGACTCGCACTCATAACTTCATCACTGCGCTGTCTTGTCTTCGTCGTGCTATTGATATTGCGAAGGCCTTTGCTAGGGCACGTACCACCATCGATCAGCCTCTATGGACTTTCCCGATGCATCTGAATGTACTTGCTCAGCTTGAAGTTAAGCATCGGGGCTGGATGCAGCTGGCATTCTTTACTTCATCCTTGCTGAGCTATGTGGATAACGGATTCCCGGCTGGTATACCAGACGTCTATTCGGTATTAGCAGAGTCACCAAGTGCGGCAACCGTTGTACTGCGAGCATTTACATCTACTTCCAAGGCTGTTATTTGTAAATCTGCAACATTGGCATTCCAAGAATGTCAAGAAGCCATGGGCGGGGTTGGCTATATTGGTAGGTGTAATGACAAAATTTCCAATGGAATACTACTAACCTAGTTGACGTTATAGATGAGCCTGATGAACCCGAGTTCAACGTGAGTCGCCTATGGCGTGATACCGCAAGTAACAGTGTCTGGGAGGGCACCACGAACGTTTTGGCCAGTGAGACGGTGCGGCATTTGACCAAAGGCCGCAATTTGGGTCTGTTCCACAATTGGATCTCTAATGCCATCGGCCAAATTTCCGATATTGCCTTCAAGGTGACTCTCCAAAATGTCTGGTCCGCTCTCAAGTCAAAACTGGAGGCTGGCCGAGATGAGAATGGCCTGGTCGGAGTACTGGGAGTCGGTCGCCAGGTCATATTCACCCTGTCGTGGCTTGTTAGTGGCATGCTGCTCTCTTTAGATGCGCAGCGAGACAACGGCAGCGTTGCCAGAGAGGTGGCTCGGAGATGGGTTTTGGATGGTCAGGGTGTACCTGGAGAGTTTGCGTTCACTGATCTCATCTACCAGCGGTCTGCCTCGGCTCGGGATAGAAAGCCGACAGATCGTGAACGCACAGAGTGGGATTGTCGAATCGTCTGGGGAGTTGATCTTCCGTCCAATGCGTCAGCGGGATATCGGGTGGCTAAGATTTAGGGAAGACGGTTGTGTACAAGCAGAATCTCAGAATTATCAGATGAAAAATTGATCGCTTTTGTGAGTATGAAATTGACTATATAGATAATCCAATTGTTGGAGGGATCGAGGACAAAAAAATAAAACGAGACATTTATTTATGTTGCTATACAGTATGTCATCGAAATCCAGGGCGATATTCACAGCTTGGAGCTCGCTTTCTGCAGTGATCGATGCCCAGATGCCCGGGTAGCCGGGAGCTCAACACCCCAGGCAATTCTACAATCCCACTGAAGATGCTCCTCCCCATCGTCTCGAGTCGCATCTTTGTGAACTGTGACAATATCATGGAATACAGTGTCCCCAACACCACCTTCAGCGCTAAGAATCCACCGCCGCGCAATCTCTACACTAACAAGGTCCTGATCCCGCTCAGCATCAACAGCCAGAAGCATGCCACACAGAATCCAAGCAAGGGTGAACATATATCGGCGTGCATCGGCAAGAATCGTAAGAGGTGATCGGTTTCCCGTGGAAAAGCGGGCCCGTAGAGCAGACCAGGCTGTAGTGAGAGTATCCCGAAGCGCTGCGGTGCGAATCAAAGCCAACGTGCGATCAACCCATGCAGCGAAGATATCCAAATTATCAGCCTTGAGGAGGAAGCGGACCATCTCGCTAGCCAGGACATTCGTGGTTCCCTCCCAGATGGAGTTGACAGAAGTATTGCGCAGGATTCGGGAGATGTTGAATTCGGGCTCATCCGCTTCATCCATGTAGCCCACACCACCCATAGCCTCCTGGCATTCTTGGATACCGAGAACTGACATCTTGCTCACAACAGCCTTGGCGGTGGCTGTGAGAGTACGGAATACAACATTAGCTTCTCGGCCCGGACGGGGCATGTGAGCGTGCTCCGAGGGTTGAGAAACCCGATTCTCGACCAGACTCATGACGGCGACAGTAAAGAAGCCGAGATTCATGCCACCGCGGTGCTTAACCTCCAGATCTGCGAGAAGGCGCAGGTGCATGGGGATAAGCCACAGAGGCTCACCCACGGTAGTGCGTGCCTTTGCAAAGCTCTTGGTGATGCTGAGGGCGCGGCGCCAACCAGAAAGAGAGCCGATGAAGGTATGGATGCGAGTGACATTCAGGAGTGGTGCAATAGTGACGACTCCCTGGTCCAGCTCTCCAACCAGATGCGCTCTCATGTCCTTGAGTTCCAGCTCAGCGGTCGGCAATTCCTTCGTGCCTAGCTTGTTTTTCAAACGGTGGATTTTCACACCGTTCGAAATCTGGCGGGATACGCCATCACTTCCAATAACTGTCCTCCGTAGGGGCGCCAAGAATGTGCTCAATTTTCCAGAGGGAGTCTTGGCCAGAAGAAGGGCGACGTTGGCATCTGTGGCTGATGAGAAGAATTTGAAGCCGTTGATCAGATAGTCGCCATCACCGAGAGGATCGACGCCTGAATCCTTGGGCAAGGGAGAATAGGTTGCCCATGTCTCGGTGTTTTGAACGTCACTACCTCCTGCCCGTTCTGTCATCCATTGGCCCGAGGTCCAGTGGTCATCGCCCTCCGAGATCAGACCCTTGTATGCCGCGTGAAATGGATGAGTCGGGGGTAGTTTGTTGATCTTGGAGGAAAGAATAAAGGCGGCACCGTCGGTCATGCTGATGGGACAGGAATAGAGTCCCGAAGAGGGGGAATAGAGATAGTTCCTATACCAGTGTCAATAAATAACTTTACATATAGATCAACCTCGAGTTCAAGGAAAAAGGTGTCTCCTACAGTGCATATTGAACTGTTCTTCGGTCCAGACCCAACGCAGGATCATATCCAGCGGAAACAATTCTATGACGAGCTCCCCATTTACCTAGCTGCTTCCAGCCCTCGGTAGTAATGAGGCGATCATAATCATATCTTTTACCCCAAACATTATGGCTCTTGACGTATGGCTGGTTTCGTTCTGCATCAGCACTCCACTCGCGCACCTGCTCGGAGATAGCTTCAGCTCCCAGCTGTGTGAAGGATGGCTCGACTGATCGAAAAGTGGCGGCAGGAAGATACCCTATGGACCGTTAGACTTGGAGAAATCTGCGAGCATGATCATAAGCGACTCACATTCCAGCGCTCGTCGAAGACTCGTATCGGTCGTATACGTATTCTCCAGCGGGAGCGGCTGAGTTATGTAGCCGCTCTCCGCAGTAGCTGGCTTGGGTGGTGACGGTGACATGGCGGCCTGCTGTAATGGCAACACAGTGAGTATAGAAAATTAGTATGACAGGATCATGTAAATCAACAGGGATGGAATCCGGGGTATATTCTCCTTATTAAACGTTGGTGGGGAACTGAGGGGTGCCACCAAAGTTTAGTTGACACATTCTGGGAATGGACCTCGGCCGTTCGGCTCTCTCGTGCTTACGAAGGAAATATCATCCACACTTCGCCGCGAAAGCGCCGAAAGAAGGTGTAAACAGTCAACTGGCTATTAGTGTCAAATATTGAGACGTTCTTACAGTAGTTATGTCGCTAAAAGGATGCATAATGGAGCATAAAACATGGCAGCGTCCATCTAACCTGCGATACGTGGTAATACCAAAGTCTAGCTGTCAAAGGTATCACTTTTTGATTGTTTTTCTTGAAAATTCAAACCAAGCCACCCGATATATTACATTTCATGAAGAGTGTTATACCCGGTTTCAATGAGGCTGCGTGGGCCTCGGGCATCAGAGCAAATATGCCAGTAAAACAAACCTCCCAGCCTTGACGACGTCACAAATTCGGCCTTTTGCTGTACCGTCGCAGGGATATCATAGGTCACAAAACCTCCATCCGACCCCACACAAGATGCGGCACCGCCCTCTTTATCATGATATTCTTGAGCTTCAGGTCGCGGAAGATCGCGATAGTCAAAGACGCCGTCCTCTCCGCCGGTACCTGTATACCTCTGACCAGGACCGTTGCTGCCGAGGAACGATCTCCCATACACTGGCACACCCAGGATGATTTTTCGTGAAGGTACCCCTTGTGAGAGTACATAATCAACTGCCGAGTAACCTGAGATGGGTGAGCCATAGAGCTGGGCCTGGTGGCCGGTTTGGGGGTCCCAGGGCCCCGAGAAATCGTAGGCCATGAGGTTGATCATGTCTAGATGCCTATGTGCTGCAGCGAGGTCGATATTTTGGAGGGCCCATTGACCGGCGGGCAGGCAGGAGGCCAGAACGTAGCGTGGAGCAGGCAACGCCTCTCGCAGCTTCTCTAGTAGACGAACGTAATCCTTGCCCTGCTTGAGATCTGCGGGATGTTCCCAATCCACTACATAATAATCATCAGCGTCTCTCTTCCACTTGCCGTAAGCTGCACAGGTGATATAGCGTCAGCGACTTACCATCAATGCCATCCAGCCCAAACTCATCCACCAATGCTCGTGCACTTCGAATGAACGTTTCCACACGAGCTCGACTGTGAGCAACAGCCGGGAAGTTTTCACTTCCTTTGCCACCACCACCAACGGAGAGGATGACTTTCATTTTGGAGTACTGCTGTTTCAACTGGACAAAAGCGCGGAGACAGCCTTCGGTGCCGTCAACCGGCATCTGAGTATCGGCCCACTCATCACTCAACTGAAAAAAGAGTCGTCCGATTAGAGATGACAAGATCGACCCGATTGGGAAAATATGGAGCAGTGATATCAGACTTACATAAATTGTGCCATCGTCTTTGACCCTGCAAGGATTCCAGATCGAGATTAGCGCGCGTATCTATACGATTCCTCAGAGGTGATTGGCCAACGTACCAAGCAAAAGCGTAGAATACGTGAGAAATAAACCCCAAGCGCAGTGATGAAGGAGGCTGTTTCTTGTAAACGCGCCAGTTAGGGTAGTAGGCCGCGTTGGTGTACAAAGGCACTTCGTATGAAGCGGGCGACTCGGCGGCAGCGGGGTCAACGGCCTGCCGCCTGCGGAACATGCCTGAGAACATGGAAGAGTAAAAAGGAAGGGCTCTTTTCAAAGAAATGGAATCCGAGGAAAACAAATAAAAACAAAACCTCCCCTTAGTACGGGTTTGCCAAAAGAGGGAACTTGGGAAGCACGCGAGCAGAAGGTGTAGGATCAATTGAAGAAATACAAAAAAGAAACAACCGCGTGAACTCCGGTGTGTTTCCTAATCAGGAATGCGTCACGTGGCTGCTGAGTTCCGACGCGGAATCCAGTTGGAAGTCTTTTTTTTTTGGTTGGACACAGTCTCCAGCTAAGATTGAGATTCACATCGCACATCTGGGGGGGGGGGGCCTGTGACCTTGTGGGGAGACCCCCCCTCTCCCTCTAAAAACGATCCGCCATCAATTGGATACGATCGCACGGTGCGAATGTGCGGGGCTTTCGACCTAGCGCGAGGCATGCCAGAATTCAGAATTTTTCTCGGCCGCAAAACTTATGGGAACGAAGAACAAACAGTGTCTTCGTATTGCCGCCAATCACCACTGCAGGTTGGGCCCAGCCTCTCCTCTCCAGGGTTGTAGTCAACCAGGCAACTTCTGGAGATCTTTCGGGTCATCGGGCCAGCAATTGACCCAACGGGCGTCGCGAGACCCGTTGAAAGGCCTACCGCATCCCAGGGGCAGCGCCTCACGACCCCAGATGACGTGCGGTGAGATTCGACTAGAGGCTGCAGTCAGCCCGATTAGGCGGCAGCCCATTCGCTTGTGATGGACATGCATGTGGGGGATTCACAGAGGCGGAAACTCAGTTTGTCAACCTACTCGACCTTTTTGTCCGTCCATTGCCTTGGCCCTCGACCCTAGCGCGGATCAGGGCGCCGGATGCGCGCAGGCAACCTCCAGGGGTTATACATCTCATCGTGTGCGATCATGCGTTATTTTTCCCATGGAGATGGCCCTCGTGGAATTCCCGTCTCCCGTGGCGGAGACATCGACCAGCCCAGACCGCGAGCGTCACGCAGACCGAGCTGTGATAATTGCTTTTTTTCTTGCTATGCTCGGATCGCCCGAAAACGCCCAATCAACTGGCCCGAGAATTTGCAAGGCGAGGCAATGCGACAGGGTTTTCTGTCAAACCCCTTACTCTTTCCCCGCGATGTGTCCAGCACCGGGCAAGTTATCCGAGACATTGGTAATGTACTACTCCATGCGGAGGCGCTCAACGGATAAAGTTGGAAGCGTTGGGCACAACAAGCAGAGCCCCTTCCATCTCTCGACCGCGATACAAAAGTCCGAGACTTGTCGGTTGTCTACACTCATCGATTCTAACACAGGATTGATTCTGCTGGTGTAGGAGTGGCGTGGCTGGATCCAACGCAGCCGCTTCCTTCTAATCCTTGCATTGAACTACAGGCTCTAATACTTCACAGCTCTGTTGACTCGTACCCATTCTTTCTCTCCCTCCGAACCAGCTTCCGGGGGTACAAGGCCATTCATCCTCCACAGATCTCTCGAAGCCTCAGTGATGAAGTACTCCCAGTCCATGCCTTTGGGTTCGAACACTGGGTTGAGGACCTCATTGACTCGCGAGAGGAAACGCTGTTTGGTTTCGTCACTCTTGAAAGCACGTGCAAGGTGATAGATTGTTATGCCTGCGAATTTCGCATGGATTTCGCCGCCGATAAATGCTGTGCCGGGAGCGTCCTCTATGAAATGGACTTGAACGTAGAATGCGGGCAGACCATTGGAGGCGTAGATATTCGTGATTGATTTCGCAAGCTGCTGTTTCTCAGCTGCTGAGAGTATATTGGGACTATGGTTGATATACCAAATAGGCATGTTGGAAGTGCCGCCTTATAGCGCAAAGTGAACAGAGACAGACAGCACCGTGATAAGAATAGGAAAGGCTTCTACCTTCATATAAATGGGCTCTCAAGCATCACATTTTTCCATTTATGAAATCTGTCACTTTCAGTATTTCGGTCGGAAATATGATTTCATCAAGCTCGTCTCTGATGAATAACGTGGGGGAGCCATTCGGAGAGATAGCGTAATATCAAAATCGACAACCGCCAATCAGCTGCCCCGCCACTCTACCAATCCCCTGATGGCCTGATCACCTTATCAAACAAGATTCGCCTCGGCATCCTGATAGACCAGGGTTATTCAGACTAGTACTAACCTTAATGCGAGAGCCGATAGATCTTGGCTTAGAAATGATGCCATTTTGGTCGGAAATCTCACCGGTGGCGGCACGGCAGTGACGGTACTGTCCCACAACGTAAGCTCCACGCTGCCAAAATAAGATACTGGTATTACTTCTCCCACGTATCTCTTGGCCGTGTAAAAGGGATCTTTTGTCGATATTATCATCAATATCCTATATTGGTAATGGGAAGATTGGTAAGAAGATCGAGGAGAATGGAAAATGTCATATCGGACAATATATATGGCTCTACATCAGCCGCCAATCGTTCGATATTCATTCCAATCCCAATCCTCACCGATATTCATTATCTTCACAGATATTTGACAGCAATCAAGCACTATCCATGGCAGGGGACTTAATCTTCATCACCGGTGCAACCGGCTTCGTCGGTAGTGCCACAGCCCTTGCTGCTCTGAAAGCAGGTTACCGCCTACGAGTATCCGTTCGAAAGCCTTCGGAGAAGCTCCAAGCCTTGCTGTCAGACTATAGCCAGCAGGTCGAATATGTCACTATATCCGATCTGACAGACGAGGCCGCCTTCCACGGCAAGCTGGAAGGAGTTGACTATATTCTGCATCTCGCCTCACCTCTCCCTCATGGAACAAACAAGGATGATTACTTCATTCCGGCTGTTAAAGGAACGACTGCGTTGCTAAAGGAGGCTGACCGGGTCACGAGCATCAAGAAAGTTGTTGTCACATCGTCCGTGGCTGCTCTGCTTCCACTCACTGGACTCCCTAAAGGCGGAATCGTGAAAGGTAAATGTGCCCCTTGCCCCCATTTTAGTCAATATGAGCTGACCTCCCATTCTTTCTCTAGAGGACAATGACTGGGATTTCAGCGTGGACGAAGATGCAAGCTTTGAGAAACCCAACGATCCAGAAGGCACGGCTTTCAAGCTCTACCACGCATCGAAGCTACTCTCCAACAACGCCACCTGGGACTTCTGGAGGACCGCAAAGCCACACTACTCATTGGTGTCGACTCACCCATTCTTTGTGTTCGGCCACAATCTCGTACAGACAACTTCGGAAGATGGCATCGGGTCCAACGGTGTTCTCTGGAAGCCCATCATGACCGGTATCCTCGGTGGCATGAGCGCCGGAGTGCATGTCCAGGACGTTGCCGAAGCACATGTTAAAGCTCTGGACCCGAAGATCCCCGACGGCTCAAAGTATCTGCTAGCTGGCAAGCAAAGCGATTGGAAGGGAGTGGCTCAAATCGTGCACAGGGATTATCCTGATCTTGGTGCAAAGATTAGTGTGGAGGCCGAGGGAGGATTACTGCCATTTGATGCCAGCAAAGCTGAGAAGGATCTTGGGATGAACTGGCGCTCTTGGGAGCAGATGATTCATGAAGTGGTGGATCAGCAGCTCGCACTGGCTAAGAAATAGGGTTGATCACCTAGATTGTGTGGAGGAAGGACTGTTGTGTGGTCTTGTGAGCGCCTTGGTAGAGCTTCAACCAGCGGGCAGTTATATATCGCATGTTGATAGAGATTTGAGTTGAATGATTAATACACAAGGTTATAGTCAAAAAGAGTAATTCCATTAGATTCGATTGTCATAGAAGGCTTGGAGCTGTTGATAGGTGGAGAGGTGTTCATTAGCAAACCAGTGCAAACAGAGTGTAAACACCTGATTTCTAAGGCCACGAGAACCTTCCACCTCGGATTCCAATCGTCTTTATCGACTGCGCACGCTTTGTTTTCACGAACTCACCTTTAGACTGCTCACTTTCCGACCGGGATTCTCATCCTCAAATTTCTCTTCTGCTACAAGCTGCTCGTCCAGAGGAAGCTTGATAGCTTCTGACACCCTTCCTACGATCACCGTCTCATCTCGAAGCTGAACCATCTCGAAGCTCATTCAGCTTCCAAAGTCAACATGACCGCCGATATTCACAGCGCGGCTTCTCGCGTTCTCTCTGCAGAGCCCACGCGCGACCCCAGCTATAACGAGTTCTCCTTCACGCCCTTCCTCCGCAAAAGTTTCGGCTTCGGCCTCGCCAGCGATGTCCCCGTCTGCAAGGCTTACGGCGAAGGCCACTGCCCACTCGGACCTGCTTGTCCAGACCGACATCCCACACCTTCTCGAGTCACCACATCTACAACCACCGCCTCGGGGATGGCACCATCCACTACACATGGCTCGCTTGTCTGCAAACATTTCCTCAAGGGTCTCTGCAAGAAGGGGTTGAAGTGCGAGTATCTGCACGAATACAACCTGCGTCGCATGCCCGAGTGCCAATCCTTCTCCCGGTCCGGATACTGTCCCAATGGCGATGACTGTCTGTACCAACACGTTCGCGAAGAGGCCCGCCTACCACCTTGTGAGCACTACGACCGGGGATTCTGTGAATTAGGCCCCCTCTGCGCCAAACGGCACGTTCGCCGAAAGCTCTGCTTGTTCTACCTCGCCGGTTTCTGCCCCGAAGGCAAAGGCTGCGCGAATGCACACCCTCGATGGACGGAGAATCTCCCACGGCCGACTATGCGGACGGAGAAGACAGAGGAAGAGTTGGAGCATGAGCGTGCTCTTATCCGTGAAGAACAGGAGAGGGAGAAGGAGCGCGAGCGTGAATGGCGGAGCGAACGCGGTCGGGGTGGTGGTTTCATGAGAGGTCGCTATCGTGGCCGAGGAAGGGGTTAGGTTGCCTACCACAAAGCGCCACATTTCTGCAATCTTGCATTTTCACGGCAGGGGTGTTTTGGGAGCATTTTTTTTTCTTCTAGATTTACTAGCGGTCGTTAAAGACCGTTGTCGAGATACCCATTCAAAATTCAAATAGCGGGATATAGTATAAAACCATCATGACAGAGAAATGGATTTATAAACAGAGACCCTAGAGGCCCCGCCAACGGCTTTTTTCCGCAGATTCTTGAATTCTGAATAATAGACAGGGGAGACCTGTAAGCAGACAGACTCGGGTCTCATTAACAGGCCACGGAAGCCAATTGGCCTGTCCCTGCATACTTGGCCGTTTCCAGGTCGCATTGCACGACGTTGATGTGATAGGGTGGTCGATACGAAATCGCATACTGTAACTAACTACAGGGATCTTTTACCAGTGCGCAAGAATGTTTTCCAAGTCAATGACATCATCAAGATCAACTAACTTAGCTTCCACTATGTACTTCGTCATCATTGTCTCGGATGTTAGAGTGGAAGGGATAGAAACAATCAATTGAGCTTCAAACGGCACCTCAAGCCTTGGTCCATCACGATAATCTGACTTGCATATCTGGACAAAAGGGAAATTAGACTAAGAAAACGCTGTCCCATCTCGCTGGCGTGGAGTCGCTGAGGTGGTCTTGGCAGCGCTATTCATTTGTCAGAGATCGGTCAGACTCGACAAAACACAGCTAAATCCGTGTAGACCCGAGTGGGGTCCACTGGCCCAATAAGCAACCCGCATTGCTCTGTCATCCATGACTGATGCGCTTGCGTGAAGCTTTGCTATGCTTTGTTAATCGAATCATACCCAAGCTAGCTCCGATGGCGCGACAGCAATTGGCGGACGAGGTGTCCTCGTTGCTGGTGGGGTCCGAGTCCAGAGTGCTATTGTCCGTCAATACTTAAGCTCCCCTCCCCCGCTCGGCGACTCGTTTCATTATCTCTTTAAGCTTCTTTCTACTGCCTCTACCTCTATCACCAACCCCCCCAAATCCATTCACCATGGCTCCCAAGGTTGCTATCGTCTACGTACGTCAATTCCTCCATTCCAATGGTCTTATCCCTTCCTAAGACCCCGCGACTAACTTCCGGCTCATTAGTACTCGATGTACGGCCACATCCAGAAGCTGGCCGAGGCTGAGAAGAAGGGTATCGAGGCCGCTGGTGGCGAGGCTACCATCTACCAGTACGACAACGGTATTCATTCAACCTGCTTCCTTAGCTTTGGGACTGACCATTTTCATCTAGGATCGGCGAGACTCTCTCTGAGGAGGTTCTGGCCAAGATGCACGCCCCCGCCAAGTCTAGCTACCCCGTCATTGAGCCCACCGACCTCTTGGAGTACGATGCCGTCCTCTTCGGTATCCCCACCCGTTACGGTAACTTCCCTGCTCAGTGGAAGACCTTCTGGGACAAGACCGGCTCCATCTGGGCCTCCGGTGGCTACTGGGGCAAGTACGCCGGTGTCTTCATTTCCACCGGTACCCTCGGTGGTGGTCAGGAGTCCACTGCCATTGCCTCCATGAGCACTCTAGCTCACCACGGCTTCATCTACGTCCCTCTGGGTTACAAGACCACCTTCCCCCTCCTTGCCAACCTTGAGGAGATCCACGGTGGTAGCCCCTGGGGTGCTGGTACCTTTGCCGTAAGTTTCACCATGAACAACAACCTACCGAGCCAAGGACCTCAAGCTAACTGATTATCCTAGGGTGCCGACGGCTCCCGCCAGCCCACCGCTCTCGAGATCCAGATCGCCGAGGCTCAGGGCAAGGCCTTCTACGAGGCCGTTGCCAAGGTCAACCACCAGTGACTACATGGCAGTGCCGAGTCGAAGCCCGAGACTCCGGCCCCGGCTGCCGGTGCAGCTGCTCAGAAGTCCGAGCAGCCTGCCCAGCAGCAGCAGGGCAACCGGGAAGCAGCACAGGAAAAGGACAGTGAAGGAGGACCATGTGGCTTGCCCAAGAAGTGTACTATTCTGTAACTGATTGGGTTCTAGCTTTGTTTTCCTCTTTGCGCTTATTCTGGTTTCCTTTGTGACTTCCTGGGGGCGTTCTCGTAGGCGTTTCGATATTTTTTGATGACGATATGGATATATATGACCACTTTTGATCCTAGAGGCTTCTCCCAGATAAAAGCTAATTCTCTCCTTGAATGGAAAGTTCTCGTCACACCATGCTATCAAAGCTGTGCAAAACAATCGTATACTTTGTAGATATCTTCTAACTGTCTATCCTTGGCGTGGCTACAACTAACCAACCGCCCATCCCCTGATTACAAGTATATTATTGGTAGCACAGGATGATCAGGATGCCCTGGTCTCAGGTACATTAAGAAAATTTGGTGAATAAGCTTCTTGTTTGGAAAGTTCTAGAGACTTGACGCAGCGGTAACTGTATTACCAATATTACCACATCAATACTCCAGATCACGTGTATATATGGTTATCGTGTAACGTCACCGCCCGCTAGCTGTGGCGCTCACCGCCCGCATGTTGTGACGTGACCTGCTGGAGCTTTGAAAGCAGCTCCACGTCTTTATCATCAATCAAAACCATGCGCCTGCTTTTCTGACTTGAAAATACCCAAAGTTTCCCTTTCTAAAATACAGGCCCAAGCTGAACCGATACCCTCCCTCCCAGAATGGCGTCCCGCCCAATCCTCCTGCGGTTTGAGAGCAGGAACGGCCAATTTCGATTCACGGTCAACCCGCAAGACCATTTCCCCTCTCTCCAAGAAAAGGTGATACCGAACCCAGCTCGCCCGGGTGTTGACATTTGTGGAACTGAGGCTAATATGGCTGCAATATCAGATCGTTGAACACCTTCCCTCAGAGGTGGACCCCTCATCTATTACCCTGTCTAATAAACCGATCGGCACTGGCGGGGAAGAGCGAGAGCTAGAAGCCTTGGCTGGAGTTGCCATCGCGCAGGTTGGCCTCAAGTGAGTAACCTTTTGGCGCTTCTGAGTTACCAAAATCACCAATATACTCATCTATACAATCTATCAGGCATGGTGATAAGCTCTTCATCGGGTATCAAGAACGCGCTGCTCAACAGAACGGCACCACCAATGGACACCCACCTGCCCCCTCCGAACGTCGATTAAATGGTGCCCCCGTTCCTCAAAAACAGACTGTCCCGATCCGCCCCCAGCCTACATCGCCAACACTCAATATCCCAAATCCGTGGGACGTGGTGCAACAGTCACCACTAGACGATCTCCTCGATAAGAGAGATGGCAAGATCAAGCGAAACAAGGACCAGCGAATGTGCAAGCATGGCCCGAAGGGAATGTGCGACTACTGTATGCCTCTGGAGCCTTACGATGCCAAGTACCTCGCCGAGAAGAAGATCAAGCACCTCTCGTTCCACTCATACCTTCGAAAAATCAACGCTGCAACCAACAAACCCGAGATGAAGAGTTCATACATGCCGCCACTTAGCGAGCCCTACTACCGGGTACAGCGCGACTGTCCATCTGGTCACCCTCAATGGCCAGAGGGCATCTGTACGAAGTGTCAGCCCAGTGCCATCAGCCTACAGCCCCAAGAGTTCCGCATGGTCGATCACGTCGAATTCTCGTCTCCCGATTTGATCAACTCCTTGTTGGACTTTTGGCGGAAGTCAGGTGCTCAACGACTGGGATTCCTCTATGGAACATACGAAGAATACACCGAGGTGCCTCTGGGCGTCAAGGCGGTCGTCCAGGCAATCTACGAGCCTCCACAGAATGGCGAGATTGACGGTGTTACACTTCGTGATTGGCATAATGAGAAGGAGGTTGACGAAGTCGCTCAGCTCTGTGGCCTGCAGAAGGTTGGAGTCATTTTCACAGATCTCCTCGATGCGGGCCGTGGGGATGGCTCTGTGGTTTGCAAACGACACATCGATTCATACTACCTTTCATCTCTCGAAATCGCATTCGCTTCCCGTCTTCAAGCCCAGAACCCCAAGGCCACAAAATGGAGCCGCACAGGTCGGTTTGGCTCTGACTTTGTCACATGTGTGCTGAGTGGAGACGAGACCGGTGCTATTGCCGTGAGTTCCTATCAGGCGACGGTATCGGCAGTGGAGATGGTTCGAGCGGACATCGTCGAACCCTCTGCAGAACCCTCTGTCATGCTCGTCCAGTCCGAGGATGACGACGACGTGGGCAGCAAGACACGATATATTCCCGAAGTTTTCTTCCGTCGCATCAATGAATATGGCGCAAGCGTCCAGGAGAATGCCAAACCAAGTTTCCCCGTTGATTACCTCCTAGTCACGCTGACACACGGTTTCCCTACCGAGTCAGCACCTCTCTTCACCAACAGCAAATTCCCCATCGAGAACCGCGAGGTCATTGGCGAAAGCCAGGAACTGCGACATGTTGCTCAAAAGTTGATGTCACACGGCGACCCCGACAAGGCTATTCAGGGTGTATCCGACTTCCATCTCCTTTGCTTCTTGCATGGATTGTCTACGTTCAATAAGGTCGGTTCCTACCCAGATTCATGCTTTCGAGAAACAACTCCATGCCATCGACAATCAAGCTCTCAGGTACTAATTCGATTGTATGACAGGATGAGGAAGCACTCCTCGGCCGAGTTGCGACGACCCAGGCGCCCGCGGATGGAATGCAGCTGTTGAATACCCCCGGCTGGGCAACCTTGATGACAATCCTTCAGGAGAGTGGTGAGCGCCCCCCTAAGCGCCCCTGGCCCACCGCGGCCGAGGCATCCCGCCCGGCATCCCATCCTGGAAAACGGCGGGTATATTCACCCGCCGCCCATCTTCCCCGATCCGTGTCTCCCAGATCCGACGGTGAACAGCTTGCTAAGAGGTTCAAGGGAACTAGTCTAGAGTGATCGGTTCTATTTCTCCAAAGACAGATATTCTTCCCATCTTTTCTCCGATTCGGTCCGGCTCGCATCATGCTCGTCTTAGAGATTTAGGATGACATCGGTAGCTTCGCAGACGGCTTCGCCCGATTGTCGCAGGAAAACGATCTTCTTTGTGTTTCGAAGTGCATCTTCTATGGGGATTCGTTGGTTAGTGGGTATCGGTGGGTCTAAGAGAGAGAGGGGGATAGAACATCGGTCCTCATGGCGTTCAGCTAGGGACTTTACGGGGTGGTTTATCTCATATCTCAACATTTATTAGCTATCAGTGGGTCGGTGGATCTCTGGAGCCTAGCATTCAATACATGACTGAAACGTGCGCATCTCTATGATCATATTTCCTTGAGAGTAAGGTTAAGTACAGCATATAAACAGCCTATTGACGCCGAACGACCACCCTCGTATACTCGTCGCATGAAAAATATCCAAACCGTCGAATCATCTCGTTCGCAATCTACCCGTTCGCGCATCTATAGCCCGAAAATAAAATGAAATAGAACAGATACAAACATTATAACAGGGAAGAACAAGAAGACTGTTGAAAAGTACGGGCAGCCACCAAGCTACGACTTGATTTCGCGACTTGCCCGTACAATATCCTTCAGCCGACTTTCCAGAACTTGTCTTCCTTCCCCATCAGTCCACACCTCGTGTGGCGCATCGTGAACAACGTCCCAGGAAAGTAACTTGTTCGTGATATGCGAAAGATCCTCCTGTCTCTTCGCCCACTCGGGGTCTGCTCGCATCTCACGACCTGAACTGATAACGACCAACGGAGTCGCACCCATCTGTATATGCCGAGCAGACTGAACTTCAGCCGAAGTCATGGTAACTGCCACGAGATTCTCCTGTAGCTTGGCCTTAATGAATTTCCCAGTTTGATAGGCCGATCGTCCGATGACTCGGTCTTCCCGGGTACGACCTCGGAAGAGAGCACCTGCTAGACGATCCAGTCCCAGGGGTGAAACAATACCGCGTAGCCATAACATGAACCCTCGATTGGGCTGACCGATGTCGGCGAGATATGCCTCGTGGAGCGGGTCGATGAGGAAGATGCCGCTGACTTCTAGTAAATGGCGGCTAGCAAAAAGTCGAGAGTAAAGACTGCCAACACCAGCAGAGACGACGATCCAAGGTCCTGATTCGCCGGCCAGGGCTAACGCTTCGGATAGAACGTCTGCAGACATCCCTGCTGAATGTGGCGAGGGTGCATTATCTGACCATCCGAATCCAGGTCGGTCCCAGTAGCAGTATCTGCTGATAGCACCGTATTGATATGCATCGTCGATGAATGGTTGCAAGGTATGTTCAACAGGGCCGTAGTCACCTTCAACAAGAATAGTCGGCTCATTAGGATCCTCGGTGCGATTCCCAACGCAAGCTAAATGGATCCGATATGTGTCGCCGTGAACGGAGTATCGTTTCCCAATAGGCTCAAGTGAGGCATCCCGAGCACGCAGGATCAGCGTTGCCGTGAACAAAAGCGTCGCAAATGCCATCACACCCAGAACAACTATCTCGATCAGAACGGCCAGCCATTCTCGAAGAGAGCGGCGAGTCTCTTCACGACCAGTCAGTCGCTCCTCTTCCTCCCGTTTACCCCGTGTCACAACTTGATTCTGAAGAATCTGGTAGACGGAGATGATAAGTGCCCAGACGACGGATGCGATGCCAACCCAACCTTCTTCAAAGCGGATCTGTGGGATACCGACGATAATAGACATATCAACCAACAGAAGAATGGCGAGAATGATCCCACAGACCGTCATTGGCTTCGACGGAACGACGAAGAATAGAAGACCGAGTACAAGGTATCCGATTGTCAATGTGATGTAGGAAAAAGAGAAGAATCCAGACCCCCGCGATTGCATTAGTGGTGGACTAACAAATATCGATACCAAGAGGAACGTCCACCACACAAAGCTCGCAGCGAGTGCAATAAGAGAAAGGGCTCGCAACGCTCGTACACTCCATAGATTATAAGGGGAGACCTAATCACCATCAGTATACTTCAGCAACCTTCACAATAAATATTAGCACTTACAGCCGGATCATCGGGACTCAAATATCCTTGATCATTATTCTGGGGAAGCAACCTGGAGCGCTCAGTCGGCTCTTCGTGATCAGATGGGTGTCCATTGTCATGCCCTTCGTCTCGAGCGCGAGACGATCCAGGCCTGTCGGGCTCGTCCTTCTTTTGCCAGAATGAGACCATTTTGAGGTTCACAATATGGTCGACTTCTGCAAAGGTTTCAACCTAACGATGAGTGTTCGGCTGCGGGAAGATCATAGTTCGTGGGAGATCAAGTTTGATAAGATAAACTTGGAGGTATGACGTCATTCACTCCCATTGGTGGGGTTCTTGATTTAAAACAAACTATCCTGTGATTCTATGAGGGGAAGTAAGAAATGATATTGCTAGACTCATATAAATTCAATATCAGGAGAAAAAATTATCATTCCTCTCGTCATGAACATGCCGTGCGTCATCGTTGTGGAGTGCCGAGTTTGGGGGACTTGGGATGGAGGGACTTTGCTATGTACTCCCTAAGTGCTCCCTGGGCAACTCCCTAAGCACTCAAGATTGCTCAGTCCTTAGCTCACCCTTCGCTCAAGGCTGACTGCACAAACTTCCCATTTGATTGCCTAGGGGCCGTCAGGGTGGGGGTTAGGGGCGCTTTTATATCTGGCAACTCAATCACTGATTGGCCCTACCGAGGCTTCCATCATCATTCTACCATTCTACCCATACATTCGTTTTGCCTTCTCTTATCACATTGCAAGATGTCAAAACCTGAAGTGAATGTTCTCGTATTTTCCAAATTCTGCGTCCCCGAGGATGAAAGCCTCGAGGATGAGAAATGGGCCAACTTCTACCGGATCCTGACGCAGTCCCCCGGCCACTCTCGTTCCAAATGGGGCCGAATTAGTGAGTGTCCAAACTACGTGCTCCTCGTTACGAGTAAGTCATCTGCGTACTGTGAGTACCTGCAGAATACTTATCAACCACCTCCAGTCTGGGACTCGCCCGATGCCCTGAGCCAGTTCAAAAACTCATCTTCATACCACATCTATTGGTCCACTTTATCTCGGGACTCTTCTATTCCCCCAGAGGTCTGTGAAGTCGATAACAGTTTCATACTGTCATGGTTCTACAAGCGATTCATGGGCAATATTTCCATTGTTACCGCCTATTTTCCTGTCCCCGAGGCTAGTAACAACCTGGAACGAATTAACGCCTTCAGCGGCCTCTCTGTTGCTAGAGGTCTGGGTCCTGGAGCCCCGTCACGACGTCTTCCACAGAGACAGAATCCAAAAGCATACTGGGTCAATGATACCCGAGATCGAAATGGCATGTAAGTGAAGGCTCGATTGATGGTTCATTTCTGGACTGATACCCAGAAGGAACAAGAGCTCAAAGAAAGGCGCAACATCAGCGGGGTAACATTTTGGGAAGAGTTCGAACAGCAGCTGAGGGAAACCGGAGCAATTGATTGGACCGAAGAGCACTGGGACTACAGTAATTTACCGTCAAAGGATGTTTAGCTGTTCAGCCTCATCGCAGTGAAGCATGATACCAAGCTAGCGAGAAAGCCGTCTGCTTGGCAGAGGAGATGATTAGAAAATCAAAATTTTATTCCCGAACCAATTGTATTCTATAAATAAAGCCTATTAGGCATATCAACAAGTTTCGAACCAATGCTGAACTTGTTCGCAGTAACCCCAAGATTTGGGTCTACCTCTGCGTCTCCTATTGGTACACTCTGAATAAGGGTTACTATTTCCCTGACGGTGAAAAGGGTGCTGAGGTGTCCACTTAGTGAGGATGCCTGGAATTAGAGGTTTGTTCGACGTTTTGTAGTATTAAAAGTCGTTGGGAGGTCCCAATTGATACATCTAAGTCTTGGGTAATATATCCGTTCTGAACAACTTCCATCTAATGAACATCAATCACCTGTTTGTCTTAATCTAGCCAGTAATATTCGGTATTGACTTCTATGGTTGGCTTATTGCTACTCCTTTGTCCACTTTGGAGTACTATCTCTCTTACTTTTACCTACAGCTTATCATCAGCACCTTTGTCACCGGCTTGACCAAGAATGTATCCTATAAAATAATTATGGGGAAATTCTTAGTTACCATTGATTTAGTTCTTCTGTTTGAGCGCGTTTCATTATTTGAGATCCAGGTACTGTGCCCTGACCGTCAGGCTGGATAGGTAGTTACACTGAAAACCTTAGTCAGCGGAGCTTGAAGTAGGTCTGCGGCCTCAGGTTTCCAGAGCTAACCTTCCAGCCCACCACAGCCACTAGGTGAATGCCAAAGCCGACAGTGGTATGATCTCGACCTCCCTCCAAAGCTAACGCCCAAAGAGAAGAGTGTCTTTTTATCTAACAGTCCGTTGTCTAACTTGAACAACGATCAACCTCAACACTATTTTCCGTGTTCACTCGCCCATTCCTGGGTCAAAGGCCACTTCGTTTACTCCCCACGTCCACTATAATCTCATGAGCGAGCTCCAGAAGTCCTTTGCAAAGGCTAAATTGGGAAAGCTTCCCCCGGAAGTACCCATGTTTCACCCAATGGATATTCCGGAAGAACATCACGAAGAGGATGGCTCTTCCGCCTCCTCGGTCTCTTCGACGGGGACTTTAATGCCCCCCCCCACGAGGAATCTATTTGCTCGAAGGAGCAGCGCGTACGTGTCACTTTTGTGTTCCTTGTCGATTTCTACAACTTCACCTTGATACCGAGCATAAGACTCATTGTCAGGTTTACCGTCTCAAGCAATCGAGCTAACATAAATTCTCTAGACAATCAATGCAATCACTGTCTTGGACAGACTTCTTCAGTCAAGAATTATTTCTCCCCGAGGAGGCCGATGGAATTCAAATTATCCACCATGTGTATTTGACTCCACCTTCGCAATCCGGCCCATTATTCGTTATGCATCACGGCGCAGGTTCGTCAGGCCTCTCATTTGCAACTTGTGCAGAAGAGCTCCGGAAACTCCTTCCGAAAGCTGGTGTGTTGTCCCTTGATGCGAGAAGCCATGGCCGTACCACTATGACTCCAACATCAAAGCCTCTCGATCATGACAGCCCTTCCACTGGAGCGGCTGCTCGGGCGGAGGCTGATGGGAAGGTTGGACTCGATCTCAGTCTAGATACTCTAAGCCGTGACCTCATCTTTGTCGTTCGCGAGACCCAGGCCAAGATGGGCTGGGAGAATCTCCCAGATATTGTGCTCGTCGGTCATAGTCTCGGTGGCGCAGTCATTACTGATGTGGCTAAGAAAGGTGAACTTGGTTCAAAGCTACTGGCGTATGCAGTTCTGGATGTTGTTGAAGGTAATTTTGCCCCAACCCAGCTCAGATATTGTGAATAATAATCTGAACGTCTTCCTTAGGATCCGCCATGGACGCCCTCCAAAGCATGGAGAATTATCTCTCAACCCGACCAACCCGGTTCCCTTCGCTAACATCAGGAATTGAGTGGCAGTAAGTCTCTCCCCCATCATCATCATCATAAATGGTCCGTGATACACATCTAAACCCCATAATAGTACTCGTTCCCGAACAATTCGAAATCACACCTCAGCCCGAGTCTCCGTCCCATCTCTCATATACGAAGAGACCGAGCCAACCGATCCCTCCCGTCCATGGGTATGGCGCACAAACCTCTCCGCCACGAAGCCCTTCTGGGAGAACTGGTTCATAGGATTGAGTCGCAAGTTCCTCGACGCGCGGGGTGGCAAGCTGTTGCTGCTAGCAGGAACGGATCGATTAGATAAAGAGTTGATCATTGGACAGATGCAAGGTATACAATCCTTCTTTCTCCTCCTTGGCAAAAGCATGGGCTAATTTTTATTCTATTATAGGAAAATACCAGCTTCAAGTCTTCCCAGAAGCAGGCCATTTCATTCAAGAAGACCAACCGAGTAAGACGGCGCAGGTTTTGGCTGATTTCTACAGGCGTAATGATCGAAGTGCGTTGGTGCTCCCGCCCAAGGTGGGCGATTTGCAGGCTGCTGCTGCGATGAAGAAAGGCGCTGGCGCCTTTGAGAAAGGACATACCAAGTAGATACAAGCATACAATGCCATGATGGAGTTAAAATTTTGAAGAAATGCTATCCATGCCCGGATAACAGAATACAATTACCCCGTAAATCTGGCGATACAAGATATCTACAGTTACAGGTGGACTCAGGAATTATCACTGATGTAAATATATTTTGATTAGAAGAAAATCCCCTCCTCCAAATGATTCCATACCCGCCACCAGCTCGTACTAAACGCATAACAGCAATCACAATTCATAGGTCCTTCTACCCAGGAATGGGAGGGACCAATGAATGACGGCCGTAGTTGTGTCTTTCCAGACCACGCAGAGCAGAATCCCTAGAATGAGACTATTTTCTTCAGTAAGGCAAATAGCCTTTGCAGCAATAAGATAGCAAAAATGTTCACGCCGCCACCGTACCATAACACCGAACAGAGATCGATCTCCAGATTACGAACGCCATCCAATCCCCACGGGAATAGTTAGCGAAAGCTTTCTGAAGACAACCATGACCAGATAAACATGAAGAAGGTATCCGAAGAAACCGGGGTATTTGCGCCAGAGAAGATGAGAAAAGGTCGACGACACGTTGGGAAGACCGAGGAAAATGGAATTTGCCCAACTAAGGAAGATAGGCACCGCCCGCAACGACCAGGTTCATATTGGTGAACTTGACCTTGTAAACAGGACTCTTCTTAGTCGGGAAAGCGCTGATCTGGTCGGGGGTGACAACCACATCCTTACCCTTCTTCTTTTTGTTAGAGGCCGTAGCGCTTGCGGGAGCATTGCTGGCATCAAGCTTGGTACCGGCACCGCCTTCGCCGATCACACGTCCCTGGGTGGCATCTTGGGAACTGCTGACATCCCAGATGCGGACAGTACCATCGGCACCACCAGATACGAGGACTGTCGATTCGACACTCCAGCTGAGTGACCAGATACCGCCCTTTCCGTGACCACGCATGCGCTTCAACAAGCGGCCCGGTGCGAGATCCCACAGGAAGATGGAGCCAGCATCGTCTGCAGATGCCAGGAGCTTGCCATCACGACTGCACTCCATAGCAGTCACGTTGCCAGTGTGGCCAGTAAACATACGGACCGCATTTCCGGTGGTGATAGCCCACATTCGAACAGTCTTGTCGGAGCTGGCCGAGAAAACGTAGGCAGAGTTGGGGTGGAAGCAGACACAGTCCACATCTTGATCATGTCCAGCGAAGATGCGTAGCTGGCGGATGTGATCAGTGGCCCATAGTCGAGCAGTGCGGTCAGAGCCACCAGAGACGAAGTAGTGTCCAAATGGTCCCCATCGCAAGTCCCAGACGGGACGGTCATGGCCCTTGTAAACGACCAGGCACTGCCAGGTGTCAAGAGACCACAGGCGGATTGTCTTGTCCGCCGACGAGGAGAGTAGGAACCGAGAATTGGTCGGAACATAGTCATCTGCAGAGACATTTTCAGCCTTGGTTGCGCAAGGTGGGAAGGCAACAGCATAGACTGGACCAGCATGGCCGATCAGGCGCCGAGAGTTGGCTGGGGGAAGGTCATCTAAATCCGGGTAGGCTGCTTCGATATTCTTCCCGTCAAGGCTCCACACGCGGATGTAAGACTGGGCAAATCCTGCAGCGACAAGCATGTTGTCATCGGAAAAGTCCAGGCAGTTGATACTAAAAACTTGTCAGTAAAGCTTTCAACACAGGTACAATAAGCACGATGTATCTTACCCATCAAAGGTGTTGTGGAAGGTAAACATGCACACGCTGACTCCTGGACCCACACCGCCAGTGCGACCTTCAATCTTGAACCGATCCCTGTGCTCCCGAACCTTCATGCATTCAATCGCGACCTCACGAGCAGTAGAGGCAGGGAATGGAATATCCGCACGAGTAGGCGCCTCCTCGTCCTCTTCCTTCTTGATCATCTGCTCAAACTCTTGTACGAGTGTGTTACGGCCAGGTACAGGGGCTTCTCTGGCATCTTCCTCAGCCAGTTCAGCACGGACATCCTCTTCCAGGTCCTGCTCCATTGGCAGCTTTCCGAGGCGAAGTCTTGGCAGGGTTCCCGCCATGGCTGGATTATCTCCAGTGTATGCCGAGCCGGGATGGTGACCGGGAATACCCTCATCCTCGGAGGGGAATGTCTGACCCGCTCCAATTTGGCCAAGCATGGCAGCAAAGCTGAACCGATCATCAGAAGCACGGTCCATGGTCTTGATAGTGCAGTAGCTGCTCAAGATGGCGTTCATGACGGAGCCACCCTCCTTCTCCTTGCTTTCCAGGAATTGAAGGAGATTAGTGTAGGCCGGGTTGCTGAGAACGATGCGGTACTTGTTGGTTCGATAGAGCTTAGCGGTATCGTTGGCCTGCACATGTTCCGGGAGGCTGATGGGCTCAAGCTTACGAACGTCGTCCGTGTGCTCGGGAAGGAACATGTTCTTGTTGGCATCGAAGAACTGCTTGGCATCTTGGGGGTAAAACGACGTGATCATGTTCATGAACGAGTACACAAATAGTGGCCACAGTACACGACGAAGTTCCGGCTATAGATTATTATCAGCAATAATTCGGATATAACAGCGTTTAGGCGTGATGACAAGGGCCATTTTACCTTGTACAAGTCCAGATTCTCCTCGACCCACGCCTTGAGCAGCTCTACAGCATTCAGTTAGTACACATATCATAATAATGGAACGTGAGATGGTTAATTTACCGAAGCCCTTTCTGAACTTCGGGCGCGCATCTTCTCCGAGAGGTGGAAGCGGACGTCCATCGATCTCCTGGTTGGCAGACTCCATACGAAGCATGGCTTCGGTCCGGCTGTAGCCCTTCTTGGCAAGGTAATCAATGACCTACAAGTAGAGAAATAGATTAGTCTTTTGGCCTCAAAAAAAAACATAACATTGAATAAGACGGACGGCATCCGGTTTCGCAGCCTGCTGCAGCAGGCTCTCGAGAGTAGGCCGAGCCTCAGCTGGCGCTGTCGGCTGCACAGAAGCTGCATTTGAAGCAGACTGTGTGGCGGGGGCAGGATTTTGAGGATCCGGAGTGACCGGGGTATCTCCAGGAGCAGCATTTCCAGATTTTCCTGAAAAAACGAGTTTCAAGCGAGGCAAAGTCTTTTCAGGCACGGGCTCAGACGATTCAGTCTCCCCAGCCCGGCCCTTGCGTGCAGACGGGGGCGACCTTTGGCTCGACGGGCGGTACTCGTCGTTGCCATCCTTTTTTGAGGCCTTGCGCTTGGATCGAGGCATGATTGTTCCAGAGAGCGAGAGTAAGGATATGTAATGATAAGAGAGGAAAATGAAGGTTGAAGGTCTCTCTGGTGATTGGAACGCGTCCTGACAGAAGACAAACCAAACGCGGGGAGTCGGTGGCAGATGAGAGAGGTGTTGCCCATCCAGTCAGGAAAGCACGCGCTAAGCAACTGATGTAGGTCGCGACTGCAGGCTGGAGACTGGCACTGGGATGACACGTGCAAGTATCGAGAAGACTCCTTATAAAGTAGCAATCTCGTTGATGCTCTTCGTAGTTTCGATCATCTTCCAGACGGATCATATATCAAGTTGTCTTCGCATCTCAGAGTGACAAGTCCCACCCTGGCTCGCAGGCAGCAGGAGAAATCGATCGAAACATGGATCAAGCTGAAAATGATCTCCAGGCTCCAGAGTCGCAAAAAAGGACCAAAATGCAGCACACAAGGCCATATAAATCGCATGGCCACTCGAAACCGGATACCATGGGGACAAAACAAGGCACAGAAATCAACAAAGTCAACTTACAATCTGGTTCAAATTCTGTTGTGACATAGCACCACTCTGCGGAGGTGGTGGACCAGGGGAGGTGCCGAGTGTACAGGAGTTCCAGACATGGGCTGTTGCGACGACATGGGCATGTTGCCTCCATTTGCGCCAGGTCCCATGCTGCCGCCCCGCGGCGCAGGGCTGGGAGCGCCTCCTGGCGCAGACATAGCGATTGAACCGGCGTGGGAGTGTCAGGCAGTTGCCAGGTGAAGATACCGATATTCACTACAGATGAAAGACAGGGGCGAGAGTCGAGAAGGAGAGATAGAAAGAGGAAGGCCGGGATGAATTTGATATTCGGCAGGCTGCCGGCGCGCGACTGGCCCAAGCTGAATAAGCTCCGCTCCCCGGATTCCTGGTCAGGTGATTCCGTGCAATGTGGAAGCTCGCCAGCTACCAATTCTCTATTTCATTCCTTCACGAACGCAGGAAGGAGCTTGCAAAAGAAGACGGCAAACGAAACACTTGGATACTCTCTCTTGAAAGCTCTATCTGCCAACCATCGACTCGCAAAATGAGTGACGAAGCGCCTGCCTCGCAAACTTTCACTGCTGCGGATCGCATCCGGCAATTGAATGACATCGACCAGGTACGAGCGGGAGGAAGCTCCCCTCGCCTCAATTAACATAGCTAACCCTATTTTTACGCAGGATGTGGCTAAATTGATTCACTCCGCGGGCCTCGCGATCCAAGCGCTCACCAACACCAAGCCCGACGCCGAAACACCAATTGACGGCACTCTGGAATCCCGCAAAGCCCAATTCAAAGAAGCTACCGCGAAATACTTCTCTCTGCTATCCTCCATCGATGTCCGGCTGCGCCGACAAGTCTACGCCCTTGAAGAAGCCTCCCTTTCTACACCCGATATGGCTGCTAAACCGGGCGATGCTGCCGGCGCGGGCGCTGGTGCAGCTGGTGCCGCGGGATCCGGTTCTGGTTCTGCAAACCCTCTGGATGTCAGCTGGCTGAACAGCCGGAAGGATACGGTCGGAAAGGACAAGGAAGCCGAGCTGTGGGCTGCCGCGAGAGAGTTTGTGGGACAACTGGACAATGCGCCTAATGGATCGCATGGCTCGGTCAATCAAGAGGGGAACGAGTCTGAGAAGATGCAGATTGATTAAGAGGGACTATGGATGTTGCTGGACGAAGAATGGTCTGGTTTTTGAATTTTACGAATGATACCCCGGTTACGGAAGCAAAAGCTTAGAGAACCTATGATTACGTTGACAGAAGGGCCTCAAATTGATATCAAGTGTATTTGGGAAGATATCCAAGACTGTTCACAGAACGAAGCTATGCAAAGAAGGAACGCGCTAGCAGGTTGTCTAAATTGGGCTCCCGGAGCCTCTTTCGACCTAACCAGCCTAACAAGACACAAAACCAAGAAGAGATTACTTCTGCATGCCCTTGATCATCTCAAGTTGCGTAGCCCGATCCCGGTTAGTCTCAGAGAGCGATCCCAGACCTAACCACCATATTAGCATTGCGCCGTTCTCGTTGGCAGGAAACAGGAAACTTACTCCGCAGCTCACCAACAACGTCCTTGGCCTTGCCGAAGTAAACCTCCTCTAAAAGACGCAGTCCGGGTTAGCAAATGATTTCTACGATACCCTCGGAAGAAAGACGTACGCAGCAAGTTCCGCATCTTCAACTCCATATCCTCAACCAACCGTCCAACGTTGGCAATGTGGCTCGCATCCGACTCGACGGGCAAATCGGCCTCGATTTGACGGGTCATGTTACCGCTCAGGTCCATCTCACCGAGAGCATCAGTCTCGTTAGCCAAGTGGAGGATGACGGTGCTAGTAAGCTTGTAGTGGGACATGCGCGCGCGGTCGGTAGCCTCGAAGACGTGAATGCTATCCCATTCACCAGAGCTCTGGGAACCAGCGGTAACCCCTGGAGAGAGTAGTCGAGTCAGCCACAGTCACAAGCCAGAAGCCACAAGGTATCACAATATCCAAACCCCAGAAAGGGGAGCTATTTCCACATCTTACCCTTCTTAAGCAGAATCACACCCGCAAATCCATCGTCCAAGTCCCAGAAGTACACACTCCCAACACCGCCCTCATAATAAAGCTCCCGGTAAACATCAAACGCCTCATTAGCCGCAACCTCAAGCTTGCGCACGCGCTCACTAGGAACCGTTCCATCCTCGAGGGGAGGATCAAACTCATTGCTCCATGGTGACCGGTAGCTATCGCCGTCGCGGTTGTAGTCGCAGAGCAGGTAGTCCCGGCTGGTCTGCGGGCAGCGGCGAATCTCCAGGGGCTGGTCGACGGAGGAGAGGAGGTCTTCAGTTAGATCTGGGACGATGGTGGTGATGGCCTGGAGATTGGCCTTTGTGTCGCGCGGATTCAGGCGCCGGAGGAGGTCGCTATGGTGAGGGTGGTCAGGTCAGCTTGCGGGCTCGCGGTGCCGGGGCGGGGTTGCGGCAGGGGCTTGCGTTGCAAGTGTTGGGGATATCGGGGTCGAGGGAGTAGAGGAGATGGAGGATGAGAGGGTCATAGGTCAAGTACTTACAGCGCGCTATCGAATTGTGCGTCAGCCATGGTGTGGAGGAGGGATGTGCTTGTGTATACTCCGTTCTGGTCACTAGTTGGCGGTGTTGACGGGTGGAGGTGCGTGGGTGTATTGGCGGGCCCTCGTGGCACTAGCCTCGGCCATCTAGATCTGCCACAATACGGCGGCAACTACAGTCTAGAGTGTGAAACATTAGAAGGATCTAGCCCCGTTCATGACTTGATTATTCTATGTACATATGTGTAAGTTACTGGGAGGCGTGAAAATGCCTACCCCGGTGCTACAGTAACAAAATGATCCACTTGTGGTTGTTCATCACTCATCACTATCAGACAAGAAAGGCCTCTTTGGTCTCCGTGGCTGTGGTGGAGGCGCAGGTTGTGCTTTTGGCTTTGCTTGAAAAAGGACACTCACATCCGGAAGATCAAAATCAGAGGCACCGGAGTCAAAGTCACTTTCGATGGGTATTGGGGGCGGTGGCTGCCGTTGGGGCTCAGAATCGGAAACATTGGGCGACATCAATGCGGAGAGTTCACCGTATTCAAAATCCGGAGCAATGGATATGGAGGGCTCAAAAATCTCAGATGGTTTCGTCACTTTAGATCGGCGTGGCTGCTTCGCCGGAGAAGTAGACAATGATCGACGAGGAGGAGCTTTGGCAGCCTTCTCGGTCTCCATTGCTATGATCTGCTTATATCGATCTTCGCAGTCAGGACCTGCCTTGTCCATCCTTTGCAAGGTTGTGATCATCCGTCGAGTCAGAGAGCCATGTTTCACCATCTTAGTCGGTCTGGCAACGAGCTGTAATTGTGGAAAGGCATCGGTTCGTGGATAGCGAATGAATTGGGGTGAAGTATCGCCAATATTCTGATAGTGATTCTCCAGTTCCTGCTGCTCGCTCGCAGACAGGACAACGTCCTTCAAGAGCGGCACAGCCACCGGCTCCGGTGTAGGTGTGCGAGGTCGTTTCTTAGGCATCGTCTTCTTCTTCGCAGACTTGGCGAAGCTCTCCTCCAGTGTCGAAGCGCGAGCGAACCCCGTCTCCACATCATCTGGCATATGGAACTTCTTCGGAGGACGCTTAGGTATCTTGCCCTTGCGCTTTGGTTCGGGAAGCTCTTGCTGGGAATTTTCTGGAGGAATATCGATATGTCGTTTGTCGGGGACAGGCCGAATTCCTGGAGGCAGAATACGAGCAGATCGGTCATCATGGAAGGTGAACCGGCTTCCACTGGCGATCATTTGCTGCATTTTCTCGTAGTTGTCTTTGGCCTTGGTATAGTTGTCCTCCTCCTTGCCCTTCATCAGCAGCAAAGTGATCCTACCCGCTCTCTTACGGCCCGTTCGACCCATCCGTTGGAGCATGCGAATAGGTGATGCGGAGGAATCGTAACACACGATGAGGTCGACCTCACCAATATCCAGACCTTCTTCACCGATGGATGTGGCAACGATAGTGTTGTAGGTTCCTCCTTTGAATTTCTCAATGATCGAAAGCTGAGTCTTCTGGTCCATGCCTTCGGAGCCCTTTGCCGAGCTCTGGCCCACGAAGACATGTGGCCGGATCATGGGAGCATAGCGCTGGAGGACTCTGGTCACTTCTTCCGCGCTGTCACGGAAATGCACGAAAATCATAACTCTCGTCGCAGGTCTGCCGGCCCCGTCGACGTTCTCCTTCCCCCTCTCCGACATCCATAAAATGATTCAAAATCACAGACTTGAGATATTCCAGTTTAGGATGTCCAATAAACTCTGGGTTCTTTGTCCAAGGCTCAAGGTGGCTAAGAAGCTTCTTAAAACTCTCATCCTGTACAACTTGCTTCTGCCATTTGCCTCCCTTCTGGCCATCGGTGTTGGATTTGAAATGCAGTATGTGACGGTAAAACGGTACAATACCATGATATTTCAGCAAGTCGATAGCATGCGCTAGACTTGCAAGAACAGTGAAGATGGCGTTGACTTTGCCTTTCAGCCCGAAATTGGCGTTGCGGCCAGCATCAGATCCCATCCACTGTTGTCTTGCCTTAGTGAGGCCGAAGGCTGTCAGACCCATGGGATCGTTTCCCCAATAAGCATTCATAGTTCGAAGTTGGCTGACAAGCGGTCGCAATGTAGTGGATAACAAATCCATGCAAAAGATCATTTCATCCGAGTTTTCGAATGTCTCAATTTCGACATCACGGCTATGGACGTATTCTCGTATGTCAATTGAGTTTTCTGTACGAATCTCGACTCGTGATATGTCGAGCCCATCGATGACTGCTTGCACTGATTCAACTGTAGATCCAGGAGTGGCTGTCAAAGCTAGGACACGGAAACTCTGGTTGAAACGTCGGAGAAATTTGACCACTTCCACATAAGCATAACCTCCGGTGGCGCGGTGGGCCTCGTCAACAACCAGGAGAACAATTCGCTTGGGGTCTGCAATTCCGGTCTTCAAGTCATTGATCAAGGTCTGTGGAGTCATGAAAAACACACGCTTTGACTCCCACTCCTTTGCACGAAGACCTGGCGCAGCACCTCCTGTGAGCATTGTTGTCTGTGATCGTGGGATGCCAGCAATGTCCAAACATGCCGAAACTTGTTGTGATACCAAAGGCTTGGTAGGAGCAACAAAAACCATCTGCGCATCTTTCGTCCATCGGAACCAGTTGAGCATGACGGTTGCAGCGATGAAAGTTTTTCCTAGACCGGTTGGTAAGGCAACGAGTAAATTGTGGAAAAGACCCTTTTGAGTGATATTGAATTGATAATCTCGAATGGTTCCAAGATTCGTGGGATACCACCACGTATTCAATGAGTCCTGGTTCAACTTGTGGTGTGTCGGACGCTCGTCTCTCTCCGGGGGTGCCCAATCCTTCTCTTGGGGTGTTTGAACCTGGTTCTGTGCGGCCATGCCATAGAGCGTCATTTGTCGCATATATTGAGGCCGGTTTGCGGATCGATTAAAGCTTGATTGGGGAATCGCAGGTTGCGTTGGTCGTAATACTGGTGACAACGATGGAGAAGAATCGAAAGCGTCATCGGGAATATCCTCAAGCTCAAACGAAGCGTCCATCGCGGCGCTCACACCATTATTGTGAGCCGGTTGATGTTGTTGTAAAGTCGGATTGACCGTTCCCCGCATGGTCTTCTCCTCCTCAAATGCATCCAACGAAGCAGCCAGAGCCGCCCTCAGGGCTTCCTCCTCGTCGTAGTAATTGTCATCCGGCTGCTCCACAGGTTTATTGGTATTTCTAGCTTGCGGGGCAGGCACGGTCACTGTGGAAGGCGCCTTGGGGGATGGTTTCTGCCACCGTGGACCACGGAGTCGTTCGGGGCTCGAGTCCGGCTGGGTGAGTTGGGTGACGAAGATGTTCTCTTGGAAGTTGCTCTGTTTAGGGACGAAACTACGGGACTTGGATCGCGCTTGCTGTTCATATTCTGCCGATGAGCCTCGCCTTTGTAGAAAATTTTCATCTATATCGGAAAACGAGTCCGTTCCTGACCCGACATCACCGTCGCCCTCTTTCCCACGCGTCGGCGATTGGACGCGACGGCGTTTTGCTGGACGTGGTGAGGCGATCTCCCCATTGGGAGAGTCTGGAACAACAAAATCATCGTCAAAATAGTCCGACTCGGACTCCGTTGCGGACATGGCGCCGATCGAGCGCTGCCCAGCGCTTTCTGATCATTTACTACTGGGGAACCCCACGCGTCGAGACAATCGCGCAGTCATGTGATCCAAATGGGGTGTTTGCATGGTTTGCGTCTGCCGTGTTGTCTGAGAAGCTACAGCTACAGAGCAGGAAATTTCGATTGGAATAGAACACTCTTCCTAGAAGTGTGCTCTTCGTTGCATATTTTCCAATTATACATCAGATTAATCAATTGTTCTATTTTACCGTTATCATAAGCCTCTAGTTTAGAACTCCCTCCTCAATCATATCCAGCACGCGAGCGACCGTATCCCTGGAGTACACTAATGGGTATTCGCCAATCGAGATCACCAAGGAATCTATTTTGTACCTGTAGCCTTTCTTGTCCTGTGATTCCAGCTTAAAGCAGACAAGAGCTAGAAGTCCGAAGTCTAATGCGAAGGGGCAACTTTACAGACCCAGGCATTGCATAATGGACGCGTGTAACCGGGTGTCGAATGTTCCATTGCAATTGCAACTAAATTAGGGACACAATTGGAATTGCTTAGTTATCTACTAATTTAACATACGATGGTCCCATGATCCTATCAAATACTGTGTATCTACGTTGAAGATATTCCCAATTTCCCGTGGGCCAACCCCCAGCGAGGATCGGCCCCGATCGGCTCTATGAAGAACATCCCACGAAGCCAAAGCCAACACAACACTCCCTTACTGCCGGGGGGACACTAGTGCCGGGGATGTGGAGAAATCAATAGTGATAAATAAAGATGCCCAAATCATAAAAAGAAAAAAGCAGAGTCACCGATAGCGACCATTATACTCGGTGGCTGCTTCCAGGTGGCACGGACGAAAGAGTTGTCAGACCCCCAGATTTGACAGATCCACTGGGGCGTCAGGGTCCTGCGGCAGGATGGTTTAGCGTCGTTAGCGCTGCCCTGCCCTGCAACTTCCTCAAGGGGGATGAATCGTTTTGTTAGACTTCCCCTAGAGCTAGAGAGAAAGGGAGATGTAGGTACCCTTTTTACAGGAAGCAAGGAAATAAACAGATCCTACAGAGTGCAGGCAGGGCACCAATTGAGGGAACTATGGAGCCACCTGGGAGGTGACCAGCGGAACAAGCCCCGAATTCTCGCTCTCGTAGAGTCAATCTGAGACAGAGCGAATAAGGAGCTAGCGCCACTCCTTGGGATTTTAGTGAGTTTCCAGGCTTGGAAGGGCTTGACTGGATCGTTTGGGTTAGAGTCGTCCAACATGCCAATGCCCAGTGCCTGGACCCTGTGTGTTTGTGCCCGTATTTAACGGGTCCTTCCTTCTCCTCTCTTCCTTCTTCTCCTCTCCACACTATTTTCCTTCTTTGCTTTCCTGTTTCCGTCACTCGTTAGACTCCAGTCTCTACCTGTTCTCTATCCATTCGCTCTTCCACATCCCACTATTCAAAATGAAGTTCAACCTGATCGCCCTCTCCACCCTGCTGGCCCTGGCTGCCGCCGCCGACTCCACCACCTCCACGGCGGCCGCGGCCACCACCCTTAGCGCTGAGGCCCAGTGCGCCCAGAAGTGTAAGTCCTTCCTCCCTGGGGAGTGCAATCTCAATTCCATGATCAGATCCAATAACTAACGTGTCTTGATATACAGGCGACGCTAACGACGTCTGCTGCATTGCTCAGTGCTACCACGTCCCCTGCCCCAGCGACAACCAGGCCAACGATACCAACAGCTGTGTGGCTGCCTGCCCCCAGGGCACTGGATCTCCCTCCGACACCCAGAAGTATGCCGACTGTGAGCAGAAGTGCTACAGCTCGCACTTCTTCCCTGCCACCGGTGCCGTTGCCTCGGCCACTAACTCTGCTTCGGCTGGCTCTTCGGACGCTACTGCCACTGGTAGCTCGTCTACCGAGACCGGCTCCAGCTCTAACTGTATGTACTCCCAGTATACTCGATTTGAGGACCTTCCACTAATACCCATCCTTCTATAGCCAACGGTGCCAGCAGCACCAGCGGCTCTGCCACCGGTACCTCCTCCGGTGCTATCCAGTCCACCGGTGCCGCCGCCAACATCCAGCTGGGTGCCTCCGGTGCTGGCCTCTTCGGCCTTGTCCTGGCTGCCTTTGCTCTGTAAGCGCGCAACCATGGAGATTTCCAGGGATCAATCCTCATATTGATCCTTCTCGGATTGCGAGACAATATGCTTTGGGGGGGGGTTTCGGAGCAATTGACTCGTAACCGACACCACATCTACTGCTTTTTCTTCCACTTGTGTGATAGTATCAAAGATACCTAGTTCTGGTTCTGGATTTAGGGCCTTTCTGTGAATGACATACGAATATTAATTCGGGGAAACAATCTACCCCATCATAGTCAAGCTTACTTCCCTGACACTTCTTTTTCTTGTGTGCTGTAATTTCCTCAATTCTTATTTGGGAAGTTTGTAGACATAGCATTCCTCGGCGCTCCAAATGAAAGACAGGAAAACCGACGTGTCGATCCACGAATCGAATCGAGTCTTTCATTGTTGCATTCCGCCCCACATGGCTGTTTTCCCCGCAGACGATCCGAAGGAGGTTGTCCCAGGTACCGTAGTAACTGGACAGCAATTTAAATATGCACTGACTAGGGGATATACGACGCAGGGGAGAGTAAGTAAGAATCATAATCTCAGATGGTATACGCTGAGTATAGTACTGGAACTCGTCTTCGATATATTCTGTAGGAGTTAGCTATAACCCTCGGGATTCACCGCCAACGCCAACGGACGCGTTGTTTACTGCGGGGAAGAAAGTTTCTGCTGATCTTAGGTTACAATCACCAGGATATATATCCCCTCTTTGAGCTTCACACTCGACTACCTATATCCCAAGAGATACCTTACTTATAGCCTTTCCACACCTCCCTTCCTATATACTCCAACCCATCACCATTCCCTATACCAACCCCCACATCTCCAATCCGGGTCTTCAGCAAAAATGGACATCACCAGCCCAGAATTCCAAACCCTCTACGCCTCAATGACAACCTTCGTCAACACCTGCATGTCCGGCCACGACCCCTCCCACAACCCCGCCCACGTCCACCGCGTCGCCAACCTAGCAAACACAATCCTAGAAGCCGAAGCCACCGCCCAGCCCACCCGCCCCCTCAACGCAGCAGTCATCAAACTCGCCGCTCTCCTCCACGACATCGGTGATAGGAAGTACCTGCCCACCCTTACATCCGCGACCAACGAGTCAAAATCCGGCTCCGCCAACGCTACGAGCTCGGCCGACATCGATCCCAAAACAATGGTCCAAATAGCGCTGCTGAGCCACGGCGCCCCCGCAGAGCTAGCGTCGAAAGTGCAAACGGTCGTCTCCCACGTCTCGTACACCACCGAATGCAAAGATCCAGCTTTAATCCGTCGTTTGATCGACGACGGATATCCCGAGCTGGCAATCGTGCAAGATGCGGATCGACTAGATGCCATCGGGGCGATTGGGATTGGACGGACGTTTACGTTCCTCGGGGCTCAGGGGAAGAAGTTTGCGGGCGAGAATGGGTGGGAGATGGGGAATTGTATTGAGCATTCTGTGGAGAAGTTGGAGAGGCTTGAGGGGATGATGAAGACTGAGACTGGGAGGGGGATGGCGAGGGTTAGGACGGAGAGGTTGAAGGTTTTTAGGGGGTGGTGGGAGGAGGAGATGGAGGTTGCTACTGCTACTACTCTGTAGGGGGTTATAGAAGTGTAGAGGGTTTAGATTGTATATGATGGAAGTTACGAATTAGAATAGGGCAGGACTGTCTATGTTGAATACCATGGGGTGTTGTAGCCCCACTGGTTGGCTTGATTCATGTTCAGAGTATAGCCGTTCTGGGCTTCCAGCGAGAGTAAGAGCTCAATGTGCAGGAAAGCATCAAAAGGTCAAAAGACAAAAAGATCATTCTGATCAAACTCCCCAACGCCAACGATAAGGGAAAAGTCATCGGTAGAGACGGTCGTCTCGAGTATCCGAGACAGACAAAGGAAAGAGAAAAAGCATGACATATCCTCCAGTCTATAGAATGCCAATAAAAACATCAGTACATCGTTTGGGTATTTGGGTATTTGGGTTTCTGTGAGCAAAGTGCAAAAAAAAATAACAAAACAAAGTAACCAAAATAAAACAAACGGAAAGATGATAACATAGCAAGTCAACCCAAAAATGACAAAACAAGACAAGCCAACATGTATGTAATGCAATTTCATAGGTCTGGTTCCATCTGGGAAGGATCAAGAGAGAAATAATGAACAAACTCCGGCTGCAATTCTCCAACGCCGCGCGAGCAGAAATCTAAAACACTGGATAATCATCGAAAAATAGAGTTAGAAAAAAGACAAACCTGTTCTCACGTAATAAACGAGAAGAGAATGAAAATCAACTTCAAACCCGATCCCGTGCAAAGTCCAAAACTTCGCAGTCATCCTCGAAAAATCCATCATCCGCCTTGAGAGGAGTGGAGTGTTTCTTCTTCCGGCGAGTGGTAATGACCACTTCTTCAACATTGCCGGTACTATTACCAAGGGTGATGAGATTCTCCATCTCTCCACCGGCGCCAAATGACTCGCCGCGGATCGCAGCATCCTCATCGGCCTCGCCGTCTTGATCATCACCACTGGTGTTGTATGATCTGACATGCACCTTGGTTGTCGGGATGTCGTCACCAAAGACCCACTGACCGCTAGGCACATGTGCTTTGCTGTCACTAGGGTAAACGTGAAGGCTCACTCGCTGATCCGTGTGGAAGGGTTGGTAGGGGGTATTGGTCTCAATCTCAGCCTGGGAAAGCGGCTGGCAAAAGGTCTTGCCCGTACTGCTAGGCTGGGAGCTGGCAGAGGGCAAGAGAAGGGATGCCTGAACGACCTTTTCAGGATCGTAAGGCACAAGAGGCGCCGGGCCGCAAATGCTCTGCATATTGGCAGGCAGCCTAAATTGGACTTCTTTGCTTCCAATGACAGAGTATGACTGGCGATTCTTGTTGGTAGAAGTGCTTCGCTTTAGACGATATAGCTTGAACTGTCCATCATCCACCACGCCCATGAAGATGTGTCCCTTGTTGAGGATCCATATCACTCGAGACGGAGCCGGGTCCCGTGCAAGCCCTGACAGGTGAAGTCGGTTCTCGCCGACATGCCGGAGGGTCTGTACAGTCCCCGTGGCTGCTGCTCCCATGGACTTGCTCAGCCCTGCAGCAACAACCTTGCCACCTTTGATGCTAGCCGCTGTTGGCAGAGCGAAGCTGCTCACATGAGGGAAACCACCGCCAGTAGATTGAACACGGCCTCGTACTGCAGAGAGGAATGGCTGTGTCTTCCCGCCCACGAAGGTCATGGCCGCAGAGAGTGGGTTTCCACCGGTCGCCGGATTCGATAACTCATCGCCCGTAGGATCAACTGTTGGCGACTTCTTAGCGGTTGGACGAGCTCGACGGAAAGGGGGCCACTGAAATGCACTTCGAGGCAGGTCGAATACATGCACAGTTCCCTTCCGCGTGATGACAGCCAATCGATCACCAACCGGAGCCGTCCAGATCACATCCACGATGCTCGAAGTGGTTAACCGCGCGTATCGAGCAACCTGTCGGACGTTGGGACTGTGGCCACCCTGGTCGTCGGCCATGAACGCCATGGCACGGCAGTGCTTGAGCTGCATCAGATCCCAGACATATTGCACGTCGCCCTTCTTGCTCGCAGTGAAAAGCATCAACCCATTGGGAGAGAGCGATAGGAAGCTACAACCGTTGGGAACTTGGAACGTTGCCACGGGGTTAAGAGATGCTACCTTTGCATCCAAACCATCGTCAAATCGTTTGAGATCGATAATCGAGACCGCATCGGGTTCCGGCGACGATGTGACTTGAGTGTCTAAGGAGTGTGTCGGCGGGAATATTCCATAGCCCAGTCCTGGGGAATCTGGACCCCGAGTAGGTCGCAGCGGTGGAGTGCTTGGAGTGGAAGATTGCCCATTATTCCAATAGCTGTTCCACGCCTGAAGTCCTTGGTCACCCATCCAGCGGGCGCCTTTGACCAGCTCCTGGGTGACACCTCTGGCAACCTTGTCGAGGAAGCTTTCCCCGTCCCCTGCATCTGTCGCGCAGTTCACAGACGGCACGGTTGACGGACTGCGGGTCTCCATTCCTTGAGCTCTGGGATGCATCAAATGTACCGGGACGGTTCCTTGAATGGAGACTCTGTGAGAAGAAGGAGGCACGATCGCTAGCCATCTTCCTTGAAGGGCCAAGACCGGTCGTTCCGTCGCGAAAGTTCGAGGAAGGTCATGGTGAGACCCGTCCGCATCGGTGGAACTCGACGAAGCAGAGTATCGCCGAGCTTCTCCAAGCTGAACATTGGTCCAGGTCTTTCCAAGACACTGATAGGTACCCGACGAGGTATGCTTGAAGGCATACACCTCTCCACTGATCCCAGAAGCAACAATGATGTGATTCCCGCTGTGGAAAAGTCTCAAGCTACCCACTGGGGCAGGTGCCAAGGATGGAAGACCTGGAATATTCTCCGGTGATGGGACCGGTTTGCTGGAAAACAGGGTTGCCACATGCTCACCAGATCGGAGAGAATAGACCTCCACCCGGGTTTGGTAGAATGAAGTCTCCCCTCTCACAGATCGCCGGTCACCCGAATAGCCCCGCGCCGTCGAAGGTGGAACCTCATTCACATCCGAGGCAGCGGCAGACACCCGACCTTCCTCTTCGCCGGGTGGCATTGGCCCGTGCAAGACAATAGCAACGTGTGTTTGAGACGAAGTCCCTGCATCGGGATATTGATTTCCAGACAGGATCTTCGCTTCAAGGACTCGGCCATTCAAACCACTGATCTGCCCAACCAATCGAGTTCGACGATCTTCAACCGCAAGAACCTCGACGGCGCTGTCGGTTCCAACCACAAGCACATTCATACCCGTCCGTGGTGTCTTGGCCGACATACTTGGCAGGGTGTCGAAGCTGCAGAAGGAATAGGCACCATCGCTAGGACGGTTTTGCGTAGGAAGGTCAATGTCCGGCGCACCATAGAAATGAGCCTGGGGCAGATGCGGAGGCGGGGCCAGGTTACTCATTGGGCTTCCGTAGGAATGACTCTTTCGCCGATCGACTGACTGCTGGCGCGACTGCATATTGCTCCGATACCCACTCCCGTAACTGAACGGTCGAATACGAGTCGGTGGCGATGCGGATGAGGGTTGACTGAAGCCACCACGTTCCTGAATGGTTGGAAAGTTGAGTGGAGATTCACTGGGAAGTTCCCCATCCATCAAATCGGTGGGTGGACTCTTGCCATAGGGCACTGCCTGTGCCCAGCTATCTGTCCGAGTGGTAAGGTCGTTGTCTGCCGTTTCCCCGATTGACCCGAGAGCATCGAGGACGGGTGAGGCTACGGGAAGGGGACCATGATGATCCAGTGAGGGATCTACATCCGCATCTGGATCTGGGTCTGGGAAGGAGAGAGGCTCCTCCGGGGCAGGGACCGCGGGGATTCTATGCCATGGGTCAGTCATTAGGGGGCCAGCTTGAAGGAGGGGGGTAATTGCGAAGCCTTACAAATCCTCTGGGGGCGCTTCGGTCGTTGCCTTGACCCCCTTGGCCTTTTTACCACTCTTCTTCTTCTTACTTTTCCCACTGGGCTCATGATCCTGAATGATGTTGCTTGGGGCTGACAGGGTGGGCGCTGAGTGATCGTCTTCTAAAGACCGGCTATGCTGGCGGATCAAATCGTCAGGGGCTGCCGGGGGCATTCAAGAAGTCGGTTGCCTCAGGAAGATGAGGCTAGAGGAAAGTTCTCGAGCACGGGATGACCGCTCTCGAGACCTGTGGTGGGGTCTGAGAACGGAGAGGTTGACACCGTCGGCGGATTCACGAAGGTGGGGGGGCTAGCTGAGTACACGACGGGTCGGGACTGCCGTGAGCTCTTCCATCAGTTATGGGTTCATTAATGAAAGGTAGTTGGTAAGACGCTGTAGGCAGTATAAGAATCATCTCGAAACGACATACCTATACAGGGTCTCTGTTTCGGTTGACCTTGGGTTATTTGGTGTTTTGAGGGGTGCTGGGATACTGCGTATCTGGAGCGGAGACGCTCTCGATACGCGGGGAAGCTCTGATAAGGCTGATAGACGACACAGAGCACCAGCTGGATGATAGATCCAGCAAGTGCGTAGAATAGTTGAGTATAGAAGCTTTGGAGATCGATCGACCCGAGGTCAAGAATCAAGTAAAGTCAGAGAGAAGGAGAGGGAGAGAAGGGACCGCGATAAGAAGAGGGGGGGGGGGGAAGTCGGGAACGCGGTACCTGACTCAGAGCGAACTCAGCCAGAAACTCGGGCGGGGGAGGAAGATGGGGCCAACGCTAATAGGAGACTAACTACTCTGTGATTATTATTATTACAGTGGCTGTTATGATTATTGTTTTTTCTAGCTGACCCCGTCATTCCCCGCGGGTCACAATCCCCTTGAATTACTCTATTTACAGACTCCTTACGATGAACCGATGAACGCTCCACGAGATCTCCAGGGGACCTTGCCGACTTGCATCATAATCCACCTTCCCATGTCATATCTCGATCTGGAATATCACTTCCAGTTTTAGTTCCCGTGGTACATGATCCCTTCCCAGTTCTAGTTGCCGCCACAAAGACACTGACCTACCAGTAGTGGAGGTATCTACGTAGGTAGGTAGACAAAGGGATTATCTAAGCCCCGATGAGATGGCCACCCGCCGACCATGGAACGAGCCAAATCCATTTCTGGTCATTCAGCCTGTCTTTGTTTGTAGTCAAGTCATCTTGGGGATCTCCGTGGATCACCGGAGTTTGATGGTTGGAGGGGGTCACGGGGTGTACCTGGAAGCAACGTGATGACCACGCAGCCTATCATCATGCAATCGGAGTCCATTCTGAGTAACTCGTGGGGAAAAAGGAGTAATGCCGCGAATCAGCTCCGTCATGGGCTTATGTAGGCAACGCTGCATCCTCCGATACGTGCATTCCAAGCCCTGGAAGTAGAAAGGGCCGCCCGTCATACTGGGCCGCTCTAAACGCCAGACCTCGGAGCCTGCTCGGCTTGTTGGCAGTTCCGTCATAAAAGGCTCATGCGCGGGGAACATCCTGGGAGAAGAAGCAACATTCTTTTTTCGAATTTCTAGTAAAAAGCTGATCGACCCTTCTTCCATCGTGAAATGAAGGGCGAAACAGTCTCGGGTATACACAAGAGGTGGTGGTACATGGCTCCCCCTCCTTGGAGCCGGAGCATACGATCGCAGTCATTCCCTTTCCTCTGCCCCCCCTTTAATCCGTCGCGTCATCTTTAGGTCTTCTTCTTCGCCGCAGCCTTGGCCTTGGCGGCCTTCTTCTTGTTGCTGTTGATCATCACAATGCCTATGAAGGTGCCCACCACGGCCGAGCCCAGGAGAGTCAGGATGACGGGGATGCGAATGGCCCAAACACGCGGCGGGAAGAGGTCGTGGAGAGGGTGGCCGGGGTCAACGAAGGGCTAAAATGAAGGGAATAAGTGAGAAGAATATCAAGACTGGAGCCGACAGGGATAGAAACACGTACCATCAACAACGTCCACGCGGTGTAGTAGAGAAAGATAGCGGTTGCGGCCAAGAGCATGGCGGAACCCACGAGTTGGCCCAGCTAATGAAACGTTGTTAGTTTAAAGATGGAAGAGGTTGGAATCAATCGGCTAGGATCATACCATTATGTTAAGGAGCGGTCGCGATCAAGCGCAATGAAAGGGGGGAATCTGGTGAGAGCCCTGGTCGCGGAAATGAATGGCCAAAGGGTGCTGCTGTCAGGAGCTCGTCCCGTTTATTGATCGGGACACTCGACATCATCGACACCGCTTTCATCTGCCGCCTACACTACTACACTACGATACTACTGATAGAGTACCTCGGACTAGAGGATGTTTAATGGAAATATAATTGAAGGGTATTTCAAGACTGCTAGAACTAAGTAAATCATGGACATGACATAGGCATCAACTTGAAATCAGTTTATGTTTCTGATCTAGAAAGAGATTGAGATTCTGCTGGCAAAACGCGCTGTCAAATCTACTAGATCCGCTGTTAGCTGGCTTTCTTCCCAGTCACGTGACTATCACCAGAGCTTTCTTTCGTGGCTCCGCCTACTTGGAGAACCTCACCACCGTGCCTCCGGTGTTTCCTCCCTACCACCACCTCCACCACTCTCCTGGCCTTCCGGTGCCTCTGAGATTTCATCATGTCAGACCCGGTTGTTTTGCAGTCTGCGGTGCGAGTACCCACCCCACCCCCGGGGGCATTCTCACCCACCGCAGGTGCTCGAAAGCGCTCGCCTCCCTCTCGATCGCCCTCACCTAACCGTCGTCGCTCACCTCCGGGTGATTCGCACCGAGATGATGCCGAAGTGCCCCGTATGGATGAGCAACGCGCGATCGAGCGGGAACGCCAGCTCGCCGAGCGTGTACGCGAACACGAACAGCAGGAAGCCGCTCGCAAGCCCATGACCGAGGAGGAGAAGCAAGCAGCGGCCAAGGCCGAGTACGAGAAGCTCTTGAACATGCGCTCTGGTGGTACTTATATCCCTCCGGCACGACTCCGCGCGCTGCAGGCGCAGATCACGGATAAGACGAGCAAGGAGTACCAGCGTATGGCATGGGAGGCGTTGAAGAAGTCGATCAACGGTCTGATCAACAAGGTCAATGTCTCCAATATCAAGTATATCGTGCCCGAACTTTTTGGCGAGAATTTGGTTCGGGGCCGTGGATTGTTCTGTCGATCCATCATGAAGGCGCAGGCTGCCAGTTTGCCCTTCACGGCCATCTACGCGGCGATGACCGCCATTGTGAACACGAAATTGCCCCAGGTTGGAGAGCTGCTGGTTTCTCGGTTGATCATTCAGTTTCGCAAGGCATTCAAGCGAAATGACAAAGCTGTCTGCATCTCCTCCACCACCTTTATTGCGCACCTTGTTAACCACCAAGTTGCCAACGAGATGCTTGTCGCGCAAATTTTGCTTCTGCTGCTCCATAAGCCCACCGACGACAGCGTGGAAATCGCAGTCGGCCTGACCCGGGAGGTCGGACAGCACTTGGAGGAAATGAACCCTCAAATCGCGAATGCCGTTTTCGACCAATTCCGAAACATCCTTCACGAGGCCGATATCGACAAGCGCGTGCAATACATGATTGAAGTACTGTTCCAAGTGCGCAAGGACCGATACAAAGATAATCCAGCAGTCAAGGAGGAGCTTGATCTGGTGGAGGAAGAGGATCAAATCACACATCAAATCGGGTTGGACGATGAGGTCGAAACTATGGACACTCTGAACATTTTCAAGTTCGATGCCGACTGGGAGCAAAATGAGGAGAAATATAAAAAGTTGAAGGCTGAAATTCTCGGTGAGGACAGCGATGAGGATGAAGACGACGAGGACGAGGACGAGAGTTCCGAGGATGAATCGGACACCGAGGAACAGAAGATGGATATTAAGGACCAGACCAACACTGATCTAGTTAATCTTCGTCGGACGATCTACTTGACAATCATGTCGAGTATCGACTTTGAAGAATGCTGTCACAAGTTGATGAAGATCAATCTCCCTGCTGGCATGGAGCCTGAACTGCCTTCTATGATCATTGAATGTTGCTCTCAGGAACGGACATACTCCAAGTTCTATGGTTTGATTGGAGAGCGGTTCGCCAAGATTAACCGTCTCTGGTCTGACCTGTTTGAGGCCGCATTCGCCAAATACTACGACACTATCCACCGCTACGAGACGAACCGTCTGCGGAACATCGCACGCTTCTTCGGACATATGCTCAGCAATGACGCCGTTGGCTGGCACGTTCTGTCCGTGATTCATATGAATGAGGAGGAGACCACATCCAGCAGCCGTATCTTCATCAAGATCCTCTTCCAGGATCTTGCAGAGAACCTCGGTCTGCCTGGCTTGCAGACCCGTTTCAGAGACGAGATCCTGCGGCCCAGCTTCGAGGGTCTGTTCCCGACAGAGAACCCGCGCCACACTCGCTTCTCCATCAACTACTTTACCAGTATCGGTATGGGTGTGTTGACAGAAGACATGCGCGAGCATCTCAAGAACGCCCCCCGGCCTGCTGTGCCCGCTCTGCCTGCACGCACTTCCCGCTCACCATCAGACCGCTCATACTCGCGGTCTTCATCTTATACCCGCTCCTCTCGTTCACGATCTCGTTCCTACTCTCGCTCGCGCTCCCGCTCCTACTCCAGATCCCGCTCTCGCTCTTATTCCTACTCTCGTTCCCCTTCTAGAGACCGTGGTCGGTCCTACTCCCGCTCTGCCACACCCGATTCACGAGGCCGGAGTTACACACCATCTCGCTCGCGCTCGCGCTCAAGATCTCCCGTCCGCCGCAACCGACGTGATGCATCATACAGTCGTTCTCGGTCGAGGTCGCGGACCGTCTCTCGCACTCCACAGCGACGCAGCCGAGCCCGCTCCTACTCGCGCAGCCCTAGTCGCAGCCCCGTTCGTCGTTCAGCCTCTCGATCAGCTTCCCCTCCACGCCGAGGAGCGGCCACGGCTACTCGGCGAGAACGTAGCTATTCGAGATCACCTTCTCGATCGGCATCACCCCCTCGTCGGGAACTGGCCGCTAAAAATGCTCGACGCTATTCCTCAGCATCCGCATCCCCTCCACCTCGCCGTGGTCGTGACGACTCTGTTTCTCGATCTCGTTCCCGCTCTGCGCCTAGACGGCGTGACGATTCCCGGGGTCGAAGCCCCTCTCGAACTCCTCCTCGCCGCCGCTGAGCGGATGTATCATTGCTAGCATTTTTCTTCTTTTCGTCTCACAGCATGTATTCTTTCAAATTTGGGGATTTTGTATCAGGGTATATCTTGGGGTTCGGATTGGTGCTAGGAAACATAAACAAGTCAATGAATTTACTTTCAACATACTGTGTACTTTATTTCTCCTGTCTCTTGACTTATCTAGTTCTTTTTCGCTAATGGTAGAAGAATCCAACGCGCGGCGGAGGGTGAGAATACCTGCTCTCCTCTCACCCTGTCTATTGTGCACTCACCCTACTTAATTGTGGTCGCGCGTGGTGCTCTATGCATTTAATTGCGAGTAGTTGATTCCACTTTCTGACTATTCTTGCACATACGACTGTAGGGTGTGGAGAACAAACTGGGCTTCCCGCCCGCTCGGCCGTACTTAAGCCACATATAGTGCACGGCTAATTCTCAATGCGCCTTGAGTTTTAAAACAGCGTCGGATTTGATCTTAGGGTGCGTGTGGGTGATATGGGTGAGAAGTCTAATACTGGGCGATAAAGGTGAGAATAGGGCAAGGATTCCCACTTGGATCACCTAAATCAGCCACTCTCTCACCTTCTCTTGGCTCCGGGTCATAGATATCCGCCCTAGTAGCAATCTATAGAAGATACTTTCGAAGGCCTTCTAAAGAAATTTAATAGAGGGAATATAGAGTTGATTTCTTGAGTAATACCCCGGGAACACTAGCCTATAAGATGAAGCACCTAAATATAGAGAAGACAGAAAGGGAGGGTTCTATCTACTACCACGAACATCGCCCCCTTTTTGGGATATAAGATCTCGCTTGCCACTACGCAATAGAACGAATTTTGTCCTCTTAACACATTTTTGAATGAGTGGGATAGGAGGAAACTGTAGCTTCCGACTACTATTTACTCTCCGTTTAGTGTCTTAGTAATTAAAGGAAGACCGTCACTTCCCTATTATCGCGAACGCGTATCGCTCGATAAAGTAGAGAGATGTTATAATAAGTCTCTTCGTATTTTACGCTATAGGAAGTGAGGGGAACTCGTAGATAGACATCGTGAGCGGAAGGAGATGTGTAATATTTTATTAATGGATACAGGGGAGGTAGGGTATAAGTGTGTGATTATCTCCTAAATCAAGTACAAGGGAGCCATACAGCAACCAGATCTAGGTCAATGGGTGTAATTTATTCGTAAAATGTCCCGCGAGAAGCACGAGGCATGACATAGAACTCAACTAACAGAATAGTATCTTAATTACCTCGTCCTATCGATGCTTGGTTTCATAGGCAGTTCTAGAACTTTATAGACCCCTGGAATAATGCCAGCCGCCTTCCATAGCCCTAATGGCGAGGCTAGCCAATCGCCAGGTCTAGCCTAGTATCTCCCATTTTATAGTATATATTAAAGACGGGGTAATAGAGTAATTTGTCCTAAGTTTGATATCTGATACTATCCAAGTTTCCCTGTTACAAAAATATATCAAAGCAGGATAAGTAAAAAACAAAGTAATAGAAGTAAAAAATAAAGTTTTGAAAAAAAGCATAAAGATAGTAGCCTCGTAGCCTCTATCACGGCCGATGATAAATATAATAGTACTTAATGTATATATAGGCTTACAAAATCTCTCTAAGGAAAACTAACAGAGGGTTAATATACTAGTCTCTCGCGCATAGCGTACTAGGGTAGTCTATATTAGGACGTACCGTAATACGATAACATAGGAGCATTTAAGCAGTAGAATCTGATTCCAATATAAGCAGCTTAGGCATAGCTCTACTTAGAATATGTGGTAGCAGATAACAAAAGTCACCAGATTGAGGAGAGGAAGGAAGAAGAGACGAAAGCTAGATACAAGTGTAGGCAGTGGTGATACCATCCGCCTAAGACATCACTACAACAAGAGTAATAACTTAGGCTCATTACACATCCATGTGTTTGATCATCACTTCCTCCCATGGACCTCTATGTGAGCTTTAAGACACAATTTCACATACCAATCTCTTGCTTGGGGCTTCTCACTGTTGGTGCTCGGAAATTGCCAACCTGTTTATATATATTTGTCACTGTTGATTAGATCTGATTGAACCACCTTGTCGGAAGGAAAGGTCACATTTGCTCTTCCCTCTGTGAACTCTATCTGGCCGTTGGAAGTATCGACTATTCGATAGAGCCCGAGAACATTGGAAAGATTATTGGCCTTGAGGATCGCGCTAAGATCTTCAATAAAGGAGGCACAAGGATCAGGAGCTGAAGTGCCGGCGCTGCCATCGAAACAAAATTCATAGGGACGCAAATTATCATCAGTCACCATCCACGAACTGGGTTTGATGGTGCTGCCATATTTAGCAAGGCCGGTAGGAGTGGAATCAGCTCCGCGCAAGTCCCAAGGGGTCGAGGTGCCGTTGGCGTCAACTAGGATCTCATGGTCTTTGAGGACAAAATGTGAAAGAAGAAGAGCCACTCCAAGCGTCTCGGTCATCTGGTATCGGAGGAAAAGCTCATGTAGCAATTCCTCGAGAACCTTGAGACCATTAATCTCCATGAACTGATTATGGGTTTCATTCAAACTGGGAAGATTGTTGAAGGCGCCGACGTCGTATGGAAGTTGAACTTGCATTTTGTACAAGAGTATCAAGGCAGATCAAAATTTGTAATATATGAATGAATGGATTAATTGTTGTTGAAGATGAGGATGGATATGAGATATGACGGTCCTTTTGAAGCCCGGACCATCAGAAAGTGGCTCTTTCCTGTTGTTAGTAAGACGGTCCAAAAGAGTCGAGTTGCGCGATGCTACGAGATTCTTAGTCTGGGTTCTGTACCTATCAGGGAAGCTGGTAGGGCCCCTATTCGTGTCCCATGGATCCATCCCGAGTCCAGAGGCCTGAAAGCAAGTCCAAACGCGCCACGTCAGCCTGCTGGCAAGGGTTGACTGCAGTTTGCTTTGCCTCCAAACTCTAGGCAAAATATACTCCACAGTGAGGCTCAAAGTGAGGCAAATGACCGGCTAGCCTTCTCTATAGTAATGCCTTTTTTACGAAGAACTTCGATAAGGGGAGTGAATATTGGGCCCTTCAATCCTGGTTGTTGCAGCGTCTGTGGTATCTCGAAAATAGATCCCTACTCTCCCCCATCATTTGAATTGCCTTCATTGGCCTCTCGCATGCATATTATGATGAATTTGATTAATCCGCGCTGCCGCAGGAGCCTCTACCAATATCAAGTCGGTGGCAACCCCGCCCATGATACTCTATATCTTTTCCTAACCCCTGTCCTTATCCTAACGGAGTAAGAGAAGATGTTTGACCCCGCACCTGGGCTTTTGGCTCTCAAGTATACACAGTTTAAACATGGCCCTCTCTGTAAAAAGTCGGGTTGATTGAATAGGATTCGCTAAACAACCTTAATAGCACTTTCTCCATCGTGGGCGTAGATCCAAGGTCCATGCATTTCCTAATACCCTCACACCCCCAGGTCTCTGGGAAGAAACCTTTCAGCCCACAGACAAGCCAGTCTACATAGCCCCCGAGGGATGTACAGTTACCACATAGGCACTGCTCGATTCTCATCAAGGAACTTCGCGGACTAAAACAATCGCCTCGTGCGTGGTATCAAAAACTCCGAGACACTCTGAAGGCACTGTTTCTAGTTTTCCCGTATCCGTCCAGTACACTGTTTGGACAATGCTACGCCAACAACCCGTAGATCACGATATATTAGAGTGTACTGTAGATAAATAGGCCCGATCAAGATTTCTAGTCAAAATCATAGTTAATTGGCTATTCTATTATCTTACTGGCTGATATCGAGTATACTCTCCAAAATCACTTTACCCTAAGCGATTTCAGGAGAGATCACGTATCTACTATTAGGTGTATATGATACTACTATATAGTAGTAGTAGTAAATAGTATAGAATACTCAGTGTATGATACAGCGCCTGCTTCGATACCGCAGAAGTCGGGGAAATTCTAGGTCTTGTCGAACTCAATCTTGGGCCTGCTGAGCTGAAACCTGCAAGAGGTCTCTACATAGTACTATAGCCAGGACTGCTTGATCTTTAGTTAAACAATAGAAAGGGGCATTTCCAGTATGATAGAGCGGACTCTCTTGGATAGAAAGAAAGTGGCTATAGGAAGGAAGGAAGGAGGGAGGGAGGTGGTTCTCTCCTCTCATTTCTTATAACTTTGGTAGTATTTCAATGGCTTGAAGCTTTTCTTTTGAATTCATATTATATTTTCTGTCTATCCATTTGCAGACCAATGTCGTAAAAAGGCCTTCGCAGAAGCCGCTGCAGTCATCGCCGCATAATCTTGCCATAATTTGTTTTTGTGACTGTCCGCATAGTCACATACACCTTTGATAACGACACAAGGTATGGTGTCCCAAACTCCAGAGCCCTCCATCTCAAATGCTATTACTTTAGCTTCGCGCGCAACCTCGTCGCGATCTGTACCGGATTTAAGAACGGTGTCTCCTGACGCGATCAGACCAAAATGTAAAAAGGGCCTGTTTCTCTCATTTTTTCGAAGACGTCGTACAAATCGTCGTCGATCGCATTTGAGCTCTTCGCACGTAGAATTCAGTGCTTCGTCGCAGATTTCATCCATGCACTGGACACAGTACCTGGATTTCTCTTGGTGTTTGTGGTTGTAGCTCGCTTGAAACAATCTATCCTGAGCCGGTCCGGGGTATAATTGTTTGATATCATTACCCGTGCGGTGATCTTGCTCATCGAGATAGCTTGCTATTGTTGCTTGGAGCCTTTGCCGATGTATGGTGGTTTCTAGTTTAGCCAATAAGGAGGATATCTCTCTATTCGGCCTTCCTAGCTGATCGTCGACTGTGGTCTTTCGGCGGAAACGGTCGGGATATCGTCTTCCAAAGTCATACTGTACAATTCCCTTACTGAAGACAACGTCCCCCAGAAGGATATCTTGGCTAGATTCGGGAGCAGGCACGCCGCCGCAGACACCGACAATCAGGGCTAGCTTCAATTTTGTGAAGCTCATCGAACATGCAGCTGCGACATTTGCAGCTGTTACCTTCCCCATGCGGGGCTGGTGAGCAAGAACCACGTTGTGATTTCCTATTAATCCCGCAGAGTAGGAGTTGGGATCGTTCGCCTGCTTCTTGTATTGATATATGCTATCTTCATCCCAATGCTTGTCGAACATAGCTTGCACAGCGTTTGCTTCCGTTTGCAGTGCGCATATAATGGCAACCTCAAAATCATCCCGGGACTGTGGTTTCGACGGCAGGGTTGATGACAGGATTGGTGATTCATGAAGAGAAGATCCATTCAGCGTTGAATGACCCGCCTGGGGTTGATGCTTCAGGCTACTCGAAGGAAGTATCTGCGGTGGCGGCCTTCCCAAAGAATTCAAGTGGGTATCTTTCCTTGATTCCAATGTGGTCACCGTGACGGCAGTCTGTACTCGTTGTTGTGATTGATGTTCATTGAGACCAGATGAGGTTTCATGGGTAAAGTTTAAGGGAAAGGATCTCTTGTTCAATACTTTAGAGATTCCAGCATCTGCAAGGCTAGGGTGCTTCAGCTGGGCGACCTGATCCCATGTCCAATGAGCCCCCTTTACTAGGTCTCTTTCCAAGGGACGCAGAATTTTGTTGTAGTAGGTCTCGATAAATTCCTGATTCGATACCTGAGCTTCGGGGGTTCGTGTAGCAAACCGAGAGAAGGATGTGCGATCAATGCAGAACTCGACGGCTTGCAGAAGGCCTGAGTCTAGATTGTAACGCTCTCGGAATTCCCTTAGAAGATGCTGGGCAAGATAAAATGGGTTACGCCTTTTGGAGTCAAATGAAAGCCGATCTTTGATTTCCGGTAAATCTTCTCCCAATTCAAGTTCTAAAAGCACAATGCCAAGCGCAAGAATTGTGGGGAATGGATGGATTCTGTAGGCTCCGGGCTGGCGACTTCGATCGTGATCGACGTCGAACTTGGTGGCAATGAAAATTTTGTGAAACAACGGGCGCGGGAGATCATTTTGCATCTTGCAATAAACATAGATATCCTCAACAGACAGGGATTCGCTCACCCATGATCCTTCGACAAGATGCAAGATGCAACGGGCCAGTGTCACACCCATCACCCGCTTCGCAGCATAAGTTGGCTTCACGGTCATGAGCAGCTGACTGAGACTCATATCGACGTGTTCATCCTCGGCGACTATGAGCTCGAGAGGTCGAGCTGATCTCCGTTGATCCCAAAGCTGATTGTTACCGTCGCTCATTAAATACAGGCAAACACCTCGAGATTGATCGTCGTGAGATACGAGGCAAGCCGCTACGTCTTTCTCCATCCTGCTGGGAAGGAATAAATAAGCTTCACCTCCAGATACCAATCCCGACTGCGGGCATATGGAAAGAAACATACCCAATTTTCTTGACGTATATTCGACACTCTTGTAGAATTTCAGGACCGGCTAAGAGAATGAAGAAGCCATCGTGGGTATGATCTTTTTCGCTCCACCGGGGATCCAGGTAGAACTTTGCCTCTAGACAGAGACCCAATCGTCCATCGTGATTATGGCTTTCTGACTGGCAAGGCCAGGTTTTGTGGAGAATGTCGTACAGAAACTGTGATCGTTGATGCACACTGTCCTCTCCACGGAGTAGAGTTTCGACTGTGGGAGGCTGTGGGCAGTCCGCATCATCGGAAACTTCCGAGCCATTGTCGGAATAACTCCCATCGTAAATTTGATCTACGAGCCTATTCCAATCTTTGACAAGTGCAGTAAGGTACCCGAGGAGATGATCATCATCCTTCAGGAACCTCTTAATATCAAGTCCCCGTAAGCCAGAGCGACAAACAAGCTCGCGGAACATTCCCAGAATAGGAAGAGGGTAGCGACACCACTTCTCGATCAATGCGGATGGAGACAAATCTTCATTCTTGCCTAGGAAAAATGCGATCAGCTGGGTGAGTCGTGGTGTGCGTCGTCTTGCTTCTTCCTCCACAGAGCGTCGGTATTGTGCCTTGACGTAGTCGCCGCAAAGAATTTCGTTCAGGCACTGTGCAATTTGCTGGAGGCGCCTTTGCAGTGAGGTCTGACAGACTAGGGCCTGAACAACATCAACCGACTTGATTTCAGCCACCAGGTGAGCCAGAGATATCTTCAGATTTCGATGCAGACTGCCCGGCGCTGGGCGGCCAAGATTGATGGCCTCAACGAAAGAAGATGCGACGTCTGCAACCACGTTCCCAAGGTCCAACCCCGGGATCTGGCCCGGAATCCCTTTGTTGAAATCTCGGGACATCGCGATGTAGGGGTGAACCCCGCAGAGCAAGAACAAAGATGTCGAGCGGAAGGAAGCGCCCAGGGTCTTTGGATTATCACATCAGCCTCACTTCGACCCCGTGCACGTGCAGCGTGCATATCTTAGTGCGGGCTGAGCTGCCGAGAAAACTCCAGCCTCAGACATGACTTCTTGTACTCCGGATCATCTGTTTTAACAAGAATATTGAGCGTTTTGCTACCTTGAGAGTCGACCTTTTCAGCTGATTCGGGTCAAGGAACAGCACCGCGATGTCGATAGCGGACCGGGTGAGGGAGGCTGCGAGCCTCCTAGAGGAATGGAAGGAGTGTTTTCCCCCGGGTTGCCAACATGCTGAGGAGGCCGAGAACCAGGTTTTTAGATTCAATCTATGGACATCCAACAACAGTATCTCCGGTTCATCTCGCACATCATTAGACTGGATTCTACGAAATAACCCCATACTTTTGTCCACCATGGAAGATCTGTTGGATGACCTCAAGACTAGTTTGACCGGTAAGATTCGATTTGCAGACTGACTGACCAGTGATCTGGAGCTAATAAATATCGAGTAGAATACGGCCCTACGGCCCATGACGGCCAAAGGTTTACGACAATGGATTTCTTAGTCATGCTAAAGGCAATTGAAGTTGCAATTAACCAGCTTCTTCGTTTTTCCCGAGCAATCCATCGGTCAGGGGTTGACCACAAATTTTTGAAACTTGTCAACTATGTTGATTATAGTACAAGTGGAATGAATTTGTTGGAAGAGTTTACTATCACTGCAAGGCAGCGGGTTGAGCCTTTATTGAAGGGAATGACCATAAGTCATGAGATGGAAGAGCGGTTGATAGAGACGATTTGTTTGCGTCGGCAAAACTTTGCATATATCTATGCACGGAAGGCTCAAGAGGCTCCTAGATCTGAGAAATCATCTCGAAGTCCCTATCTGGAGTCGGCTCTTCCGCCCATCTCCAGCTTACCCCCACTCTCTACCCAGACTGCTGGAGTAAACCCGATTTTTCAGTTCAATTCTCTTGAATGGGGAGAGTACTCAGCTCCAACCCCGATGGAAACAGAGACGTTGGGCAGCTGGTCATGGTTTCCACAACCACCAGCTGTGCCACCAGGCCAGGAGGAATGGGAATGTCCGTATTGCATGCAGGTTTGCCCAGTGAAAGAATTCAGCAGAGGAAAATGGAGGTACGTAAAATGGATTCGTCCATATTTGAAGCCACCTCTTGAACTGACGAGATTCGTCTCAACTAGAGAACATATTCTGGGAGACATTATGCCTTACATCTGCGTCTTGGAATCATGCCCTACTCCGAACACCCTGTTCAAATCAATGAAAGCTTGGGTCAGGCATATGACGAACGAACACATTAGCGGCACCTGGGCCTGTATGGATACTCGGCACGATACGAAGCTCGCTTTTGACAGCAAGTCAGAATTCAAGGGACATATCTTGGAGTGTCATTCAGACCAGTTTGAAGAACTAGATCTCGAACTAGATCTAGATTTTCTTGCCGATTCTTGTTTTGAAAATAAGGCAAGAGATACTCCTCTGACAAATTGTCCATTTTGTCCCGTGTACAGCTTGACGAACTTGAGTTCCAGTGATTTAATTAATCACGTTATTCAACACCTCCTTACCTTTGCCCGAATATCCTTTGAGGGGTATTTTGAGAAATGTATTGAGCAATTACCTACTTTCGGCCTAAAAGAACAAGCCCGAGTCGTCTCCAATCAGGGGATATCGACACTCCCGCAGCCTGAACGGAACTTGGATTTCAATCTAGCATACGGTCCATCCGAACACACTATCGCAGGCCACCATGATCTCAACCCTGACTTGAGGAGCGATGCACATCCATGGGGCCCGAGTGACACAGCCATAACGACAAGCGTGCCTCTTGTGGACTCACTGGGCGCGTTCACTCACGCAAGACAACAGCTCCATGACAGACCCGACGAACCAGATGATCATCGCGATGATGGCAGTGATCTTTATCATTCGGGTTCCTCACAGTCCATACTGTTGTCTCCTAACATGACATGGGACCAACCCCTCAATATGCGCGCTGGCTATGATCCGCCCTCTCGTGGAAATGACTACGTGCCTAGCCCTAATGACATAATGATCCGGCACGAACGCAAACAGAGGAATGAAGAAACCAGGCTCTGGTCACAGACAGTCCAGGGTGCGGCTGACATTGAGGCGGATGATGATGATGCTACAAGCAATACCGCAGATTATCCCCTCCGCCCAGAGGATTATTTCAGCCTCGGCTTCCACCGCACCATTCATTCCATTCCAGGGCCTGGTGTTATGATTCATGAGAGTAGCGATGATGGTATGATTAGCGAGGATGAGACGGGTTGGAGCACAGCCTCCGACTCTCTTCCTGCTATTCCTGATGAGCATAGAGTGGACAATTTCTCGACAGCCGGTGCTGATCCTTCGTGGAAATCGACTGCCAGTTCGAGTCAACCCTCGCAAATCCTTCCTGGGCGGGATACTCTACATGATAATATGCACAGAGAGGCTTCAGTACAGCCAGAAAGCTCCTACGCGGCCATGGCAGCGTTTCAAAGGCGTGCGGAAGAACTTGATACCGCATCGATCACAGCAACCATTGACAATGACAGTGTCAACAATGTCATACTCCAATTGGAGCAGTCATTGAACATCACTAATACCTTTAAAGAGCTAAGCACGGCCCGTAGCCATTTGATGCATGGTGTCTACCAGGAATCCCCGATCCCAACAAATCAAGCACCTGATCCCTTTTTTGGGAGGGCCACCGATACGACCCAACAGGCCGACGTGGAAGGGGAACCTAGTAGCGGTAACTCATTCCGCCAGTCAAATGAGCTTATCCGCTCTCCAAGTTTAGATGACATGTTATCGCCGATGAGCGAACAAATTGTTTTGCCCAAAGTGCAGACCTCTCCTCCAAGAACCCGCAGTCAAAGTCAAAGCGAGATGCCTTGGTCTGCCACACATGGTGGTGCACACTCCAGCAATATCAAGCTCGAGATGGATGCCGAACCCTCACCTGGCAGCATTGCACCCGGAATCGAGAAGTGGCGGACTGATGAGAATGATAAACTCGAGGTGGCCGAGGAGAAAGGATTCGTAAAGGAGCTTTCAAGAGTCTTACCGAAGCCCACGCTAGAAGGGTTCGAGGCGCATATCGCACAGATCAACCCGCGGATGACGGCTATTTTGATCCACCGGTTCACACAAGAGCAGCTTCTTCGGTACCGCAAGCTTATTGAGCGCCAACAGCAACACATGGCCGCTGTCGAAAAGGGATCCTGCAAGTCGGGCGAGCTCTGTTTCGGCTCAGGGGGTCAAGCGTTGCTATTGACAAGACGCAAGGGTACCACTGACGTGTGGAATGACCATAACCATGATCAGTCATATCTCCCAAACGAAGGGGCCATTTCACCCGATCAATTTCCTGGTAATATCCCCTTACCGCCCGTTAGTAAACTACCGGCCGTCTTTGAGTGTCCAATCTGTTTCCAAGTAAAGACGATCCATAAACCATCTGATTGGTCTAGGCACATCCTAGAAGATTTACAGCTATACATGTGCACATTTCCGGATTGTACTGGGCCTTGGTTCTTTAAACGGAAAGCAAGCTGGGTTCGCCATGAAAGTGAGCGACATCGGCGCCTCCGGTGGTGGACCTGTTCGTATCCAGGTTGCATCTACACTTGCACCCGCAGGTCCGCTTTCATCCACCATGTCCTACGCGAGCATGATATGCTCGAGCCCAAGGGATCTGTACCCGATAGTGGTGCCTCGAAGGAGGTTGATCGTTTATCAAAGTTGGTCGAGGAATGCAAACACGAGACGAGTAGCACCTTGGTGAACGAACCCTGTCGGTTCTGTGGAAACATCTTTCCCACCTGGAAGAAGCTAACTGGGCACCTGGGAATGCATATGGAGCAGTTGGCTCTGCCTGTTCTGGAGCTTGTGCAACAGGCCTGCGCCTCAGCGAGCTAGGACCCAGGCCGTGGCCAGCCGCTGGGGATGTCACCCTTAGGGCAGCTAAGTGGAAGCCCTCTCTACCAGTAAGCTGGGAAATCAGCCCTGCAAGAACGCACGGAAGTAGTCTATATGGAAATATTCAGAATATTCGACGATTGAAGTCATACCGAAGTGATCTGGACTAGAGATGTGAAGCTCCTCAACCACGGACGGATTCACACCACTACGCTCTGACGTAGGATCTTTGAAGGTGTTAAGCCCATGCGCCGAGCAGCCGGGAGAGTAACCAAACCATTTGCTTTACTGCTTGCCATGGCGCGTAAATCCCTGGCATTCGTGGCATTTGTGGCATTCGTTCAACTTGGTTTAAGCTAGCTTGCCGAGTGTATGAATTTTGCGGAATGAACTTGAGTGGCAGTATAATACATTGAAAGACTGCAAGCTTCAAATTTCGGTATCGCCGGGATTCAGTCCTCATTACTCTCTCGTAACGAAGCAACCAATACTAATTTTTTTTAAAACGAACTCATATATGCATTATAATATGGAGTCAGAGGATAATAACAACATCCCATTCTATCTATATCCTTATACCGGTACATGATCGACACACCCCAGCATAGGTAACGATTCAGTATACTCCCTCTCCGGAATAACGGGAAAACTAACATAATTATCCCCGTGCCCAAAGATAATATAGTGCAGTCATTCCAACTTCTCTGGGGACCTAAAATCCTTCGCCATCGCTACTACAAAGCAGAATAATAGAACTCACCGGTCAGTAACCGAGTGATGCAAGAAAATCATACTACCCTGGGTACCTCCCGACGCGACCTCGAGAATCAGCTTCGGACGGGGTCGCCAGCTGTACCGGTTTAGAAGACCTTTTTACCCCCCGGGGAAATGTACCGGTGAGGAAGAGGTCGACGCCCTTTGGTGTTGGGGACGCGGGGTACAGGCTCATGACTACGTTGAGATGCGCGAAGATGTGCCCGGTAATCTCAGTCTCCTTCTCGGAGGCAGAGGTGAGGAATTGGACTAGGTAGGGCTTTTTCAACATGCCTAGCGCTTAGTAAGTGAGGTTTACAGGTGGGACGGTCGCGGGGTGTGATATAACTAGTTCCTGGTCTGGGATGAGATAGTGACCGTGTGTACTGCGTCCGAGCGACGGGCCACTCCGTCTCCGTCCGACGAGGGTACTGCTTCTCAGCCTCGCCGTTGTTGAATCCCACATCGCCTTTTTGCAGCAGGAGATCGGCCTTAGGTGTTTGGTCTGTAGGCCAGTACTCGTGGCATTTGACCTTGAGGAAGGCGTCTAGGAAGCTGCGCTGGATCTTGATCTCCTCTTTGTAGTAGAAGGGGAGGTCATGCCGGCCGGTGATGAATCGGAGGTGCTGGTGTTTGCTGCCGGCCTGGGAGTCTTCGACGTTTTTGCAGAGATCTAGGAGGATGCCGCCCCAGCTCGCGACGGAGTGGGACCTATCTCGTTCGTCAGATTTTATCTTGGCCCGTGGAGGTGGGGGTGGGGAGTATAGCGGAGAAGTAGCCACCTGGATATCGGTTATTGTATACTCCTTGGTAGCTCCGTGCGTGCGGGGATGCTAAGTAATAGACAGCTAATTATTTAGGTAGTTAGTTGTGGGCTGCCAAGTTACATGAGTCTCCCTCATTGCACACTCTCTGGCCACAGATTTGCTGACTCCTCCACTAGTGCATAAGGTTAGCGCTGCATAACTGAAATCTTTGAAATTTAACAATATTTTACAAGAATTTACGAAGGGTTATAGAGAGGTAAGATTAATCAGATAACTGGAATATGAATGAGCTAAAAGTGCACTACTGGTTTTTATCGGGCAATATGTGGCCAGAGATCACTTGTAGTGACTAGCGTAATAACCTACCTATAACTAAATTAATAGTTATTAATTTAAGCTACTTTTATCTTGTGTAATTTCTAGCTTTTAGCCTGCAATATATACCACGTATTTAGTTTCACGAAACGTAAAGTAATACCACCTTTATTAGTTACTACTCATTGTTCTATATCCCCCACCTATCCCGATGTGGACCCGAACGGTACCTAAGATATTAGTTGGTCTTCACGGTGGAGAAGCACAACACTTCCCCACAGGAGGTAAACAAAGTACCTAAATACTTCACATATCCAGCCACATCTTTCTCTCTCTACATCCCAATCCACAACCAACTGCAACAGAATCAGCAAAATGTCCTCAACCACCCCCCAAACCCCCAAAACCATCCGCCCCCTCTCCCGCTTCATAACCACCCACGATGACAAGGGCAATGCCATCTTCTCCTCCACCCTCCCCGAAACCATGCCGGTAAACCCCATCCCGGACACCGCTGACTTCAGCCTCGCCTACACAAGCAGCCACTTCCCTGCCAAGCTCAGCGACGACGCCGATATCTCCGAATACGCCGAATACCTCACCAAGCCCCCGGGTCTGGTCGTCTACTCAGGTACCGTCTGTCGGATCGTCGACTTCCCACCGGCCGCACTGAGCCCGATGCACCGCACGCTCTCGCTGGATTATGGTGTCGTGCTGGAGGGGGAGGTCGAGCTAGTGCTGGATTCGGGGGAGACGCGGGTGTTGAAGCGTGGGGATGTGGCGGTGCAGCGGGGTACAAACCATGCATGGAGGAATGTTACCCCGGCTATAAAGGGGGAAAATGGCGAGGTGGTTGAGCAGTGGGCGCGGATGTTGTACGTTTTGCAGCCTGCGGAGGAGATTGAGGTTGATGGGAGGAAGTTGGGGGAGGATTTGGGGGGGATGGGGGTGAGATCTAGTTCGTGATCTACCTATCTATTTCGGCGAATGAGAATGTGTACCTTGGGGAATGCGGTTATCGTTAGACTATTATTTAGTTGGAATAGAAGACGAGGATTTCCAAAACAGTTTATACACACGCTTTCTTTCCTGGAGACCCATAATACACTAAGCTCAGTTTGGCTAGATCAACTACCTTCGTGTAGCATAACGTCATATTAAGGTTGTCAGCTGCGGCGATCCGAACTTTGTGGGTCTTGATATACGGAGAAAGATGTATATTCTGAGCCATACACAACGACATTGATATTTACTCCTCGAAAACAGACAACAAGGTATAACCACCACTCCCTCCCCACTTCATCGTGAAAGATCCGATCATTCAGCCGTTCCTCCGTAACCCGCCAGACTTGTGTAACCGACTAAATCCGTCAGCATGATCCCCACCCACCACTTTCCCCCAGGCTGGGGCTATCAAGAGGTACTGACGGAATTCAACCATACCCCAAAAACCATCACCCGGATAAAGATAGACTCTTACGTCGATGCCGGAGGAGTGGACTTTATGCCACTGTTATGGAGCCCGTAGTCTGTTAGAATTGACATGTTATTTGTTTGGGAGGGTTATTGTGGTGGATGACATCGTTGCCTCGTCTTGACGTCTCTTCTCAGGTGGATGTCATGAGGATGGATGAATATGCAGTCATGTGGGTAAGGTATAAGCCTCTGGGTAAGTATATCACACTACCAACTTCTAGGTACAGTCGAGAGATCATACCTCCAGACCGTATGATCGACCTCACGGCTCATTCCTGTGGATGGGCTCAGATGAGCTTCCTGTCCTCCCCCATATAGGTTCCGAGGACGGGTGGTTACACCGAGCGAGGAAGAATCAGCAGAGCAGAGCTCCGCATGCTCCAGACCCCATTACCTGAATTAGGACAGCGTGCTTGGTTTAAGATTTGGTTCTTTGAGCAGGGGATTATTACCAGTTGGTTGATTAAGATTTTCCCGGGTGTGGGTGTAGTTTCAGCCTTGGGGCATTGTACTTTTATTGGTGAGGAGGTTGGGGGCTTAGGTAGTTTTCTTTCGGGGTGGTGGTGTTGGTTGTTTTGGTGGTGAGTGAGTGTTGGTTTCTCGTTACTTTATGTCTGTGTACTTGCCAACTTATATCATATTTAGTACCTAACACAGAGTTAGCCAAACTGCCAAAGTGTGGATACATTTAAGCTCAGTGAAGGTAGAAAAACAGATAACCTTAATCAACCCAAATCTAATTACAACACCATTCTACTAAACCACGCATCCACCCCCTCGTACATGGCAAGCTCAAGCAGCAATAGCCTTCCCCCACACCCCAAGCGTAAACTGCGAATTACACATATTAGTCAACTCCCAATCCTCCGCCGGCATCAGCGCCTCGGACCCTATATCCTCCAAATCACTCACTACCCCCGCAACAAACATCGCCGGGATAATATGATCGTCAGTGACATGCGCATCCCTGAACCGTGGATGTTTCATAAGTTTGGTCATCCCATCCGCAACTGCGGGGCCGAAGGCTTCGAAATCACATTCTCGACCACCTGCCGGAACCCCAACACCCAATCCTCGGGCGGCGTCTCCATGGCAAAGGCATCCCGGAAGCGTAGCATCGGCGCCCACCTATTCCAGTTTAGATTATGGACGGACCCATGTATATTGGTAAGGTGTTTTGCTTTGGGGCGGTGGTAAAGGGAGGTGGAAGTAACGTTTACTATGATCAAGATGCCCTTGATATTGCGCGCTAGCGCCTCGTCACCGCATTTTCGCCAATAATCGGCCGAGGCGCTCTTCTCACCGAGTATCATGGTCGAGCCATGAGAGAAGATATGGACTGGTGTTAAGCCTGGGACAGTTAGAGAATACCTGCGCTCTGTGTAGAGTATGGTGAAGGAGAGGGAGTTAGGGCTTACGGAGGGGCGCGATTCACCTATCTTGTTTACAGATCAAGCAACGTTTAGTGTATACAATATTGTACTCTAAGTTCTTGCGAGATTTACCAGATATCGTTAAATATCTACCAAATCTGGAAGTGTCATGGGATTGGCCATCCTCCGGTTGTCCTGATCTGGTCCTGGCGGAGAGTATCGAATACAGATGGTCCAGGCATATCCCGACGGGTTCCTCCACTTTTGAGGGGCCTTGAACCCTTCGGAAAAGATGGTGGAAGTTCTGCTCAGTCAGGGACCCCTTTTGCGGGGGATCGACTTACATATTGCATTCAGGGAGCTCTAGGTCATAACTTGGGTGGGGCTTAAAGGGGATGTACGTGGTGATGGTGATGGCAGGAGCATCCAGAGGCACAAATGGCAGACAAGGATAACCCGAAGTTGCTGCAGCCATAATCCCAGTAGCAACAGAGCGACGGAGCAACATGATTAGTGTTAGGGTTCCCCGCATTTTGACCCTACAGTGCTATTAGTGATGCCAGAAACCTTTTCACATCAATCTCGCCCCATAGACCTTCTTCCTCCTTCGTCCACATCTCGACTCACCTTCTCACCCTATCATTCACCCTCCTCTCCCCTCATGTAGCCCACACCGGCTGGCAATATCTCGAAAGGCTCCATGATTCTTCCCCAGCTGTCGTCTCCAACTCTCCCGGAGGAGAGGGTTACTACCACCGCACCAGCTATCGCAAGAGCTATGGGCGCTGACCATTTGATCCGCTATGTGCGGTCCCGTAAGTTCCACTCTAAGAAACTCCCACCGGTAATAGACACGATCGCTGACGGTTGAAGACACCCTTGAGAAGCCGTATGTCTGTCAGGTCTGCAATAAGGGGTTTGCCTGACCGTGAGTCTCCCAATCGCCAGTCTGTCCATTCAGCCTCGGCATATCGTCTGAGACCAACCTCAACTAACGATGTGAAGGGAACTCTTGAAGCTCCATGCGGCGGGCCATACTGGCAAGCGCAAACGGCCGCCTCCCAGCAACGGTCGTGTTCCGCAAGCCTGCGCGACATGCGCCGAGTCCAAGCTGAAATGCGACGTGGAAAAGCCCTGTAAGCGCTACAAGGAGAAAGGGTTAGACTGCGAGTGGCCGGCCAGTGGCCCTAAATGCTACCGGGAAGTGCCTATTTTGTGAGCACTTAATTGCTGGTAAAGGTTGCATTATGGTAGTATATTTTAATAGTAAGGACCTTTCTGCTTCGGTAGCTTTCTTAATTATCTATCGCTTGCTATAGGGCATTTTACGTCGTCTAAAACTCTACTTGAGACCACAAACCAGCAAATATTGTCGGAATCATACCTGTATACCCGTATGTCCAGATGAAATATAGGCTTTTTGAGGAAGAAGCAAGACCGTAGTTGACATTAGAGGCATAATTAAGAGCCTCGAGTGTGGCAACGTCGCCACAGAACGCGAAGATAAATATGATCAGAATCCGTCATTAGAGATGAATCGGACGCTATCTGGGCTGCCCAGTCTCTGCATATTCCGAACGCTGCATAACATGTTTGTAGTAATAGCGGGTTGAATTCTTGACAAGGGCTCGAAGACTATGTGACATAACTTGAACTTGGGAAGTTATATCTTGGGGATCAAAAGACCCTCTCCCTACAGTAGAGCTATATAATTCAAACATTTAGGGATCACAGACACCCGGATTGACTGCCAACTTCAGTTTTTTCCTCCGAGTATTTTACTCTGCATGATGTAGCCCATGTATCCATCCACTGAGAGCTTCCAACTATTGGTTACGGCTCTGTTATACCAAGAGCACCATTGGGGGCGGCTTTCGAAAGTGGAAGTCATCTTTATCTCATCAAATTCTATTCGCAAAGCCTTTTTGTTTCTTGAACGTCCTATGGCCGGGTCCCTTCGAGGTTCTGATTAAAATAAATGTTTTCCTGGTCACCTCGAGAGGCCCAGGGAGATCGTGGGATTAATCTCGCCTAATGGACTCTAAAAGCCCCCGCAATTTTCCGGCTCCTCTAACGACAATCGGGAGCACTACTGCGGCTGAGACTTTGGCCCCAAATGACCCATCGGTGACCCCGTTGCGCTAGTTTGATTTTGCTAGAGGTTCCGGGGTGGTTGGAAATAAAATTGCGCTCGGGCCCAACCGCCATAAAGGGGCCGAAACTGCCACTAGACAAGTTCGATGGTGATCTTTACCTATCATGACTTCGGGCTGTGGTTAGTGCGTGCATTAGGTCCTCCGAGCTTATGCGGCACGTACCTTAGACCTTCGACGCAACATCGCCCTACTGCCGCCTTGTGATTTCCGATCCTCTGCTGTCTGCTCCACCCATCTTCATTTTTTCAAACAAGTTAACCTTTTCACCTACAGGAAGAAATATTTGGATATATGGGCTGCCTCTGGATACATGTAGCACCATGACTGCAATTTATCAACTTCAAGGGTCTATTTTCCTATCAGAAATGCCGGGGACCGCAGCAGGACCATTATCAAATCCCTGTAGGGCTACTAAATTAGTGAACCCGCCTCTTATCTGGGACGGGACATCCGCGCCAATGATTTCACAGCCTAGATCAAGAGATGCATGGTTCGTACGGTTTCTGTTGGTGCTAAATCGACCCCTGTGAAACCCAACCCCCACAGCCAAAGAAATGGGGCCAAATGAGGCACAGCAGAGATCGAATGGATTTGTTGGGCTCTGCGAGAGAGTCGCAGTCATCACGAGCGCAAGACTTTGAACATAAAATCCATCACTGCCGCTCGCTCACGGGGACTGGAGGGGGCCATACTACTGTCCCGAACGATATACAATATGCTCGTCTCTATGTTGCCCATCCTATTGGGCTGGATGCCCATACTAGGTTCCGCTGGAGCGCTGGCACCCATGAACAGCATGAACAGTGCCCTGCGGACTAGGAACGGACCAGGAATGACAGATGCGGACACTTTGAATGCATTGGGGCGAGCTTTCCATGTCGCCAGATCTCAGAACAGTGTTTACAAAATGAATCAGACATCACTCTCAAAGGCCTGGGAAGGAGCAACTCTGTTTACCCTTGGAGAGAACAATGCGGAATACGGAGACAGGTCGGGACATCCTCATCCTATTGATATTCTCTTTCCGTGAAGACGTATTTCTCACAACCTTGCAGCTCGACGAACTACAATCCAACCATATCTATTATCTGTTCGACCTGTTACCTTAATGGATCGGTCACTGGTGGTCTAACACTTACGGGGGACACCAACTTCACTCAAGCAGTCGATAATATCAAGAGCGAGGCCTCTAGTACCGTCAGTAACATGACTGACCAACTAGAGACCTATGTTAAAAAGGTATTTTCAGACGTCGCAAGTCTGGACATTAGCGACATTGAAAATGATATCACGGCCTGGCCGACACTAGATGTCGACGTCAACCTGGACGATAGTAGTATTTCGGGTGCTAAAGTATCCTTGGATTTCAATGACCTTGAGATGTATCTGGATCTCGACATACAGTTAGCCACAGGCGCGGCTTATACACTGAACATCTACACATCCGAGAGTCCGGTAGGAATTTCAGTTCCAGGGGTTGAGCTAGGAGTCTTGTTCAGTGTGGACTTGATTCTGATTGCCGAGGCCCAAATCGATATTGGAAGCGGCATTCATATCAAACTCGATGACGGAGTTTCCTTTGAGCTGGAAATGTTCAATACAGATTTATCGAGTGTCACACTGTAGGTTACCCCTTTGGCAAGTCAAACAAATTTGTGCTACTGACCAAAATGTGACCATTCTAGGCCTGGTGCATCTTACGAGGTATTACCCGTCACCCTTTCAGGCGAAGGGGGTTCTCTTCAGGCTGTACTGAGTCTCAAAGCGAGCGTGGGGGCGGATATGTCCGTTGATGAAGACTTTTTGCCGAAATTCAGTGCCGGTATCGTGGCTGATATCTTCGCCTATATTGCGGACTTTGTGACCACAGTCAGCCACATTGAGGACGCCAAGAGTGGTGACTGTGAACTGGAGGCAGCGGTGGAATATACCCTGGCAGTTGGAGCAGCGGCTGGTGCCACGGTGGCTGTCGGTACATATGCTTGGGGTCCGGCGCCTAGCACAACTGTTCCTGTCTGGCATACGACTCTTGCTAGTACCTGTGCAAAGACCAAGTCGGCATCGACCATATCGAGTGCCTCTATCGGATCGACTGCATCATCTGCCATCACCGCTCGCGCGGAATTCATCGAAAGAGAGAACTCTGAAAAGAGCGTGACAACAACAACTGTGACCTCGGTCGAGTCCTATACAATTGTCAATTGTATTACTTCAGGCGTAGTATATTGCCCTGTTCGCTACCAGAATACTTCATCTTACGAAACCACCGTGACATCGACGGTCACCGTCACATCAGGTTCGAGCGCAACAATGCCAGCAAGTACCTTTGTCTCCGTCACCAGTGCCATTCCATTCGGAGAAGAGGTGAAAAGGATGTTCTCAACATCTGGAGCACCGAAATCCTATGACCCCAGCTCAGCCACTGGAGGGAGTAGCATTCTCAATGGTTCCACGAATGGTACAAGTAACAAAGTTATCATCGGTCTCTGCGTGGGGCTTGGAGTCCCCTTCCTCGCAGCTGTCATCTTCACGTTCATGTCAGAACATCTCTATCCAACAATATCCAATATATGTGCTAATCAACACTTGACTTTAGTTTCTTTATGCGCAAACACAAGTACGATTCTGTCTCTCAGCAGCCACAGGTTTCCGACCTAGATCAGTCTTCATCCGTACCATCTGACTCTTCCAACACACCGGTCAAAGTGAAAGAACTGGTTAGGAAGCCAGGAGGAGGAAGATACGATGACTACTGAAAATCCGATCGGATATGCGGTCAGAGTCGCTAGTAAAGTATCGCTATAGTATATAGCTATCACATGTTGGTACTATTTATTCAAGATCTTATATCTAAATCCGCAGTATTCTTTACTCTTCAACCATATAATTACTATATACAGTAACCCTAGGCTTAAAATGGCGTCAGATTTGATCCATTTTTTAGAAACAAACCAAAGCAAACCTAACGAAGTCTAATAGGTATATCAACAAGATCACCAGCAACAAAACCCTTGTCTATATGGATGCTCCCCTCCCAATGACTAAAATCTAATCCTCCATCGCCTCCCAAACACACCTCTCACACCTACAATTCCCCCCCAAAGCCCCACAAGCCCACTCCCTCCTCTCCTTAACCCCCAACCCAATATCACAATAATGATTCAAAATCTCCTCATCCCGCTTAATCCCACCTTTCTTAGCATCCTTCATCTCAATCCTGCCATCCTCCCTAGTCCGCGCCCAAACAGCAGTCTCCTCATCATTCCGCGCGCGGAACGTAATCTCCCCACCCCACTCCCACCGCACGTTCGGATCACACGAGTGGTTCGCCAGACACCAGAGTGGATGGACGGCGCAGAGCTCTGGACCGCCGTCCCAGGTGGACAGGCGGCCGGAGGCGGTGCCGCGGAATTTGGCGTAGAGGGTGTTTAGGATCCAGGTGTCGTAGCGGAGGAGGGTGGTGTAGGGGTTTAGTTCCATTTCTTCGAGGAAGCGGGTTGGTTGGAGGATGTTTAGTTGGAAGGAGAAGGGGAGGGTGGCGGATTCGTCTTTTGATAGCGTGGAGGTTGCGGAAGGGATGAGATCAAAGTCGTGGAAATCTCCCCAGATATACTTGACCTCTGGGAGATCAAGGGCGTGGACGTCTTGTGTGGCAGACATGGCGAGGGCTCGGCCTAGCAGGAGTAGGTACAGATAATCCGCTTTATCCTTTGGGTCGGGGATATCCTTGCCGATAGACTCGAGACCATCTTCCAGACCGCAGATCGCACCGTGGTACACCTTCTGCGCGGTATCGTGGCAGTCCTGGCTACAGAAGATTGTATCGGCGCAACCGCCCTCGCATCCAACAGGCGGGTTCTCAGCTGAGAGATCTGGAAGAGGCGCATTACAAGCATCACAGAGATCATCGTGTAAACGATTCGTAGCCGTCAACAGCGAGGACTCGCGCAGGATAATCTCGTCCGGGGCGATATCTTCCTTTGCGAAGAGGCCCAGTTGTACGGAGACTTCGTCTTCGTCGGGTGTATCTCCATGTAGAGCCGGTAAAGCCACGGCACGAACCTCGCATTTCGGCGCGACGGTCTTCAGTCTCTCGTTCAAGAGGACGAGTTCCTCCGGCGCACGGCGATCGGGTTCATGTTCGTTCCAGGGATACAAGATGCGACGAGCGAAGCCCTGAGCTGGCAGGATAGCGGAGTCAATTGCATCTAGCTTGATATCGTCATTGATACCCGTGCGCGACTGGTAAATTTTCTTGATAGAGTCCATCTGCTCGTTCAAAATGGCGATAGAACCCGCGCTCTTCTCCGAATCCAATTCGCGCAGTAGTCCAAGTCCACGGACGCCGAATTCAAACGCATCGCGATAGCAGCCACATCGGACGAGACTGCGCACTAGCACGGCATATACATCGCCAATGATTGCATCGTATTCCTCCTGCGTCACGGGTATTCCCTCGTCCTCGTCCTCCTCGTCTTCATCTTCCTCCTCACCACCATCATCACGATTCTTCTTCTCCGCAGTGACAGTAGTATCAACCTTCCTAGCATGGAATTCGCATCCATCCGGATCAACGACAGACTCCAGCAGCGAGAGAGCGCGATACGCATCCGCCGCCGCGAGATCGGGGAAGCCTAGTTGTTCATAGAGGCGGGCGCGATCGAGGTAGAGGTGTGGATTGTGCGGGTCGGCGTAGAGTTGGGCGGTTTTGGAGGCGCGAGCCTGTAGGAGGTCTGTTGCCATGATGTGCTAGGCAATTGATGGTAGGTGTAAGGCAATGCAGGCGTGGATAGTTGTGAGATGGGAAATCTTCAAATCTTTAAATCTTGTGGCGGAGTGGATTTTCTTTGCATGTGGGGCATTTCCGATGGATTTGGTGGGGGTGTAGAGGGGTTATTCTTCGAGATGAACTATGCCAATCTTAATAGCAGTTAGAAGCTAACTAGGTTGTAAATCCTGGAAAGTAGTATGATGTTTGAGACAGACTATTCATCCTATTGTTGGTTTCATCCATTCTATCATCAATCTCTACGATGATGTCCAAACTATCCCACCATAGTAAACTTCATGCCTCATGCATTCTCAGTGCGGATTCAAATTACATCATTCAAAGAATTAAAACCCCCCGCTTTTCCCTTGATGCAAATAAAACATTCTGGATATCAGGGTAAGTAGTAATAACAATAAAGAAATGAATAAGGGATATAAACTTGGGGGCGGGGGGGGGGGGGGGGGGGGCACGGTTCTCCGAGGTCACTGTCGCGATGTATCACATCACCTATATCCTCCGTTAGTTTGTCTTTCATAGTCTCCAGAGAATTGGGAAGGGGAGACTGACATTGCAATTATCATCAAGAACAACCGTAGCACCCTCACCTGGGGCCATACCAGCAGCCAGACCACCGGTTCCAGCCTGTCCACCACGGAGTGTAGCAGCAAGACGCGCCAGCATGCTTCTCTATTTCGAAAAGTCAGTCAAGGGGAAAGAGATGGAGTTCGTTCGAGGTAATAGCGCACTGTAATGTAGGCTTCACTCATGCCACCGCGACGATCGACATCGTTCTGACTCATGATGCGATAGCTGTCCTGGAGACGTTTACGGCTCTCGAGTCCGCCGAGATTGCGCACTGCGGATCCGACAAGGTTGGCAGGGTTGTCTGGATCTAGAATATTGATACCGCGGTGTGCGAGATCTTGCGCGTGTCGATCTGGTGAGAAGATCTTGATAGTGTTGTCAATCCCCGAGGCGGCGATGGTGGGTTCATAAGGGTGACCTGTGTGGGAAAATCAGTTGTGGTGTTTCAAACTTCGTATCGAGATAAATAGTGACAGACCTTGGACAACGTTGACAACTTCGCTATCTCCCTCCAGGATATTCACCAGAGTCGCCGTCTTGCGATCCCAGATGAAAAGGTGCCCCGAGTCACTCCCGCTGACTACGTATTCATCATTCAGCCCGAAAAAGTTGACATCCTTGACGGTCTTGATATTGCAGTGTCCACGATAGACCCGCGTATGAGCAGAGATCGGCGTATCGGACTCGATTTCTCCACGGCGTGGTTTGCGAGTGGTACCCCGTATGAACAACGGCTCTTCGCCATCCTCGCCGGATGACTCTCTATCATCTTCGTCTTCCGAGGAGTCTCCCAGGCCCAAATGCCAGCCGTCTGCTTCTTCATACTCCTCTTCATCTTCGTCGCTTTCTGCATCATCGTCCTCGTCCTCAGATGCTTCTGCCTCGCCGACATCACGACCATTCCGACGCACATCTGCTTCGGAGGCCTCGGAATCCGGATAAGTCCATGAAGGAGTCGCCGTGGTTCCCTGAGAAACCGGAATAGGACCAGAGCGAGCGGTTCTCACCACATTAATCGATTTCACTCTCTCTTCTTCCGCATCGGGGTCAATATCATCCTGAATTCTCTCCATGTCCTCATCACTAGCCGAGTCATCGGTAGTCGTATGAATCCCGCCAAAGGCCCGATTAACGAATGAGTAGTTGACACCACTTCCAGCATCCATGAGAATGCCTCGGCCCACCCGCAGCACCCAGAATCTAGTAGCAGATGCTCGATCCAGAGACCGAACATGCGAGGAGGGATTAGAGATACGGCGCCGATCGATCCGAGCAGCCGTAGTTCCCAAATCCTCCAGTGGCAACCGCACCGCATTCCCGAACGCAGTCACGGCTGCAACTTGCGTCTGGAATAAGATGCGAGTGGAATCATGCTCGAAACGGGAGGCATCCACATTGACGATGGGGGTTTCTCGAGCAAGTCCCTGAAGGTAAGGAAGGAGAATAGTATCGATCGCATCGTCGGTGGCCTCGTCAGGGATGGGGAATCGTCCTTCAACTCGTCTTGGATGTTGCCCACGTTTGAACCCATTGAGTAATTCTTGCCTACCACCCTGAATCCAAAGCAAGATCGCCTTGAGGAAGTCGTATCCAAACTGAGCCTCCGGGTCAATAGATTCATCCTCGTTAGGTGCGGGAACAATTTGCACAAAGTCCGAGACTGCATTGGATGCACCTTCTTCCGAGGCATCGCCATGCAAAGCACGGGCAATTGTACCAGCAGCTTGGACAAATCGCCAGGACGCTTGACGGTGGCGACGAAGCGATTGCTGGAAAGCAACAGTATCGCTTGATGGATTCAGCGGATAACGCCAATGACGCATGACCTCATCCATCTGGGGCAACCACACCGAGGCTAGTGAGAATGCAGAGGTAAAAGATCCGGAGTACGGCGTGAGACTCGACTGTTCAGCCTCACTGGCTTCTCGTGCAGTCGCTTCCAGAGAGAACAGCGCCTGGCGAAGCTTGACAAGACCCTTTGCAATCCGCATACTGAGTCGCTGGGCCTCGTTCAGCACGGAGTATCTGGCGCGTTGAACCATAGCAAGCTCATCCCCATCGGGAATCGTCGGGAAGAGCACGTCCTCAGACTCACCATTCTCATAGGTGACTCTGAAAGCATCTGGCTCACCAGAGCGCTGTTGAGGCTGGTGCCGTTCACCACTTTCCTGGGACGACATCGATGCAGGCTTAGGACGCTTGCGCTTTCGGCCGTGGGAATCGGTTTTGCGGCGATTTGATTTCTTCGACGCAGAAGGCAATTCTGGTGAAACATCCCGCGCATCTGGGCTTCGAATAAGATCGAAGCTGTAGATGTGATCACCTGACCAACTGACAACCATCTCATCAGGGTTCGCATCGCTAATTTTGCAGGCGGTAATGTGACCATCATCGAGGTGTTTCAGACGACGTTTACCCCGGGGAGCAAACCGCCGAACGCAACGAGTTGCTTTGCCCATCATCTCGTCATCGAGACTGGCAGCGCTTGATGTAGAAAAGCCCGGGCTACCTCTTTCGGCCAGGAGGTCGCGACCAAGCATACGTCTGTCATGCAAGAAGCAGTGCATATGAGCGCCACCCATGGCGATATAGTGCGGTTGACTGGGAGAGCAAGATATCGTGTTGAGATCAAGGCGGAACTTCTTGTAAGAGATGAGCGGCGGCGGGACGTTGGAGTCATCATGGTCTAATCCAGGGCGATATGCCATGAAGCCCTGCCCACCTCGTGGAGAAGGGTAAGCCTCCGAAGGCTGACGAAGATCCCATTGCCGTACTTCTCCATCTTCCGAGCAGGTAAGGAACAGATGTGGCGACGATTCAGTGACGATGCGCTTTACGCGATCGGCATGACTCCGGTAAACCCTGGCATTAGTATTACCCGCACTCAGATATCGCGTGCCTTCGAAGAAGTTATTGAAGCGCCGACTCCGAGCCGAGGCTGCAAATGCCGAAGTGGAAGCGATATTCTCGTTGGCGCTCGAGTATTCAATGTCAAAGACACGCACCTGCGAATCGCCTGCACAGGTTACCAGAGTCCGGTCGTTCGAGTGTGGCATAAACTTGACGGAGAAGATATTGGCCTTGTGGCCAGTGGCGACGGTGGTGTTCAATGTGAACTGAGCATCCGAAGAGTCGGGCTGGTACGAATAGATATTCAAATGCTGGTCATCCGAGCCAGAAGCTAAGAGACGTCCGGACTTGGACCAACTGCGACAGAATTAGTCTCTCGCGTCAACGAAGCTTCTCACTGGAGACGAGGGCGATTAGATGAACCAAAAGAATTTAGTTAGACATACCTGAGAGCATTCACACATCCCGTATGACCACCCAACTCATTCACGATATCCAGATCGTCGATCCATTCTTTGGAGCCGTAAATGCCGCGAAGCGAGGCATAAGGCGACAGGTCCCCGCATTCTCGGCGCCAGAGACGGTCGTACAGCGAGTCTTTCATGATCGCGAGTGACCAGGGGAATTGCCAAAATTGAAGACTTGACTAGGGAGGATCGCCAACCATCATGGACCCACGGTCGCGTTGGCGATGTTGCAGGAACGGGCCTTTCTTCTTTTTTTTTTCCTCCCTTCTCACTTAGTCTTAGGGCGTATCTGTCAAATGGAAGGTGGGAACCGGGTGGAACTGTAGATGACGTCAGGTACGTAACGGTCGGGGATCGACGATAGAACTGGTTGAGCGTATCCCAGTGAAGAATGAAGATGATGAGAAATGAAACGTGATGGTTTAGAAATTTTTCGATGAGAGTGGCAAGTCCCCGGGGGATCAAGTGAGGGGAACAGAAACCGGGCAGTGGGAGTTTAAGCAGAACAGGTTCACGAGGCAGGAAAGGACTGGGGCTCGACCGGACGGGATCCAGAACCAGCAGAACGAGCTAAGGACAGGGGATCACTCATCACTCATCAATCAGCAATCAGCAATCATGGCGGGGAGCTAGTCCGAGTGTGGTTTAGTGGGCCGTCATGACTGGAGTAACTTGGTGACTAACTCGGTTAGTCGGGTTAGTTACGTTAACTAACCAGTTGACTAGTTAGTTAGGTTAGTTAACTATGACGATGGACAGGGCTGAGTCATCCATCTATCAGGCCGCCAGGGTTAAGTTCCAACTATGAATAGGTACAAGCTCAAGCTGTCGCAGGTGAATATATACGATGCCATTATATTATCGAAACAATGTGATCAAAAGGTAACCAAAATCATTCATTAAAATCATCTCACAACTCAAGACCTCCAAACCCCAACTCGCGGCGCACTCATCTCCCGCCTCGACCCAGTCAACTCTGTCGCAATCCGACAAACACACTCCCTCTCCGAGCGAACAATCTCCGCCTCCAAACTCCGCATAGCGCGAATCTCCTGTAGCATCAACTGAATCGACTCCGCCAGACCCTGAGATACACGCGTAAGCGCAGACTGTGGTAACTGCTCGACTTCCCCAAAGCCCAGGATATCCAGGCTTTGGAGGTGTCGAGCGCAGAGCTCCAACTTGGCATGTAGAGCGTGTACCTCCTCTTTCCAGGGTTTATCGAGGGGGTCAATGAAAGTCGTTCCATCGAATGTCCCCGTTGTCTCGCGCTGGTGCCGAATATAATCCGCTTGCTGGAACCAGTCTTCAAAGACGGCTACGGCTTTAGTATATCGTCCACTTATTCCACTCATCCCCAGGTCGGAAATTTCTTGCAGCACTTGGGAGAATATCTGGATCTGCTCGGGGAACCCATGTGCTCCTTGATGGTCGCGGCAGTTCTGGAGCCAACGGGCTAAAGACTGCAGATTCAGCTGGTGTTGGCGACTCTTCTCGTCCACCAATATAGATCGGTATTGATCAGCAACGGCATCGTACTTTTTATGCAGGCGCGACTCAGATTCCGACTTCCACTCTGCATGTTGCTGGAGCGAACTGGAGTGGAAGAGACTGAGCTGAAGGAGTTCTGTCTGTAATGCGGCGATGTCTGGCCAGGATGTGGGAATGAGAAGAGTATCCGGTCCGGATGTAGCCCCCGGAGTTGGGGTGGGAGGTTTGCTGGGTTTCCTAGGCGAGTAGTGTTGCTGGTAGGTAGAGAACTGTGCGCGAGGCTTCTGGGTGGCGGGTGATGGGTCGGGCTGGGTTGGTTTCGTACTCGCAGGCACCATCTGGCTACGGTGTCGGGCATGTCCTCGGACACCGACTGGTGCCCCCGATGCAGGTTCTCGAGGTTGTCTCAAAGAGGCAGATCGCATGGGCCGAGGGGGAGGGAGCATTTCCGTCTTTTTGGGCGAGGGCGGGCGCTGGGCTGCCGAGGACTGGGTGGGTGATCGCAACGTGGATGGTTTTCGTGGGGATGGCGGCACGAATGTAGGTGTCGTACCCTTTGCAGGAGCTGGGACATTGCCTTTGGTTGAGGTTGTCTTCAGAGCTCCTGGTCGTATCAAGCTCTGGCGACGTGTTGGCACCGCACCGCTTGGAATCGCCGTCGATGGCACCCTCTGTCTCTCCTCCCCCGTATTTGTCCGCGGCTGCCTCCTTGGCGATGTCTCTCCTCGTTGGGGAAGTCTGGTCTCTGACGGCTGAAACCGCGCCTGTGCCGAGCCATTTCCATCGTCTCGGGCTATGTTGCTGCGCTGTGGGAGGAGGGTTCGGCCGCGATTGGAGACCGCGTTATCTTTGAGGGGGACCCCCTCGGCCGGCGAGGGGTTGGTTGAAGATCGAGGCTTGTCATTCGTTAGGCGGGTAGTTGCTTTGGTCGAAGCGGCGGCCGGGGTCGCAGCGTTGGTCGTGGGTCGAGCTATATTAGAGGGCTGCAATTTAATTAGCGAGGAATGCTGGGGATCCCGAGGTAATCTCCTGGCGACTGACTGTTTTCCGGGGCTCGCGGAGTGATGCGGAGCGCGTTGGGATGGGCATGGTCGTTACAGATGGTCATTAAGGGGGACATAGGCATCCCACACTAGCCCGCGCTTGGAATGAGGTCAAATAAAGTCGAGGACTCGGCCCCGAGCTCCTGGAAGAAAGTGGTTCTTCGGGTTGCGCGACGATCTTCCTGCACCCAAAACAAATCCCGAGTGGAGCTTTGGGGCCGCACAGTCCGAAACTTTAATGACGAACCCCTCACCAACTTGGTAGGAAGTCTACATCTACCACGAACTCTCGTACTAGAAATATAGAGTAAATCATATTTACTTTAGTGCTAGACAAAAATACCCATTGGTATAGATTCTATATTCATTCACTGCATTCTATCCGCACCGTACCAGCTCCTTCAGCTTGGAAAAGGCTAGAGGTACCATCAAAGGGAATCTCACTTTTGAAATATTAGAGATCATCCAAGTTCCAACCGTGACACATTCATAAAATCGCATGAGCCAACATCTTCACTTATGAAAGAAAAAAGAAAAAATTGTGTATCGGGCGTTTGGGGCATTCCATGTCGTGTCGAGTCTTCACTCAAGGGAGTCGCATTCATCAAATGCTCCAATCACGTAGAAAGTTAGATTGAAGCCACGATTTACTGCGCAAAGCTTTCTTCACAGGCTACCACGACGAGGGAATGCAATGCCCTCCACGGCGGGGTGATCAGTGAACCAGCTGACCTTGTCACCAGCACCGTGGTTTACCAGAGCCGAGGGGAGGCTGCGGCCTTCCTCGTTATCGAAGATGGCCTTCATAATTTCCTTCTTGCCCCCACCGGTAGCCACAAAAGCAATGTTCAAGGCAGAGGTAACCACGGGCAAGGTCAGGGTAATACGCTTAGGCGGGGGCTTGGGAGAGTTGGTCTCGGGAGCCACCCAAGCGTCCTTCTCGCGCAGGAGCTCGTGACCCGGGAACAGACTGCAGGTGTGGCCATCCGGACCACAGCCCAAAAGAATGAGGTCGAAGACGGGTAGCTTGACGCTTTCCTTGGCGGCAAACGAGCGCATCAAGTCCTCCTGGTAAACGTCGGCCAATGCCTGGGTGTCACCGTCGTGGACGTGCTTCTCATCGATGGGGTGGACGGTCGGAGCACCGAGCTCCGCGGGGATTTTGCTGAGCAATTCGTCCTTCAGGAGGAGGTAGTTGCTGTCCTTATCGTCGAGGGGCACGGCGCGCTCATCAGCGAAGAAAATCTGCCATTTGCTGAACTGCGGGGTATCCTCGGGGGAGCCATTGCTCTCGGCCAGGAGGGCCTTGGCTAGCACGACGGGAAGGGAACCGCCCGAGACGGCGACGCGGAAGGTGTCGTGGCGGGTCAAAGCGGCATTCTGGCAGCGCAGGACGTAAGACCGCAATTGCTTGGCCAGCGCTTCAGTGTTGGGGAAGCTGTAGAGGTTGGGTTGGGAGGTGGCCATGGTTGCAGGTGTAGGTGGTGTGAAACGGGAAGGAGAGGAGAGAGAGGTCGAGATCGTAATCTTTGGGGCCCAGAGAGGCTAGACGGTGGAGACCAGGCTTGAGAATTAGAGGGCTTGCAGAGGGGGGACTCGATATTGGAGGCCAGAGATTGTTCGACAGGACGGTTCTGCAGAGCTGGCGGGGTTGGCGGGGCGATGCGAGGTCGGGCGGAGAGGTGGCGATGACGTCGATGTTCTACACATTCGTGAGTCGTAGATAGTTCACAGCTTACTATTAGGATACTACCAGGATATTGTTAGATAACAGTGCTCAATCTATAAGTAACTCGACACGTCTCTCTCTCTCTCTCTCTTATCAAACTACGGATCACTTCGGGTCATGTCAGAAACAAGTCAACTTTATTCTGCCCTGGATTGATAACGATGGGAGGATATTAACCCAAGTGGATAAGATCAACGTATTGCCACACTTTAAACCGCATCGGCGCATTACAATCGAGTCTGATATGGTCTGACTCTTGTCTGGGCTGTGGTTTTGACTACTCGGTCTGACTCGGCAACAGTCGGGTCATCCCTGTCTGTCAGGCTCAGCGTGTCAGCCAGTCGCCTTGTGCCCCCTCCCCATTTGGGCCGCCTGCATCGCAGCCCGTCCAGGCATGACGAAATCATGCAGACGGTCTAGATGGCGACCGGGTGTTTCGGCTCCAGGACATCAATCGAGATCGAAGAAGACGGAACGAGGTGATGGTCAGAGAAAGGGTCGGACCTCGGCGAAGGGAGGATGACTCTGTAGGGTGAGTATAAGTTACCACACTCCGAATACGGTATGTGTTACGTTGGAATCGGGTCTAGCTGAAAAAAGACGTGGAGATAAGCCTGGGATGATCATTTGAAACAAGTTAATCATCATGGGGTCGACATAGACATTGGTGGATCCGCCAGAGTGGATAGTAGTGAGGATGAACTAGTTAAAACACTATTTGTGGATGATTACAGACTACTCACCACATTTCCACCATGTGGGCGATAGTCTGGGAAATTATTTATCTATGAGGAATTCCTTTTTTGGAAATGTAAGACTTCCTCTTAAAGCCGGTTTTCCGTGAGACTGGGAGTTTAGCTTTTGCTCGGGGAGGAAGGTTAGCAATGCACTTCTGACTAGAATGCCGAATTCCTTGAATGCTGGCAGGTCATTGGCGTCACGACAGCCCGACTAGGCTTCTCAATTCTGGTTGGCACTAGGCAATCCTCGGGTTACGCGAATTAAACTACTGGGGCCCTCAAAAACAAGACGCTATCGGGGCGCTAATCCGCAAATCTGCAATCTGCAATCACGGGGGCCTAACGACTCGATTATGGATGGATTATTTCTGCTCGAGTCAGCCGGATTTAGCGTTTCGTATTATTATTGATTTCTTGATTTTGCACAAAAAACAAATTCCCATAATTAAGACTGCTCCGCCCTGCCTTCCCTTTCCTTTCTTCTTTCTTAACAGCTCTCTTCGACATCTTCTCACTCTCGTCCTCCATACTTCGAACCCCTCGGTCGCATATACCCATCTTCTCATCTTTTCGCTCTCCGGATCCCAAGCCCCCGGCATGAGTTCTCCCGTGGTCCAAATCTCGCCATCACTGCCCGCTCCAGCCGAGGCATCTCCCTCCCAGGGTCTGATCTTCGACATAGTCCGCTGTTCACGTTGCCAACAGTCCCTCAGTTTGGCCAGTCACTCCACCGCCTCGGGGGTAGTTCAGTTCGGCATGAATTCTTATTATTGTCACCGCTGCGCGTCCAAGGTCGGCTTTGTACGTTGAAACCGCGTCGCGTTGGCAACTAAAAATAATTGTCCAACAATGTACCGACCGACCTACTATGTTCCGGCACCCACCACATACAACCTGCGCCTGTGACTTCAGAAACACTCCACTCGATCAACGATATCACCGATCAATAAACCACAAACAAACGTGATTTCCTATCGTCCTTTCTACCCTTGGACTCTTCGACTCTTTCCTTCTGATAGTCTGATTCCGTTGGAATCAACGTTTCATGCCCCGGTCCACTACGACCGGAATTTCATTTCTCGGAAATACGATCGCAAAGGCGACAATACTGGTCTTCTTATATTCCCATTCATGTCGGATTCGGGACCAATCAATTCCCCGGTTAAAGGTGGCCAGACACTCCCAATAGACAACAGTGTCCTGGACCAAACACCTCGGGTTGGAAAAAGCTTGGATACGGTGCTCTCTTTTGTGAACCTGGAGTTAACGGGTGATGAATGTTGACGCATCCGCTTGTTTTTCGATATTAACAATGTTATATTGAAATGGCAGCTGGTGAAGGTCTCTTCTGGCGGAGGCCTTCTGGATTGTACGATTGCATGATCAGACCATACACGGTTGTCTGATCGGGTTCATGTTAAGCGATGTCCCTAGCGTGTTATGTTGCATTTTACGGCAGTGTCGCATTGAGACCTATCTATTTGATATCCATGGTTGCATGTTCTGCAGATAGTCGAGAGTTCTAGAGGGTCCTCGTTGCTGCTAAACCTTAGTATACAGTGCAATATTGGCAGCGGTGAAATAAACGCGAAGAAAAGGCTACTTCTGACTACATTTTAAACCACTGTCCACTAGAGTATTAAACCACCCGTGATTTGTTTCAGTCTGGCTTTTGCCTTATCCTCTCTAGTCTAGGTCACCACTCTGTCGGCACGACCTTCAGCCAAAACACTGCCGTTTCAGGCAAGGTCAATTCGCTGGGCGTGAATTATAGGAATATCTTCATATTAGAAAGCGGGAAACTCGATTGTGGCTACATATGAATCCGACAGTATTATGTACCTTGTACAAAGCTCATTGCAAATTTCAGCGAGATGTAAATCTGATTTCAACGACTAATGTAATCTGCTCAACACTTTGCCGCCATCTTTGCAGCACCGGATCCCGAAGGGCTTTCTTGACCACTTCCACCTTCGTGGTTTCCCAGATGATTGGTATCGACAATATGTCCACTCTCGAATCCCGTCGTGTGGAGACTGATATGACTTCGTTCGCCCTCGAAGAACAATGCATAGGCCTCTTCACCATGAACGGCATCGTCCCCAACCAGAAGTTGCTGTTCGTTCAAGCGCAATGGTATGCGCAAGACGTACTTGATAAAGACGCAGATAAGAGAGGTCATGAATAAGTTCAGGCCGATAATGAATAGTGCGCCAACAATCTGTAACCAGACTTGTTTTCCGTTACCTTCAATCGCACCTCCGGGGTTTTTGAGTCCGAAGGCAGCACATCCGTCGATTGTCGCAAATATACCAGTGAGAAAGCCTCCGAGGAAGCCAGCAACCATGTGGGTATGGACCACGCCCACTATGACGAAGCTGTCAGAATGGTCCAGTGACGATAAGTGCCGGGGCATACTTACTAACGTCATCAACCTTCTTCATCCATTCCATTCTCCCGAGGACATTCATTGATATCCACGGAATCGAGCCTGAGCAGGCACCAATGATGATGGCACCCCAGCCGGTAACAAAACCAGCAGCGGGGGTAATTGCGACAAGACCCGTGATCTCTCCTTGGACAGCACCAATGACGGATGGCTTCTTGAAAAAGACAAAGTCCAGAGTAGTCCACACAAGAAGGCTCATGGCCGTGCAGATATTTGTGTTTAGAACGGCAACGCCTGCATCGGGGCTTGCAGCGTACGGGTCACCTCCGTTGAACCCATTCCAACAGACCCAAAGTATACCCGCGCCAACTAACATGAGAAGAACATTGTTTGGATAGAAAGAGTCTCTGTCGCGTTTCAATCGAGGGCCTAGCCAATATGCAGCAGTGAATCCTATCATATCCGAGCCATGAATTAGTGTCTGTCAATCACGAACGAGGGTAGGTATCCATCGCTCACCTGCAGTGCCCGAGCTTAGATGAATGACATATCCACCTGAATAATCCAACACGCCCATTTGAGACAGAAAGCCTCCACCCCAAAGACTGTAGCAACAATTAGCAGGCCATCTCACAAAGAAACATTCTAGTATGTGAAAAGCAAACCTGAATGCCCCGACTGTATAACTCAGGGTGATCCACAATGGCACAAACACCATCCAAGCCAGAAGATTGATACGACCGAGCAGAGATCCACCCAGGATGATAACTGTAATAGCAGCAAAAACAAACTGGAAGTAGATCATTGTCGACAAATTGAAATTGGTAGAGATCCCGGCAGCGGGTAAAGTGGCTTGGGCCAGATTTTGTTCCATGGTCAAAACGGGCCCAGGTGTTCCGAGTAGAGGAAATTTCCCCCACTGCTCACCAAACGCCATTTTGTATGCCCATATAACCCAACAGACAAGCGTGGCGGAGAATGCATAGAACACCTATTTTTGGTTAGCAAGGTTGCACAAACAATAGCCCCTTGAACCATACCATAAAGGCGGAGTTGATGGCCCATTTCCTTTGCACGGTTAGCTTTGGAGAAGAAGCGGCTTGATTTCGAGGTATATCCTTTTACATACTTCTTCACGAAACCTGCGTAGAGAATTGCAAGGCCCGGGATAGATTGAAGTGCCACCAATGTACCCGCTGTTAGCTGCCATGCTTGGTCACCCTTATTAAGCCAACTGTTTGATTCACTTTTAGCGACCTCTCATATCCATGAAAGACATCTTCAGCACGACGTACTCTGGGGCTGGGTCGGTCAAAACTGTTGTATTCGACATGATCGTCGATACAAAAACAGGGTCTAAGCTAATGCGGCCGTATTAAGATCAAGATTTGAGAGTTAATGTGGATGTCCCTGACAGAACCAATTCCCAGGGTGCGGAGGCGGAGGCGGAGGAAATATATGCAGGTCGAACTACTTTCGCACCTGGGGAATCATCGGCTTTAGCCTGGGTTCTCGACCTTTCCTTAGAGCATGGCCTCCCTATCAGCTTGCAAATTACTTTGCTACATCTTCGGTTCCAACTTAGCGCTTTTTGATTCAGACCCAGATGAAAAATGATTAGCTGACAATGTCGAAAGATAAGAACGAAACTGAATCCTAAGCCAATGGGAAGTTCTCGTCTTTTGTCTCCAGAACTTATTATCATCGAAAAGATCCATGACACATAAAAATAGGGATAAGCCCACTGAAGTACCAGGCTATCTCTACTCAAGAGGGGGTTCGCAAGAACGTGCTTTCTATATTTTGACAGCCAGCCCTTTACGGGCCCCACTATACCCATCCCGCACTTTTTGCTCCGCGAAGCTTGTCTAAAGCTTAACTGTCAGAATGTGGAGATAAGCACCTCTTGTCTTCAGATAATTGGGCCTTGGGGGCCACATGATTCTGCAGCGGCTGAGCTATGACGTTGGCCATGTTAAGTCGATGCCCGTAATCGCTTGGATCTTACTCGCTGCATTTGCACCACCAAAAACCCTCTCAGCAACAGAGCAATCAAAACGCATCAGCTTATCTTGACGATTTTGTAAACCCTGGCATTTTCTCCTCGTGGATGGCTTTAATTAGTTAGACATGGTAAAGCTTCGTCAGTTCCTTCGATTGCGCGTATGTGATGATCCCAAGTATGTAGTATCCCCGTGTTGAATTGCAAAAATGCCTCAAAGTAACCAAAGCACCAACCCCCTGGCGAGACAGTATTCGTCTGCCTATGCGCGGATATAGATAAAAGGCAGAGTCTTGGCTCGTGTGGGGTGCATGCGAGGGGGGTTTGGGTAGCTTACTGGCATCATTCTGATCGCGCCTACTTTGGCTTCATCTTACTCGAAGCAGTCGAGACCCAGGAAGAGTAAGTAGAACCTAGCACAGAGTCTGATAGAAAGAAACAGCCTGTCCAAACTCTGAATCAATAGCCCCTGACCAAAGACAAGGTCGTTTGCCACAACTGAATCGAGACCGAAGATGGTCGGACTTTGGAATGTTTGCCCTCTTTTCAGATCGCGATTTGTGGATTCCGACGGAAGGAGAGAGAAGGAGGAGAGCGATGCCCTACTTCATGGTTGTGACTGTGAAAAGGAGGACCCGTATCCGCCGTCGCACTCGATTATACCAAGATCACATTCGTCCGATACTACGCAGCCATCGGTTCGATATATAGGCTTCGGTATTGGTGGTGCTGGTAACATTAGGAGGTGAGTTTATAGACTTCATTTCTCAAGCCTTTTCATCTGCGCCAATTACTTTGCGGCCCATCTGTTTATATTGTCATTGACTAGTTACTATCAGGGTGATGATTCAAAACGGGAGATACATCGAATATGTTGAGCATCTTCATCATGGGGGAAGATAATTTGAAAGCAGCCACCAACTATTCGAATCATATAAATAATGATCGAATGAATCGGTTGGTTGCGTATAATTCTGTGTGGATATCGCGTTAACCTAATACAAGATTTAACAACATGCTATCCTTTCAACTCGGTATTTACAATCTTAGAGCGTGAACGGCTGTAGCAAATTTGATGGAAGCTAAGTAAGTGGAGGAATGACTCGGGTATAAAAGCTTATAGGAAAAAGGAGAAGAGAAGGAGACAGAGATACAGAATATAATAGATCCGAGGAGATTGAAACACTAATGCTCTCTGCTAGATAATGATGATATAAGCAAAATCACTTCACTGCCATCGATGACGCGTAACTACCGATTAGTGCTGACATGTTGCTCGCCCAAAGTCCTCCTCTAAATACATATAGCGATGATGAAACTGGGCAACGCTACTATCTTCGTTGGTATGAACATCTATACGCATAGACACTCTGGACGCTGCAACAAATGACATACACCGAGCTTTCAGAGAACTGCCAACGATAATCTGACTGAACTCCACTCATTACTTTGTTGAACCCGACATGCGATCAGATTTGAATGTTACACTCTACTTCGATGTTCGTGCATACAGCCTCTCGTTATACCGACGGAAGGGTATATCTCAGAGGGGCCTCTTGCATCGTTAGACGCTAAGATGCAACACTCTCATGGCCGAGATTTCAATATTTTACATCTTCATACTTCATCTACTTTGTACCAGGCAGGAATCAATACGTCCTTTAGGAGTTCTTGTGTTCTACACAACCTTTCTTCCAGCCCCCATGGGCATCATCGGTCGCGTGTTCTCCAATATTACCAAGTTCGATGCTACCACATCATTTGACCTGAATATGAAAATAGAGATATGCATTACGTCAGAGTAACACACGCCATTGAAACCAGCCTTCACATACTCTTGCAACCCCGTTTTAGGTAGTGGAATGGTAAGACGGTTGACAAGTATCGGCGAAGCACAAGGGCTGATCTCTCGACCCTGCGGGATTTCCCTCCCCAAGCACCTGCAGATTCTCTCAACCCCTGCTTATCATCATGTCTCCCAAAATAGTGAACTGTTCCATGCGAGTACACCTACTGCTTTGGATTCGCCCAGATGGCGCCAAAGCTAGCAAAGCTCCCGTTTATCGGGACCTGCCGTGTCACCTTGGGGCTGTGGAATATGTGAGCGTGGACCCTTCGCCACTATTGCCGCAATTAACGCCTTCTTGACAGGTTCGACTGGCTTCGACAATGTCTATGAGTATGTAGGATGAAGAGTACCGAGCAAGGTCGATACTCTACAATCCACACAAGTATATGGTACCAAGTATCAGCTTCTGTGTCCGTGCGCTCGGAAAACGCCATATTCATTCCGTGCATCAGTGACACTCGCAACGAGTCGACCAGTTTCTTTCCAGCAAACCTCAAGGTGGAGACTCTTCCACTTCGCACTCAACTCTCTCAACGTAACCGCACTCGCAGCCAGCCACGATCAAAGTCTACTTGATAGCTGCCGCTGCAGGTACTCTCAGTTAGTCATGCGTCACGAATCAATAATCGCAGGCAAGACCAATGACCATTCGCCATCGTCGTGGGTTCCCATCTGATTGCTCACGTCGCAGGGACCCTGGATTTTACAGGCATGTCGGTTCGTTCAATTGACGGGATGAGTACAATAGGAACCCTCGGCCGGCGATCGCTGATCGCTGATCGCTGATCGCTGATCTTCCTGTACGCTATGTATTCTAATTTTTTTCTTTTCTTTTTCCTGGGTACACACTATTTGATCCGATCTGGCTGATGATACCCACTGAACTAGGACTCCACCAACAGGCATTCTGCAAAGCTAAGGGGATCATGCAGCCCATAAAGCCAATGTGATCGATGGGCCGCCCCGCGCGCGCAGCGAAGCTCCACTTCCACCCACGACTGGCCATTCCCCCAAGCCCCAAGGGCGTCTCTCCTCCTGGGGGAGCGAGCATGGCCGATCCGGATCTAGCGGTGTAACGCGAAGCATGCTCAATGCTGCTTTTCACCCACGAAGATCTTGGATTCATCTTCTGTGCACACCCAACGCATCCCCCACTTTGGCCCCCGCTTCCCCTACGATCCATCAGACGGGACGACCCGGACATGGATCCAAACGCAATACTGTTGGGGATAATATTTCCCCCTGAGGGCCCATGGATTTGAGATTGAGGACAGAGCGGCTCCGTGGGAACTGAACAAGAGAAAAAAAAAGCAACGAACGGATGACACAAGTGCAAGTTCCTGAGTGGAACTATCCATGTATGCCCGGTGGGGTAGTACAGTACGAGCAGAGGATTTATTGCATTTGGCATTGGCTGGGAGGAGCTGAGCTCGGGGCTTCATCGCGCGCGAAAATGACATATCTCAGCATCGCAGACAGGAGGAGTCCAAGAACCTCCGTCCTAACTGGCTAGCTGCTCTCCCTCGGCGTCTTTCGATTCGACGGTCTCTGCAGATTTCTGGGTCTCGCCTTTGAACTGGTCGGCTGCTCGTCTGCTGTCTGCTGCTACTGCTACTGCTACTGCTACTTTTGCACAAGCCATAAGGCGTCTTCCAATCTATTTCCCTACTAGTCTCGACTTTGCACAGGATTAATCACGATGCAATTATCTCTTGTGAAACATCTCCCAGAATCTCCTGCTTGCATTGTCCCTCGATCTTCGGCACTTTGGCCGTGGGTCCTATTATAATAAGATACTCCCTCGACTCAGCTCTCGCGGGGAGCTTGGCTTTTTCTTTCTTTTCTTGCCAAAGTGCGCATGTGTCGGTCTGTCCAATTTGCTTGACCTGCATTGAAATCTCGCTGCAACAAGGTAAGCTGGTTTATTCTGCTGCTCTTGTGATCTTGCAAATGCCCCAGGGGAGGAAATGAAATACATTGCATTTCATACTCGGTGATGTCGATGTTCGGACGATGACAGTTTCACCCGCCATGATCACTGCCACTGCCAATACTGAACGGCCTTTCTGTTTCAGGCCCACCTTCTTCTCCTAGGATCGTGTGCTAACTTGTGCTTACGGGGAAAAAAGACAAGAAAAAAGGCCACGTCCACTGGATTTACAAAGCGATTCTCCCAATTCCAGATTCAACTGGATATAACCCTGGTCGGGCGGGTTCCATCTCCGACTGTTTCGCAACGCCGGTGGCATCTCGGGATACTTGCACGACGGAGAACCTCCCTGGCGACGTCCTACGACTACCTGCATTTCCGATCAAGGTGCGCTAGTGTCGGGAAGAAGCAACAGTAGCAAACACCAGAGATCTTGACTAGAGATAAGAGGGAAAGCTATTTGCAGCCATGCCACTGCTCGGTCGAGAAAAGGGCCGCAGCCCGAGATCTCGAAGATCGGACGATGAATTCGTCGTGTTCCTCCAGGGGGTAAGTCCTATGTTGGAAGCAGTTCATATTTAACCACGCAATTTGCTTACCAGATCTTCTCTGGCAGATTCCAGCGCACTGTCGTTGGCAAGAATTGAAGGATTTGGTGCGCCAGACTGCTCTGCATATTCGCCAAGCTGTAGTCTACGATGATAGCCATGGCTTCCCCACAGGTCTGGGTCAGATCATAGTCAAGAATGAGGATGAAGCTTGGCGGACTTATCGTGAGTAATCCCTTATACACTACTATACCTTGCATGCTTTCTCATTTCATTTCTTCTAACACAATACGCAGATCGACTATCCACCAACGGATGGGAAGGCCAGAGCCTGGTCGTGACACTGGCACGCACCAGTTCTCCTACCAAACCCATTGCTGGGCCTACAAGAAGTCCACCCGCAATGATTCAAGCCTACATGTCGGGCCATTCCACACCACCGCGGTCTCAAGGAAATATGACTATGCCTCCGTCACCTATCTCACCCGAGTAAGAGATCTCCCATCTACTATTCACTGAACCCGCCATCTAACATGCCCAGATCCGTCCACTCTGCTAGTCCAACCTACCCATACCCCGAATTCGCACCAATGGTAGGCCCAATGGCGATGCCTCCACAGCCCTACATGCCCATGATCCCAGAACCCATGCAATGCGTCCCGCCATCCCCGATGATGCACTGCTCAATGTACGACGCCCCGGGATGGAACATGATGCCCATGTACCCAATCTCCCCAGTGCAACCCCTCCACGACAACGCAGGAGACCACTCTCCCCGACGCTTCCACCCGCGCAAGCCATGGGCCAACTACCCAGTCCCATCAAGCTCCCCAGTTCCCGATCTCGCCCAGCGAGCAGTCTACATCCAAAACCTGAACCCAGCAACCAAAACCGCAGACGTGGAGGCCCTCCTTCAATGCATGGGTACCGTTGAGCAGTGCAAGGTAACGGTGACCTCCGACATTCACGATCCCCACGCGCAAGCCCTCGCTTCTGCGATCATGCATAGCGTCGACGAAGCGAAGCGTGTCGTGAACACATTCAATGGGATGATGTTCATGGGCTCCCGGATCCGTGTTAGAATGGACCATTCGCTCGATATCCCCCGAAGAGAGAGTTGGGATGGGATGGTCACGCGGGATGAGCCCGATATGACGGAGCAGACGGCCAGTGAGGAGAGTTCTGAGTGCAGTGGCTGTGGACAAGATGTCTATTTCCCGGAACCAAAGCGGATTGATTCGCACAAGCCGCTAGTTGTTGATGGGAGTGGGCTGCAGAAGAAGTCATTAGAGTTGTTGTCCACATCGGCGCCAACCTAGGGAGCTGGAAGTTGGGAGGTTGGAGGAATTGTCGATTTAGTGGGTTGCTTTGGAGTATTGTTTGGATTTAACTTTGATTAATGGGGCTGGTTAGGTTGGGGGGTGGTAATGTATTATGTTATTGTTGATTGTCGAGTATTAAAAATGGCTATTGCCCATCCATTACACTTTCCTAGCAACTGCTAAACAGCATTCGCATGTTTAAGATGGCCGTATATTTATCAACCTAGGCTGGTAGATTTCTATGCACTATCCGCTGGAAACCAAACAAACACCGTGTCACCCTAATAGAATCATCAATTCATTTCATCAGCTATCGTTTATCTCTGAAAGGTCGTTCCAATGCAATTTTCAGATGCCATGACCCAACCACCGATTCCAACCAAAGAATGAACGCATATGCCCAGAACGCCATGCCGATGAAAATCAGAAACAGAAAGACCAACAAGAGATACATTTCAAAACATGAATAGACATGCCTCGGGTCACTTTGCGTGATTAACCATCTCCGCGTAGAGATCATCGGGAATCTTTTGCACTAAGAGAACCGTCAAAGCGATGATACCCTTCGCATCGAGGGGAGGCAAAGATCGAAGAACTTTGTTGGGACTAGAGAAATGTCAGATATGTGAGGCTGAGATAGGGGTAGGCACAGGGCTACTTACCTCGGGCTTTCAAGGAGGGTGTCCCGCATACGAATCAACTGAGCAACAATGCACAAGATATTCAGATGAGGACCATATGCAAATAGGAAGTCCCACAAATGCAGAACCTCTGGCAAAGGTGGTGTACAGGCGCACAGCGTCAGTACCGATGGGAAGGCGTAAAGTTCAGCATACATTCCCTTGGAAAAGAGGTAAGCTGCAAGCTTGGGCTCCACGATTTCCAAGCATCGATCAACAAGTCGAAGACCTCTGTGCACTCCATCCATGGCACCGCGAATATAGCCCGGACATTCCTTGGTGACAAAGTAATGGAAGAGGGCAAATGCCTCTACCTCGCTGCGAGCTGCATACAGGAAAGGTGCGCAGAGGACATTCATGCCCTGGACATATATCGCCGAATCATTGATCGCGCTGCTGGGGCCTGAGCCAGGATCCTCCAACTCTGGTTCTTCTTTAATGCTGGGTGGTGTGTTCACCAGCATCTCCATTTCGAGCCGTCTGGATGAGGAAGGCCGGGATCGAGGCTTGTTTTTGGTGTCATGGAGCTTCCATGCCACAGCATTCAGTAGCCGAATCAGACTTGCTTCGGTTACACGGCGCTTGAAGAGCGGATCGGTCGCGAGGGTGCGGAAAGTATCATTGCGAATCTTCGCGTACGCGGGAGAGCCGCCACGGTGGACAAGGGCGAGGTAGTCGTCAGTCGGAAGCGGCGCAACGTTGAGAAGAATAAGCCATAGATAGACTCGGTACGGGGACTATTATTTCACACCAAAGTCAGCTATATGCAATCCAGGTGATCTTAAAGGCACGGGTCCGGGGCGCTTACCATGCCGTCTCCATCCGCGTCTACTCCGGTGGACAAGACAAGGTATTTCAGCTCCTGCAAAGCTTGCTTGGTGTTTCCATTATGTGGACCATCGCGCACAAGATTCTCCAAAAGAGACCTCTTGATGCCCACCCCCGATCCAGTTTTCCGAGCAGGGCGCCTCTGCGTCGGGACTGGCGCTACCAGTGACGATGGTTCACGAGCAGCCGCATCACTGTTTGACCGAGGCCGACGGGCTGGGGTACGTATCGTGGAGCCCGATTGTGTTGCAGACGATCCGGTATCGGTACCATGAGTGGCCGAGAGGTGTGACGACTGTGTTTGGGCAATAAGGGCACTAGATGTTGTTAGGACCTGATGGGATTGGATCTTGCGCAGCGTGCGCATTGTTCGCGGCGAAGATGGCGCATCGGAGACACCGATGCCCCAAGACGGCTGAGGCATGGCCATTTGGACAATCAACACGGCATTGGATGTCCAATATCACGCATCTCCTGGTTCTGGGGGGAAAGAATCGGGGAGGTTGTAAAGGGTCAAACTATGAGGGCTTCGGTGGCTGGAAGCTGTTTGTTTTCTGCCGTTGGAGAAATGCGGAGCACGCGCTTAGCTTGGGTCTGGCCCCCTCAGCCGCATCATCGGACTCTTCCTTCTAAACAGATTAAACTATACAAATACACATGTATTCTTATCGATTGGTCATAAATAAGCGTCGTCACAAGTACTACATCACTACTTGCTATCTAATAACGGACACTCGGCATTTAGCATCATTTCCGCTGGTCGACAGGGATAGTTAATTGCCGACACAACAGACTCAAAACGAACATCCTCCAACGCCAACTCCGTCGAAACTCCAATTCCGATAGCAACCACGTTCAAGCTTGAGCTGCGCCTGCCTCGCGACGTCCGTTATTGCCATTCTCTCCTCCTCCCACGACGCTTCGGACAAAGTCGTGGTACTGGAAGACCTCGCCCCTCTTCACTGCTCCCGCCTTTGCACCCCGTCCTCCGAAAGCTCTTCGCCCCGTGAACCCGTTAAAGACTTCATCGACCTGTTGTTCCGTCAGTGGGACGCCCCCGTCCTCAGGAAGAGTGTGTAAGAGGGCATCGCGTAGTTCGGCCACGTCAATTTGACCATTGTCGTCGTCATCGAATGCAGCCAAGGCGTTAAGAAGCTCTTGGGAAGAAGACATGGGCGACATTAATTGAGAAAGAGTGTTTAGGAAAGTCGGGAAGTTGATGGTTTGAGATGCGCCAGGTGGGAAGAAGCGTGAGAGTGCGGAGGGTGATGCATCTTGGCCTACAATAGCCCTCTTGATTAGTATTGAATTTGTTTGTGTTTGGGATTTAGAACAATGGCAGTCCAACTTACCAAGGTTTACCAAAACATCTGCGACGTCATCTTTGTTGACTAGCCCGTCGTTGTCCCTGTCCAGGACTTGGAACGCTTCCCGAATCTCTCTAACTTGATTGGCAGGAAGTTTGGAAGAGGCATCACCGTTCGCAACCGTATTTCCTCGTGACCGGTTTCCAATTATTGGCGATTGGTATCCGGGTGACTGCGCTCCTTTGGTTGGTGAGGGAGGAAGCTCTCGTGTGAATTTGGGCTGCGGGATAGGATCATTTCTCGGGGGGACCGAATCGTCTTCTTCGACTGTGTATGACTGGTTCAATTTGCTCGGTGACTGCATTGGTGTATACCCTCGACTCGGTGAGCTTCCTGGTGTGCCGGCTGTACGAGCTGAGCCTGGCGGGGAGTTTGGTGTTGACGGGCGCCGGAAGGGCGAAGCCCGCGGGCTCCCAAAGGACAGCGGCGAGGGCTTGAAGGTAGGATTGTTTGACTGCATCAGGTATCAGGTTATCATATTGTGATTTTAACTTATGCAAGCTTCAATCCTTACCATGATTGTGGCAAGTTGAGTGGTGCAGCGTGCGGAGTATATCACTCGAGTTGTTTGAAGATAGTAAACAATGCCCCGGCAACACAGTCGGCCCGATGAGGCACGTGCGGAGCCGCCAACCAGCAGTTTTGGAGCTGTCGACTGCCGCTTTGCGACCGAAGTGAATAGGAAAACAATGTTCAGAGACTCGATATGTCAATTTAGACATGTCATTCTTTATGACGAGTAACTAACATCTCAACAGATTATATATCGATTGGCCCCGGTTGAATGTCCCGCCTGCTCACAAAGTATTGTACTGCATCTGTTATCGCCTATCGCCCCCGCTGTGGAGATCGCCCTTTTTCTGAACCGACCCCCTGAACCATTGAACTCCCGGCCTGTGGTGATTGGCATTGGCAGCATTGAACACCACTCCGGTCGGGATTTCTTTCGCTCTCGAGGCCTATAGACAAGGCATGTCCTTCAGTTCCTTCTCCTAACCCCTGGCCCGTCTCGGTACTCCCTCAATCCCTTCGAAGATGGCGTCGACGCTGCCCTATCGACCGTCGAACGACTCTCTGTCCACCTCCAACGCTAAGACCAATGGACTTCCTCGTCTCTCCCCCGCAGCCTCCTTCATTGGACGGTCCCCGAGTGGCTCGCATGCCTCTTTTCGACGCACATCGACCGAGAATGCGGCAGGCTATAGGCCACGGCGGTGTAAGGCGCAATATCCGTTGGATTCGCCGGAGCGCCATGTGGAATACATTCTAGTAGCGTCTTTCCATATCGACCGGGGTCCGATCATGGAACACCAGTATCCGGCGGCAATCAGTGGCGACGAGAGTATGCTCGCAGAGCTGATGCTTCCGGATCAGACCCATGTGCGAAGTCAAGATTGGACCATTTTCTTCTTGCATAAGGACACGAGCGGCGAGGATGAGGACGAGTCAGAAGCCGGGAAGAAGAAGAAAAAGAGAAAGTCAAGGTATCGTGCCAACGAGGAGACGGCGGGTATGTCTGAGGAAGATCCAGATGAAGTCTCCGAGGAGGACAGCAGTGACGACGACGAGGGCGGGGAGGGTCCGCCCTTAATGTATGTGCTGAACTTGGTGAATACCAAGCAGGATAATACTGTCCGACGGTAGGGTCATCCCATGATTGCGTCTGCAAAGCTTTCCATCTAACGAGACAAATAGTGGTGCCGTCGTCAAGGCCATGGCAATCTGTACGAGGCATTCATTCCTTCATATTTATAAAGTGGGTTCATTCGTTTCTTAAAGTATGATCTAAATCTAACAATGCGACAGCCACTCTTGCTCTTAGCCCTGGAAGACTACTTCAAATCACCCTACCCCGAAACGCTTGCGTCTCTCTATGATGCGGTGAACAACATGGATCTTTCGTTGATGCCGAAGATGTCGATCTTGGAGCGTCACATCTTACAATCCAGTAACACAAAAGACATGTTGATCGAGAAGTTTGAACAAATGGTTCGCCAACGAGAGGAAGAAGAGGCGGAAGACGGGGAGTGTCCTCCATCGCCAAAGAAGACGAGCCGATACGTTCTACCTCGGGACACACATGAATACGAGTCTAAAGTGGTCTATAACGATATCCCCATCCCTGTCAAAATTCCCACAGCCATCTGGCCCGAAACTGTTGGCGATTTCTCTCTCGTCAAACTTGTACAGACTTTCGCTGGGCCTCATGCCACCTCCCCGCAGCCCTTTCCGAGTCACCCTCACTTGACGACCAGCGGTCCCTTTACACACCCTATTATTGTCCTTATCAACGCTATCCTCACGCAAAAACGAGTGATCTTCCTAGGACACAACCGGCCATCCGGCGAGGTGGCGGAAGCTGTTCTCGCAGCTTGTGCACTTGCTTCCGGTGGAATCCTACGCGGGTTCACTCGACACGCCTTCCCCTACACCGATCTGACGAAGATCGATGATCTCCTCAAAGTTCCCGGTTTCATTGCCGGTGTAACGAATCCTACCTTTGCCAATCATCCCGAGTGGTGGGATGTCCTGTGTGATCTACCGACAGGTCGCATGAAGATTTCAAGCCATGTCGAACCTGCCCCGGTAACGGAAGGGCTTCTGTTCTTCCAACAGCAAAATGCGTTGTTGCCAAATCCAGGTTCAAACACACACCCAGATCCTACAGGGGACAATCTATTCATGGATGACATTCTCCGTAGTATCACCCAGCGCCATGGGGAGAATGCGATTCGGGCGAAGTGGCGCGCCTATATTGTCAAGTTTACTCGGGTTGCAGCGGCATTCGAGGAAGCTGTTTATGGCGCTTCCAACCTCTATATAATTGGACCCGGTGAAGAGTTGTCACCTGACAGTCCGACGGGCCATCAGACAGACCCAACAGACCCTACATCTCTCAGGGGTCACGGATACGTTTGGCCTGATGAGGCTTCTAAGCAACGCGAGCTTTCCGCCTCCGTCTCGCGAATTGAGGGATGGCGGAATACCCGTTCATACTACTCATATATCCAAGACATTGCGGCGATGTATTACCCAGCAAGGCCAATTCAGCGACCTGATATCCACCATCACCATGACCGGCTTCGGTCCCTCAAGTTGTCCCACGCCGAAGCAGGTGCCATCTACCTCGCGCTATCTCACGCTGTCAAGGATTACGCTGGTATCTGCCAACTCCTGACTGTCGCCCCTGAGAACCAGGCAGGGCTGTTCTACATCAGCATGGGTCTTTTCCATCCAGACCAGGTCGTACGGGAAGCGACAGTGGATCTCCTCGACCGGATTGCCGTTCACCCAGTAGGGCGACATTTCTGGACTCACCTCAGCCGCTTTGCTAAGCTGGGCTACTTCCGTGTGAAACGGGAACGTGAGGCTGCCCAAAGTCCTATCTCGGGTGCTGGCTCTCCCACTGTCACAAATCCCGGTACCAGCTTCGGTGGTGAGCCACAGAGCCTGGTGGGGGTTGCCCTTGGGGATAGCTTCAAAAGAAGAAGTTAATCCAGCTTAAAAAAACCGACCTCCTTTTGTTCAATTTCTTAGCGCTTTGTCTAATCTACCCTTCTTCCCGCGCATATATCATCCAACCTCTCTTGCTCATTTGTGACGAACGTTAAGAGCCATGCCTTTCCTTCTATCATGACATCTGTGATGCATACTTGCTTGTTTATATTTTGCCTTGCTGTTACGTAACTATGGATATACTTGAATGGATTGCTTCGACATTTTGGGGCTCAGTTGAATCAAGTGGTTTTGATTGCCATATTTACATCTTATATTTCGATATACCTTTACACTATATACATATATCCTCCCTAGCTCACGCAAAGGGGGGCGCATGAGTATATACCAGCGACTTCTAGATCCATCCCTTGAACATATCAGTCATAGAACTCCAGTCTCCTTCTGTGTCATCACTAACATACCGATCCGAAATCAATAGGACAAGCCCTATCGGCTCTCTCTGGCATGGTTTAGAAAACAAGCATGGCCAGTCTTCCAGTCATAACCGCCAGAATGCTCGAAGAGAATCCAAACAGCGTAAAGCGCACCATCATAGTATTTGTGATGGATTGGACCAAACTGTGCAAAACGCGTGCGCCAACGTATGTCCAAGCAAGAATCGAGTCCAATTCATCAATCTTGCCACCACGGGCAATCGCCAGCGCCAGTGCAATCGCGTAGAACTGGGTTGGCTGCTCGAGGAGATGGTTAAAGTTATCCCTCTTCCAGCGCGCAGCGGGAGGCATCTGCGCATCTATCTGGCTCTTGGTGGTATGATTCGTAGGTTTGATCCGGTTGTAAACTGGGATAGTTGCAGCGTACATCCATACTTCCATGACCAAGGTCCAACCATTGAGGACGGCGACGGGGCCCAGAAGGCCAGAAGCAGTGATGCTCGACATGTTGAAAGAGTTCATTAAGGTCAACAAAGAGTAGAAATTTGGACTTTCAGGCTCGATTTTCTCAGGAAATAGGTCGGGATAAGATACGAAGGGCTTTTAGAGGGTTATATACGAGGCCCATGACTCAGGCAGATGAATTCCTGCCCCTCAACCCTTACCTGAATGGCATGGTCGGATTTCGGGCGTGTGGAGTCTGCAAGGAAATCCGCACTGAGCGGTTGGGGGCGGAAAGAGGAGTGGGGATGCCACGCTAGCGTTCGTTGCGGTAGGAATGTTGACCCGAGGGAGTCATGAGGTGCCAAGGTGCCAGTGTTTTTATGGAAGAGAGCCTAATGAGGCATTGATTTTCTGGTATTTTAGTTAACTGTTTATGATTGATAAGCAGAGCTGTGTACCAGAATGAAGAGGACACAATGCAGTTCATGTTAATTGGGCACCAGAAAGCTGAGCAGGAATCCTGCATTGCAAAGATCGGTTCCAGTTATATGACGCGACTCGAGGTCGTTGTAAAACTACCATAGGCGTTAACTCTTCAGATCATTTGTATGAGTGAAATGAGGAAAGATGAAACCCAGTGAACGGGGGAATGAACACAGTGGTTGTATGGCTGTAGCCTGCAGCCACATATGCTATAAAACCATCCTGGCACTATTCTTCTCTCGACAAATTAGCTAACGTGGATTGAGAAACCTGACAAGCCCGAGATGAGTCCAACATATCCTGTGTGAGTATTTCTAGACAAGTTGAAGTTTTTTTCGTCTGGTGGGCCCGTTTCCCTTCTTTAGACGGATTCAGTGAAATCACACTCGAATTTCACCTCATCGGGTCTGTATTTGCGAGGTATTTTAACCTTGAGCAAAAAAAATAACATACTATCTCACACGTTCTCTTCTCATCCCCTACATCATGTCCGGCAACCGCATCGTCAGGCCCCAAAGTCCGGGAGCAATGCGGAGTTTGCGGAGATAGTAGACGCTGATGGCTGGTTGGCCGTGCCGAGGTCTTTACCATTGACCTGGTTTGGAAGTACTGATGGCGATATCTACTAAAAGCATAGAATTCCAGCGGATTTTAGCTTCCTAATTCCTCTTCTCTAGCTTCAAGCCGGACTTTCATTGAATGAGAGGGAAATCAATCATTAGTTGGGGGGCTCGTATATATGAGCCCCCCCGCCCCCGCTAACCTCGTATAGTTAGTTATTCACCTCCAACGATCAACCTACAGTGAACAGATTAACTTGCTCAATATGCCCAAAATTCTCATCCTCGGCGCAACAGGCTATCTCGGTCGCCAAATTGCCAATCTCCTCGTCCAGAGTGGACAACATACCGTCTATGGTGTGACCCGCACCGCCAGCAAAGCAAAGCAATTGGCTAGAGAAGAGATCATCCCGATTGTCTGCGCAGACCCGGTAAATCAACCAAACCCGTATCTTGAGGTCATCCGCTCCAAGCACATCGACGTGGTTGTGGACGTAGCTGGTGCCGATGCTGGTTCGTACAAGTTCCTCGCCGATGTGGTTTCAGTGGGCAAGGAGCGCACGGATGCAGCCAAGGTCCGAGGTGTTCAGACCTCGAAGATAGGATATATCTATTGCTCGGGTACATGGGTCCATGGCTCATCTAATGAGCCCGTGAATGATCTTGATATCGTTGGGGAAGGAGCAAATACGGCCCCGGAGGAATTGGTTGCCTGGCGAGTTGGGATGGAACAAGCCGTTCTCCAGACAAAGGATGTCCTGGATATCATGATTCTTCGACCTGCTCTAATATACGGCAGAGAAAGTACTATTTGGGCATCCTATATCACTCCAGTACTTGAAGCCGCGAAGAAGGGCTCCAAGGCGGTGGAAATCCCACTAGATTCTGATTCACGACCTGGCCTGATCCACGTCGACGATACGGCAAAGGCTTTTGTCCAGGCAATCGAGAAAGTCCACATCTTCCCAAGTACGGGAGTATACCCAGTGTTTGATCTGGTGACCAGCCAAGAGAGCATGCGGGATATTTTTACTGCCCTGGCTTCCACTTGGGGCTTTACGGGCACGGTGGAGCTGAAAGGACATGGGGGACATCTATTTTCCAAAGCGATGGGCACTAGTTTCCGAGGATCTTCTGCGCGGGCCAAGCAGCTGTTGGGCTGGCAACCAACGAGGTTGAATGGTTTTGTGCAAGATATAGATATTTATGCTGCTGCGTTTGTTGCAGAGCACATCGAGTAAATACAATAGGAAAGCTAGATAGGTATCATGACCAATGAACAAACCGAATATATACCAAACAGCTATATCATCAGTCCTACTCCTTAGGGGTACTGCAATGGAGTGGCATGATACCCGTACTTTTGGAAAATGCGGATCATCTCGGCTTGCCCAAGCGAGGATGCCATCGACAATGGCGATTGGCCATGTACGTCCTTTTTCAGCGGATCTGCGAGAAACTCCATCAACAAGCTGACCATATCAGTCTTTCCTTGATGAACAGCCTTCCAAAGCGGCGTCTTCCGAGGATACGCTGTCTTATCAATATCTGCCCCTCTGCTCAACAGAAGCCGTGCAATGTCCAGATTGCCATAGAATGCCGCTCGTGAAAGCGCAGTATCACCACTAGTGCATAGTCCATTCGGATCAGCGCCCCGATCCAACAGTAACCGAACAATACTCTCGTGCCCAGAAGCAGCAGCTTGCGAAAGCGCCGTCTTTCCTAAACCTTCGCCCGCGTCGGGCCGCGCGCCGTACCCAAGCAGGATTTGAACGATATCTTCTCGGCCCATCAGCGCGGCTGTTCCTAAGGCTGTATCGCCTTTGTTTGACCTCCTATCAACATCTGCACCGTACTCGAGTAGTAGCTCGACGATATCCTTGTGGCCAAATGAAACAGCGACCATCAAAGCGGTTTCTCCTGCGTCATTGACAGTGTCCACATTTGCACCCTTGTCCAGGGATAGCTTGACGGAATACAGTCCACCCATTTGAATCAACGTCACAAATTCCTCTTTACTGCCGGTAAGCTTGAATTTCATGCGCTTCACAATGCTGGGCTTCTTGCTGCGAAGAATTGACTTTGGCCGGGCGGAGCTGTTCACGGAAGTGCTGTTCTGTGATCGGGTTTCCTGGCTATTCTCAATGCTGGTCTCTGACTCGACGGGGATGGGTAAGCTTTCCCGCGGTAGGACTTGTTTATCGAAAATTGTATTTGCTGGGAAGAATGGCTCCATAGCCAAAGGAATAGGGTAGTCGTCGATTGGTAGTGCTTGTTTTTCCGTATCCTCCGTATCTTGGAGCTCCATTGCGACTGGGATTGGGAAGTCTTCTGCAATGAGCAGCACTTCTTTGTCGGAAAGACCTTTTTCTGGATTTTCTTGTGATCGAAGGGGAAGCGTGAGTTGCTCCCCTGTAGGGGTTGTGTTGTATAGTGAATTCCTTGGCGGCAAAGCTGGTTGTTTTGACCGTGAGAATCTCGTTGATGGGACTGCCTTTTGTCTATTGCCTTCCAGGAGGTGCTCCTTGTCTACAGCATTCCGTAGTGTTGAAATAATATAGCCATGGTCCTGGTCCGACCACTCGGGTACAATACCGATATCGTGCAGTTCATTTTGCAGTTTGTTCCATGCTTCATCCTTCTCGCTCTTAGGGGAAGCATCATCGAGAACACTCGAGACAATTGCAGACTCTCGCTTCCCGGCTCGAACATCGTCAATGTAGCCCTGCAAGAGACGGTTGACATTGGCTTGCGAGGATCTAAAATTGCATGTCAGAGCCGGTGTTATTCCTTCGAAAGCTGGCCCAGGATCAACATACATCAATATATCAGCATTTATAACACTGATCTCAAAGATCAAAGATGAAAAACGCCCCCGAATATCGGACAGTGTATTCACCGGGCCCACTTCGCCCGCCTGTCGATGAAGCTCTTCCAGCTCTAACAAAGCTACACGACAACCGTCGAGAGCCTGACCCAGTGCTACAATTGTGTAGTCCACACATAGTAGCGTCAACAAAGTCCTCGTCGTATCAACCACCGATCGGAGCAGACTAAGCTCATTACGCGCCTGGTTAATGAGTGTGGGCTCACGGCTGGTGGAGTCATATAAGGCTTCGGCTAGTGGTAGGATGGCTGCAATCTGCTCAGATGGGCTGCCTCGCAGAGCCTGGGGCACAGACATGATGAGGAGGCATGGCGCGTGGGGGAAGAGAAAAACAAGCAAATTACCTCCGAAACATCCCGCCAAGCGGCCGTTAATAAAGCGCTTAGGATTGGCGGCCGACTAGGGTTGTTGGGGGCTGAATCTAAGCAGGGATCGCCGTTCCACCATCGACCCGGTGTGATGTGTCTGCTCCTAGGGTAATTCGCCGTTTCCCCCTTTGATGTGAGGCAATGCTTGCTGCATGATGCATAAATTTAGACTTCCTAAACATTTACCCGAGGGGTTATGAGCTTGGTTGAATGACAGAGACATGGACACAAATCAAAAATAAGGGTACGCGATCTACAGTGGGAGTTCAGAAGGCCGACAAACTTCAGAATCATCTGATAAATCACCGGTTAAGCAATATACCAAGTGATGATACCTAAGTCATCAAGGGAGACCTTTCAAAAGTAAGAGAGTCGAACATATCTGGCTAGATCTTTTCTCTGGCTCTCATGTTCAGACTTTCAGACTGCCATTGGACTTGCAATTCTCTTGCAAGAGCAAATGACCCAGATACTACTCTAGAATTTTCTCACACAATAAGATAAATATACAAATAGTATTAAGTAATAGACAAGAAAAATGTATATCACACAACTGAAATGGCACGCTGTTCGCTGGCATCACACATGACCGTATTCCCGAAGGAGAGAAGAGAAGGGCAAAGGAGCGACCCAACTATACATATAAACAAAAGATTGTAGAAATGTCCAAAGAATGACCGAAGCTCAAGCCTCGCTCAAAATACCCCCACCATCATGGTCCCGAGAACGATGCCAAATAACGAAGCGATAAGCCTGAAATTCGGTAATTGCATCGCCTGTCCTGAGCCGACGGTCACCTTGTCAGAGCCAACAGTGACATTGGTAGTGGCAAATTTGGAGCCACAGTAACCATTGACCACTTTAGCAGACGGTACGTAAGTGGTGTCGAGAGCCTGGTCGTCGACGGTGGCCCATTTGGCGAAGATTTTCATAGTGGCTTGTAAGCATTCGTTGCAGGTAAGATTCCCCGACGAACTCAAGGTGCTGCCAGTGGGGATGAAATAAACATTATAATCATTCGGGGCCGACGTGTTGGTAACGGCATCGACGAAGCAGTAGTCCTTGGTGTCCGGGTTGGTCAGACAGGAGGCGCGGTACAGAGGTTCATATGCCATAAACTCTTGATAAACACTATGAACAAGTCCATTGTTCGACTCGTAATCCTGGCCGCAATTATCATCTTGGAGCATTTCCTTGGCCAGTGATTTCATGATCGATGAACACTTGTCAACCGATTGCGCGCATGCAACGTCGAGCACATGAGAGGTAGCCACGGCGGAGGTCAACGTGTGGAAAAACGAGTTTGAATTGCTGAGAAGGAGCGACACTGCATGGCAGTCGATGAATGACGAGTTGGAGCGGAAATTATCAAAGAAGGCGACGCAGGTAGCGTTGGCGAAGTTATTAGAGAGGGTGTCGAATGCGGAGGGCAGCTCGCTAGATGACGAGTTGTCGGCCGTCGCAATGCTTCGTTGCAGCAAGGAGCCACCCTTGCGATCAATGCCTGGAATGGGCTCCAACTCGTTACTGTCTTCATTGACTTGTGAGTTTTCACGGGGCTGGAATGTCCAGAATCCTTCGGCATGATCAACTCGGTTAATCTCCCCACTAGGCCCCAATGCCGATCGGGGGCCATCCGGGGTTAGATCTGATATGCCGGTTGTTGGTTGCGCCAGTGATGATATTGGCGAGAAACAAAGAATAAGCATTATAATTAAGAGACCATGGTAAAGTAGCCCAAGGAATTTTGCAGGTCGGAGAGGCACGCTGGCACGCGACCAGGAGCGCGAAGATGAACGAGAGTAGGAAATCGTAGAGAGTGATGAATTTCTGGCATTTGAACTGCCGATGCAGTCCCTTGAGCGGGCGACAGCATCCATAGTGACGAAGAATTCGTAGTAGAAGCGAGCGACGTAGCCACGACAGGCTATAGACAGACGACGAGAGAAAGAAAAACGCGACACGAGCGTTATGAATGATCCAACATGACCCTACACTTTCATCAGGGCCCCCAGCCGGGCGAAAAAGAAGATGATCAGAAGGACATTCGACCGGCGCAGTCAGACGTCGTTCAACGGAGGGCTGAACACACCCTTTTTTGCAGCGTTGGAGTTGGGGGAGTAAGAAGGATGACCACCACGAGGGAGTAAACGGCCAGGCGTACTAGTAAACCTCCACGAAGCACAGTCGGGTCGGGCACGGAGCACTAAGCTGGACCGAGTTGAATTTTAGTGCTCGTTTCCTATGGACAGAGTAGCCAAGGCCGAGAACACGCCTGTAGTGATGCGCTAGGCCCCGAAAGAGCTGGTCTTGCCGGGACTAGAGCGTTCTGTGGAGTCGCCATTCGGGTAATGGGTTCAGCGGGTTCAGGGGCAGCTGCATCGTGCAGGGGCCAAGCATCATCGCGCGGTCCTCCTCGTCGACGTTGGTGATGCTCAGAAAGGAATGGTTCGTCGCATGGCCCTGAAGGATTGCTGATGAGAGACGATCGAAGAGGCCGAGACCAGCCCATGGAATTATTTTTGTGAACCACTCCCAAAGCATGGCTGATGATCGGATGCTGATCTCTTTCCTTTCAAGTAGATTTAAAGATGGTGATCTCTGCTCTTGATCTCTTCTCGCATAATTTTGGACTGTGGGACCATGTCGGTGTTTCGAGAGGAAATGAAAAGGGCGCGGGCGTGCGACCCGACGTAAGGAGCCGGAGGGGCAGTTGTTTAGTCTCTCGGTTGGAACTTTGGACGAGGATATCAGAGAGTCACGGGAACAAAAAAAACAACCCTCAGGCAGGAATTGAGGCTCGAAGATGGCACGCGACCTCTACTATACTTTACTTTTTACGATGATCTAGCAATTGTTCATCCTAACCCTTATCAAACCTTGTATTCACCCACTCTTTTCCTTTTTACTGGGTCTTCCCGGTGAAGCCTCAATCTCCGGGGCCAATTAGGTAAGAAGAAATTCGGCCACTCCGCGGCCATTCCTCCCCCACACTCTCCAAGAACTTCACCCCTCCATATTCATCATGTCTGACTCGCTCGTGCCAGAGACACGGGTGCTGGCCGTGGCTAGCCATGTAAGTGATCTATCAAACACTGTCCATATTGACCAAATAATTAATCAACTCGCCAGGTTGCCTACGGGTATGTGCTCTATGCCCTTCCCCTCCGTGTGGAGTCATCCAGTCATCCGAAGATGACGTCCAAGCTGACATCTTTCCTAGCCATGTGGGAAATACAATGGCGACCTTCGTCATGCAGTCCTTGGGCTGCGAGGTTGCCGCATTGAATACAGTCAATTTCAGTATGTTAACTCTTTCACTACTCTAAATGATTCAACCTTATCAAGGCAACTCCGCGGGAAACCTCCCAATGGGCAGATTCCGATGATATAGCATTAGCATCGCTAATCCTGGATATTTAGGCAACCATACCGGCTATCGCCAATTCAAGGGCACCCGTGCGACTGCACAAGAAATTTCAGATCTCTATCAAGGCCTGTGCCAGAGTAACTTGACCGATTTTGATGTCATGCTCTCCGGCTATGCGCCAAGTGCAGCCGCCGTCGAGGCCGTGGGCGCCATTGGCATCGATCTGCAACAGAGAGCCGAGAAGAAGCCGGGGTCTTTCTTTTGGGGTAAGCCTAGCTCTCCTCTCTGGTTAAATCATCTGATCAATTGCTGATGACCATCCTAGTATTGGACCCCGTGATGGGCGATCAAGGCCGGTTATACGTCAACGACGACGTCGTCCCCGCCTACAAGAATATCATCCACCACGCCGATTTAATCCTACCCAACCAGTTTGAAGCCGAGTAAGTGAATCACAGTTGTCCAGGCGGGCTAATCCTCACGGTAAAGTCGAGTACCGAGACCTAACCTGCACCATCAGAGTCCTCTCCGGCATCAAAATTACTTCACTGGCCACCCTTGCTGAAGCAATCACTGCCATTCATCGCATTTATTCTGTACCGCACGTTATAATCACCTCCGTCCAGCTTTTCAAGCTGTCAACCTCCGGATCTACCCCCAGTCCGCCAGAGAATTTCCTGACGGTAATCGGCTCCACAACAAAGTCCGACGGCTCTCCACGCCTGTTTCGGGTTGACGTCCCCGCCCTGGACTGTTTCTTCAGTGGAACCGGTGACATGTTCGCCGCACTGACGGTAGCTCGGCTACGCGAGGCCGTCGACGCTGCAGGCGACGGTCTCCGCAACACCCGTTCCTGGGTGTCGCCGGACGACGTCCCGTCCAGCCAGCTCCCGCTAGCTCAGTCTACCATCAAGGTTCTTTCAAGCATGCATAGCGTTCTTGAGCAGACGATGGAGGCTCGCGATGCGGAACTCGCAAAAGATGTCCCAGCCCAGAATGGGGATGTGAGTGCTGAAGACAAGCAGAAGCGTGAACATCTACGACGGACTAAGGCTGCAGAGGTGCGGTTGGTTCGTAATACGCGATTCCTGCGGGATCCTCCTGCTCAGTTTGAAGTGCAGGAGTGGTGCAAAGAAGATCTTCCGGCACAGTTGCAATAGAGGATATGATTATGGATAGACGGCATAATGGGTTTATAAAGGAAACAGAGGACGGATTATAAGTGGAGGATTTCGTTATGGCTCCTACCGGCTTTTACATCTTGAATCGCATATAGATGAATGAATGTTAGAAGATACGAAACAATGTAAAGATTGAGAAAATTCGCTTTTTCACCTCAAGAATTGTCCTAGCGGCCCTCTCGTCTGTGGACACAGCGTATCAGCTCTCGAGCGTAAAGTGGGAGATTAAGAGGATATAAGGAAGCTTTGCTCCGAACCGGGCTTGAAAGCTTCTCTCAGGGCTTTATGGAAAGCGCTCAATCGCCAGTACAATGAAGCCGGCCGGGTCTTATAATTTAGAATGATAATGTGACAAATATCATCTTCGAGTTCGACTCTCATCTTGTGAGTCGTACTCAACACGTGAATTCATTAAAATCCAGCAAAGGACCGCCAATTCTAGATATACTCCAATGCATTTTGTCCACCTCAGAACCCGATTCGTTAAATTTCATTTTCGTCTCATCTCACTCCAACCTCTAAACGCCAGTGCTGCCGAATCCACCGGCACCACGAACACTCTCCTCGAGCTCCTCGACGACGGCGACCTCGGGGGTGTAGATCTACAGGCATGTTAGTTCAATAGAACATCTCGATGGTAGATAAGGCACTCACCTTCTCCAGAACCAGCTGGGCAACGCGGTCACCAACCTTGACTAAAAATTCAAAACCGTGTCAGTCACTATTCAACAACGAATCAACGTATCATCACGTACCAGGGAAGTCGACATCCGAGTGGTTGAAAAGCAGCACCTTCACCTCACCACGGTAATCAGCATCGATAACACCGGCACCGGTATCAATGAAGTGCTTCGAGGCAAGACCACTACGGGGAGCAACACGGCCATCTGCAACAAAAGAAAAAGCAATCAGCCACGCCCATCCCAACCAAACACAGTCAAAACATACAAGTACCCTCCGGCACAGCCATCGCAATACCAGTATCAATCAAAGCCTTGCCCTTGGCCGGGACAACCGTCTCCTTGGCAGCATACATATCATACCCCGCAGCGAAAGCAGAGCCCCGCGTGGGAGCCTTGGCCGAGTCAACCAGCTTCTTGATCAACAGCGGGGGCAGCTGCTGCTGGATAGAGGTCACGGGGGCATTGGAGGCAGTCATGTCGGCGTTGTCGTTCGTTTTCGTACGCTTGGGGAGCGGGGAGGCGGGGAGGGAAGGTGGTTCGCGAGCAGCGTTGGTGGCGGGGATGGCGGTGGGCGGAGTGGTCTCTCTGGTCATTGCCGGGAGAGGGGGAGGAATTGGAGAGATGGAGGTGAATGGAGTGGGGAAGAGGTTGGGTTAGAGGGTTTAGTTGAGGAGGAGGGAGTTGTTGAGGGTGGAATTGCGGTGTGGTTTGAAGAGTTCCGTCCCTTGCGCGCTTCACCGCTGGGACGCGGCGCGGTCGCGTCGGGATTCGAGAGGCGTATAGCGGGTGTTTGTGCTGTTTGCTCTTTGATTCCACGTGACCGAGATCAATGATCATGCATAGTCAGGTGATTTGGCGTCATGTGATCTGTCCTTCCTGCCTCCTCTCACCGCTTCGTATTGAGCCTCGCTTGGAAGAAAGAGCCGCTATGATGTAGCCCAGTCGATGGAGTACCTCCAGTGCATATGTATGCGGTGTAAATCACTCTCGTAATTGAAACTCGTGGCTCCACCAGGGTAGTGATTCGATTGTAAGAGCTCTACGAGGTTTACGGAAGTATGACTACATACTACTATCAAGAAGCACTACTTGTATGAAAGACTAAGCTAGCCAAACGACTGACTGACATCTCACCTCGATATTAGGTGGTTCTCAGTACCTAGGGCTTTGACCACAAGCTTCCAAGCCTAGCATCAACCACTCTACATCCAACTCGCTAATATCACACCCCTCACCCCCAAACAAATGAGAAGCACATCAAACCCCTCCAAAAAATGAAACTCAATCAATAAAGCCACCTTATCTGACAAGCATTGTCTAAACCTCACAGCGTGGTCGGGTCCCCATACATCACACCACAATGACCACATAGATGCAAATATGCGGACCTCCCCCGAACCAACGCCAATGCCTACATCCGGAATCCCCCCATCCACCGAGGCCAATCCTCCACTCACACGCTCCCAAAATACTTGATTATCACTTATCAAGATCACCAAGCGTCAAGCGAGAGTCTTGGAGGGGGGCTCCGTATATGCAACGCATTGCGGCCCGGTTCGCAGGATCGCCAGACCTAGTCGCGGGTATTGGCGACCACTGCGGCATTCCGGTTGCTTCAGACGTGCAGGACGGTGTGTGCACTAGAAGTAGAAGGATTTGAGGGAAGACGCCATACATTTACTTGGCAAGTGTGGTCCAGTTGTAGGGGAGGATTGGAGAGGGGTGGATTTGCTGTTCTGTACAGTTGTGCATTGCAGTAGAAGGCTAGAAGGTACGCTAGAGGGGTTTCCTGGGTTTCTGGGCTTGGGGGTTTACGAGGCTCCCCTTCCGTGTATCGGGCTGGATGGAGAAGTTGTTGCGAATTCGTAGTCTGTGGATATATCCGTGGGTTAGGGGGAAGATTGATGATGGGAGCTTCCATCGGTTGGATTGTCATTGCTGAGAGTCTGATTTTTTGGTTCCCGTGGGATACGTACGTATGACAGTCATATGTAGAGTGGGCGGATTATCGTTTGTGGATCTCAGGATCAGTAGTTGCATTGTGAGGCTTGTAGGACTCTATGTCTGCAGTACATCCTATCTTCATATTTAAGGACTAAGAGTACTTGGTAGTATATACTTCGTAGGTGCCATATGTATATATTGACCAACCTCTCGCCCTTCATCACTTCTAAAAAAAAAAGCAACGGAAACATAATCCTCGACCCTCCCATACTAGAGGGTACAGTCAGCCTCCAGAGCGGAGTTATTAATTCGTTTCCTCGCAAATTCCATTGCGCTAGCGGGGTCATGTCAGCACTTGACCTTATTCGGTCCACGTTGGTCGCGAGTCGAGAAGCGCCCGTATTTTCCTGCGGTTGGCGGCCACCTTATCACGTCCATGCGGCGCCACCATGCACACCGACGACCTCGTACCCTCGTCGAAGAAACCGTCGCTGATTCGATGGTTTGCTGAGGGTTGAAGAGAGGGGAGGTCACGATCATGGACTAACAGTGCTCTGGGTGAATTCTCCCCCCATATTAACCCGGCATGGTATGCCTATGGCGCGAGACGACTGGCGAGGAAAGTTGGTTTTTACTTTTTATGTTATGTTATTTTTTTTTTTTACTTTCCCGCTCGTTCCAAAGGGGAACATGTCATCTGCCCACGATCTTATGATAGGCTGCTCTTATTATCTTGGAGGGGGGTTCCAAGAAAGAGGGGGGCGAGGAATGAGGCTACCTTGGCCCTGCGGCTCTACGTAAAGTGAGGCTGAGGGAGGAGGACCAGCAGGGAAAAAAAGAAAAAGAAAAAAGAAAGAACCAACGAGCAAGCGCTCCGAGAGTCGTACAAAACGACTCGAGGACCCATCGAGGGGAGGCCCGTGAGTCCGTGAGTGGGTGACCAGCAAGGCCTGAAGGGGGTGAAGAACCCCACTTGGGTCGGACTAGCACGGCGCCACTTGGAGTTACATAGGCTGGATTAATTTAATTTAGGCCGCTGCGGTGCGCCAGAGAAGGAAAACCCATGCGTTGCGCAAATGATCTCGGCGCGGGCCGCGTCTTTCCTTTCTGGAAGCAGACGCAGTGGTAGAGAGAGAGAGAGAGAGAGAGAGAGAGAGAGAGAGAGGGGGGGGGGGAATGGATGAATGGAATCGCATGATAGGATAGGAAGGTGTAGAATGTTGATTGCTGATGCCCATGGCGAACGGAGGACGGAGGACGGTGGACGGAGTGCGTCTGGAGAATGAAGAATGACCCGGCGAATTGACAAGGGTGCAGAACCAGATCAGACCAGAGCTAGACAGTACAACTGGCCAAGACAAGGCGGTTCGTCTGAAACGCGCAACGTGGATCATGTTGCGTTGGCAATCCTTCGGAGCCAGGCGGGTCGGACAAGGCTAGGCATGGCCATGGGATATGATATGACGATGGAGGATACGGTAGGAGGAGAAGGGAATGAGGTCAGAACTCGAGAGGGAGAAAGGGAAACAGCACAAGCAGCAGCTGTCGCAGACGGGAAATCGAGAGATTGGGGGGACCAGAGTCAAGATCACTAGTGAATTGGTAGGTTCAAAGTCAAAACACTCGAAAAGGATTATCATAGGATATCAGAATTACGGGCTTGGATGGCTGAGGCTGGAAAGGTCGGAAGGTCTCGCTCGAAAAGGTTGTTGGTAGGCGCAAAAAGACTACAAAAGTGGAGAACGCTCAGTCGTGCAGGTTCCCTAGCTGGGTTTAAGGCCGGGGTTGGGAAATCAGCCAGCTTAACAAATAATATGTAATGGATTATACGGGTCAAGCATCGAGAAAGTCATAATGTACTCGGTACAGTAAGAATTGAGAATGGGAAACCAGAAAAAAAAAGGGGGGGTTGGCATGTCTTGAAAAGCAAGTGGAGAACATAACGGGCGTGCCCACTCATCGGCCACGATAGCCCCGGTTGAAGACTCCGAGGTCCGTTTGATTTGTATCGGCCGTACGCACAAAAGCGAAAGCGAGGGTATGGGCAAGAATGGTGGAGCCTAGAGGAAGGAGACGGTGAGAGGGAGAAAGAAGAGAAAAGGGTAACAAACCATGGGCAGAAAAGTCAAGTGTACGACCAGCTATTCTTTTCCAAATCCTCCGAAGCATTTGATGGATTTGAAGGGTTGCGATCATCTGCCGTGGTCAGGAGAGAGTGTCGAGGTGGGAATAGCGGTTTTCGGGTCCAGTCCGAGGCAGTGACGACGAGGGTGACGATAGCTGGCTATGGATCATGGAAAACTATTAAAGTGTATATAGCTTTGGAGGCTGAGTCGGGATCCATTATTTGGATCTATAAAAACGACTGGATTATCAGAGAATGTAACGGATGTGTAGAGGTCTAGAGTCTAGAATCTAGAGTCTAGAGTCTAGGGGAATCTAGGAATCCAGGATACTAGGATTCCATATAATATTCAAGTAGTTCTCGTTTCCACTTCTCGCCTCTTAAAGCAAGTGACAGGTTTCCTGCGGGGAATAAAAAAGAAAGAGAGCCTCGGAACCAGGCCCACACTCTTTTCAGAGCCTCATTCTTCTGCGCAATTTCGGCTCTCTTGTTATTTTTTTTTTTCAATTTTCCATTTTTGACAGTACTCCTTCCCTCTTTGGTCTGCAGTCTTAACGAACTTTCCCCTCCCTTTGAGAACTTGATCTGATCCCCGAATCCCCGCTGCAGAACTATTTTTTCGTTTTGCGGCTTTGCTGGCTTTTCGCGCCGCATCCTAATCGGCCCGTGCTCTTTCACTCTGTTACCTGGTGCTTCCCTATCGCGCTTAGGCTGAGTAGTCTTGCACTTTCCACCCCCTCCTTCATTTTCCAGAGCCTCTTCCCCGGGACTTCTCTCACTTTTCTTAACTCTCGCTCTCCCCTTGATATCATTTCCATGTTGAATGGGTCCCGTTGAGCCTCATCCTTAAACCCGGTTTCCCTTCTCCTCGTCTCCTCCTTCCCCTCTTCCCGAGCCGCGCCCCAAGTTCCTCCCCCCTCTCTCCCAAAGGTAAGGTTTCCTCGTCTTTCCCCTCCCTTTCCCCCTCCGATGGACTTGGAGTTTCACTTTTCTTGTACTCTTCTTCCTCCCTCTCCAAGTAGATCAGATCAGATCCAGGTCTAGATCTAGATCCAGGTCTAGATCTAGATCCAGATAGAGAAACCCTCGGGCTAGGTCACTTCGCTAGTGTCGGTGGACAGCTCTCGTTGGGGTCCGTTCTGTCGTGTCCGCCTGGGTTAGATCCCGAGCCCGCGCAGAGCCTCAAACCTTGGATCTTGGGTCTTCTCTGACTCGCACCACAACTCGTGCTTCTTTTCTTTCTCGAGTCAATGTTTCCATCTGGCCATTGGTGAAACCCCCTGCAGACACCTTTAAACTAACATTCGTGACAGAGAGAGTGAGCCCCTCCTACCAGAACGCTACTGCCCGTCATTCTAATATCTCACTCTTGATGGTGTACACCGGTCGACCTGCTCTATATCACCGCTACGAGTTCACCTCAATAGCTCCCTAGCTGCACAGAGGCAATCGTGCTCTATGCATCCCTCGACTCGCCATGACGTCCGACATCTATGACTCGGACGATGCCATGGGCCGGTCCCCGCCGCTCAAGGCGGCTCAGCCCAAGTACGGGCCAGACGAGCCTCCTCCTCCACCGTTCGTGACCGTCAATGACGAGAATCGCACTAAACCCGCCGTTAAAGATCCCAAGGGAACGCTCGACCGTTCCCGTAAGCCGCACCTGCCGGAAACCCAGACCCAAACGCGTCACGGCGACTCGGTACTGATGAGCTATTTAGGGCCAGACTGTCCGGAGGTCGCGGCGCATGCTCGTGATCATCCGTACTCGGACTGGTCGCCCAAGCAGGATCGGTTGCCCGTGGATTGGAATGCACCCCCACCCCCGTCACGGAAAGACGATGGACCCGGCGAGAAGGAAGGGATTCAACTGGGCGGTTGGGATAAAGTAGGAGGAGGAGGAGGTGCAGTTGGTGGCAGTGGAAATGGAATGGGAGTGCAAAAACCGCCAATTCCAACGCCAGTACCAGCACCAGCACCAACCATTATATCGAAACCGATTGCTGGACCGGGTTCTACGGTAGACGAGGAGGCCAAGTTCAAGTCCGTGGTGGAGCAGGGAGTACCTCAATTGCAAGTCGACGAGAAAGCAGACCGCCACACCTCAATATCACCGCATATGAAACCATTGCCCCCGGTGCTACCCCCGCCTGCGCCGCCATCTGATTTCAAAAGTGAGTTTGTCTCACCACGACAGCGTCCACGCCTGCAGTCCATCACGGAATTCCCTCCCGTACGGCCCTCGCCGGACCTGCTCAAACGATCTCCCGAGCTAGGTCATCGCGTGTCTTTGCCATCTCTGCAATCTCTATCTCCTCCATCCTCAACGGCAGGCGCATCTCCAGACTCGGCTGGTGGAAACCACAACACCAAAACCCTCCCCTCCATCCAATCCGCCCTCGGTGGCTTTTCACCCAGCGAGTTTCCTCCTACTCGACTCAATGCGCTACCTCCGCCATACCCTTACTCGTCCTGTCCGGGGTCTGCGACCTCGGCAGATTCCCCGCATGACCGTCAACTCCCACGCCAATTCCTGCCATCGCATATCCCTCCCAGTCCTTTCTCCTCCCATCTCTCTCCTATCAGCGTCAAGGATCACTCCAACAATCCATCTCCCGCATCACAACCTTCCTCTGCCTTCTGGCGCGGTCCTCCCCCACCCCCACCGCCTCCACCCCAGCCAGCGGCCGACACCCCGCACCATGTACCGTCACCATACGACACATCCCCCATGACGGCTAAAAGCCCCCTCTCGAGTTATCCCACACCGACAGAACAGGTTGCTCCCACGCCAGGGTCCAGCGAACGAACGCCATTAAGTGCCACCGCGCCGTTGAACGGCGCCGGAGCGACGGGCAGCTATAAATGCACCCATCCCGGGTGTACCGCAACGCCATTCCAGACTCAGTATTTGCTCAAGTAAGTAGATGCTAATGACCGTGCCCGGTCAAAAGAAAACCAAGTGTAAAATGGTGATAGAACCCCTAACTGTAAACCCACCACCAGTTCTCATGCGAATGTGCATTCGCAAGACCGGCCCCATTTCTGTCCCGTGGATGGTTGTCCTCGTGGGATGGGCGGGAAAGGGTTCAAGCGCAAAAATGAGATGATGCGACATGGCCTGGTGCATAACTCACCGGGTTATGTATGTCCCTTCTGTCCGGATCAGCAGCATAAATATCCTCGGCCAGACAATCTTCAACGGTGAGTTGAATTATTCCTCTGGGTCAGGCTTCAAAAACCGAATAACTAATTTTGCGTTTTGGACAGACATGTCCGTGTTCACCATGTTGATAAAAGTAAAGATGATCCTATCCTCCGTCAAGTCCTTGCACAGCGCCCGATTGGGAGTACACGAGGACGACGACGAAGGTCAAATTTTGCTTGATCATTTAACCTTCCTTGGGTCCTGGGGATTCTTGAAAGCAGGGCCCTTAGGCGAGGGTATATAACATGCATTAAGTGATACATATGGCCATCCCGACTGTCCATGCTGCGTCACGTCTATCTCCAACATGCCATTCTTCTCCAACCCTCTGGACTGGAAAAACACAACCTATATTTACGCGTAACGAATTTCCATCTCTGATACCTTGGAGCTCTACTTTCTACTCACATCACTGTTCCTGTTCGACATTTCTCTATGCCCAGCGCAGCACAGTTCTCCGTTTTCCCTGTTATTTTATTTTTTTTCTTCATTTTCGATGATACCACATGTCAACCTGTTAGAAGCATGATGATACACGGGCCATTCGTTTCTATCTGTCTTACCAACCTCTTTTTCTATTCAAACTAACGCATAGTTGTGTGTTTGAATCTTTTTCTTCTAAAAGGTCCACTCGTTTTACTATATCAAACGAATTTTGTTCTGCATTTTTCCATCCTATCTTTTTCTGATATTGCTTTTCTTCTTCGTGGGTATCATCCAGCATAGGTGCCAGCTTGAAGGTTCTTCCTTTTTTTCCCTGTATGTCTTGTCGTACTTGGATGGGAGCGTGGTGAGTGGTGAGTGGTGAGTGATATCAGGGAGTGTTGTCGAGTATCGACCTGATTCCAACATTCGTTTGGGGGTCATATCTTATCTTTCTTGATTGCCGCGCTGGGTCAGGCACTGAGCGCGATGTTTGTTAGTGGTTCAAAATTGCATGGGAATGCTATTTTATACATATGAAGCACTATGGCATCCATGGTAATGGAGAGTCCTGTCTCAAGTCTAGGTTTCAATCAGTGAAAATCCATATGACACCAAAGAGGTATGTATAGTGTTAGATGTTCCTGTGAACTTGGAAGGCGGGTAGACACGTTGCCTCGATTTGATCCTTTCTTACCGTTAGTTCCCTGTTAGGTTTCCCCAAGCTCACCTATCATCCGACAACCGATGAGATTGGCACTCTGGATAGTGAAGTTAAACTAAGCCTCAGAATGGCCAACCACTTCTTCAAGATGAAACAAGTCCGACTCAAGGTAAATACAACCTCAACAAGGAGATTTATCCCCATATTCAATCAAATGCGACTTCATGCCTTCAAAACCAGGTCTAACCCAGTCCTCAGTGCCGACTTTGTTCGACATTTCTTCTCCATCCTTCTGTTGTATAACACGGAACACTCACGCATCATTTACTGCATACTCTGCCGAGCGATACAAACATGAAACACGTATGACTAAGACGAGCATAGCACACGACGTCCTCCTCCGCGTATCCCATGCACAATCCTATTAGGTTTGAGACCGATCATGACATGCGCTGCAGAGCCTGTCCACCTTGCGTGGCCCCAAGTACCGTCCAACTCGAATATGCATTCCATGGTAACACGACAGCTCGGCCATGTGGGTAGACAAGAATAGAACCTATACGCGAGAGAGGCTGTCGATCCTGCACGGGTTATTATTAGTTCGACAGAGCCGCACTCGTGGAACGTGGACAGGCGAGAAGTGGACGGCGTTTCATATTGCCGTTCTCGAAGATGTGAGGAATACGCAGCGACGGGATCCTATTTTGGAGTGCCGAGTACGGTAGATATGACATGTGGGCGGGTTGGAATGGCGGGGGGCGAGAAACGATTCTGCCTTGCGGGCGATGGGGAATCGCGGGCAATAGTTATACTGTTGGAATGTACGAGCTATGCACCAGAAATAGAATAAGGGTCTTGCAGTTCGTTAAACCAGCCCCCGCCATACCAAGCCCTCTGTATGCTTTAGTCCCTAAGACAAGACTAAAAATTAAAATCTCAAGACTGCAGAAACTAGTTAGAGGGAAGCTCTAGCAGTGACACTGACGAAATTCCACAAATAGCACGAACATAGTTTAAGTTCTTGTGACCAAGGGGCTAAATAACAATTAACATTCAACCCAGCCAAGCAATGCCTACGCCCAAGGGATGCACACCGTGCGACCCAAACTTAGGACAAGGACGAAAAGTCGGGGACCGAAAACGTCTAGAAAACGATTGGAAGTAGAAGGAATAAAAGAAATAATAAAAATAAAGTTGTGCATGCCAGCACTTCTCGCACTCTATACCCAAAGTAGTTTAGAGCCGCATAGATAGAGAACGTCGGCGAATATTGGTCGAATATTCCTTGGGAGGCTTGAGGTTTCACTATTACTGCTCCCGGCATCATGGTTAAGCTGTGTAGTACATGTTTAACAAATATGGTTCTTGACATCTATCTGTGAACCACCTTCAGGGTAATCCATTAATAGCAGTTAGTACGGAGTACTCCGAGCACGACCTACTGGGAAACATGGAAGATAAACAGGGAAACACCCACTAGCGTCGAAACGACGCTCTTCCAAATCAGGATAATGGGGGCCAAAAGACCGAATCCACAGGCTACGCGCCGATAGGTCCCTTCAACCCCACGACGTGATGACCCAGACCAACACATGGTCACAGTGTTACACTGATAGCGAACAAGGAAGTTCGTCAGGAGTCTGGAAAGTCTGGACAAGGCTAGGCCGGAATAGGTTATCGTTCGGGGGGGGGACATGTGCATAACCCTACTATTGTACTGTACCAGAGTTGAAACTGTACAGTACACCGCACCGTAGGTGACAGCGTGTAAAACCAATTTTCCAAGCTAAGGCCCGATTCAGTACGTATGGTGCGCCGGGGGATCGCGCCACGTCCACGCCAAGGTATGGAGGCTCGGCGTGGCTCAGGTATTGTAGATCCATGGTGGGGGTCGTATTGGCATTACCGCATGCGGAGAGCTGGAGCTGGAAGCTGGAACTTTCGAGTCCTGTGTTTTTGAGGATGCGGTGTGACCGAATGGAATTTGCTGGTGGAGGTTTTCTATTTAGAAAATGACATGAAGGTGATCTACATGGCTAATTTAGTTGTGTGTTCAAGGGTTAAGCTGCGATACAGTTCTGCACCGTCAGCACTGGCTAAATCAGGGCATTGTTGCGGCGTTGGTGGGGACCCGCGTGGGAACAAAATAGTACAGAGCTTAAAAATAGTGCGGTGGGCGATGCTGGACTTGAAGTTCATGCAAGAAAGGGGGAAGCAGCTATCTACGTCTTCGTTCAATATTCAATATTGCTTGCGATGTCACGATGGAAGGATAGCTAGATGGATCGCTAGCAGGATGTGTTGGAAATTGGGCGTGGAAGGTTGGAGTGCGGGGTGGCATTGGGTTTGGTTCGATTGGTTACTGCGACTACTATAATTATCGATTCTCCTATCAGTGGCTGGTACGGGTTGTTTTGGACTGATCATCTGCAATAGTGACTTGAATCGTTGAGGCTGCATGCTGGTTTTGACAGTTCGAGTCAAACTGACTCGTTGGGGGTGATCGACAGAAAATAAAGTAGAATTCAAAGTTCAAGGCTGATCCAAGGCGATCGGAAATAAAAGGATATTCAATACGGTAATAAAAATAGGAAAAAGGAAAAATCCAAGGCACTACAATTTCTCGGATAATCCCATAGCTGAGAAGAAATGTCTTGTATTGTTATCAATGACAGTGGTAGAAGGCAAAATCCAATCCGATCCCAATGCGCCCCAACTGCTATGGCCAGTCGCCAATTTTTTGTCGGTCGTTTTCCATCTTTTCTGTCAAAAAATCTCAGTAAACGAAATCCCCCAAAAAAACACCCCGTCTAATTCCCCCGATTTCCCCTAGAACAAGAAAGTCAAGTTCGCCAATTCACCGAGACCCGCTAGCCCCAATGTATTTATTGATACAGGTCAAAATAGAAACTCCCAAAAAGAAAACAGACCCAGATTCCAGACCCCAATACCAAACAAAAGAAATAGATCCCAACTTGGTGAACGCTCATCCGAAAAAAGGGAAATCATCCAGCATCAACATAACACATAATTCTTGTAAAAAGCATAATCATCCATAGGCATGCACGAGAAGTCAGTCACTATCAGCGACTGCCCCCACGCCGATGAATACGCCGCACATGATCTTTCATGTTATCCACACGGCTGAAGACCCGCCCGCACCCGTCCCACTCGCAAACGATGCCAGGGTTATGCTTCGCCTCGTGGCGAGCACGATCCTTCTTACTCGAGAACCCACCCTGCTTGGACTGCGGACAACCCTCGTGTCGGCAGAAGAGATGCTTGCGGTGACGATTGAAATGCTTGCGTAAATCACAGCCTCGTCGGAAAGAGGCCTGCGAGGTACAACCCGGATGGGCGCATCGCCAGAGCCCGTCGCCAGCGGGGATACCGTAGCGTGAGAGGTCGGCTGGGTTGAAGGGAGGTGAGGATGGGTGACGGGAAGAAGAGGATTCAAAGTCGGAGAGGATTGTGGGTGCTGGGGAGGTGCTCATTGCGGACGAGGAGTCGAGAGATGGGGAGAGGAAGTTGCTGTCGTGTGTGTGGGCGGTGGTGGAGGAGGTAGATGATGGGGCTGCTGAGAAGCTGGTGGGGAGAGGGGAGATCCATTGTTGCTCGGTGGTGGTCATGTTTTCGGCGAAAGATGGATAGCAAGCTTGAGGGAGTTCAGTCGAGGGGAAGGCGAGGGGGCTAATTGCTGGATAAGGGGGACTTGTCGGGTAGAGTCCGCCGGTTGGGTCACTCTCCATGCACCATTTGTTGATCTGGTGGTGATTATAGCCAGAGACACTTTGGATTGGTTGGTGCATCGAGGGTTGAGACGACCCGTATGTATAGTAAGGCTCCATGAAGGGTGAAGCAGAGGTGGAAGCGATAGCAGGGTCAATGGACGAAGTAGACATAGGTCTCATCATTTCGGCAGCGTAAAGAGATCCTACAGCATCGCTGACGGGCGAGTCTCGGTCTGATAAGTAGGTCTCCGGTGCCAAGAAAGACGTCACGTCCTGAGGGGCACTCGCATAGCCCAGCGGCGGTTGGACCCCAGCTGCAGTCGTCGAGGAGCTGACTGGGATCTCCGTCAGACCCAACGGGCCACCTGCGGCGCTGTCAGGCACGGGGGCATCCATGTCCTTAGCTCTCCAATGTGCGGGTCGCATGGTAGACATGTCGGGCAGTGGTGAGAATCGTTCAGAGCTGATCAATAGACCCTCGTCGGAAAGCATCGACGGATTATGGTGAATCTCTCTGTCAAAGTCTAGCAAGGCGCTTGTGGGGGAGTATTTGGCGTGCATAATATCAACCACTACGGGGCTTGGAGAAGGAGGAGATGGGGAGGTGAGATCCAAATTGCTGATTTAATGAGACCCGATAGGCCATATGCTGGATATTGAGGAGTGGAATAGAATTGTACTGTTGTCGTGGTGAAGTGATCGGTGTCCGGACAGGGTGAGATTTATAATTGTTCAGCCGTTCCGCAATCCTGTGGGACGGTGGAGAGTTGTCAGAAGATCGAAAGTGGAGGTCGAGATTAGAACCGTGGCTTGTAGAGTTAATCTTCAGGAGGCAATGGCGTATTTAGGCTGAGGGGGGAGGGGGAGGATCAGGTTGAATGCGTCCGTGGATGATGATGATGATTGATGACTCCGGAACGGATACTCCGATCTGTATATAAGAGCAAAAGATGGGGAGGCAGTGCTTTACAATCAAGTCTAGCCAGGCGTTCCAAAAAGCGGAATTAGGAATTTAAAAGATGATCTGCAAGCAGATTGACTCAGATAGGAGAAGGTGGAATAAAAATGAAAAAGGAAAAGAAAAAAAAGAAAAAGAAAAGAAAAGAAACAAATAACCGCGCCGTTGAATAATAATGAAGAGAGATGCACGAACTAGGAGGTAGGTGCGAGCTGTGTGTGGATTTGTGAAGGGAACCAACAAGAAATAAAACAAGAGTCCACTTCTGATCCAAGCAGCCACTAGCCAGCACAGAAAGCAAAGACGCAGAAGAGTCGACAGGGCCAGTTAGGTTAGTTAATAGTGTTCCGCCCCCATGGGTTAGGGTACATGTTGGAACCCCAGTAGGGCCAAATCGATCGTAAAATAAAATCAGACCCAATGATTCAGTATGATTCAGACTACTTCCATGCCGGGAGAGCGAGGCATGGCGGCCATGGTTTGGCACCAACGGATCGACGTAAGAGCTGTAAAGAGCGTAAAAGGTAAAAAAGACGCAGATACTCCTGTGTTGGCGGTACGCCTATTGGATACCTCGAGTAGGGCTGAGGCCGGGGGTCGGTACTCGACCAGCTGTGAAGTCACTGGAATGACCTAGGCGGGCATTACAAGCATTACAGGGGAATCCGTATCCCTGGTAGGACTCAATAGACATTGTAAGTCGGGGATGAGCGACCCATCATTTACCCAAATGGGATGTGGTATCATTGACGCTGATTGGTTGATTGTACGAGGGTTGACCAACGGTACTCTGCCTTAACCCCGAGGATCTCCGCCAAGGCCGAGCCCGGGAAAGAGTATGCTGCGCATCGTTAAACTCTTTTCAGAAGTGATAATGAGCTTGTTGATTGGGAGAGAGAGAAGGTATGCAGACTCCACCGGGCGGCAGGACATGTTAACTACTGGGCGCTGGGCTAAGCCACTCTCAAGGAGACACAGTAGTGACAGTACGAGTAGGTGCGATTCTTAGCCCTCGACGAGTAAACAGTATGTATGTCGTATCTCAAGTCAAAACAATAATCCTAATGCATGAATTGATAAATTGAACGTAGTAATTACTTGTATAGGTATGGATTATGCAGCGACTCGTAGGTCCCCCCCTCCCCCCGGGAAATTCGGCAGTGATCCGTATCGTAATGTTAGACCCATATGGAATAGAGGTCCATTATTACCTCTACGGTTGTGGGTTGCACCAGTAGCCAAAGCCGGAAATCGACTGCTGTCAAAATTGTCAATGATGCTCATGTGGAGTCCAAAAGTACGAAGAGCCCCCGCCATTTATTTTGCCTCCCCCGCTACGAACTATGGAACCGCCCATCTATACTACCGTCGACCCAAACTGCGATAACCTCCTCCCCAGAAATAGCATGATCTCCTTCTCACGGCAACTCCGAGATGTAAATTCCCCAGAACCAAACAATCATCTGCCAAAAAAAAGTAAAATGAAATAGTTTAAACATACAAGCCCTGTTATTCTGCCTGGCACACGCAATTATCTGGGGGCCTGGACGCAACGGCAACATAAAGGTAGTATCAAACGCGCGCCCACGGTTTAAGGTAGTATGTAACCTAGTCCAGCTGCCGAGATAAACAGTCAAAGAGTACGGTAAGCGTATTCGAGACACCGCATGCTACCTCGTCGATCCCTCCTGAAACAAGCAGGGGTGAGAAGTCACGTTGAAATTCGAGCTGGGGGGAAAGGGGGAATGGCTTCCGGGGAGGAAAGTAAAAACAGAAAAAAAAAGGAAGAGCGAAGCAAAGGAAACTAGACATAAGCTACAGGAAGTCAGAAACGCTTCACGCTCAGCTTGGACAGTGCCCGACTAGTCCGACACCGACGATTACAACCGAGACGTGATCCCTGTCGGGACGTCAACTGCAGTTCTGATTGGCCAAAGTGTACAAATTTAGTGCTTAGTCGGCCATCGGACCAGTCAGAGGACGGTGAGACAATCCCATGGATACGAGCGGAGCGGTCTCTCTCAGACGCGAGAAGCGGTGTCGATAACTTAACGATGATGTGCAGTGCCGAGCCGCACATGTGGCGCCGTACAATGCGACAGGGTATTGCAGAAGTCCTGCAGTGAGTTCCGCTCTCCTGGGTATAGTAGCATCGAAGATGGAGGTGGGGAGGGGAGGGATTAGCGAGGGGATCTGAGGGATCGTCCCAGCTGGGCAGCATCGGATCGGGGATAGGGCTGAAAGCTGTTGTTGGCCTAAGACCGAGTTTCAGGTGCAGTCGATGTGATTTCTAATCGCCATGCGCTGGCATTCATGCACTTGCTGTCCCGTGGAAACTCAAGAGTGTCTCGGTATAGGGCTGGGATGGAGGAGGTGGGGAATAGGTGAAAGTCAACCCACGAATGAAGTGGCTAAGGAAGCGAGCTGTCCCGAATGCCGAGTATGGCAGGCAACGTATACACGAGAGATGAGAACCAACAGAAAAACCAACAGTTGAGGTTCACAGATAGACTCCCCCTCCCGTGTCTCAAAGCTATGATCTAGGACCGATCCCGATAGTTCTATGTAGATACGGGGCATTGTAAATGCCGAAAGACAATTATATACAAAAATAGTGCTTCTCCCCACATAATGTCTCTAATTCAGCCCCCTCCCCATCTATCACTCTCGCCTGTTCTTGATTCTCATTGATCGACCAGCCAATTGATCAACCCGGCTAAGCCAAGGGATTAGATTCGTCGAGTAAAGGTGTGGTCGAATCGGGTCCCGACTGTGCCTTGGGATCCGGGGCGTCCCGGTACAGAATGTAGTGTTGAACGATAAAAATAAGGTCGAAGAAGATGGTGATGTTGCTAAGTAGTAGCTTCGCGGGGTTTCCCGTGATGCCACTCCAGTCACTTTGAAGACTAGAATCGAGGACCAGTTGGAGCAGAGATAAAATACCGCCAATGAGGTCCAGAATAATGGTCCAAATGTTCCATCCCACCGTCGATTGCCGCCGATAGTTCATCCAAGCCTGTGGGACATACTTGAACGTCGTAATGACAAGTTTGTCGTATGAGAAAGTGTAAATCTAAAAGACATTGGGTGTGGCCCTTGCATTAGACTCCGTCGGGGTATAAAAATAACTTTAAGAATCAGGCAACCAAGAGGCTTATATGTGTCACTTACCACATCGATCCAAGCCCAACCAAATGGGTCGTTTCCTCCTTCGGGGCTTCGAGCTAAGACCACGCAGGTCACCACCAATGGCGCTAATACGCAACCACTGAATAGGCCCCTCATAGTCCAGCTCACATGTTGGCGGCGAGGAGTATGCAGGCCCCAAATTTTAGGCCAAAACATCGAATATGCAATAAGGCACATGATCACCCCGAGCGCCGCAAATGCTAAATCATTCAAACGAACGGTGGGCTCGGCAGCAGCAGGGTGCCTTGCCGCATATTGATCCCGGATCATCGGGGAGTAAAGAAAAGTCGCAGTGTAAATAGCATAGCAAGTGAACCCAAGTAGGTTGATAAAGTTAAAGTCGATGGAGACCCCCGACGTGGACTTCCGGCGCCACATCGAAATGGGCAGAGGGAAGAAGGACAAAGACCAACTGGCCATACTGTTTCCAATTGTGAGCTCATGAGCTCCCCTCATTTTCAGAGCTCCCAGGCGGGTGTACTGGAGCTTATACGACTTACTATGTCCATCCCAAGAGGCTATGATGAATGATCAGTGATTATCCCCGCATTTCAACCCTTCCAAAGTGGCCACTTACCGGGACAGCGCCCGAACAAAAATCTCCAACTGTGTGCGATCCATGATTGACGGTGATTCTCATGAAGGGGCTCTCTTTTATTGTATTCGTAACTCCTAATCTTGACGTCGTACAAGTATAAGCAAGGTTTCCGAAGGCCGAGTTGAGCCGAAGGTCCCTCATTGATAAGGTCAGGTGACTTTATCAGATGGAACTTTAAACTGGAAGGCGGTCAGCTGGATCTGCCCGTTGCTCTGGTTATGCGTTGGCGGCCTAAACCAAAAGCGGTAGACAGTTGACAGCGCTCACTTCGCCCGCTTGTTGTTGATCCTGTACGACCCTTGATCATTCTCATCAATTCGGTGACTCTTGGCTGGTTTTACAATCCTCAATCTTGCTTAAGACTAGGTCTTTCAAATTCCCGGCATTGTGCGACTTCCTTCCTCCTTTTCTACTTCCTTCAATACGCGCTGGCCGTCGCTCACCACTAGACATCATCAAGTGTTATCGTGTCCGGGGAAACGCCCCATTTCCACATTTCCATCAACTGCGGTTCATCGACTCAGACATTGGAAAGTCCTGTCATCCACGATCTCAATTGAGTTGCCGATCCCGTCGCATGGTGCATTCTTCGGATCGGGGGATCTGAATAGATCTCCGTCAGCAATTCTCCTTCGGTAACCCCGACATTCCAGAGCATCGATATCGCACAAAGCATTCACCACCGTCACCATGTCCGACTCGGGGCTCACGGCTCCCGGGAGCAGCACGTACTCGTCGAATACCCTTCATGTTGGAGATGGCACTTGGGACACGCAGCGCGACACCTTTTTGCTGCCCAACTTGATGGGTTTAAATTTCGAGACGATGCGATACAACGGTCAGTCTACATGGGAATATCCGGTAATTGCGGTTTAGCTAACGCACTTCAGGCATGGGCAATCGATTTAAGGATATGGCCGGGTACCATTCCATGATAATTGCGCACGGTGTCATTGCAACAATTGTTTTCTTGGGCCTCGTGCCCATTTCCACCCTAATCATTCGATACTACTCCCGATGGAACCCATTCTGGGCATTTAAACTCCACGCGTGGTGCCAAATACTTACGCTTCTCTTGTCCACGGTGGTTTTTGTGCTGGGCTGGTTTGCCGTTGGCCCAAAGCGAAGCCTAACCAACCCACACCATGGAATCGGTCTCGCAATCTATGTGATGGTGATTTTCCAGGTTCTCTGGGGCTGGTTTATGCATAAAAAGGAAAGCAAACGGGTTCGCCATCACGTTCCGTTGAAGCTTGTGGTACGTCCCCGTCATGAGATACAGCATGTTGACCAAGCTAATCTTTGAATTTTTTAGATTCATCGGTGGATCGGTAGAGCATTAGCCCTTCTGGGACTTGCTCAAATCCCGTTGGGTCTGACGCTATATGGCTCGCCCAAGGTGCTTTTCATTCTCTACGCGGTTGGAGTCTTTGCGCTCCTAGTCACCTACTTTATCCTTTCTTACCTTTACGACGATGAGGGATTCCACATGGCAAGTGAGCATGGCAGCAGATACACGGGCCCTTCGGTTGTGGAAGAAAACCATGGAGGTGGTGGTGGCGGGCTCGGCCCTGCTCTTGCAGGTGGCGCTCTAGGCGCAGGGTTAGCTTCATTGTTCAAACGACGCGGTCGCAGCCGTCACTCGAGCGAGGCATACGAAGAGTCTCGGACATCTTACTCGGACGAAAAATATTCCGACGAGTCTTCTCGCCATCACGGTGGCGGCGGGGGATGGGGAAAGAAGATTCTTGAGATTGGCGCATTGGCCGGTGCTGGCATGCTCGCAAAGAAGTGGTGGGATCGCCGACGACAACGTGAAGAAGATACCGAGGTTGGCCGCTACAGACCTGCCCACTCTCGCACTGACAGCTACACCGAAGACTCTCTTAGCAGGCTGGAGGACGGCCGACCAGAGCCTGCTCGCCCACCAGTTGCCGGTCGCCCTCCTAGCAGGCCTCAGAGTCCTGGTTCTTCCTACTATTACAACAGCACATATTTGTCTGAGCAACCGGAACGCCGTCCGTCCCATGGTGTAAGAGATGCATTGCTCGGGGCCGGTGCTTTTGCGGCTGTGAAACGGCTGTTCAGTCGCAACAAGGACAAGGACGACGAGGAAAAGCGCCGGTTGGAGGATATCCGCCGCCGAGAGGATGAAGATGAGGCTCTACAAAGAGCAAACAGCAAGCGACGACGACCCGACGCTGTTTCTGGACCTTATCCTCAACGTCGAAGGCCAAGCCCGTACACTGAAAGTGACTTGACACCTACTGATCTGACTCCTCGGCCACGGCCTCCACGACTCGCATCTGAAAGCTCCATGCTCACCCCTGAGCCTATGGCAACGGGGGCTGCTCATGGTGCCCCTTCAGATATCCCTCCCCTTCCTCCCATTCACCAGGAACTGTCTGGTGACTTCCCTCCTCCCGAGCGGCCACACTCGCACCATTCCCACCATGCAGAGGAGATTGCAGCTGGTGCAGCTGCGGGTGCCGCACTAGGCGCTGCCTCTAGCCATCGCCGCAACAGCAGTAGTCGTCGCCGAGATGATAGTCGGCATCGATCCGACCACGTCGCGTCCCCGCCGGTATCAGTCAAAGTGAAGATGCACAACGACGGCCGACACGTAACTCTTCGTCGCCTAACTGAAGAAGAAGCCGCTGCTCAACGTGAAGCACGACGTCGTGAGCGCAGAAATTCGCGCCGTCGCGGCAGTAGTGCAGGCTCCCTCTCTGGTGACGAAGGTCGTGACTTTGACCGTTGGCGTCGTGTCGAAGAGCTTGAGCGCCAACAAGCCGAGCAAATTCGACGAGAGCAACAAGCTGCCGCCGCGGCATCCGCTGCGCCATCGGCAAGCGTGCCTCCCTCCTCATTCCACCCCTCCCAATCTCAAATCAGCCATATGCCACCTCCTCCACCTGTCGCGCCCGCGGCACCCTCAAGCATGCCCTATGGTCCAGGCAGTGTCACTTCACCGGGAACATGGACCGGCACCGAAGCTAGTGGGTCGTACGCTAATAATCGGCGACGCCGGCGTGCAGAGCGAGCCCGAGCCAAGCAAGAGAGACAGCAGCATGGCGTTGAGTTTGAGTAAGCATGGACTAACTCCTTAGCCCCCCTTTTTCCCCCCAGTTTTGATTTTTTTTTGTGTTGCTTTTTTGTGATGACCTGTATAAAATGAGTTTCTGGTTTTGTTGATATGACGGCCTCTTTCTCATACCTTTTCTGACGTTTTTGCCTTGATTTTTACTATGGATATGGATCGCTATGTTTGATGGCAATGGAAATGAACGACTTGGATAGGACATTTGTTTTTACTTGATTGATGAGGCAAGCGAATCTATGGATCTTTTCTTTCTTTGACTTCTTTTTTTACTTGGACATGTTGGCGGGTCTGGGTCATTGACTTCAATATCATTTCCCTTTTTCGTTCTGCATTTTATTTGTCGTGCTATAACGGCTAATCTCAAGATTATATGGGACGGAACCATACTGTACAGGATTGTGTCCGTAATCTCTTGGCCTCTGGGGCCAATATTGTTAAGACCGCCCGATTTCACGTTTCTACTTTGTACAATGGCTTGCTCCTGTAGAAGTTGATGTTAAATATCTGCACTAAGACTAGGAGTCATCAAGGGGTATTCAAGTTTGAGTCGTTGATGATGGATTCTGTCAAGAGAATAAGTATCATCGGAGTGCAAACAGCCCGGATATAGCCCTATAAAACCGCAAGAATATAGGGACCTACGAAATCGACGCCGAAAATGGCTCCCTTCTGCCTCCAAGCCCAGGTTTCCCTCCTTTTCATCCAGCCTGGTCGAGCGCCTATAAGATGCTCTGTCCGCTGAACATCGGGTTGTTGAGTGCAAAGAATAATGGCTGTAAACCCATGAACTCTGCCAACCACACAGTGTTTCAGGACTCAAAGCCCTATACGGAGCATGTAGTCAAGGCTATGTCTCGGTTGGAAGCTGCTAGAGAAGAGTCTTAATTGCAAATCCTTGGAAATGTCCTCAATCTTCCCATGTCAAGTTCCACCTTTTACCGTGGTGCTCCTCATACATTCGTTTCGCTATATCTACAGAAATGGAATTCGAGCACATGCTTCACTACACCCAAGGTCCAATAGCTTGATTTGTGCGAGGTCCGTCGTAATCGGTTCTTGTCATTTTTCTATTCCGTCGGAAGCAGACATAGGTTTTAATCCTTTCGAGAGTGCAAACCCTGAAACCTACACGCAGCAAGGTCTCGCCCGGTACTGATCTAATACTAGAACACGAAATCGTTCATGAAAGATAAACCTCGAAGATACCCATCTAGATAGTGCTCGGCTCGTTCGTCTTTGAACTTGAGAAGCCGCTCCACACCATACAGCAACATCCCGACCGCCTTGCTAAATCCCTGCACAGCAAGACTAGCCAGAGCCCGATCGTAAAACGCCGTTTCCAGTTCCTGGCAATCTTCCGTGTCTTGCCAACCACTTAGGGTCATGAATCCGAAAAGGCTATCCATAAAATGGAAATTTGACCCGGCTGGGAGGTAAAGAGCTCCATCCCAATCTCGTACAGCTTGAACCCGGCCCGTACAGTCGTCTATAAGGTAATTGAATGGGGCGAGATCCTAATGGGTAAGGGTAACGGGGAGAGTAGCGATATTACGTAGCTGTAGTCGGAGCTTGTTGATGCAAGCAGAAATTTTGTTCCTGAGGGCTGTATGCCGGAAAATGTATAAGATAGAGGAGTTAAAGGGAGGGAGAAAGGAGAAAAGAGGTCAATAGGGCGAGATTGGGTCTTTCGTATCGAGGCGATAGAGGGTGAGGTTACGTGACGACGTATTAGTTCAGGAGCGGTGAAACGAAACGGATGTAGTAAATCACAGGTCTTAATATTACAAGAAACAATAGACACAACAAGATATTGCATGCACTATTGATCAGCCTTTTCAATCAAAACGATGAATTGCCCGTAGGTTTCCCAGCTTGAGGAATCCACCGACTGCTACCAGCGACATCTTCGCGGCGACGTTTACCCGGGTCGGGATCTACTCTCTGGTCATGCTGATGCGGCGAATGTCTGACGATTCCGACGAGGTTCCCTGTCTGGGGCATATAGGGAGTGCTTGCGGCGACATCACTGCTCCTGGACTGTGAGTCCATGGTTATGTCAGCATCGTTGGGGTGGCGGCTGTTGTTTGTGCCTCCAGGATGGTTGTTTTGGTCACCGTGATGCCCAGGGCCTTGTTGGGCATTTTGGGTGTCTATAAATCTTCCGTTAGAGCTGCTTATTTGATTGAACAGTGTGGAAGGCGAAACAGCGACGTAACTTTGTCGCTGTCGCTGTCAACTCTGTCGAGTCGAGTTGATCTGGAAGCTTACCATTGCGAGGACCGCCGTTGGTTGATCGATCAGACATAATGGATTGCGCGATAGTACTTCTATGAGACGGCGACGTTTCGCTCTTCCCATTCTCTCTAAGGTATGAGCGAGAATATATGTTTGTCTCAAGATACATATTGCGTCCATGACGTGGTAGTGATGTCGATAAATCCACCATCCAATCACATCAGAACAAATTTAATCGTACTCAATCTAGTATTTACAGACATTCAACTTTTCTAGATTGTACAATGCTACTAGCCATAACTGATTATTCCACTAGAATGCCCAAAACTTGATTTTATCCCAGTGCCGAGACTTGACACAACTATGACAGAGTGACACCCGGAGTTGGCGCGGTCCTACGCTCACAAGTATCTTAGTGTTAGCCAGGTGCGCTATCTAATTGATGAGAGAACTGAAGGTAAGACTGCTGTGAAGTTGCGACTGACCTGGAGCTTTAGGCTGAGGGTTAGGTTAAGTATCATGGACGCTGGAAGAGTTATCTGGTACCTTCCATCCTGAAGAAATTATCCGTGGCGAGAACGAGAATGACGTGTGATGTTGTAACAGTCCACTCAATTGAGCTATTTGAATTCATTCAGGGTAAAATGTGCCTAGTTTTTGTGGTGATGGACGTAGAAATGACTGGCGTGTTCCCCATATGTAAATTGTTCCAGGAACAGTCCATATAGAAGTTAACTTGTTCGGCGGTTTATATAAAGTAAGTTATGTTAAAGAAGAGGCCAGTGAAGAAGACACAAGCCGGAGGACAACTACAAGGAGGGGAATCGTCATCAAGAACAACCGTAAGGGCTTGGAAATATCCAGCCACGGGCTTTTTATCGAAGAGGCTACGACCAATAATTATGTAACAGAATTAACTCTCCTCGTATGGATGTTGGAATGATTTAATTAATCATACAGTCTTTAAGCCACAAGAATTGAATAATGCGACAGAAACAGGTTGCTGCTAGAATGAAAAGCATTTGGGGCCTGCCTCCACCAACCAAGATAAGATATATACATATTATAGAAGCCGATGATTCATCCGGCACAACTATGACAGGTGTTCAGGTAAGAAATGTTTAACAGACTCCGCAATACAAGTCGACAACCCAACAACAGAGCGATTCTCAGTAGGAATACTCGAATCGTAATGAAAATTGCCACTTTTTCAGGGCTTCCAGGAGACGTCTCTTGGCTGCCACGACACGAAAGAAGTCACCGTTTCAACGGCGGGATGCGTTCGTGGTTCAGTGTCCGTGTCCAGCACCTGGGCCGCTTCCAGGCCGGCGGCGGAACTTGGCCAAAAAAGCAAGGAAGAATGCGATGACAATCGACCAAAACATCTTCTCCAAGTAGAGAAGGATTGTACCGATCCGCGAGTTACAGGCCCTGTTCAAGATCGAAAACACAGCAACAGGGAAGCGTGCAACGACGGCGGGCAAGACCACATAATGATGGAACACCAAGTCCTCGAACGATGGGCGGTTGACAGTATGCTCAGCCTCCTCTTCTTCACGATCTGAGACGTGAAATGGGAATGGTGTGGAGGTCATTTCGACTTGGAAAGCACTTCCGCCCAAACCTAGGACTGAGTGTTGTTGAGGATGCTGAACTCGATAAATCGAAAACGAGAGTCCCACGAGATCGGAAGACGGGTCAGTGGATTCATCAACCCTGGCATCTGTCGCGCCAGTTGCAACATTCTTCTCATCCGCGGGAATATTGTGTTCAACTGTTTCCTGGCTTGGGTCGGTTTGACTTGCCAGGTCTCTGGAACCTTCTTGGCGGCCCGACGAAGGTAAAAGAGACGAGAACGGAACGTCAGACTGTCGATTCAGAGGTCGAATCTTGGGTGCCTTGGGCGGGCTACGATATGGTGAGACCCGCTGAGCAAGAGCACGGTTTGAACCCTTCCACTTCTTGTAATGCTTCTGCTGGCCGTGCGCAGCAATGTAGTCGGCCTTTCGCTCTACCGTAGGAATGGGACGGTCTGCAGGAGGTGAGCGCGACTTTGGAGAGGGCGTAGGTGGCGGAGAGGATCGTACGCAGGGCATATGTGGAGAATTGTCTTCGGGTTTCTCACTGGAAGCTGTGCCGGTGGTTTGGGTGAGGTCTTTCGGCGGGAGGATTGTGGAAGAGCGATGCTCATAATCAGCCGAGAACCGGCGTTTCTGAGCTTTGCTCTCTGAATTGCCGTCAAAGTGCATCAGGTCTCCCTCTGACTTGCCATCGAACCATTCGAAGGCCAAAGACTGGATTTGCGGCGCAGAGCTGGTACGCATGTTTTGGGTCTCAACGGGCCGAGCTGAATCTTCAGGGCTTTCACAGCAACTGATCGAGGCTGGAGTATTCCGTGGGCTCACGGGTTCAGTGAAGCCATCCAGCGAGTGATATTTGTCTAGAGCGACGTCCAACTCTAGTCGAGGATATGGCTTGCCGATGCCTCGACCGTGAATCGGGTTGTGGGACGTCTCAGATGCGAATTGGACTCGAGGGTCCATTTTGGGCTGAGATGTTCCCATGTAGTTGAGGGGCCTCTGGTCACGCTGCAGTAGGTCCTCAAATGCGACAATAGATGGGAATGAGGAGGTGACCGGTTCATCCGCGGGAGTGTCAGACATTCTCAGGCGCGTATCAATTCTTCCCAAAGGAGCCCTCATCGACCCCATGATCGAGCGTGTCAAAATGGAAGAGAAGATCAAGAGAGTAAGTTTGAGTAGCAGAATGGAAACCAAGAAGGGGGAGAAAGGAAGGGAAGGTCGGGTTGACAGCCGAGGAAGGTGCCACTGCCGACCTTCCGTCTACCAAAGAAACGAAAAAACGGAAGGAGCGATCAACAAAAGAGAATTGCTGTAATTCTACAAGTTCAAGGTAGGGGTGAAACGATCAAGTGGTTATGTACATCTATTTGACATGGGCCTGCAGGGTCTCCAGAACCTATTCGGACGCAAGTTAGCTGGCGGTTCAAGCTCGGAGGGAAATTGGAGAATCATCGTACCTCAAGCTCAATCTTAGCCTCGGCAATGTCCTGCTCGCTGCCGCTGCCGCTGGCAATCTTCTGGGCCTCAGCGATCTGGGCGCGGATAGCCTGTACCGAAGAAAGTTAGATCGATATCAATCTGGGGGGTTTTGTCGCAAAGGCTGATCGGAACATACGTCGGCGCTGAAGTCCTCCAGGGGGTAACCCTCGACGGCGTTGATGCTCAGCTGGGAGTCGGGCTGGACAACGGCGAAACCGCCAGACACTATCACCGGGAAGCAATTGTTAGCTGCATCATTCCATTGTATCTTCATTCGTTCGGCGGAGGTAGATCGGACGTACGGAAGTACTGCTTGGTGGCGCCACCCTCCTCAACAATCTCAACGAGACCGGGCTTCAGCTGCTCAATGGAGGGAACGTGGTTGGCGAGGACACCCATCTCACCGGAGGCGGCGGGGATGTTGACCTGGGTACTGTAGTCGCGGAAGGTTCGTCAGTAAGTTTTTTCAGGGAGCGACGAGGACGGACGCGACAGGGAGGGTAACGCACACGCCGGTGGAGCGGTAGATGGTCTATGAGATATCACCACAGTTAGTCTTGGAGCCATGAAGCTAAAGGGATGTTGATCCCGAGATCGGTTCAACGTACCTGGTGAGGCAGAGTCAGGGACAGCTTGATCTTGTCGTTGACGGCCTCGGCATATCCACGGCGCTGGACGGGAGCGCTGAACATGGAGGGACGGGCCCTCAGGGCAGAGCGAGCGAAGCGGAAGGAGTTCATTTTGCAATGGTTGGGGGAATGCAAAGACCGGACGTATCCCTCTTGAAGGTTGCGTTGCAAAGGTCGAAGTCGGAGCGCCGGTTGTTCCCTAGCGGCTCAGGTCACGTGGATGGGACCACCCGGCATCAACAACTGCAGTCATACATAGTCAAGTTAAGACCAGACAAGAATAGCAAAGGTATTGCAATAATGAACATGGAAATGGCTAGTTCTCAGGAGACTCAGCCATATATTTCAACGCTCTCTGTCTCAGCCAATTTGCTGAGAGACATAGAACAAATAGGTTAGAATATCGAACAACTTGAACTCTACGGTAGCCGGGTTGTCATTTGGATAGATTTGATTTTAATTGATGTATTGCAAAATGCTGAAGGATTCATGTTATCTTGATTCATCTATTCCGAATGCATTTCCATCTCCTCCCGAAGCAGTTATTAACATGGTTGTCAGTTGGCGCCCATAGAGATGGATGGATACACTAGTGAAGTCACGTGTTGTATTTGCTAATTTCAAGGTCACGTGATTAGTTGAGGTTTCAGGGTCACACCAACACAGAACAAAGGCATGAGGAATAGACGGATACTGCCCATCATACAAATCAACTGTACGATTAATCATTGCCTGGCTATCTATCTAGAATAATGACCAGAGCCATAAAAACCAGGCACTTTTCTATGTTAAAATAGCTAAGGTACGGGGGAAATGACGTCCGTGCACGACTCCCGCGGCGGTAAGCGAGATCCCACACAAACGGGAAAAAGCCCTAGCCGAACCCATCCACTTGGGCTCGACTCCGACAGCACTCCTCCCTTTTCACCATCCCGTCCACGTTAATCGACAACACCCGTCAAGATGGCCAGTACGTCCTCCATATCGACCGGCGCCTTTCTCAGCTGGCGCCGGACCTCTCGAAATTCTTTTCCGCCCGACCACTGACATTCTCTGCGATTTACAGAGTCCAAGAACGCGTCCCAGCACCACCGCAGCCAGAAGGCTCACCGTAACGGGTGCGTATCCCCTTATATCGCCATACCCAATTCCTCAAGCGTCACCCTCCGACTCGATTACGACCCGTCTGAGAAAGAGAGCCTGAAGCGGACAAGCTGGAGTGGGATATGAATGTGACAAGCAGGACAACTTGGAACCTCTGTTCGACTTGGGCAATGGCTCTTGGCTCTCTTTCTCAATTCATTTACGCCCATGAACCACCACCACGAACAGACCAGAGAAAACAGCGCTGACATGGCTTCCCTCCTACAGTATCAAGAAGCCCAAGACCAACCGTTACCCCTCCCTCAAGGGTGTTGACCCCAAGTTCCGCCGCAACCACCGTCACGCTCTGCACGGCACCGCCAAGGCTCTGGTACGTTGATATCCACCGTCACCACCACCATCTATCCATTTCCAACAACTACACACCGATTTCCCACCGACCGAAACTAACAAACGAAACAGAAGGAGCGCAAGGAGGGCAAGCGTGAGGTCGCATAAACGTGGACGGAATCGAAAAGAAAATTCATGGGAGGAGGAAAACTCGAGCGCGCAAGGAGCCGGAGAACATAAACGTTATGTGCGATGAACCAAGATCAGACAGTCCCGCTGTCCTAGTCGAATAGGCCTGGTTTCTGCTTATTCCTTGCGCGGTATATCCATCTGGGGTTGTTTGATACACAGAAATCAACAGGCTTAATTCGATATCCACGCAACGGTGTCGATCCCAAGTGGGAGAGACACTTTTTCCCTCCGTTTTTGTGTTTTGCTCTTGCAATTTTCGGTGGAAGCATGCAATTGCTTTTCCTTGCATTGCATTGCTATCTTGCCCATGCAGCATGCTCGAACATTGATGTTGAGCTTCCCTTTTCCCCAGATCTTTCGATCTACCCCGGCATATGTGTGTACAGCAACGTGCTCTTTTTATGCGCGCCTGCTGAAGGATTTTTCAACGTGCCAAGAACGAACCCTGCCCTCTTCATATATCTACTGCTCTCTCGCCTTTCAGTGGCGAGCGGGTTGATCGATGGAGGGCAACACCCCAGTAAATAGTAGAACTCTTTTGATTGAATATCCAGACGGCCAGTAGTCCACGCCGACAACGGTATATCATTTTGTCATATACAGATCGAATATTATACTTTCCAAACAATCAACCGTTTATCAAATCCACCACTAATCACCCATTCCTCGTTTGCATCATCACCCTTGTCGGGTATAGCAACGTATGCAGCCCAGATAGTCCGCACCTTACTCCCAGGTTCATGACCATCCTTCAATAAGGCAACAACCTTGCCAGTCTTAATCTCGATACCTCTCACGACACCATCATCCCCATTCACCCAGACACCCGACCCATCAGGTCTCCAAGCTACCTGCGGCGTCGAGTAAGACGTTTGAGGAGCGAACGTATTCGCCTGTATCAAGATCGCGGCGTCTTCCCGATTCTGCAGGGCCAGAGCTTCGAGGGCCTGTGAAGCTTGCGTCACAGCTGCATCGGGAGAAGATGGATTGGGTCCATTGAAGGAAGTGGTTGATGGGAAAAGCAGCCGCACTACGATCACCTTCATATGCGGTTCTGAGGAGGTTGCCACTGCAAGTAGACCCGGATCAAGAGGGCTGAGTGCCATGTGAGACGGAGAGAAAGCTACCCACGCATTAGAGTGTGGTGCCAGGTTCTGCTGTCCAAGTAGACGGCATTCAGGTAGTGAGCTTTGGGCATTGTCGCTCTGCATCTGGTGTGTGCCATTTGAGAGGCTCGGCTCAACCTGGTAATAGTAGATGTAGCTTGAGTCGCGGCGCGAGACAAGGAGTAGCAATTCGCCTGTGTCGACGTGGCGCACGAACAGGAGAGACTCCGGGTTTGTAGTCAATCTAATGCGTGCAACGGGGTCGCCAATGACGGGTGTTGGAGCCTGGTCACCATTTTCGATCGAGACTCGGTATAAGAAGACAGTCGCATCCCATCCCGCGGTGGCAATCCAGAAGGCCTTCACAGAGCCCGTGTCGTCTAGTTCTTCATGCACAATGACCTTGACGGCGTACTTTGCATGGTCTTTTCGGCTTTGCAGGACTTCCGGGCCGCGCTGGAGAAGCAGGTGTCCAGACATATTGGTCATTAGAATGTATTGACCTTGGAGGATCGATACGAATGAAAGTACAGGTGAGTCTGACAGGCCTGAGAATGAAGTTATCGCCTCGTATCCGGAAACTGTCTCAAGCAAATGCATCTGTCTATCGGCGCCCGTGGACACGATGAGCGGCCGTATTGACGTCGCGAGGTCAGAATCAACATGGCTTCCATCGAGGCTGGGCTTTTGCCAATACTCTACTGACGCAGCCAGTAAGTTTGAAGACGTCGGAGTAGAAATAATAGTTGGCTTAGATGGTGCTAATTCTATGTCAGCATCATTCTACTCGCAAACGGGGATGGTTATTCGTATTGAGAGCACGCCTAGTTACAACGACGATCTTACCTGGAAGTCCCCATGATGCAATCTCTTTACTCTCACTGCCAAGTCTCTCAAAGTTGACACTGTGGTCATACGCCTTCTTCTCCTCCAGTAAGCTTTGGATCGTCAAATTGTGAGTGTCGTCGCCAGAGGCCTGCCCCACGTCCGGAGCAAGACCTGCCTCGCGAATAAAAGCCTGCAGAGTGTCGGTGTAGGCATTTGTCCGCAGAAATCGGGCGACTATAGCACTTGCTAGTTCGTCTATTTGGGTGGAGGGTGCCATGGTGATGGTTGGCGGAGCTTAGCAATCTTAAAGATGAAAGAGCCCAGGTGTGTGTGGTGTGGCGCCAAATTAAAATGCGGCACTATGGTAGGCGGCGCTTCCCATATACATTCAGTCAATGCCACGACTCGACGGTGAGGCAGACTTGAGGTGAATTGCAATGAAAATGAAGTCTTTCAAAGAGATGTAAATGTATAGAATAATTAATGTAAATTGTAAAAGAGCAGAGTCTGTTGATATGCGATTTCCACCGTAAAAAGATCCATAATAACGCCGTTTCAACATGCTATCCCTCTGCCTAAAGATGAAAGAAAAAGAAAGTCGAGACAGCTAGATTGGGCACTGTCATCAATGCTTCTACTCAGCCGAACAAATCCTCCGCGCGCTGGCGACGACCTCCGCGTCCCTCAATCTTTTCGGTAAAAAGCTCCTTTCCAGCATTGTCATTGAACTTGTTCGGGAACAGTTCGCGAACAGACGATCCCCGGCCTTTGATCGACATGCCGCGCCCCGCGTTACGCATGGCAAAGCCTTGGTCCTCCGTACGGGAGATTCCCCCAGAAGTCGAGTCGGGGAAGAGCTCCACATTGCGGTTTCGTTGATCGGAGCTGCCATCAACCATCGGTACAGATATTCTTCGCCCTAGGAGATCGGGCGTCTCGTCTGCGGCGTCAAAGGCATCTGACCTCCGGTGGTTGCTGGGCTTGCTGGGGAATAGCTCTTTCTTTAGGTAACTGGAGGAAGGCTTATTGGGGAACAATTCACGGGCCCCCGAGTCGGCAGAGGAGAAGAGCTCTTTGCCCTGGTTTCGACGACGGTCTTGTGGGGAGCGCTCCCGGAATTTCCTGCGGGTATCGACATGGTCTGCATCGTCAAGTGTGTCACGGCCAGGGGAGGCACTGCGGTTGCGAAGTCGCCCAGACGAGCGCTCATCCTCCGGGAACAACTCTCTGCGTCCACGCCGTCTTCGGTCCTCTCCGCGGCCGCGTTCGGATTCGGAGGGGCCGTCGCCCTGGGGCTGATCGTCGTACATGTTGGCATCAAATTGGTCATCGTGGTCACGGTCCCTACGCCGGCGCAGTTCCCGATCGTCGAAGCGGCGTCGCCGGTAGTCCCCATCGCTCGAATCATCACCTCGTCGTCGGTCAGATATCTCCTGGCGCAGGCGTTCGCGGGGGTCGTGTTCAGGGTGCATAAGGTAGAAGCGACTCTTCTCGTGGGCGCGTGGCTGCTTCTTATCTGTCTTGACGGCGGATCGCACTTGGAGAACGGAGTCAGGGTGTGTTGAGAGGAGCTTGGCCGACCGTAGACGCAGCGGGGGCAGGGTGGACGCGCCATCGCCCTCTTCCTCACTGAGCTGTGTCAAAGCTGTGAGAGCTTGGAGGCCGACCTCGGCAGAAGAGTAGACAATGTTGGCAGATGTATCGTCGATCCATTCCACACGGGTGGGTGCCTCGTTCGTGAAATGTGTGCTGGCGAATTGCTTGATATCGTCGGTGGTCAATTCGTCGACCCCGCGAACGTGGACTTTTTCAAACAAAGCGTCCTCGGTGAGGGGATCGACCAGGTCTTCTTGTGTTGTCGCATCCTGTTGAGAGATAATTGCATCTTCAATCAGCAATCGCGCCACCATAGGAGCGAATAGATCAACGGCACTCCATGACTCACGGTAATGATGGGCTGGGGCGGCTGCTCGAGCTCCGGCTCCGGACCCAGGTCGAGATCCATATCGATGTCCATAATGGTGTCTGTGGTGGGGGTTCCGATCCCCTTTCGACCTCACTGGTGCACACTGCCTGAAGGAGTATAGGATTAAATGTCGAGCAGAGAGCAGCGATGGTAATAGGTGAAGATCAAGTGAGATGAGCAAAAGAGTGGTAGTTGGCGAGGGGAGAAAAGGCCGGCGAGAGCTTCCCGCGTGTTGCCCTCTTTGGGCTTAGCGCGTGTGGGGGACGAACCGGTTCCAACGTTCTTTTATCTGACAACGAAACATGTCTGATATCCAGTTAACCTAGCTTTCACGGTCTATTAATTCCTATCAAGTTGGTTACTCTTATAGCTCTCATAATCAATGGGTTTCCTCAGAGCACAACCACTAGATGCTGACCCCTAAACGGGCTAGTTGGGGCTGAGCAACGCCAGTATTGGTAGGCTATGGCGACAAGGTTCTGTGGCCTTATCTTTTCCTTGGGAACTGGAATAGTGTTATATATGCCGGATAATATCCTCCCTAGGCAACTTGATCTGGTCAGCGATCCTTCCGTAATAAAACTGATTTATTCACTGTTCCATTCCCTTCTTATGCACATACTAGTAGCAAGAACTTGGCGGCCTGACCGATGAGGCTCGCACTACGATATCAGCCCTCAGGCTCACACATTAGGCTCTACTTTCAAGGTAATGTTGAAATGATATCTACGTTGATCACGAAAAGCAAAATCGAGAATAAGGCCAAAGTCTCTTCTATGTCAAATTCTACCTCGAGAAAAATCGACATTCAAACTCAATCGGATCCAGTAGTCGTTTTTCTGTCGTTTCTCGCCCTTGATGCATAAGCTGTGTCGGTCACAAAAGTCTTCAAATAGTCTTTGAAATTATGTGACATAGACACAACTTGATCCAGATGGTCATCTGTCAGCACTGGGGTAACCTTTGTTCCCGGGTTCTGTTCCTCTTCCTTCTTTGCATCATAGCATGCAAGAGTGACCGCAGTTTGGAATGCTGAGTGCTCGTTAGCAGCGACCTTGGAACAAGAAATTCGATAAATAGAAGTTTACCATTTCGAATCTCACGCCCATTCCAATCCAGATTCTTTAGTGCCTGTGATGTCTTGACATACTCCTTTGCGAGGAAAGAGTATTCAATCTTGGGCCCACCATTTTTGTGGCTGTTTGCAAGCTTTTTAAAATGGTTGTCCCAGATCTGCTTCCTGGAACTATCTTCGAGTTTGTCATAACCGATCTGTATGTGAATTCGCGACATGAATGCTTCATCAAATGTCCCCACCCGATTTGTCGTTAAAAAAAGAATACCCTGGAAGTAGTCCAGAGCGCGTAGAAACACTACACTGACATTAGTTTCATAGCCACATCCCCGTTCCGAAAAGAAGTAGAGAACTGACCTGAAACATTGTTATTCTGTTCCGAATTTTGAGCACGCTGTTGGAGATAAACATCTGCCTCGTCAAGGAGAACTATTGCATTCCACTTCTGTGCATCATGGAAGAACTGAAGAAGTTTCTCCTCGAGCTCGGCTGGACTGTGACCAAGGTCAGCGGCAGTGATACTAAGCAAAGGCTTTCCGCAATATTCAGCCACAGATTCTGTAAACCGCGTTCATTAATATTAAAATCTCCAAGATACAGAAGCTGGTGATCCCGTACCAGCTGTAAGTGTCTTTCCGGTGCCCGGTGGGCCATGAAGTAGTAAAATCTGGCCTTCGCCTTTGCCTTCAATGAAGTCCGATCTGAAGTTCTGGATGTACGATCCACCATAGATCTCACAAATGGCTTTGATCATCTCCTTATTTCTCTCGGGCTTCATGACTACCAAATCAAAAACATCCTTCCGAATCTTGGGCTCTTCCAGTCCAGACATTTCAAGTACGTCTAAAAGAGAGGTTAGAATATTTCCCCCAAACAGATATGAGAGGATTTCATAACAAACCCCAGGCGCGGTCTTTCAGCACAAACCCATGAACATGAGACCAACAGAGAAGGTATTGATGATCAGTCAGCTGTTTGGTTGACTGTAAATCGATATCATCATAGTCGTCAAATTTGTAGCGTCGAACAACCTTCAACAGGGGGTCTTCGACATCACACGCTGGACATGTACACTTTGGCGTGCGTGTTCTCGCACCCAGCTGCAGATCGGGGATGGACTTCACAGGCACCCATGGGGAATCCGTAACATACTCGTTCCATGGCTGGCTGCTGTGGTCAATGATTACACGGGCTTGATGAAACTGTGTCTCTATCAGCTATCAAGATCGGTACTCCTGTGGTTGGCGGGATTACCTGTCGAACTCCTTGTAGCTTACTCGGTCCAGTATAGCCTCTATAAGAAGGACTTGCCACCATTTCGACAAACTTCTTCCCCCGTTCCACGAGTTGCTGTTGGAGAGGGTTGGAAGCGTCGTGTTCCTCATAGAAGCGAGTTGGAAACAGTGGCAGCGAATCTAGTTCGCGCTCTCCGTCAAAAATGGGGATATTAATTTCTCGAACTGATCGAGTTAGAAATCTCCCATCATGGTTCAGATTCCACACGAGAACGGAATAAGGTTGTGGGGGAATGTGTGGAGACTGCCACGAAGGCCCTCCCCCCACGGACTCAATCACATATGCATTCAACCCTCCGTGCTCTTTAACATAAACATCAGATCCAGGCTTCAGAAGGAACCTGAGAGAGTTGAATGATGATTTTCGAATCTGAAGATTCCACATCAAGTCCCATTCCTTCACTGGAAGACTTGGATGACTATATAGATAGTCGATGAGAATATCAATGTGCTTCGCACATGTTTCACTATACTCGACGTCATGGGCTTCCTTGACCTTTGATCGATATTCGAGGAGCTTCTCCCGGTTGAGATAAAGATCTGTAAATGGATAAATGAAGAGTCCACTGCCAAGATCCGTCGACAGTTTTGGATCATCCCATGCATCCTTGATATCGTCTGCGATAGACTCAAACTCAATGGTAGCTTTCAAAGCTTCAAGCAGGATATTGGAATTAACATGAAGCACGGGTCGTCCGACCTCAAACATAGTGTTACCCTGGGCAGTGGTTAAGGTGATGGGATGAACTTCTATTTCTTCCTCCAAAACAGATTTTTGTTTTGATTGACTTTGGTCCGAGAGTTCGACGGCGGGTTTATCTTTGGTAGACGTCTCACGGTCTAACACAGAGCGGCCCGAGTCGTCAATGCGGAAATATTTCGTCACATAGAGTATGTCGACACATTCCGAATCGTCGGACGCATCTTCCGGCTCTGATTCATCTTCATCTGGAAGCTCGATCGCGAACGTCCACCCAGGCCTAACCAGCAGTTCCCAGTGCTTTTTGAGAACTTTTGATGTAGGATTGAGCCTGAAAAAGTAGGTAGACAGACTTTTCTCTTTCTCGCTCTCGTTTGAGACATCCTCCGGGGGATCGGATGGGCGATAGTCCGGATATACCTCCTGTATCAGTTCTTCCACTTCCTGCGTCCGATTAGAGAAAGCGACCAGATTATTCTCATAATTAATCAATCTTACCTTCCAAGTCTTGCATTTTTGATACGGAAAAGTCCACTGCTCGCCATCTGGGTCTTCAAAGATAACGGCCTTGTCCGCAACCAAATCTTGCGAACTTGGTTGTGAGGAACTTTTCTCCTCCGCGTTACCAGGAAGTGCCTGATCTGGCTGCTTTGCTTTACAGAACCCCGGTTGAGTCTTCTCATTCGGGCCTTGTTCTTGTCCAAGCTCCCCGGACTCAGGCTTCTTCCTCGCTTCGGAAAGCTCGTCATCTTGCAAGGGATTCTTCTGCGTCTTATCATAGGAAACGGACATCTCCAGGCCTGGACGCAAACATAAGCACGACACCCCACATTGGCTTCATTCGGGCTTTACATGTAATCATTACCTGTTTTGGGTGTTATGTTCGCAAGGGCAAGGTCCGCGGGGCTTTCATGGGCTGTGCGGACTTTGCAGATATCAAAATCAGCATCAGCATGATCGACTTGAGTTTGTGAAGGGCTCTTCATATTGGACTCTGTCTCTAGACGTAGAGCGAAATCCACCATCCTCGGGAATGAAGACTTTCCCCTCGGTCCAAGGCAATTTTATTTATCTAATAGAATTTCTAGAGTCTTGGTAAAGAGCGTCTGTAGAAACGGGAGGCTTGGCCCAATCCGTCAGTGTCTACTTGCTATTGGACGAAGCAGGTGCCATGGCTCCTAGTGCTTATTGCATCACCTCGCCCGCAGCATGCAGCGGCAGTGTACTTATTTGGAAATGACAAATTGTGGGGTTTGCCATTGGCAGCCAGGATCTTGTAAGAGGGGGTACGTAAAAAACGTTCACGAGGCTCCTTGTCCTCTTTGAGATCCTTGCAATGAGTGGCAGCATGTATCGAGGCTTTGATATCGCACTGTGCCTTTTCGAATGATAAGTAGAAGAAAAAAGTTATATTGTAGCTCACTGATCTACAAAGCCCTGTTGATAGATTCCACCTTTTTGCTGCAAAAATTGAGATTGACAGTGGGGTGGAGCTCCCATGGTGAGTATCATGTCCAGGAGCCCCTTTGGCCCCCAATTTAGTGGGGCAGGTGAATGGTGCGTGCCATTGTACTTTTGAGTCTTGAATTCGATTAACATTAAATGCGAGCCGCGTAAGGCACATGTGCCTGAAAAAATCGTACCCCCTGCCGAAGATACGTCCCATCAACCAATAACACTATGACAGGTGGTGAACATGGGGCCGTTTGAACCGCCGGGCAGAATTGGCCTACGGCCCCATTGTGTTGGCTGTCGAAGTGGAGAATGTGTTCCTCAATTCACATACATAGTAACGCCATAGCGCTAAGCGTGAGCGGGATACCGAGATGTGACACTAGGAGATTCAATTCCGCCCTATTAATCATATGATTCACGGCCAATGCCTCACGGATACATGATTAAGGGTAATTATCGTTTGATCGTGTATCCTTTTCATGTCGGGAGCCTCTTTCTCTGAGCTCAACTTGGCACCGTTCCCGATTATTATCCTCTCTTATGCTGTTTACATAGCCGTGTCTCTCATATCTCTCAAGCTCCCCAACTTTGCTTGTCTCACATCATGGATGACATCACACCTTCCCCGATAGTCCGTCGATTTACGGCTGAGCTTCAGTCGGACTCAGACCTAGCCATCCAGACAAAACAGTATCAGGAGGATCTAGATGCCGAAAATAATGTGCGAGCGGATCTACGTGCGTACTGTACCTACTACGGCGATGATCAGTCAAATAAGTATGTGGACATTTCTTCATGGCATCGCTTTCTGAATGGTAGCTGACTGTTATTATAGTTCTTTGGGGGGTTGGAAATCGCGCGACGTACTCTTCAGCGAAAATGTGATGAGTTCTTTGCCACAGTTGCCAAAAAAGATGAACTTGACAAAACGAAGCTGTCTATCCGAAAAATACTGCATCGAGACTCGACAGATAACAGACTAGCTCAGGAACTTCGTGCTAGTGATGGATTCACCGTCACTGCGGTCCAAGAGATCGTAACTCAGTTTGAGAGCCAGTGGACGAAGTCGAATGGCAAGGTTAGTGCTGAGTGCAATCGTATAAGGAGTATAGTCTGGCTTACTGAGAGATTAGATCACAACCAAGTTCAGGGCCATTTGTCGAACTCTTGACGCTCATAAACAATTATTCCAGTTTTTTCCAGATCAATCAATATACACATCGTGTTTATGTGGGGCCATAACGATGATAGTCCAGGTATCTATCAACGTCTGTGATGTCGTTCAATTCTAACATGCTGATATAGACATCGGTCAACTACTCCAGTATTGCCGAACAACTATCAGGCTATGTGGCTGAGCTTTCTGAGAGCATATCGATCTGCACAAAATGGCTAGACCTCTTCGGAACTCCCGCTATGCAATCCCGCTTATCAGACACTTACGCCAAATTCTTCGATTTTTTCATCAAGGTTGCTACCTGGTATCTCAAGTCAAAACCGTCCAAGGTGTGGGACTCTTTCAATAGGGACTTCTCCTCTGAGTATAAAAATGCTGCGGAAACGATCAAAAAGTCAATTCAAATCATCAATGAGCAAGCGCAAATCGAGAATGCGCGTGAAGTCAAAGCAATTCGTCCATATATGAACTACCAGATGAATCACGTCATGAACAAATTTGACAGGCTTGAAGCACGCATGCTGGAAAGCCGACGACAAAACTTTCAAATTCTGAGACAAGAAAATGAGATTGGCGGGCTCATGACGCATTTCTTCCAGGAAACATTTCGATGCTGTTAGTTCTTTACAGGTATTTCTATATTAAGCCTGATCCCGTTTGCTAAAGTCGTCGCAGTGGATGAAATAAAGCAAATCCGACGGTTGAGCGACAATCCTGTGTCACAAGTGGAGCAATCCCAAGTTTTGCAACTGACAGAAAATGATGAAATGAGAGATGTCAGCAAAACTGTGCGCCGCATCACAAGAGCAGATGCTGAGGGTATATGCAGCAATCTCAAATCATTTATCGTCCAAGCTGGTGGCAGCAATGGTTTACAGTTGGCTCTAGACGCTGGGCGTCTTATTGCAGAGCCAAGTATGGTCGATGCACTCGGAAATTGGGCAAAAGCCACAGACTTTAACCATCAAATCCTTTGGGTTATAAGCCCTTACGAGACAGGTGAGCAGACTAGTGCTGAATTGGCCGCACTGGGCACTATTTGGACCGCAATACAGGCACGGGCGCGGTTCATCTCGCATATCTGCCAAAGGCCTCCATACAATGAAGTTCCAGGCTTCGAGAATTCAGAAGACAGAGCGGGTATGTTCGCGTTGGTTTATGGCTTGATAAGCGAGCTTCTGCAATTGGACTTGCCTGCGGACATATTGATTGACACTGAGGTGTTGCAAATACCCAACCGCCTACATCAGAACTGGTCCGCTACGGTCGAGGTTCTTAGGACATTGCTAGAGAGTGCGCCTACTCTAGAGTACTGCATCATATCAGGGCTGAATCTTCTTGAGAACGACGCTTCGGATATGTGCCAGGATTTTGTGGACCTCCTTTTGGCACATGTGAAAAATTGCGGCTCGCCTATGCGGATTCTGTTCACGACTTCTGGACACTCTAGGGCTCTTTTTCCTAGAGTATCGCCAGGTAGTATACTCGAAACCAATAACACCGTTCACCAGATGAGAGGAAGGATGTTGTATGATCGTGTGAATATCTTTGATTAGCTAAGAAAGCTTCACCTTTAGCCTTTTGGTATCAAAAGAAGTCTGCAATCTCTCACAGAAAGAAGAAAAGCCGAGACTATATCTAGGAGGAAGATGCCCTGTACCGACCTGTTATTCCAAATACCAATCGTATCAATTTCTCAAGACATCGTATAGGCGATGACAGCCCAGGCAGGAAAGCCCCACTCACCGAATATGATCCTGCGTATACAGTGGCATATCCAGCAAGCTTAAATAATAGGAAAAGCTCAGAGTGGTGTACAGATAGACTCATCTCTAAGGTAAAGTAGCCTCAGGGCTACTGTGGCAGTTCATGCAACCCACTCTCTGCTGACATCCATCCCAAGAGGCCCATGTCTTCCTTCCATCATCAACTACAATTCCGCAATCTTCTTGATAGTCCGATCTTATTGATAGAATTGTTGCATCATATTCCAAATGAAACAGAACCTAGTAGACACAGCCTCACATTGCGGGGGCTTCCGGTTACCTCCAAGAAAGCTCATGTCAATTATTAACACGATGGAATTGCCAATTCACCGAGACTAGACAATATCCTCCTACATATTGTTCTTTCATTCGCAGCATTCATATCACCAACGCGTTGTTTAGCCTAATATACTCCGATTTTCAACGTTCGCGATCGTCAACTACACCTCAAAGAAACACGGCGGGGATGCCGCTTCATTTCGGGGAAATCTGCGGAGGCTATTCATTCCCACCCCACAGGAGAACTGCCATCTCAGGCAGACCGTTAAAACTCCCAGATCTTTCATTGGGAGATCTTCGAGCCATGTGGATCGTCCGGTCCACGATGTTCCAGGCGCCAGCATCGCAGAGGAGAGGGGTTGTCAACAAGTGTCATTGGACCACACCCCCGGCATTGTAATTTGGACTAAGATACGCCTCCTCGTCACCCTTGAACCCCTCATCAACAGACTATACATTCGGGGACAATTTTCAGATTCAATATCCTAAAACGATTGATGAGAGACGGCTGACAAAATGTTGTACGCTGAGAACGACAAGCTTATCTTCCGATTCGACGACCACCTCCTCTGGATTCAACCATGGGGTGAAGATGCATTCCGTGTGCGAGCCACCAAGCTCACCACCATGCCTACCGAAGATTGGGCTCTTGAATCAAAGCCAGACAGCCCGTCTGTCACGATAGAGACGCCCGTCGGGGAAGATGCAAGCATCTCCAATGGCAAGATTCGGGCGACGGTCTCTCAGCGAGGCAAGGTGATCATCTACGATCACAAGGGCAAAAAGCTCCTCGAGGAATACGCCCGACACCGACAAGACCCTCGCGACCCCAAATGCAGTGCTCTTTTGATTGAAGCACGCGAGCTACGACCTATCCTCGGTGGCGATTATCATCTCAAGCTACGCTTTGAGTCGCTCGATCCCAAGGAGAAGATCTTTGGAATGGGGCAATATCAACAGCCCTATCTTAATCTCAAAGGGGCGGATTTGGAGCTTGCACATCGGAATTCGCAGGCTAGCGTGCCTTTTGCGGTGTCATCGCGCGGTTACGGGTTACTTTGGAATAACCCGGGTATTGGGCGAGCCACCTTGGGTATTAACGTGATGAGCTTCGAGGCATACTCTACTCGTGCTTTGGACTATTGGGTTGTTGCGGGTGACTCGCCTGCGGAGATTGAAGAGGCGTATGCGAAGGTGACTGGGTATGTTCCTATGATGCCCGAGTATGGCCTCGGATTTTGGCAGTGCAAGCTCCGATATTGGAACCAGGAGCAGTTGTTAAATGTGGCGAGAGAGTATCGACGGCGTGAGGTACCGCTTGATCTGATTGTCATCGATTTCTTCCATTGGAAGCACCAGGGAGAATGGAGTTTCGATCCTGAGTTCTGGCCTGATCCCGGTAAGTCATAACCTGCAATTGCTTCATCACTTCCGCATGGACCCCGCAACTTACTTACATCAACCGTCTCTATCTTACAGATGCCATGATCAAAGAGCTCAAAGATCTCAATGTAGAACTCATGGTCTCTGTCTGGCCAACTGTCGAGAATGCCTCCGAGAACTTCCCCGAAATGCTGGAACGTGGACTCTTGATTCGACATGACCGTGGTCTGCGCGTGGCAATGCAATGCGACGGGGACATCACTCACTTTGATGCAACCAACCCTGAAGCCCGGCAGTTTGTCTGGAGCAAAGCGAAGAAAAACTACTACGACCGGGGAATCAAGGTATTCTGGCTCGACGAAGCCGAACCCGAGTACTCGATCTATGATTTTGATATCTACCGCTACCATGCTGGTAGTAACCTACAGATTGGCAACATCTACCCAAAGGAATACGCCCGTGGATTCTACGAAGGGATGGAAGCCGAGGGTCAGACTAATATCGTCAACTTGCTCCGCTGTGCATGGGCAGGTAGCCAAAAGTATGGCGCGCTCGTCTGGAGCGGAGATATTGCATCCTCGTGGGATTCGTATCGGAATCAACTCGCCGCGGGCTTGAACATGGGTCTCGCCGGTATCCCATGGTGGACTACCGATATTGGTGGCTTCCACGGCGGTAATCCAGACGACCCAGCCTTCCGTGAGTTATTCACTCGCTGGTTCCAATGGGGAACCTTCTGCCCAGTGATGCGGTTGCACGGAGATCGAGAACCCAAGCCCGAAGGCCAACCGACCGCCAGCGGCTCAGATAACGAGATCTGGTCGTACGGTGAGGAGGTTTATGAGATTTGCAAGAAGTTCATCGGGATTCGGGAGGAGCTGCGCGAGTATACGCGGGGGTTGATGCAAGAGGCGCACAAGAAGGGCACGCCAGTGATGCGTACGCTGTTCTATGAGTTCCCGCAAGACTCAAAGGCGTGGGACGTGGAGACTGCGTATATGTTTGGCTCTCGATATCTGGTTGCCCCCGTTTTGGAGGCTGGCCAGCGCACTGTCAAGGTCTATCTGCCGGCTGGTGCGATGTGGACGCTCTGGAGTAAAGTGAATGTCCCCCAGGGGGACATTCCAAAGATCTATCAGGGTGGAAATGAGGTAGAATTGGACTGTCCGATTGAGACGATGCCCATTTTCTACCGCGTGAACAGCTGAGCCACCATGGACAGAGCGTATATCTACGCTCCAGAATGTATGTACATCGACTGAATCAGCCCAAGAGAATTTCAGTACGAGTGTCTGGTAATTCATTTCACCTTGTTTATAACAGAGCCGTAATCGAAAGTAATTGTCAGACGCCTACAATCCCGTTACGTGACAACTAGTTCGCAGCCAAATGCAGCAACATGCAGCTCTCAGGCCGCGATTTGCCCAGAACTCTACTCCGTCCGCATCTAGCCAACTCTGTCAAGACACGAGAGAAAATCCACCTTCCCCTCCACCGAGGCCTATTAGTAAATGCAACGGGCAATATAGCCCCCATCAGCCAGCCGTCCGAGCCGAAACACCCAAACGATGAAATCAGAGCACATACCCGAGCTGAGACACCTCCTGACATGCCGCCACTACACCATCGGCAGCGCCTCCGGAGATCAAGGACCCATCTATGATCGCGGTCGCATTCCCGGCGGTGCGTGCACGATGATGGATCGACTTCGTGAGGGCTAATCAACTAGGGATCAGCCAGCGGACACGATCTCACCAGTGTCAACGCAGCGTGCCTGGGGGTAAGCACCCCATGAATCAGACAGGGATGATGTCTGTTTCGATCTGGAGCTTATCAGTCCCACTAGCACGATCTCCTGCTGGGCCATACTGTGTATGACACGAGCCGCGTCATACTGCGACCAGACGAAACCCTCGTGGAAGACAGTGTGGCAAGGGTCATTCTCTGGATGAGATATGCCCCCACCCGAAGACCATCACGGTATCGTCCATCACGACGACGGGGCCTCGTTCTCGCTGCAGGTTTCCTCCCAAGTGTGGGCCACATGGTGATACAGACGGGGGAAGGGATCCAGGGACCTGGAACAGATGAGATTGACGGCAAATAAACGCATTGTCCACTTTAGGGGACTTTGGTTCCAAAGGCCGACGGAGCGAAGCCAGCTAACTAGTCGTGCTAGTCCCAGTCTCTAAAATGATATCCGTTGGTTGTGTCGTACGGAACTATTCCGGCGCATACGATGCAAGTCAGCTCCTAGACTATTCCCGTCGGGATATCAAATCACAAAACCCAATCGGCAGATGAAGTGCAGGTCCGCAGGTCCAGGCACGAAGGCAGATGTAGGGAAGAAAAGAAAAAACAGGGAACCAACGGCTAACAACCAGACTACTGGATGGATGCACTCTGTACTCCATACAGAGTTTCAATGTGCAACGCTCATTGACCAGAAACCAAGCTCGTAAAAAAGCAATAACGGCAAGCCATCAAACCTAAACCGTTCACGCCTTGCATCCACTGATCCACTGATCCTCTGATCTCCTGATCTCCTGATCTTCGCGCCTCCCAAATTCCAACCTTTCTGTGATCATCCCTTGCAGAAGCGCCCTCGTTGTTCGGTTTTTAATCCCCAATTCCCGATTGTCGGCTCCGAGAAATGCCCTGACCTGCTCGCTTTGCAGCACCAGGGTGTACAGAAAGAAGAAAAGAAAAATATTTCCCGCAATTCTTCAATACATGTCCGTGTAGGTACGTAACTTTTCTCCCTATCCCATGTGCCGTGTCAGTTTGCCACACAGCGTGGGGTCGAGAGGGGTGAGACACTCTGCCTTACACTGCGTTCGGTTGTACTGCGATTTCACTGGTGTGGCGCACCAAGACGGGCGCCACTTTCCATGATGAATTATGGGCGGTGGATTTATCGCACTTTCACTGGGCTGGTGATAAAATAGTGGTTTTCTTGGAACTAGTGATGGGTGTTTTTTCCGGATTTATATAGATTAGAGTTACTTGTGAAGTGGTGGCTCTAGACTATTGATCTCCGGCGCTGTTGAGATATATATCCCGCCCGTCGTGAGATGAGACAAGACGGGTCAACACGATGAGAGGGTTAGGTAGCGCCTCGAACAGTTATTGGTATTATAAACAAGAGTCTTGCTTTGAGATATTTTACGCACTGGGATGAACCCTACACACCTAAGTGTCCGATATACTTCGTGTACAACCTATCGTAACCAACCCTACGTAATCATTAGCCCTCGAGCCTATCCATCAAATTATCTTATGTGGAAAGGACCCCGAAGTGAGCAACCGCAGACCTGTCAAGCCGTCAAGTCCATCAGACGAAGTCTACCATGGCTGGACCTAATCGCCATTACCTTATCCATTCCACCTGTGTGAATCATCCTGGGCAGTAAATGAGTCTAGCCTTGATGCAGCTAAAGGGTCACCACGACACTACCTATCCATCCTCTATCTAGACGCACCTCCTTCTATGATCCTACACTCCTATCTGCTCTGTGTATGGCGCCCACCCACCAAGTTAGGAAGCATTGAATGCCTAGACGTGAAAGAGTAGACGGGGGACGGGGACGGAGCTCGCCTAGTCAGGAAGCATGACACGTAGCGAACGGCATTGTCCTGGACTATAATCGGTATAGACAAATGTACGATGAATTGAAGTTACTGCTATAGGTACGTTACCATCCCATACTGCGTTTTCTGTATGTAGGACTTCGTACATGGTATAGGGTATAGGTAAAAAAGCAAAACTTCCCCCGCCGGTATCAATGTAGGCGCCACTAACGGCTCCTTCGACTTAACGACCTGCTCGATCGAGCCAAGTACGGAGTTGAGGCATGAATTGGTCAATTGTGGATTGGAATACTCCATATGTAGCTGTAAGCCCCGACAGACTCCCCCTTGAGAGTGCGGCTCAAATAGCACGGGCACGCGTTTCAGTAGGCGAGATGGGGCCGCCCCGGTTTTTTTAGTGCTCGTTATTTTTGTTCTTACGGAGTCTTTCCTCCCCGTCTCGGCAATGGCTCGACTCTAGTGTATGAAAAACCAACGGTCAAGTAAGATCAGATAATCAGTTGTCTACTCGGTCAGCGACCGCAGACTATTGTTGTTATTTTGGACCCTTTAGGGAAAAAAGAAGATCGAGCCATACTGCCGTACTGTACGGAGTAGACCCGGCTGGATTTACGAGGACCATGTGCCGTCAACTCCGCACCATAACTCCACTGGGCGTCTCTCCTATGAGCATTTCGCCCGCTCTGACACCCGCTGTAGAGTACTCCTTCCCCTTTACATTTACCGTTAGATTATTTAGAGGAATATCCGACAAAATGGACCAAGGTGCGCTCAAAATTACCAGTTATTTACCATCAAACCGGGATGAATAGGGTCATTTGCTTTTGTACTATGCTCATCCGTCAGAAGGGAGAGTATATAGCGGGGTCCAGAACCGAGATCTAAATCCCGAACAAAGTCTAACATCTGACACATGCCGTGATAGACGGGAAGAGAATCCCAATAACTTTCTCCTCGGCGTAGGCCCAATCCCAAGACTACCATCCAGAGGATGGAGTACTGTAGTACAGTTTAGTATCGGGGACCAGGCCCAGATCAGACACGTTAGAGTTTGGCGTGTCGGCAAGTCCACCAGGATGACGGGGGCTGGCAGATGTCATGGGGAGGGGAACCTTTGTGTTGGGAAAAGCGTGTTTTGTGTGCGTTCATCTGGCACTCCGATTGAGTTTGGACCGGGTAGATAGGGTTGGGCCGGTTGCTGTGTGACAACGTGGTTGGTTGGTTGGGCTACTTTTGGTGGAGGCGAGTGGAGGGTTGTGGAGGGGCGTCCAGGAGGGAGTCTCCATCGATTGGCTTGAGAACGTCCAGTTGGGAGGGTTGTTCTGTCGCTCGCCGAGAACGGTAGTCATTGAGGAGTTACTCCTCGGTAGACATGGACTGGAGGTGTGTGCAGTCGACGATGGGGAAAATATGTTTCAATAGCGTCATAACCGAGATATTCCATCACGACGATGATCCGCTGACCACTAACATTACTATCGCGTAATTGCACCTAAAAAAACTTGCTCCTTTTTCCTGCTCTGTCTTTTCTAGGTTCCATTCGCCTCCTGACGGAAACAACGGATGGCTAAGGGCAAGGGATCATGGCGCCGGCTGTCTAGCGCAAGCGAAGTGGTTCGTGGGACCGCTGTCAAACCCATCGTTAAGCACTCGCTAGCCAGTCAGCGTGCGTTCTAAACGACGATGACGGTTGAAAGCGGGGCGACCTGGCCCGTCCTCCATCGGCGGGAGTCCAGATTTGACGAACTGTTCCCGCCCAGTCAAAAGGAGGAGCTGCGAGGAGTCCCTTAAAAAGGCAACGAGCACGGGAAAGGGAGACAGATGGGGCAGCCTCAACGGTAGAGCTTCCTCTTTGAGTGTGGTATACCGGTATATTCTCGGCGTGGGCTGGATGAGGGCCGTGTATACGGAGACACGGCACGTAGATAGGTAAAGAGACACTCGGGGGCTTGATAGATGGACCTTGAGCGATGAGATCAAACTGTACAATGCATATTGTGTATAGGAAATTCGGTATACAGTGTACCGGGTAATGTACAGTGGATTTTATGGGACTATGCTGCAAGCACGTCTGCGGCACGTCTCTCCCCCGAAGTATTCCTACCGTTTATCAAAAGGACCAGGATGCTGACATTCTCAGCCTGACAACAATAAGCAAAAGAGGGGGGCTTAACGGCTTCAAAGGGTGGAACCCAAGCTGCCAGTCCATAATCCCGTTCCAGCTGTTCCCGTTGCTCTAGCTAAAACCTGGAAAAAAAGCATGTCTTTCATGCCTGTTGACAATATGTACGAGTTTCAGACTACCCTCTTACTAGCGCACAAGATTTGACTTTCCACGACTGTAGTACTCCATACTCCCAACAGCATCCGCCTCGTGTATCGGAAGGTTGTCCTGTGTAGCTAGCTCTCGGATCAGTCCCAGATCAATGCATGATAGCGCTGCCCCCTGTCGTCATGAAATGACATCTTGTGAACGGTGATATGTAGGAGGAACCCAAAGAAGACTAGCGTAGGCCAAACGGTTTCCCACCGATCGGGCACCATGGCAGTGGTCCCCGAAATCTAAAGCCCGAGGATGCCGGACCAATTAGAGAGCTTACTGGGCTCGAGGCGGGCTCCCGTAAAGTATAGATGATACAAAAGTATGCACGTTATGTATGTAATGTATGGGATTCTCTGGACTTTGTACCACGACCGGGACCACCACGAATGGCAAATTCAAAACAATCTTCATGCAAATGGTTATACCCTGTCCATTGTCTTCAGAGTTAGTGTGTACCTCTTGATCGTAGCTTTCTTAGTTCCTTCTCATGTCAATACCTGTTTTATCCTCTCTTTAACCGTCTTGTGTATCGTAATTATTGAATGATCAACCGTCGAGCTTCAAACCAGACAAACACCACGTGACGGGCTCGGACCTTCTGCCCACGTAGCGTGGGAGGCCCGACAGTCAGGAAGCTGCGGCGGATGCGAGACCGTTCGGTCCACTTGCGGTTTTGACGACTCTCTTTTTCCTCTTTTGATTCTTTATGTCGTTATGCACCTTTACTTGATTCTCCGTCCTCCATAGTCGTATATATTCAATTTACACATGACCCCGGCCTATTAATTACTCTGCCCTATTCTTTTGACCTGCTAGTGTTTTGCATTTTAATATCGAGAGCAAGGATTCGATAAAAGTGTACTCCGTACAGGGGTATAAAATGTGCTACCAGGTTGCCCTGTTCCATTTAGGAACTTGCTCGCCGGAGAAAAAAAAACCAAGACCACACGGACACTATACTAGGGCATCCAAACTGTCGGGGTGTGAAAGTCATAGTTCTGGTCCATCGTGAGAGCGAGCGAGCTAAACTAGTTAGTTAGTCTATTCTATACGTAACTACGGTGATCCCGTAGTCTGTTTCTCACACTATGAGCCGTCGATATCGGGGTGGTTTTACATACCATAGCAGGGGGTAAAGGATCCGTCAACAGGGGACAGATTCCAGACTGGTCAGCGCACGGGCACGATCAGCG